ATTGGCCCCACTGCGCTGACCGGAACTGATGACGACATTGCGCTCGTCCTCACTGTCTGAAAGATCTAAAATCACCCTGCGGCGTTTGCCCCGACCCCCCGCCACCTCCTGGTTGCACAATTCAAAGAGTGTATCCCTCTGAAAATTCAACAAATCACCGAGAATATCCACCAATATCTCGTTTTTCTTCCTGTTCAACTCTATCTCGACACGGGCCACCTCTGCCAAATCGTGAAGAAGACCCTGGCGTAGGCACTGATTCTCCTCGAATTCGTCTTGCAGCCGGCCCAAGCGCCTTTTCAAAGCCGCCGCCCGGTTGACCTGGATGCTGCGCACCTGCTGAGAGGAGAGCTTGGGAGAAAACGCCATGACGACTCTTGCGCAAATTGAGAAATGACGCAGCTGTGACCATCCTTATGACTGTCCATGAATGCAAGTCGGCCAAATCTGCGCAGTGCTGCTTAACTGCAGTCATCACCATGCATATACCTAATAGGTGCGGTACGTAACCGGCCGAACCTTCGAGAAATCACACGTGTCAAAATGCAGTCGAGCCTCATGGAATTATCGACGACTCATGTCCTTTCCACGTGGCAATTTCCTATGTTTTTGCCCTGTCGCAACAGCACAAGAGCAGTTTCAACGTTCGACGCAGTCCGGTACGCTTAGTCGATATCCTGCGCTCGTCATCCAGAGTCAGCTCCGAAGATATCTAGACTTCCGTTTTTTTTCGATCCGACGCTTTCAAACCCCAGTCTTTCGGGACTCAACTCCTAAAAGGGATGTTGTGGACACGTGTCAATTTCCTATTTTCTTGCCTGTCGTGAACCATCGCGAGACAGCTTCGATGCAATTTGTCGAAAGCGTTACATGCGTTACATATATACATGTCAGTCTATATTATTATTCGATTTCGATTTCGATACACCATGTGTGACATATATAAGAGAGGCTCATTAATGCGAAAAGGCCCCATGTTTCTAGAAGGCGCGCGGAATCCGCTGTCCAGGTGGCTTTGAAAAGCTGCTGGGGCTAGCCTGAGGTACCGTACCCGGCATGGGAATTCACCACCTTTTGGTGTGAAAAGTTGAAAAAACTTAATTTCGTTCATCCTGACTCCTGAGGTTTCACCGGGCGCTTTGAGAATATATATTTCATTTCACACAAGCGGTTTTCTTGCTTTTTCCTCACCGGGCGCTTTGAGAATATATATTTCATTTCACACAAGCGGTTTTCTTGCTTTTTCCACACTCTAATTAAGCATCCCAGAATGACCTTTTTTCCAAAAAAAATGTGGTTTCACCTTTTCACAGTCGGGGTGATCTTTTAAGTTTTGATTTTTCCACACTGACCCCAAACCCAAAATAATTAATAAAAGTTGAATTCCCATGCCGGTACGGTAGAGAGCCCAGCTGGACGAGCTTGCAAAAGTCTGAGCGCAACATCTAAGTTGGTTGTGGCGTCAAAGTGGGCGTTCCGTGTCCCGGAACGCCGGACGCTGAATGCGTACCGGCTGCCGTCGGTCACAATCCGTCAGTAAACTGACCGCCGATGGCACACCTTGGCATAGGATCGACGGTTCAAAATGTACTATGCTCGTGACTCGAACCTCGGTGCTCGGTTGAAACTTGATGACTCCGCCGTACGACTCTTTGCGAATCTACCGACTCTTGACTCCCAGGCAACGGGTAGATTACAAGTCACTGTGAGCACTGAGAACTTGCAGACCTGCGCCGCAAAGCGCCGGGGTCGCCGGGTCGTACTTTGACATTGGATTTGAGCAAACAGAGTTGAGGCCCCGACTTCGATGTAGTCTGTAAAATTGAAATCACTGTGAAATCTGCATGCGCCGCTCTGCGGGAGACCCAAAAAGAAGGAAACTTTGCGGGATTCGAACCTGCAACTTTAGGTTTTCGTCACTCCGCTCTACCGCTGCGCTATGCTCAGATCCCCCGGGCGCAACTCTGTCCACGGAAATTCAAGCCAAAGGGGTTTTATAGGGGCACGCCCACTTCAAGGACATGGCAGTTGCTCCGAGCTGAAAGTCAAAGATCCTTGGAGGTCAGTCACAGCTGAAGCCTTGCAGAGTTGGGAGCATGGCCGGGGCAGGACTGATTACCCCGCCGGTATGGGCCGCTGCACCGCAGGCCCTCATCTCGAGGGCGGGGACGTCAAGGGGCTGGCATGCGGAGGTGCCGCGCTTCCTCTGCCACTTGCACCCGCAGAATGGCTTAGCTGTGCGTCCGCTGCCTAGCAAAAGTTTGGCCGAGTTCCAAAATCCAGGAAGGAGCTTTTCCCCTACCCAGGTTTCCTCGCATGAGCGCTCATGCAGATCTTTTGACATCAGATCTGAGGTCAGCGGGCGCAGTGGGAATTGTGCGGAGTCCTGCCAGCGCGGTGGAAGCCTGCCAGGGAAGCGAGCGCTCCCCTTTGCGGCGCCAAGTCCCCAGAGCTCAAGGGCGAGGAGTCGTTTGCATGCCCTTGCAGGACCTTTGCTAGATAGATTGAGGGGTCAAAAGCGGCATGCAACAGAGGGCGATGAGGATCTTCAGCTCCGGGATCTCCTGGAAGATCTCAATCAGAGGATACAAGATCTGAATAGTCAGTTGAGAAGCAGCCAGCGTGAAGATGGGGGTGGAGAGGATGGTGGCGAACGCGTGCCCTTGCTGAAGACGGTCAATGTTCCGGCACATCTTGTGCTCAAGAAAAGTGAGAGTGAAGCAGTGGCTGCTTCTGAGAAGAAGGGACAGGAGGCTGCCTTGGAAGAAGAGTGGACACCCTCGGCGCTGACCACGATGTTGGTTGACTACTCAATGATGGTCGCGAGCATCTGGGCAATGAATGGAACCATCAAGCAAGCTCTTGGGCAACAGGTATGTAAGCTGGCTGTCATGATTGGAATGACCCTTGAATGGTTGATTGAGCTTGAAACCAATTTTAAGGGTTTGTATTATCCTTTCTTCGTTTGCATGTGGGAAAGTCATCATTTCATACTTCTCACTAAGCAGGGTTTGGTGACAGCAACTTGGATGCTTCAAGGTTGAATATGCTGGATATTGCATTCAGACATGCTTTGCGTGTGAGCATCAGACAATTTTTCTTGAGAACCTAGACAACCAACCACTCAAGCCCTGTGCTTCTTTTCATGTCCATTTGATTTTCCTCAAGCTCATGTACTGTGACCATACAATTGCTGACCTCGACAGCGTCATGGTCAGTTTCTTCTGTTGCAAGGTTTCTCTTCAAGGTCAGCAAAGCTGGACCGTTCCTGGCTGTTTGAATGCTGTCAGGTTGTTTTCAAATGCAGTTGCAGATAGGGGTTACTGAGATTTTGGCCGTCACCATCTTAACAAAGTTGCCTTTCTTTCAGGTGCCTGCCGTGGCCATGAGTGCGGTCAATTCCATTGGCCAACCTGCCCTCGACGCTGTCAAGAGTGTGGCGCCACCAGTGGTGAAATACATAGGGGAGCCAGCCATGGTCGCTGTGCGCTATGCAGGGATTCCTCAGGGCATCGGCCGTGTTTCTGATTTCATCCGTTCGACCCCCGATCTCCGGGGTAGGTTGGGGGGCAACAGGAATAGGAGGAGGCTTAGCGGCGTTGCAGCAGCATCTAGGCTAGATAGGCAGGGCTCGCAGTCAGTAGATGATAACCAGTATGACTTCACGGATATAGTGTCGGCAGCTAACCGGCAGTCATTGGATTGTGACGACCAGGGTGAGGGCTCGGCAGCTGATGCCAGCCCAAGCTGGTGGAAAGGCACCCTAGGCAGCTGGGAGCCCCTTCGGTGGTGGGGCTCATCAGGAGAGGGCAAAGCAAGTGAGGAGGAGGGAGCGGCTGCAGCGCAGGACCCTCTGATCTGGCCCCGCCTTACTGCTGCTCGAGAGGCGAGTACCGCACAAGGCAGTGGGGAGACTAGCATACCAGAAAAGCTGGGTGAGGCAGGGGTGATTGCTGCAGGGGAGGGAATTCTGGGAGCAAAGGTTGCAGGTGCTCAGGAGCAGCCGTCAGAAGCACCCGGGTGGGATGGGGGCCAAAAGGGCGAGGACCCGCAGCAGCCCCTCGGTTTCAGCTTCAGTGCGGCGGGGCTCTTGTTTCCGTATCACCTGGGGGTGTGCCAAAAGCTTATGGAGGCGGGCCTTCTCACGGTAAGTTTGGTCTTCCACGTGCGAGTTGCTTTGACTGTACCTGGAATGCTTCTGTCCAATCCTTCTTCCTAATGCAAGTCCGGGGGTAAAATGCTTATCTGTATATACATTGTTGGCGATTGTTGGCCGCTTGACTGATCTCTGGTGCATTTCTGAATTAAGTGGTGCGCTTTATTTCTGGACATTGGTTCTTCTCCTGCCGTAAGTCCCTTCCTCCATTTGCTCACTTGTGCACCTCGTTTATGTACAGGACAAGACTCCGCTGGCTGGCAGCTCTGCCGGTGCCATCGTTTCTGCTGCGCTTGGGGCGGGGGTGTCGCCCGTTGAAGCATTGCAGATGACCAAGGACCTGGCAAAGGACTGCCGGAAGAACGGGACTGCAGGACGGCTGGGAGTAAGGACTGGAATCAGCTCAGTGCACAGTGTGGATGCCAGCTGTTTCGATCAATCATAGCTAGTCATAGAGCCATCATAGATGTGTAGCCCTCTCTTGAACTGTGTACCATTGTAGACTAGATTAACTGCAGACAATCCAGCAAACAGGAATTGTGTGTGCAATGTTTCTTTTGACTGTTTGAGCAACACTCGTAACTCCTGCTCTTGCTGAGGTGGGTCTCCTGCATTGCAGGCTGTTCTGAGAGGCATCTTACATGAGGTCCTACCAGAGAATTGCCATGAGATGTGTAATGGCAGAGTGCGAGGTGAGCCATGGAGTGCCTTGTTCAACGTCTTTTCTCGGCCCCAAACGAAGGGCTCAGCTGTGAGACCGCTCACCTCAACGCGCGTGTCTCGCGACCATCTTGGCCAGTTCCATACGTAGGTTTTGATTCTGCTAGTTGTGTATAACTTGTGCACGTGTTCACAAGCCCTGTTTTTCCTTTCCATCTTATGTAAAGCTTCTATGACTGAATGTACTCTCCTTCTGTGTGCAGTAGCGGTAACACAGCTGTTTCGGTGGCCTCGGGGCATCCTTGTGGACGAGTTTTACTCAAAACAAGACGTCATTGAAGCGCTGATTACCTCCTCGTTTATTCCTGGGTAAGGCTCGCTAACAGTCTTTACCAAAGCCTTGGCTCGAACACTTTGGATCATTGTCGTTCTCAATCATCATATCAAGCATTTTGAGTTAGTGTATTTTTCTGACAGATGTGTTCGTGGTCTCTAGGATGCTGTTAGATCGCTTCTGGTCCTTGCACATGCCATTGAAAGATTAGCAAATGTGTTCGTGGTCTCTAGGATGCTGTTAGATTGCTTCTGGTCCTTGCACATGCCATTGAAAGATTAGCAAAGGAACAATGACTCGGATTTGCCGTCCTCTAGGGAGGCAGTGCAGCTTTGCTTCAGAACACATACCCCTCCTGCCAAACATCATGTTGTGAAGCAACTGCAGCTTGTTGAAGAAACGCTTTGAACGATGAAGTTTTTCGAACGTGCTTCATTGCTGTCCGGTCGATGTCTGCGAAGTGCCTCTCACATTCCCATTCTGACATCGTGTGCAGTTATCTGGCCCCAGCTGCGGCGAACGTGTTTCGAGATCGGTACTGTATCGACGGTGGTATGACGCTGTTCATGCCTCCGACAGCTGGGGAGGAAACGGTAAGGCAACTGAGCAGATTGTAGCAAATTTACTCCAGATTTGCACTCGCTTTTAGTCTCGCGAGTCCAGAGAAAAGGCCTTAAATTAGGGCGCCGTCAGTCTCTGCAGGGACCCACGTTTTATCTTTCTCGCGAAACTCACTTGACGGATCTCTGACCCCTTTGTCCTTGTACGCAGATCCGTGTCTGCGCCTTCCCGGCTTCTGCGTATGGGCTCCAAGGTGTACAGATCTCCCCCGACTGCAATCCAGATGGCCGTGTCAGCCTCCGACAGGTGCGTCACCCGCTCTATGCGTTTATCAACGAAGCTCGCGTCTACTCAGCACAAGTAGCACTCTTGTCCTCTAGTTCGCTCATTCCTGCAGCTCCGTGGCCCTGTAGTCGAGCTTGTCGTACTCGCAAAGGAAGGGCCGCATGCATCTTGCTGCATCGATCTGCAGCAAGGCCGCTTGAACTCACATGTGCCTCCTCTTGTGCAGCTTTTGTCGTGGGCTCTTGAGCCGCCCTCCGACGGCATTCTGGACGAGCTGTATCTGCAAGGCCATGCGGATGCTGCTGTTTGGGTGAACAGTCGGACGTCTGCAAACAAGGAGGGCGCGGACTTTCAATTGGCTCAAGTGTAGGGTCCTCGGATGAGGCAGGTGGCCGCCTATTGATGGTATAGAAAGCTATGCTAGAAAATGTCCGACATGCAAATTCAATTGCTGGCAGCAACATTGTACATACTTGGCAAAAATTGAAAGGCTTATGCTTTACGTGATAGACAACGGCTTACATAGAAAGAAGCTCATATAGAAGAGAGTAAAGCGAATTCGAGATATTTTCCAAACAACATTGCTTGCCTAAATCTGCACATGAATCTCTGCAACTTTGATGTGTTTTGTCACTTCCACTTCGCGACATTAGATAAGGAAGACAAATCTCATCATTGGTACACGGTTGAGATTGGGCCAATGACTTCCCCATCAAACTGTGGACTTCACAGTTTTAGGTTGACCTTTGCATTTGCCTAATCTGCTTGGCGAACGTGGTGGGTCTTGCAGAAAGCTTACTGTCATGTGAAAGCAAGATATAATGTGCCGTGCTCTAATCGTGCATCGACCGGAAGTAAACTATTGAAGGATTCTAGGTTGCATACATATTACGGTTTTACTTACCATGCATGCGTGCAATTCTGATCGATCCGGACATCTGTCGGACTGGTTGATGCAAAGTAATGAAATCTGCTTCTAAATGCAAGCTGCTGTAGGTGGTTATATTGAAAAATTGTGCAGCAGTTCTCCATATGAAAGGTCCGCATATATGCATATAGGTGTAAGCAAGTGACGGGGGAGCATGCATGCATGCCACGAGCACTAGGTGTGCATGCTGCACAGTGGATGTTCAATACAAATTCTCGCCGGCAATCGGGCCAACTTGTAGATTAAATGAATGACATGTTATCTTGAATTTCCTCAAGTTATTATTGATCGCTCATGCATCAATATAGTTGCTAGCCAACATTGACAGAGTTCTTGCTCTAAAGCTTGAAAGACGGAGCTAGTGTCTAACTTGATAGCAGATTCAGACCACTCTTCGGTTTACTAGCTTTTCTACCTGGGGAACCTCAACTTGCAAGCAGTAAGAGTGCAAGGAGAGGGCTTTCCAAGTTCCGGCTCTTCGATTGAGAATAATAATAACCTAGGTCCTAACTTCTATAAGACTTTGAGGTAAGTACGTAGTAAGTACCTCAGCAGAAGAACTTTAGCCTTGGAACTTAAATTGATTGTACCATTTTGCTTTGCTTAACCGCCGTTCGATCGTGACATCTAGGCCGTCCAATCTCGTATCAGCTTTTTCACTGCCACGCGTCAGAAGGCCTGGGCCTGGACAGTGGAGGCTGGGTTGCGGATCCTGATTCTTTCTGTCGACAAGTGGACTGATCCGCTCATGGCCCGAGGATGGAAACCTCTGAAAAAATCCGTGATTCAGATGCAAGAATGCTATCTATGTGTATGTAACAGTATGTGGGAACTGTACTGCTCCTGCTTGCTGGAGACGACGCATCTCCTTCACCACTTCTCGGATCTCCGCCCAAGATAGCTTTTCCTGCAAGCTGGGTTTGAGACAGTTCACCAGAGCGTCAGCAAGATGAGAATCTCCGACCTCTTCACGTCGGTCGGCATCAATGCCGCGCTCGTGTTGCTCTTCTTGTTCCTCTATTCCATATTCCGAGTGCAGTGGATAAATGCAAGAGTTTACTATGCGCGGCACTTTGTGCGGGACAAGGGGTGGGGAAAGCGGAGAGAGCTTGGCTTTAAAGAAGAGCTGAAAAGGCAGGCGAAAGGGATGCTGGGTTGGGTCCCAAGTGCAGTGAAGACCGCAATGAATGAAGATGAGCTGCTCAGAGTGGCGGGGGTGGATGCGGTGGTCTTCATGCGCATCTTCCGAACAGCGTAAGTCCCTCATGCAGTTAGATATGTGGCCAGAGTCAAAGTTTGTTGCTGGCCGTCGTCCTTTGTGGTGCGCTGCCCTAGAGCTGCTAACTAGGCTGATGGGGTGGGTGGCACAAAGTCGAGATCCAAGCCACAGCAGTTGCTCAAGTTTCTTCCTATCCTCCTCTCAGAAACTAGCGTCAAAGATGGACAGCAATGCTGTATGAAAATGTTCTTCGTGCTTGGAGTCGATTCGAGTTGTGTCTTCCTGTGTCCTCCTGAAGGCAAGAGTTTCAAGTTCGTAATGTTGAACATTAGGATTTCATTGACAAGAAGCAGGTTGAACAATTGACAAGAAGCGAGTTTGACATCATTCATGCATGAAGGCTGTGCGTGATTCTCACTGCCCCTCTCCCATCGTGCAGTATACACCTATTTGCAGTTGCTTGCTTTGTGGGCTTGGTTGTTCTTCTCCCAATTAACGTCACCGACGAAGCTCTGGCAATAGATGCCCAGAGATACGGCAACTTTACGGTGGACGAGCTGGACACCCTCACGATTGCGAACGTTCAGAATGGATCTAAGAGGTACAGCCCACTTGCTCTCTGCTACACAGCTTCCCACAACCCCTGCAATCTGATGCTTGCTAGCACTGCCACCTCTCAGATGATAATTCATGTTGCCAAAGTCCATTGAAGTGCTCATGATTGGGACGCAAAGCTCTTGAACGGGAGTCTTGCTAAAGTGCGTCGTATTCCAGGCTGTGGGCCCACCTGATCGCTGTCTACTTCATCACGTTCTACACCTTTGCGCTGCTCTACCGCGAGTTTCGATCCATCGCGTATCTTCGCCAGAGGTAAGTGGGTTCCCGACAATTGATTGCCCCGAAGGCTGTTGTTTAATTACAGGGGCCCGAGCAGCTTTTGCGGACATGGCGAAGTGCTATTCTCACACCTTGGAACAGCCGCCAATGGGCACAAAGGGCCTGCTTGTAAGGATCGTTTGCGTGGTGTTAGGAACACCTGCCAGCCGTCTCTGAGCTCTTCAAGAGATGAACGAGCCGATTCTAGAAAATATGGGCTCCCAACAGGTCCTTCAAAGTCGTAATCATCATACTTGTGAACCTGACGGCACCGCACTCAAGGGGAAACTTTTGTTCACCATTATGACATGGGTGGCAGGGGGTGAAGGTCGTGGGGTGAAGGTGCGATTGTAAAAGCCTTTGAACCATTGAAAGCTGTGCTGAATTTTTTTTGTGTCGGGGCACACAGACAGATTGCGGCCGCACGCCCCGCTCCAGACCAATTCACGGTGCTGGTCATCCACGTGCCCCGGCGCCAGCACAAGAAGGACGGCGTCAGCCGGAGCGACATGATCGAGCGCTTCTTCAACAAGTACCACGCACTCACCACTCTTGTCAACCATCCAGTCTATCGGGTGAGCGACCTCTGGCCAGCCTCTCATACATTGTCAGAACCTCAAGTTAGAAGCTGCCGCTTCTCCTCTCCGATTTGTTAATTAGTCTGCAAACAGCTTCGGCCGAACGCTTTTTGATTGGCCGGCTCACGGGTTCCTTGTCCAGCTTTTGCACCAACCTATCTCTTACACTTTCATTGCAACGCCTTGTTGGACCGTCGTTTCCGAGTAAGGAGCCGCCTGTGGTGCAGTCCATCCACATCGTGCGCCCCAAAGCTGCACCCACGGTTGTGTGTGTTGGAAATCTTGACGGCTTATTTCCCCGGAATATGGGGCAAGCTTCCATTCTGGATTACTTTGGCGTAATGGGTCCTTCTTCGGTTGTTGATATACTGAAACTTCTTTGTTTGAAGGAGCTGCCTGATGGCGAGGAAGCCGAGCAGCCCATTACAAGGGCCGATGAATTCTTTCGAAAGGTCCACCGCCTGACGTACCACCTGTATCAACCAGTGTACCAGGTACGCTGTGTCATAACACTCAGCGTACACGTAGCTAGTCCTATGGATGCCGCTCAAGGCATAGCCTTGCAAGATTGAGCTGTCAGCGTCCGGTGCCCCTTGTCTATGAGCTCAAAAAAGTTCGTTACACTCTCGTTTGTTTCTGACTGGTGGTTTTTCGGTGGGTGTCGAGCTTTACCAAGTTTGGGTCTGAATTTACATTGGTTTGCAAGATACGCTTTCCAACAATTTGCTCTGACTGTGAGCGGCCATGTCCACGTCTCCCGTCTATTTGTCAGCTTCTTATGTGCTGTGACCCGACGTATTGCGCTGCCAATAACGGTCTTCTAGAGACTTCGTCGAGCTGATGATTAGCCTTGACTGCTTGTTCTCAGTCAGCTGTCAAGCGGCCGCTCCTCGCTCTGCATTGGCAACAATCTGTCATACCCCTGGCGTGCGTCACATTCGCCCTTTGGTCGTCAAACACACAGCCGCTCCCTGTACCTGGTCCTCTCGTCTCCCGATGCTCACGAATTTGCCAGAAGTGCCCTGGCCTCTGATTCCATATTTGCCACTTCGTTTCGTTACTGCCCCATTCTTCTTCCCCGCGGAAAACGACCGTCCACCTCCGAGATCACGGGTCCCCATGTATAGCCGCTCATCCTTTCCGCTCCCGCTTGACCCCACCCCCCCGCTTAAAAAAACTCACTCGAAAAGGTTTAAGACCAGTCCTGACCGTAAGTGGCGCGTTGTCGAATTGGGCGACTGACCCGCGAAGTGCGCTCCCCTCCCCCGCAGGCGTCCCACTTGGAGAAGCTCCATGCGAAGCGCAAGCAACTAGAGCGGCAGCTGTTCAAGGCGGGGGAGCTGCTGCGGCGCCACCCGGAGAAGCGGCCGACGATGCGGCTGGGCTGGAAGCGCTTCCTGGGGCTCGGCGAGAAAGTGGACACCATCGATTGGACGACGCAAGAGCTGACGAGGCTGACGGCCGAGGCACGTGCCGAGCGGAATAAGATCCTGGCGGAGAAGGACGACGCGCACGTCGTGCCTGCGGCGTTTGTGTCGTTTAAGAGCCGGTGGGGCGCGGCGGTTGCGGCGCAAACGCAGCAGGTAAGAGGAGAATGGCATCGACTGGAGCTCTTTCTTGAGACGCATATGGTAGGTTTGGGTGGTTCGTGTGCGCCTGTTCGAAGAGCACGTCGAGATTGGTTTATCACATATGGTGCATGGGTCTCCCTCTCCTTGTTAAGAAGCGGTGTTGTTCGCTGATACAATTGTGGAACCAATTCTTGCTGTGTGTGTCGCCAAGCCAGTCCGCGGCAGCCAAGGTTCCGCAGCAGTGGCAGACTTGGGTTGCCAAAAAATGTAAGAACACCTTGCCAATTCGCCTTTCCCGAAACTCCACTTTTCACGGAGGCTTCTCTCGTCACAAACTTGCCTTCACAACGCCCTACCTCTCTACGAAGTCAGAGTCTTCGTCGCAACCGACAATTTCTCACGCCCCGCCGTGTCCCTCGGTGCAGTCCCCCAACCCGCTGCTGTGGCAGACGCAGTGGGCCCCGGAGCCGCGCGACGTGTACTGGCCCAACCTGTCGATGCCGTACTGGGAGAACGGGACGCGCCGGCTGCTGGTCACCGCGGCGGTGTTCGCCATCGTGTTCTTCTACCTCATCCCCGTCACCTTCGTCCAGGGCCTCACCGAGCTGCGCACGCTCTCGCGCTGGGTGCCGGGGGCGCGCGCGCTCGCGTCCATGTGAGCGCCTTCGCTTTGTCCCCTTTTTGTCGTTCTCCATCCAATCGTTCCTTTGATACTTCATGTCAAGTTTCTCGGTCCATTGGATAACCAGCTCGTATCCAGGGCCCACAGGGAAAGGAAGCTTTAGGACGTACAAGGTATTTTGTGTCGGCCATTCATAGAAGGTAGCAACAGCTGACAATGGACGCGGCGGTCCAGGATATCTGGAGGCCGTGGATACGCATTTCTTCGCGCGACGGAAGGATAACTTGGCCTTTGGTTCAGCAAGCGCATAAGCATGGTCTCGAAGAGCCTCACGGCAGCACCTTTAGGTAGGTGCATTGGCTGGAGAGCTTCGTGAGGAGCGCAGCCTTGCTTCCGTAGTCTCGCATCAGTAGACACACCGTTCGAGCTGGATTCAGGACCTGAGTACCGGCGAGCCATTGCAGTGATCGTGGGCTGATTTACAGAGGCACTTTCTGATTCGTGAGCATACGGAAGAACTTGGGAGGGGCGAAGAATCGCTCCAGAAATCTGCGGATGTAAGGGCAACCTTCGAGCTGCATCCGTACGACCTCGAACATTAGCTGGCCGTTCCGCTATCCGCTCTCAGCCACCGTTCCGTCGTGTGTGCAGCCCGGTGGTGAGCCAGCTGATCACGGGGTACCTGCCGGCGCTGATTTTGACCATCTTCTTGGCGCTGATGCCGATGGTCATGATGCTGCTCTCCAAGATGGAGGGCCGCCTCTCGCTGTCCAGCCTCGACAAGGTCGCCTGCTCCAAAATGTGTGAGCGCACCAACTCCGTGGCCCGGAAAGCATCGTTTGTTGCAAACTTTGAAAAGCACTGGCCGTGTTTTGAGTGTCGTTGCTGGTCCGGTGGTGGATCGTTCAGCAGACTGCAGGCTGCTGTGCATGGGTCTGTGACGAGTGCAGCGCTTCGAGGAGCTTCTGGGTCGAGGATTTACGCTGTTTGAATACCGGGCAGTCCAAGGGCGAACAGCTACCCTTCAAGAAACATATTCTTCGTTCCTTCACTGTGGCCACAGTCGATGTAGAGCACTAAACAAGCGATTGGACGTTGACTGGACCAGGCCGTCGACCGAAGTCACCTGTTGCTTTTCTCTTACTTCACATGCTGCATACATCAGTCCGTGACTGATCTCAGGAACTTGACTGGTGTTCGGATCGACTAGCAGTGCTCCGATGTTCATTCTGCTTTCCTCACCGCGCAGTCTACTTTTTGGTGGTCAACGTCTTCTTCGGCACCGTGTTTGCGGGCTCCGTATTCAACAAGCTCAACTCGTTCATTGACCAGCCCAAGTCCATCCCCAACGCGCTCGCCGCAGCCATCCCGCAAAAGGTGCGCGCCGCCTGCCCTGCCGCTTGTTCGCATCTTTTTGTGTCCTCGCGAGATCCTTCTGCTCCTATAAGCCCGCGGTGTCAAGAAACGCACTGCTTCCCCGTTCGTGATGCCTTTTCTTGGCTCATCTGCAATGCGCTTTCGTATCCCCGATACAATCGCAACCCTTCCCGTAAAGAGCCTTGATTGGTGCTGCCATATGCCCCGAAAGTTCGAGCCCAAGGACATGGACAGAGACACGAACCTGCACGATGTCACCTATCCAGTAGCTCTTGACAAGATATATCCAGAACGTTCTTCTTCTCCACACTGCAGAGCACGTTCTTCATCACGTACATCGTGACGTCATGGGCGGGGTTCGCCCAGGAGGCCCTCCAGACGTTTTCCCTGGTGCGGTACTATTTGCAGTACGGCACCACCGCGCGCACCGAGACGGACCGCGAGCGCGCGCGCCCGCCGCCCACCATGCCCCTGCACTCCACCGCCCCCAGTGAGCCATCCGCCATACGCTATCCATTTTAGAAGTTGTCGCACGTAGGCAGTTCGCAACAAGCAATTGAATGCTCGGTCGCACCCGCAACGTGAGCCTCCTAGAAGGCGAGGTGGTCTATGTGCAGTCTCCTGTAAGGGATATAGCTTTGTGTGGGGGCCCGCTGGAAGCTCCCGTTATGCTTCATCCGCGGACGAATCTGAACCATTAGGAACATCGAAAGGACGTCGATGGGGAGACGTGCTAACGAAATCTCTGAGAATATTGACGTGTCCAAGGGAGGCGAGTTATCAGAATCAAAACAAACGGTTGCTCTTGCTTCGCATGTGACTGACGCTCGCTCAGCAGCGCTCAGAGCGGCGTTGTCACAAAGGTTTCCACTTTCCGCTTGGAGTTTGAGCGACGGCGCATCCTGATTTCGTTTCCGCTGCGCTGCAGATCTGCTGATCTTCGTGCTGCTGGGCCTGGTGTACTTTCCGGTGGCGCCCCTGCTGCTGCCCTTCCTGCTCTTTTACTTTCTGCTGGGCTTCGCGGTGTGGGCCAACGAACTGATCCACGTCTACGAGCCCGCCTACGAGAGCTACGGCCAGTGAGCTACTCCCCCACCGCTCACAATGCCAGTGGGCAGCTTCATGTCGGTTGCCAGCATCTTCTTTCTGCATTTGTCGATGGCTCGAGTACTTAGCCGCAAGAACGCAGCTTTTCCAATCGAACAGCGCATTCGCAGAACTCTGATAACGGTTATTTTCTCGCTCCCCTCTTTCTTATTAAGGAAGAGAAGCGTCACCCCTCGACACCGTTTTTACTCCTGCGAACAACGCATACTTTAAACTGAACTCCACCGAAATGGTCCCCGTTACTTCCCGCCCACTTTTACCCCCCAGCCAGAACTTTTTTATCCTGCCGTCTCGTCCTCATAATTGTTGGGGCTTTGCCTTACCGAATCTATTGGTAGTCCGTGCCTAACGTCCGTGCCTTCCCCCTCGGTGCAGGTTCTGGCCGTTCGTGCACAATCGGTTCATCGCGTCCCTGGTGATCATGCAGCTCATGATGGCTGGTTTGTTGGGCTTGAAGCGCGCCCCGATTGCCGCCCCGCTCATCGTGCCGCTCATCGTGCTCACGCTGCTCTTCCACAAGTTCTGCAACGACCGCTTCCTCGCAACCTTCAGCAACTACTCGCTCCAGGTGCGCACAGTTGAAGTCCTGAGAATTGTCAACAATCTGGATATTCTTAAGTTTGCTTTCGCACTGCTCATTGAAGATTTCGAGCTAGGGGTCCAATGACCAGTTTCCTTTCACCGGCGCTACCATTCGCCTGGCTGCCTTAGTTTTCCGTTTGCAACGTGGCTCGCACGCATTAGCGCGTATGCTCACAGACATCTCGAGGTATAGGCCGGTCGAGCATCCAACCCACGTCAGCGGTTTCCGTAGGTTTTGGTGAAAGCCTTCCTATCGCTACCACTTGAACGTTTTCCAACGGTTTACCCTTTTTTGAAAAATGCTGGACCAATTCAAGGAGGCAGGTGCTGAGCCAATCCGATACCAATCATGAATGTCTTTGGCTCAAGGTGCGACCTCCTGCGTCAAGGACGAAACTTTTGTGTCGTCTCAGAGAGGAGCCCCTTCAAACTAGATAGTGTTTCTGCAGAGCGCTGCGGACAAGGACCTGGCCGAGAGCGACGCCGAGTTCCACCAGGACCTGGCCTTCCTCCAGGACGCCTATTTACACCCCGGCCTCCGGTAAGCGGACCCTCCGGCTTTCTCAACCGACATGTTGGGCAACACCATTATACACCCGCTTGTGGAGGACGAGTGTCTGGGCTATAAGACACTCGCACCTTGTGCACGGTTGCGAACTGCGGCATATCGTATCCAGTATCACGCTTCGTCGCACGAAGAAAGACCGTTTCAAGTCTTGAATGTTAATCCGAAGCGCAGTTATGAAAGCAATTACAGGCTCGTAATTGCTCTCTTTTTCGTACCTTGATGCTTCTCTGTGCAGAGAGGAAGCGTTCGAAGATGCTGTGAACGACGTGGAAGAAGGTCGGCGGCGGGAGGTCGAAGACGCTTTCGGGGGCCCGAGCCGGTTCATCGAAGCCCCGGGGAACATGGGCGTGGCGGTGAAGCCCACGTTGCCGGACCCGTACGACATCCCCGAGCCCAATGAACGGCTGGACGCAGCGGACGGTTCGGACACGTCCTCGCTCAGACCGCCCGGCTCGCCGCAGAGCGAACACGGAACCGGGGACAGGATCGTGCCCGCGGGGAGGCCGCATTCGGTACACGAACAGCACGCAGCGCCGGGATCGGAGATTACGGAATGAAAGTGACGTGTCGAAAGACACGGGGTTTTGGCAAGCACCGTATATTTGCGCGCATGTACCATGTTTACGGCTAGCCTGAGTTTGTGTAGGTAGGTAAGCTCGCTGCTTTTGTTGACGTACTGAGGGATCATTGATGCTCGTTGCGGAATGACGCCGCCCGCGGCTTCTCTTGTCAGTAAAGGCATGCGTAGATCCAATAGGAACGGAATTCTAAATGTAATCTACGTCCCAAAATTGCGATTGCATGCAGCTTTTCAAGGAGCGAGACCATGAACGTCGGACTTGACAGTTTGCGTTGGCCTCAACAAGTGCGCAAGTCTCATGTAGGGACGCGGGGGCTGCATCAGAAGGATTTGGTGCACGGTTTAATGCCTAACAGTACGGGCGGTGCCGGAACTCATCCATTGAGCTAAGCTGGTGAAAGTAGGCCCTGCCACACCATCAGTACCATACACTAGACATGACCTTGCGTGGGTGCATCAGTGCACGACATTGACACCGTGACCCCGCAACCGTTCTCTTTTAAAGCTATACGTTCCAGATGCACTGGCATGCAAGTGCTCACAACGATCACATGTTGCAATGCACTGAGCCGCCTGGCACAATCTACCTGCACTGTTCGAACTGAAGAGACCATATCGCTGGGCAGCGCATGCCGGACTTCGACGTACCACCGCTCGAACCACATGCCGCCTGTCACTGCGCCACATGGTGATCGTCGTTACTGTACGTGTCAATGAGATGTTTGGAAGCATTCGATATCAGAAAGTCATACTGTCGTGCTTACCGTAAAATTGCATCGCACGGCGCGCAACGTGACGTCCAACTGGCAATTAGCTACCAAGCTTCTAGGCTCGAGCCGTATTGGAGCATGCTTAGCGGCATATCGATCGATGGGCCCGCGGCGCAACCCATACCGCAATGCCAGGTGATTGTGAGAGCTCGACATCTATCAGCACTAGCTCAGCATGAGGTTGAGTCCGGCGCAGTCTGCAGCTAGCTTGAACTAAAAGAGCCATTCGATCCTGTCGAATGGATCTGCTGTACAGTGATTGATCTTGTGAGCTGTCATCACCGTCTCATACGCATTCCACACATTCTACTTTCCGCGAACACCTTTTGATTGGTATATCTATCCTATACCGTCTGATCTATACAAAACATTTGCCGCCCACTTGATTCATCTCGTGAAAGCGTATTATTTCTAAGATACTCATATGAAACGCGTGCAAATCTGCTAGCTATTGCATTCTCTTTGTGTCCAACCGTTGACGTCTGTCGCCTGCCTTGATCTCTTCCATTTTCACATGCCACTTCTCGAACGTACCGTCACACTATTCTGCTGTCTCAATCCAACTGTTGCAAGCGTCTAATTCAGTGAAGCTCAGTCATATGCGCCCGTTTCTCAGCCTTCGTCTTTGTCGGCTGAATTCGAGCAGCACCATGTGCGGGGCCGTGAGCGCCGCGAGCCCCACGAAGATGACCTGAACACTGGCCATCTCGAACGCCGCCACGTGGGATGCCAAGATTGGGTGCTGCAAAAGGAACCTCGTCAGATGTTGCCCTTGAAAGGCACCTCCGTTGTCGCCAAACTCTCTTTCTTCGGAGAGCGCTGTACACCTCCAAAGAGCGCTTTGGTTTCGCGGAGAGCGCGCACATTACCCTCCCTCAGTAAAGGGGCCACTAATCAGACGAATCCAATGACAGTTGGCGTGGTAGCAAGAGAAGATAAGTTGCCGCAAAAACTGGACAAGGGATAAGCACGGCGTGAAACCAGATTGAAGGTCAGACTAACACGTGTGTCTCTGGTCAGCGTCCAGTATTCACCAAGTGCCCCCCTTCTTACCTTGAGCAGCCCCGCAAAGACGGCGAGCGCCACCAGCAGCGTGACACCTGTCACCATCCCGGCCGCCTTGCCGACGTAGCGCAGGTCCGCCAGGCTGGCGGGCGTGCTTTCGTCCGCGAAGAACGCGAGCGTATGGCGTAAAGAATGCAGCTGCACCGAAGCGGGAACTGTAATCAGCTGCGTGTGTCTCCAGAACTGTCATGAAACGAATCATTGGCTTCGTGTTTATCCAGCTCAACGAATGGACGGATGCAGCTGCACCAGAGTCGTCGGAGCAAAGTTCAGGATTCGGAGCTGCCCCAAAGCTGCCTCGGAGACCCCCTCGCGCCCAAGCTGTTCAAGTTCGAAGGCTGCGAAGGTGCGCCGCCATATTGCCCAATACTGGAAGCTGCCAAAGCGCTGTCACGGTGATAATAGGAACCCCGCCTTTTCCAGCTCGGCCGAGGCAGAAACCTCACCCTAGAGAACCACAAACACGACCAATACGTGGCCGTTAGGCGCATCTCGAAGTTGCTCGACAATCTGAAGTACTCAGCAGTCGATATTGGCCTAGTCGAAACCAGGCCTCACCGTACAGAACGCGAGGAAGAAGCCCAGGAGGGGGGGCGCCAGCGTGCACCCCAGCCCCAGCAGCGCCATCTCTAGCCCGGCCGCGAGCCGCGACTCTCGAGTCAGACCCGGACCAGACGTCAGCTGTCCTAGTGTCTTCGATGACGTCAGCTCTTCCCGGGGTACGAGCTGCTCTCGAGCTGGGGAGCCCAAATGTGTGTCGGTGCGCGGCCCTAGGTAGCAGTAGAGGCTTGTGGCGGCGACTGCCAGCGCGGTGGGCAAGGCGAGGAGGGTGCAGAGGTGGGACACGTGGCTGGCCGCGAATGGAGGAGCGAGGTGAGAGAAGAGGAGTGACGTCTGCAGGGAAGAGGGTCGTCAGCGACGGAAAGACGATGCCAAGCAGGGTCGTGATGAGACTAGGGCCACTCACTTCATTCGACTTGGCGTTTGACTCTCAATCAAGAACATGTATCGAGTGGCTGGTTGCCGAGCTATCCTTCAGCAAGTTCGGAGTCAACACGGAGATAAGGAGCACACAATAGCTGTCTGTACTTTGAAAAGTTGCCGGATTTGTGCAAGCAGATGCTTCACGCAGGGAGTCAAATACTTTGCAAAGCAGTAAAATCTTAGGATCTCCTTCCAAACTTCCGCCTTTTGGAAGCTCAAATGAGCTGACAAAACGACAAAGCACAGCTCCGACAATGCACGGCTCTTCGATTCGTGCTTTCGTATGCATCTTCGGACCTGGTTATCTACACCAATGAGCTTGATTCGAAGCTAGGTCGGCTTTTGAGGGAACCTGTATCGGACGAAGTCGAAGGTCAGAACTTTTCGGCAACACTGTATGACAAACACAGGCACCTTCGTCTCACCTCCTGTTTGTGCAAAATGAAGGGCAGCGTAATGGGTCCCAGGCCTCGGGCTGCCACCTCTACCCAGTGCCACTGCCCCGGCAACAAGCCTTGTGCATCGTTGGTGCCAAAGTGCCAGGCGCTCGCGGCCAGCAGGCCCGCCAGAGAAGCGCCCGGGAAGTGGCACCACAGGAACACAACTGGAAGGCAAACGGGCGCTGTTCAGTTTCTGATAGGGACAGGCATTTCCTCAGCTGATCATGCAAAGAAGTCATCCGCACTCTTTCGAGGAAAGGCTCAGCCTCGCAATGGCCGAAGGCTCGATTATGCACATCACAACGGATCGGTTCGAGAACCATGAAACACATAGGACTTGGAAACTTTCGGCCTTCAGAAACGAGCACGCCCATCTAACTCCAAACTCCAGCTTTCCTAGTACTCTACCAAAGCAATCCTGATTTAGACGGAAGCTCGACGGGAGCTTGAAAACCTTGAGTTGTGAGCTTCTCTTGACTGAAGCAGAACCCCTTATGGCATTGACATGAACAACACCGCAAACTCTTAGAGCAGCTAGCCAGCTGACAATCTCCCCTGCGTGCAGCATTAGGGCCTGGGACTCCTCACCTAAGGCGGTGCATGCAGAGTAGGCCGCCACAAAGAGGGCGAGGTTCCAGGGCTGTGGCCAGGGCCAGGCCTGCTCGCGCATCAGCCCCTGAGCTGTGACCAGGTCCAGAGCACCGTGGGGGACGCCCAAAATGGCAACTCCTAAAGCCAAAATTGTTAACTGCAAATCAAGGTGTAACACAGGGGGTTAGGACGAGTCAACCGGCAGTGTTATTTTTCAAAGGAATGCAGCTAAGCTGCAGAGAATGCTTGTGCCGGCTGTAATCTTTTGGCGTGCTATGAGTTAAGGTGAATCAGGAAGCCAAATTCAATAGATGCATCTCATGATACCTCAGAGACTTGCTGATCTTCTTGTAGGAGGAGAAGGCTCAAGCAAGCGGCCTCACCTGTACAGTTGGGGACACGATTGCTGATCCCGTCAAATAACTGATCAAGAGCAAACCCGTGACCCCAGCAAAAAACTTGGGGTGTATTCGCTGGGCTTTTCTGAGCAGTACCAGGGTCTCCTCAGTGCAAAATGTGCCTGGCTGCAACCCCCCCTCACGGTTGGCGCCTGCCGCTGCAGGCTCCAGATAAACTGCATGAGCAGCCGCCTTCGTGCAGCGCCGTTCTAATGTTCTCTGGTCACAATGTGCCGTTGCTAAGGACCGTAGAGCGGAGCCATCCCAGATTTGCTGTGCCTCTACTGTATTCACATTGCAAAGCTCTCTCTTTGTCGCCAACAAACCCCGCTTTTTCCAAGCCTGCCACTTGGAGATTTTGCAAACAGTGGAGCCTGCAAATGAGTCCCTTGCTTCCAGATTCTCCCTTCCGTTGACATCCTCACTGAGACTGGGACCGCTCTGCTCAGGAACCACATTCTGCGGGTGTGTGCGTCTTCTGCAACCGTGACTCTGAAAATTCCTTTTTGTGGCTCCCCCTCCATGTAAGGGCTTCACAGCAAAGGGTCTGACGCTGTGGCCCAATGTCTCCTTGTAAGCCCTGCTGACGATCGACTCTTCCTGGGCAACACGAATGCTGGGCGTCCCTAATCTAGTTCTATGCAAGCTGAAGCTCGCCATGCCGATCCGTGAGCATCACATGCTGGAGACTCGACTGCATAGCAATCTCTTTGTTTACCATCCCCTTACTGTCTTGTCTTTTAGTAAGGACGGAGCAAACGAAGAGGACATTACTTGATGTTCCATGGCGGACGTAGCCGGGGAAGGAGAGCAGAAAGGAGAGAACTCAATAATCTCTTCTCCAGAGAACAAACCAGAACTCTTTGACATCCCTTTGACGTTCAGATATCAACGAAAGCGCAGGCAGATCTTCCTCTCGCAACACTATTAGGTGGAACCTGCTGGATTGAGAAGGGTTCTTCCCAGTTGTCCCTGTGCGCAAGCCATTGGGTTATCGATCTTAATATGGCAATCTGCACTCAAGATGATGCCATTTGGCGCTTTTCGCCGCGGCGAAGCCTGACGAACCAGCCGCACCGTTGACTGCATGAGCGCCGCACAAAGCCTAGCGCAGTACTCTACACGGCCCTTGTGTACAATCGGGATTCCATGTACGCACTCGATTGCGTAGGTACGGTAGGAGTCGGGACAGGGTAGGCACCTAGGTACATCAAGGTTCAACTGCTCGGCCTGCGTGTACAAAGCACGGCGTACGATCATCAGCAGTGCAGTGTACAACTGCTTTTACCAACCTGAGCCGATTTCGATCTGAACCGTCGTCTCGGGATTGCATGCAGATTATGAACCGTCGATGCACCGGCGGAACCTCGGATCGACCACGTGGTCCGAGCTTTGAACGCCAGCTCCAGTGTCGGCCACTGCTCGAGCCAGGCTCCGACCAGTCGGCATGTTTTGTGGTAGGCAACGAGGCAACGGCCCCGCGGCCAGCCTGGTGAGATGTGCTGATGCTCATTGACAACTCGACAACTGGCACACAACGTCTCATTTGAAGCAGACAAATGTCTGTCTGCATTATGAAAGAAACGTGGAGCGCAGCAAAAGGCACAGCTCATCGTCAAATTTACTGCCTGATCATTCATTTATCAGTGCATCTGAGAAGCCGGCTCCTTCTCTAGCTGCCGAGTCCAGCAGCTTGCGCTTCCACTTCATGCAGCCTTTCTACCTAGCATGAAGGGCACTTTGTGATGGGTGCTCACTGCTGGGTAGACCCTGTGTCTTCGTTTCTTGTAACCGTAAGCTGCACGGTCGAATGCCTGCCCCCTGAAGTTGATGGCAGTGTATTAAACAGCAAAGTGTCCATGAGATCGGTGTAAAGCCTGCTTCAACTCAACGCATCTTTCAGCTGCTGAGGCGGCTGTCACGGTCTTTCAACGGACTTTCATTTACCTGCAGGGAGTCACCGACTTTTAGTGCGAGTTATCGGGCCAGAGCTGATCCAAGCTCGACCAGAAACTTTACCCGATTAGGTCTCGATTACCAGTGCCAGATCTGCATGCTTCAGTACACTGGCTGCCAGCAAAACTCTCCATCTTGACGACTGATCTAGTTTGATTTGACAGCACACTCTTACATAGCAACTCTCTGCAAAAAGCTTAAGTCGCCCACATCTGACAACCTTCCCCACATTCTCGCACTCGCCGCCAGTAGTACGTGACGGGCCAAGTCCAGAGCTAACGCGCAGCACCACCGTCACCATGGTGTACTCACACGCTGACGCCGCAGGGTGGACTCTGTACTGGATCACGTATGGCATCATGGCGGTAACCGCGCTCATCTTCTTTGCGATGTCACTACGGAGACCCATCCAGCAGCGCTCGCATCACTGTAAGCAAAGCTCCTCTATCACTCCCTGAATTTGTCGGATCCTTCCATGGTTTACTCAAAGACTGACTTTAGGGGCTCAGAAAGACTTACTGGCAGCATTGTTGTCAGGTCAAATGCATGTGTTGTCTCTGGAACGCCGGTAAAATACCCCAGGATGTGCAATTTGTAGGAGGGGGCAAGACGAAAAGGACCCCCAAGAGGATGAAGGTTCTCGGAAGGATCCTCATTCGAAGGTCTACATTGAAATAAGTGATGATTGTGGGCCTTCGTCATTGGACTCGTAGATTGAGTAGAATTGAGACGAAGTTTGGGCATGAAGAGACTTGGCTTTTGAAGCCTTGAAAACGATCAAGCTCAGGGTTTCTGAGCGGAGATTGTTGCGACTAATCAAAAACCTGTGTTGGATGCAGATACATCCTTCCTGATCGTTGCGATTGCTAGTCTTGCCTACTACGCCATGGTAAGAGACTTGAATCGTTGCATGAAACAAAAGTTTAGCGGAGACAGTCATTCGCAAATTAGAGGTTTGTTGTCTCACATTCTGAGTGGAAAGGGATTGTGGCAAGAAGCTTCGTCTTGAAGTTGTATCTAGGCAACCTGGCTGGCGCCTTCCTGGAGGCTTGATAGAGAGAGCAATGCATGCTCCTCTTCAGGCCAGCAAACTGTTCTAAAGTTTACCAAGGATCGCAGTTGAATCCGATCCTGTGGACTGCAAGCAAAGCGAAACTGACGTACTGTTGTCAGTCTGTCCAAGCCTCGCCTTAGAACTCCAATCTCGTTTCGAATTCACAAGCTGTAGTGCGCGGGAGATTCAGTGGGGCCTTCAGAGTTCAAAGCGAGGTTGCAAGGACTAGACTCAAGCATAGTCATTGGCCAAGATAATGACGCAGCGAGCTCAAGCCGAGTCTACACTAAGAGCAACCTTCGCTTTTTCGCCGGCCGGCTCGCTAATCCAACTCGACGCCCATGCTTTCTGCAGGCTTCACAAGGCGGCAACACCAGGATCCGCGTTTACCAAGGACCGGCTGATTCATACCGTCAGATCTTCTGGGCGCGCTACGTGGACTGGTTCTTCACGACGCCGCTGCTCCTGCTGGACCTCGTTCTGCTGTCCAACCTGTCCAAGCTCCGAATCGCCGCCATCATGGTTGCCGACATCTTCATGATCCTGACCGGGTTGTTTGGCGCCGTGGAGGCGCGCAGCAACAAGTGGGGCTGGTTCGTCTTCGGCTGCATTTTCATGCTCTACATCTTCTACGAGCTGCTGGTCAACGTCCGGAAGGGAGCGTATGCTCGTGGCGGCCAGCACGGTGGGTGTGCGACCAAGTCCTTATCTTCGGCAGGACGTTTATCTGACTGCCTGGTTCGATGGTTCACGTTTCTTACCACAGTGCCCGGTACAGTTGGGCCACTGTCCTCCAATATCTCAACCTGCTTGGACCAGAAATGGAAGAACGATATCAGGCGCCGGAGAGTGGGTCGACTTTTTCGCTTCAAAAGCTTCTGGAACGAACGCGTTCTGCACTAGCATGAAGGGGATGACGGGGGTCAGTATCAGAGCCAAGTCGTTCGAGGGATCTTCAATGCAGTGCGTCACACCGAAATTGGTTTGCTGTGCAGGCATGCTGTACAGCGTCCTTCTGGTGTGGCTGCTCATCCTGTGGGTTCAATACCCCGTTGTATGGGGCCTGGCAGAGGGCTCCAGCACCGTATCCTCCGACACTGAGGTAAGCGATCCACACAGCGACTACTGCCGAAGCACTTGCCAGCGTTCTAATAAATACGGACAGCACTTGCCTCTTGCTCGAGCGTCTCCTAGGATGTTGTTTCGATGTTGATTCACGGAGAACCGTTTGCTTTCTCTTCTGACGGGATGGATTTCATTCACGTACTCAGATCGCGGGCCCCAGTCTCAGAAAGATGGATCCTTTCCGAGCAACGCGTTGCCAGGACTTTTCCAAGTCGGTTTAGCCAAGCCACAACTGTAGACAAGCGTTTTTTCGTACCCCATTTTGCAGATTGCTTGGTACGCCGCTCTCGACATCTGCGCCAAGTGCGTCTTCGGCTTCATCCTTCTCCTGGGCATCGAGTCTATCGACCGCAAGAGAGCCGCCACGGGCTCGTCCAACAAACCGCCGATGCCAGCTGGCACGACCAGGTACGCTTGCAGTAGAGAGTTTGACCATATGGTGGCCGTCCTCTTTCCCTAAGTGTCCTTTATTGCTTCTTAGATTTGGCGGGGAATGTGCCGGCAGAATAAAAGCGGCCCTGAAGCTTTGCGTTAAGCTGCTTCACGTCAAATTCTTCATTGCATCAAACCACCTGATCAACCAACCGAACCTTCAACGCTTCACCTCCCCGCACGTGAATTTTCTATGAGGGCGTCGACGCCTGATTCCTGGGCGCAAGTAAGAGGGCTTGTAAGCGCATTGTATGCTTCCATTTGTTGTCGAGAGCTGTGTTTCCAGTGTACCCTCGTAAGAATTGCGGCTACAGAGTCTCGGGTGTCTATGTTCGGATCGGCAAAGACAAGTGAGTCGACTGTTCTCCTGCTGAAGCTGTCGGCTGGTCGCCTGTGCCTTGCAGGACGGGAGCATCTGCGGCGCCCGCCGCGGCCGCCCCTGAGGTTGTCCGCGACGTTGTCTAAATTAAGGCAGTCAGCTTCTGCAGTTGCCAACTTATTGAACCCCATCGGCCCTATGGAAAGTTCACCTAGCTAGTGTACAGGAAGACAGTTTAGATCGCGGTCACCAAAACAGCGTGCTTTTGGTTGATGTAAAGTATATTGGTAGGTCATGCGAATTACCCCTCTGGACAATTTAGGAAAGTATACTTTTAAAAGGGGGATGTAGACGACAAACTTTTTTACATGTTAGGTGCACGCTATTCAGATTGGCGGCCGCCAAGCCCCCGCCGAGTGAAAACAACGGCCTTATGGAGTTCGATTGCGATATTACTAACACTTTAAATAAGGCGGTTCATGACCATTTCTTAGCTGAACGTCCCAATATCCCAATTGTCTTCAGGCCAGTGCGCAATGCATGGCATGACGTACAGCTCTATATTGCGAGAAATTATCAATAAAGGAAAGAATCCGACCACCTCAGGGTATAAATATTCATGCTGAGTGGCATTGAATTGACGAAGTAAAACTTGGATGAAACACGCCCATGAATGTGCTATAGGCGAAATATGTAGGTAGCAGATGTTATGGCGGCCGCCATGGCTGGCCGGATTTGTATGCTCCAATGGCTGCATCGGGGATCGAGCTGGCAACAGAAGGATATAGTATGCATCTCCGGGAATCTTCTATACCATGATGAATTCACCGATGGGCTGCGCCGGAATGTCAAGTTCAATCAAGCATATTGTTCACTATGATTTCGATGATCGAGTTCGCGACTCATGAACTCAACGTTATAAAAGATGTGCATGACTTTTGAGATAACTAAAAAGTGAAACAGGCGTGTCGATCAGGCCGGCGACATATACACCAGAGGACCGCAATAGCTAGTAGGTTGAAAGGATCAACTGCAAAGCCGTTGGCCATGTGCATGCGCATGCATGCTAGCTTAATTAAGGGACTTCATTAAACTTGGCGCTGATAAGCACGAAGTTCAAGTATACATAAGGTCTGACAAAAAAGCACACGAATGCCATGATGCGCCAAGCAAGCACTCGAAAGGAGCTTCACTCAATGTTACCCCATTGTTTCCAAACACCATTCTTCTTAACCCCTCGATCAATTGCTGCTCCTACAAATAAGGCAAGCCAAAGCATCGACTGAGGTGTTTGCCAACTATTGTATTGATTGATGTAGCAACCCAACACTGGGCTTTGAGTCACGCTGTGGTTGCCATCCAATTGCAATTCTTGGACAATGACATTAAATCGTGAGTCAGCTTGACTCATACAAACCCTTGACGCGACCTGATCTCGACTTAGAGCGCTTCCGGCTTCATTTACATGCTTGATGGCGACCTTCGCCCTGCAAGCAGGGTACCTAGATTATTCCCCCAGCCCATTACCCCTTCCCTCATTTGCACACTCCTCACAGCAAACTGTAACCATACCGTTTTGTCACTTGCTTCGCAGCCGCCATCAAAGCGGCTGTCGCTCCCCCTACCGCCCCCGCAATCACCGCCGTTCGAGGGCCTGCCGCAGCCTTATACAATGTGCCCGTTGCAAGCCCTGCCGCAATCTGGTTTAGCATATCATCCTCTCCCCGGTAGTGGTTTATCAAACTCTCGCTGCCGGCGTAAAGCAAACCCAGGATGCCTAACATGTTTCCCGCTTGCCGACCTCGGTGGCCAGAGGCGTTGAGTATCCGGTTGAGGCGCAGCTTCGTTGTGTCGGTAGCTTCTGTTCCCCGCACGCCTTCCACCAGCCCCCTGCCACCACCAACAACGGCACCTGCAGTGAAAATTCTGAACATTGAGCAGTCTGATTCACAATTTAAAAGCAGCAGCTCCCGCTTCGTGACCACTCAAGGTGCGGTTTGATCGTACCATGTTAACTTGAAAAGTGGGCACAACACTATTCTGTACGGACTCCGAAGAATCCACTCTAAGAGCGTCCAACGCTTTGTGAGCCTGTGCCCAAACAAGGTTTACTGGATGCGGGCTCATTCCAATGCTTTCAAGTAATCTTCCCAATCGATCTCAAAACTCTTCGTCTGCCCCATATGTGTCATGACAGCTTAAAAAGTATGTCAAGCAGGACAGTCAGAGATGGATGCCTGAAACCGCGCTTTATTCCAAAGCAAAACATGTTTCAGAATCACAAAACCACGCAAAACTGAAGGCAGTGCAAAGGAGTAACTACTCAATGCCCCAATACCGACGTCCAGACCAACGCCTTGGGCAGCAGGGCCAAAAACTACACGATCAACTTGCTTTCACAAACAGTGGCGTCCGATGCATCAAGAAGAGAAGAATCATAACGGACGCTTTACTCTTAAACTCTACAAGATACAATGCTGAAACGGAAACACAGTAGTATGTCAATTGGGGCTCTCAGAAGATGCGAACCACAGCCATAAACTGGACACCAGAGCCCCGTCTCGCTTTTTCAGACTTCCATTCGTAGAGTTAGACACCCATCGGCAATGTGACCAAAAAACTCAACCCTCCGGGCACTGAATCAGAGACAAAGCGGCCATCAACAATCAGACTGACGATGTGGCGCCACTGCCCCGTTGTAAGGACTGCATACAAGGTGTTTTTGCGCATCCTCCTTTGAGAAACTGAACTTTAGCTGCTTTCGCGCAGACACATAGACACCAAAGAATCACGGAGCCAATAGCTGCCAGACTGCTAGAATTGGAGAGCACACAAATGTGAAATGATAGACACAAAGGTCCCTGTTAGACGAAAGCATTAGGCAAAAAGACCTCTTTAACATTGCACACCGATGTCCAGCATGGCCTCTCCTCTTTTCAGGATACAACCAAATCAGCGCGATATTCTCGATCGATGCATACGAAGGTCCACTCCAACCCAGAAACAGAATATTCGCCGTCCAACGATGCCCAATGAACTTTCTGAGCAACTTTTGCCTACCACCCAACATCGTTTCAGAAGCTTTAGCTCTGATCTGACATCAAGGCTGTGGTAAAAAAGCTGCGACCCACAGATGCGGCCAGAGGATCTCTGAACACCATTACCAAGGAATTGAAAAACAATTGAGCTGAAGGCGGTCCGCAAACAGATTCAGCCACCCTCTCAACGACAAAAGAACCTTGCAAAAGCGAGCACAGATTGATGATGAACCAGGCACTCCAAGAAAACGTCTCGAACCTCAAATTTCCGCGACCAGAATCCCAACATCTATAAATGATGAGAAGTTTTTCCGCCTAGATCAACCAAACAGGTGCATATTGTGCTGGCCGTGCAGACCGACTCTTTAATAAGAGTACACCTAAGCCGAGCATGGTTTACCGGGCCCTGCAGCTAAACAGATCTCGTATTTAGCCAGCAAAGCATGCAGATTTTACCAGCAAGATAACCACCCCCCGTCCAGTATGTCAAGTTGTCGCTCCATGACCTCCTTTGTACCGCTGCTTCCTCTGTGAACAGAAACTCTGGTGCATCAGGGAGTCTGTAAAGATTACCAACACTCTTGCCGTCTAAAGCTCCATGCAGATCTGCGTATGGATTATACAGCCGCCCACCCCCCGAAGTGCTCTCCTGAAAATCCTCCCCAACCTTTGTCGTCATCACTAATCTCTCAAACCCTCAATTGAAGCTTCTAGCAGCACAGCAGCAAGAGTTGCTCTCCCTGACAGTGCTAACAATGGGCTCCCAAGATTTTCCTATCTCTCTCCAAAAATAAAGCTTTGGCCTTCCGCTGCTTGGACGTGAGGGCGCCCTTGCGAAGAATAGCTCATATGCCAATGGCGAAGCTTAGGTAGGTACCGTAGGTTAAATATGGTAGCGCACCCTGCGACAGTTCTGGGATTACCGGTAGCTTCTGCTGTTCTCTTTTCCTGTTCACTGGCTGAGGCTGCCGCTGAGGTACGAACCCTGGTGAAGTTTTCTTCTGGTCATATCTGGGCTGTCTGACAGCATAAGCGGATGGAAATTCCATGTTCATGTAAGTCGAATGCGCATCTGTGAAACGTCCGATAGAGAGAGTAGGTAGGCTAATCGTCGATCGACCATCCAGAGTGTATAAGCCCATGGTCCTGGAGCTATATAGGGTTATATACGGTATAAGCCGTTTACCACTGGACTGTGGACAGACTGACTCAAAAGGAGTCAAAACGAGTTGAGCAGACTATTAGTAATAGGCTATTAGTATTGAGCTTGGATCAGGGGCACCAAGCGGAAACAGCAATGGCGCTGGCAAGGCGAGCAGCCTCATGTGGCCTCTGTGGCCGCGGTGCTCTTCTGGGTCAGCATTATGAAGCCTCCGGCAGCAATCAGCAGCAGCAACAACCACGTCTTGCGCGCTTTTCAGACTCATTAAGGGGCAAAGAAAAGTCTGGCAAGATACGGGTACACGCTGGTGAATCAGTAAGCCGCACATGGGCACAGTCGAACATCCGGGCCACTCTAGCTCAGGATAGGCCTACAACCGCAGCGTCTGATGGTTCGGCCCTTTTAGAAAAGTTTGCAGCACCCAAGGGGCAGGCAGCGGCCTCCCCCCCTAGCGTCCCTGTCACAGCAAAGAAGCCGCCATGGCTGAGGCAAAGGGCACCGCAGGGGGAGAAGTTCGAGGAGCTGAAGGATTCTCTCCGCTCTCTCAAGCTTAATACAGTAAGTTTGGAATGGTGATCCTCCATTTCACTTTATGCAGAGATCTGATGGGGGGTGGTTCGACGTGTAGCTTCATGGATCATATGATGGAAGATGTAGCGCTACTTGGTCACTTTTCTGAGATCAGCTTATAAAAGATTTGCTGTGCCAGATAGTGAATCATCTACTTCCCCTCAACAGGATGGGGCCTTTCCAAAAACAATTCTTCCTCATCGGGGATCCTTTTCCTGTATGTCGTTGTCACATTTCTTTCCTGATGTGTATGTCCTAGTCAGGCCCCCTCAATAGCGCTTTCCAAGAAGAACAGCTTGTTTCAGTTTTCTCTTCTGCCCTCTCTGACTTTCATCGAAAATGTATCACGCGTATCATCTTGTAGAGCAGACCTCGCGGCCCGTACGGAAGCACTGCAAATTGGTCAGCCAGTAATCTCCAATCGAGATCCTTTAAGTCTCGCGCTCCAGCCCCCACATTTGTCACCTGGAAGTCCATCAAGAAGTGTTGTGAATAATCTTGAAACAGTTTCCTGGCAATCAACGATGGGGTAGAGCAGACTGACGAGTTATGATTGGTCAGGTGTGTGAGGAGGCGCAGTGCCCCAACATTGGGGAGTGCTGGAACGGGGGCGGCGGCGCCGGCGGCGACTCGAAGCACCACAAGGCGACTGCCACCATCATGCTGCTGGGGGACACCTGCACTAGGGGCTGCAGGTTCTGCGCTGTCAACACCGCCAGGATCCCCCCACCCCCAGATCCAATGGAGCCGGAGAACACCGCAAGAGCGATCGCGGAGTGGGGGTGAGCTTGAGTCTTGTTTCTTCTTGCCAAGGTGCTCGTAAGACAAGCTTGTGACTGGTTGCTATTCTCCTGCAGTACGAAGTTCTGTTGTTTTTGGGCTTTGCTTTCAAGTTCAGTGGATGATACTGATTTGCCTGAACAGTGAGTGTGTGTATGCAGGAGTCTTGTTAAGTCCTTGAAGATGCTGAATGAATACGCCTGTCAGGGTAATGGCGTCTTAATCATCCAAGCTTTCTAATGAATACCAGGGACACACAAAACTTTTTCAAATGATCTGCGCTGTATAGTAACTTTCAAAGGACATTTGCGCAGGGTGGGCTATGTTGTGCTAACGAGCGTTGACCGAGACGATCTTCCAGATGGGGGCAGCGAGCACTTTGCGCGGACAGTACGCACACTGAAGGTGAGTCAGAAAGTCTGTGATGAGAGTTGACACAGTGAAAGAGTGACTGTGACAGCCCATGGGAATCATCATGGACAGTCGGCACTACAGCTAATTTGCAACCCTTTTCAAAGAGGGTTGTATCTTCCAACAACAGCGCATTGCGATCCTTTTCATAGAGTGTTGTGATTTCAAACAACGGCGAATCTGCGATCCTTTTCGTACAGTCTTGTGTCTCTTTCACGAAGTGTCGCGTATTCCTGGGTGCAGAGCATCACATCTTTGGTGCCTGCTTGAGCAATCTAAGCAACGCTTCAAGATCGTGGCCAAACCACTGGCATCACCTTGCCAATTCAACAGCATGACGTGCCTCGCACGCAAGCTACGTTATGTTACCAAGGCAGTGATGTCCTCTGACGTCATTACTACGGGCTATCTACAGGCTCTCGCTCCCGAGATCTTGGTGGAGTGCCTGACGCCTGACTTCCGAGGGGACTGGGAGGCAGTGCGGCACCTCGCTGTCTCGGGCCTGGACGTCTTTGCCCACAACATTGAGACAGTGAAGCGGCTGCAACGCATCGTCCGGGATCCGAGAGCAACGTAAGCCCCTGGATGTCTCAGCAGCTTTCCGTCGACACGCTTGAGCTTTTGAGCTTCATATCAAGATCTTCTGGTAGGATGCGACTGAGGGAGGTCAATCAATGGAACTTCGACTTCCACTTACAAGTACGACCTTCCCAGGGCCTCTTGTAACTGCATTCGCCTTTACAGGGAATGGCCTGTAAACTTACGGTGCTTCATGAACAGCACATGAAGCTGTTCAAAACAGCTTGCTGGTTCAATCCTCGATGTCTGTGCTAACTGTCTCCTCATCAAACTGGCAGAACTGGGGCAAAAGAGCCACGGCTACCGCTGCTTGAAAGCTGTGTCGAATCTACGGCAGCCTCGTCGCAGTACATTGCGCTGGCCTATTCTCTTCATCGCACAAGAATCTTACAGATTTTCCTTGGAGCAGATGCCCAGTCCTTTCGCTATTGTTGTTCCCAGGTACGATCAGTCGATGGAGGTGCTCCGGGTGGCCAAAGGGTCCAAAGCCGGCCTTGTGACCAAGAGCAGCATTATGCTCGGCCTCGGGGAGAAGGACGACGAAGTGTTGCAGACCATGAAAGACCTGCGGGATGCTGGGGTGGATATTCTCACCTTTGGGCAGTACCTGCAGGTGAGGCGGTGTGAATGGACGCTGTGTTTTATTGATACCTTCCGTGCTCTGAACTTGGGTGACAACGTCAAGTGATTTCTGCTCCTCTGTTGAAAGGGGTATCGCAAGGCCGTGGCGCTTTTGCAGCGGGGGAAGATCGGTCGAATGAGCACCGACATCTTCTGTCGTGGCATCGTGGTTGGAGGGGGTTGCTTTGCAGGCAGAGAGCGTATCTTAGAATGCCACTATGCAAGTAGAGTCCGTAAAGTCCGACTACCTATCTCAGCAAAAGCAAAGCGACGTGTTTGTGGTTTGCAAGCCACGAGATGCAATTGTCTGACACTGGCTCGACAAATCCTTGACCTTCAATCGGGATGATAGGCAGACGGAATGACAAAACCGTTGTCTCTTCGCACAAAGTCTGTGCAACGCGTTGCTTTCTCTGTTGCAACGGCTTTCAGAAGGGCTGTTGAGTGGGTTCGATGACCCTCACATTCTTGTCTCATTCAGCCAACGCCGCTGCACCTGACGGTCAAGGAGTACGTCACCCCCGAAAAGTTCGACCATTGGCGCGTTGTTGGAGAGAAACTTGGATTCCGATATGTTGCGAGCGGTCCTCTGGTACGCCGTCAACTTCACTGCCTTCACGTCGCTGCTTACTTATCTAATCAGAAGTAACTTTTGCTGTGGCCCTCGCATTTAAGACTTGTGGGCCCTTCTTGAGTGAAATCCCTCTCGTTGCAAACCCGATTTTGGAGCGACACACAGCACCTTGCAACCCAGTTTACAGCAATGCAGAGTCAACTCGTGCTAAAGGGTTGACGCGGAAGCATACGGGTCAGCAAACACTTTGGGACGCCTTCTCAGAAGGTTTATATGCGTAGGCGGACAGTTGCTTTGGGAACACAGGGCGCAGGCCTTGGGTAACAGCAAGGAAAGGCCTCTACCGAATGTTGCGTACTCCTGTAAAAGATTTCGCCTCGTTCTGCAGGTCCGCTCGTCTTACAGGGCGGGCGAATTCTTCGTCGAGAGCATGATCAAAGAAGACAGGCAGAAGGCGGAAGCTGTGTAGGGCTGAGTTAAGCTTGAGGTAACATGTCTGCCTTTGAGAATCACACACGAAGATTAGGCATGAAGTTGTCACTAGCTGCGACACAAAAGGGTCAAATAGCAACACTTGGGCGCCTCTGCGGTAATCATCGTCAATCAGCCCGTGCCAGAGAGAGCGGACCCCCTGTACAGCTGAATCTACTTTTGCAGTTGCAGAACAGTCGATGAATTGAGAGGCCTTAGTCTAGGTTCATGTAAGGAGCGGCCAGATCCCTCAGCACGTCTTGACCTAGTCGGGTTTGACTCTGGCTGCAGGGGCCGCATCCATTCAGTTTCACGAGTGCCGGGTGTTGTTTTCACCTTACCCACTCGTTCGCTGTGGATCTTAGTGCGTCTGAGATATCAACATCGAAAAGGCACTCAGATCATGATCAATCGAAATCGTCATGTCCGACGGTGCGCATGCTGCATGCCTGCAGTGTGCTGGAGCTGCATGCCCATATAGACTGCCAGCGAAATCGCAAACATGCATATTATTGAATCAAGTCAACTGTTGCACATGCACATGCGCGATCATGGCGTCGGAAACAATTTCGCATCCGACAGGCACTGATTTGGCATATATGAATGTTGGCACATTCGTAGGTTGCCTACAAAAGACCGCTGCGCGCATAACCAGCTTGAAGTCCCAACACATGGCTGCCACATGTGCCACCTCATGTCACTCACTGCGCACTTGCGACCACTTCGATGGTCACCACTGGTTAGAGCTGCGCCGCCGGCCTGCCCTTGAACGAATCCAATCGCGCCTCGACGATTGCCAAGATATGCCGAGAAGGCCATCTGCCAAGATGTTCCAGGACCCTGATATGAGCAATTGACATCAACCCCCGTCCTTGTGGCGACGGCAATGATCGACTACCATGAAATTTGAACACTCTGGAGGCCTTCACGACCTTGCAGACCTCTGACTATGGCGCTAGCGTCGCAACCCTGGCAGTACAGGTTGCCACGTATTTCTAAAACTCCGATTCTCCCTCTCCGATTGCGTTTGTCGACTAGACTCCCTACAGGCGCTGCAGCGGCTGGATGCCCAGCAGCTTGAACCCTTGTTGCATCACCTCCGCAGTCACAGCGCACAACAGCAGCCGGCTCGACTCCTCGGGCGAGTTCACCACCTGCCAATAAGGAAAATGGTCAGCTCACGGGACAACGTCACACCCGCTTCTGGGGGCTCTTGACTAGAGCGGCATGTGATCAATCAAACCGTCAATATAGGCATTTGAAAACTGCTTCTACTGAGGTGCTCTGGTGCTGCAAAATCGTGAGGGCCCAGCCAGCTTAGCACGGCGCCGTTATGCGCCCGCTTTCTCCTGACAGGATTGCCAAGAGACAGCCATGACGGGGGGGGGGCTCGCGTTATCTTGAGGATTGTTGCGGGGCGCTCACCCGGCACTCGGCGTAGAACTCGTTGAACTTTTCGCTGAGGTCGTACAGGAACTCGCAGACGCCGTTGGGGCTCAGCTCGATGATGGCTTGCTCCACCACCTGGAGACGACCGTGCCAAGAGCGGTGTCAACATAAGCGAACGTGCTTAAAAATGCACGGAACTGACACTCGGTGCGTGCCAATCTCGTTCAATCGGCATGCGCTCCCGTTGAGTATGGAAGCGAAGCAGCAAGAGACGCAACAAGTAGCTTCAGCAGGAACAACCAGTAGCAACAAGTTGCAACAAGTTACCCGCTTCATAATTACTCCTTGGGATAGACAGCTTGCTATACGGAGCGAAAGCATAAATTGCGTGGACGATTTCGCCCTAAAAGTCAAGAAAGCTGAAGACAATCCATTACAACGCCCAACCTGTGCTTAGCACTCAGCATCGGCTCAACTTGGAGAGACTAGTGGGTATAAGCGGCCTCACCTCGGAGAAGCGCAGCAGATGCAGCCCAAGTTGTAGCTCCTTCTCGTGGGCCAATTCGATGCGCGCGGTCTGAACAGGAAGCAGCATTTCAGAACGCGTCAGCGCGATCAGCATTCCGGTCTCGTCGCAAAATTTACCACGGATATCGAACAGGGTGCGGGACGTCTCGCGTAGTATCGTCGTGCAAAGGCCGTGACGTCATCTGTTTGTCCGAAGTGATGGAGGGTTATTCAAACCTCCAAAGCGGACACCCAACTTCGCGCGCTCGCAGGACGAGATCATCTAGCGAACCTTATGCTGCCTGCCAGTAAGTGTTTTTTTAAAACCCCTTTCCCTCGACTCGACCAGATTCCAGGAGTAAATTCGACTTGCCTGTTTCAGGTCGTCGATGCTCTTGCCGGACTTTCGGATGATGGCAAAGATTCGGGCGAGCGCGTAAAGAAGGTAGACGGCAGTGTTCCCCTGCAAACAAAGATGAGGGATGTGTAAGGAGGATCGAATCTGCTTCAGACCAACTGTGCTGAGCAGAGATCTTGTAAGTCAGCCGAAGAAAGCTTTCGCTTCGTGTGGAGGCAAAGGTAAATATTCACGGAAACGTGCAAGCGGGGAGGGTTGTGACTGTACCTTCAACTCGAGCATGCGGTCAAACGAGAAGGTGTAGTTGGTCAACCGGTTTTGCTGCAAATCAGCGTACCTGCAGGCACGGGAGTAATCTTAGTTAAGAACCGGAGAAAGAAGACCGTTTTTTTGCAAGGTGCAAGTCCCTCTCAACCGGCGGAAGCGAAAGCAGGCATAATCCCTAAACCTGAGTACCTTGAAACGTGAGCTTTTGTCAAGCAAGAACTAAGGGCCGCCCTAGCCATCGGGATCGGCAATCTTGTTTGAAAAGCAAAGCTCAAGACGGGTGACTGTCACAACCGGCACCGAGTTGTGGGACGCACAAAGTGTACCAGAGGCTCCGTGAGAGCACGTGTGCTGACTCACTTGACGGCTCCGTACCCCACGGCGGCTGCAGCATGCTCCGTCTCCTCTGCTCCGAAGTCCTCTTCTCGCCCTGTGGAAACCAAGGAAGGTCAGCGCTGCCGATTCAGCATGATTAGAACGATGACGCAAGGAAGATGTGGTCTGTGCCTCGACACGCTCGAACGTCCTGCCGCTTATGTTCAGAAAGCTTTTTCCGGTTAAATGCACCCTGCCCGGCAACAATGTCAGTGCCAGGTACTTTGGCGGCTGTTTGCATGGCACAGTATGTCGATCGACGGACTTGTTGCAGAAACAGCCCCAGAAGGCAACAATCACAAATCTCTTCCGACGTGGCCCGCAAGCTGTCTGCAAACCATTTTTCCAGCAAATATCCCCATACCATCCACCTCGAAGATCCATGAAAAATCACCTCATAAGAGAGCAGAAAGCTTTCCAAAAACTCAGCCCGTTTCGACCATTTTGTGTTTGACGTGCAACACACCTTGATGCAACACACAGTTGCCTGCCAGGCGAGCTCAGCGGAATCTCAAAACGTCAAGTTCCTCTTGATAGTCTGCAATACACTCCGTTTCTCACCCCGTTCGACCATTTGCTGTTTGCAGCGCAGCTTGGCCTCGTCCAGCAGGTCCACGAGGCGCACCACCTCAGAGCTGCGCGTGCGGAAGCGCTTCCCGTCGTCGCCAAGCACCAGGCCGAAGCCCACGTGGTCGACACGTGGCGTGGGCGGGAGCGCGTCCTTGTCCTTGGACTCCTCGGGGATCCAGCCCGCCATCTGGGCGGCCTGCGATTTGGAAGGAGAGAGAGGTTTCGGGGCCAGAAAGGCTTTCGAAAACGCTTTTGTCATTACATACTTCAAGAACTAAATAGGACTACTAGAATCGAGAAATTGCTCTCCCCCGGGAATGGGGTAAGGTGGCCTGGTATATTCCAGGACCGTAGCTTGATCAGTACTGACAACGCAGTGAATTTCTGTCGCCTTAGCATCTGGCTACGAAACTCACGGCCGATCTAGCCGAGGAACGCTGATGTCGTCTTTCGATCCGGATAACTAACGCTACTTCGAATCAGCTTCTCGTCAGCTCGTTTCAGCTACGCTACTCATGTCAACGCTGTCAGCGTTTCATTTGCTGCCCCTGATCGGTCCCTCTGGACATACCCTGCAGCCTGATCCAAACGAGCCTCGCTATCCGGACTCTCAAAAAGGCGGTTGCCCACCTTGAAGACGCTCTTGAAGTGGTTGCTCTGCCCGACGTCCGTAACATAAATGACCCAGTCCGCCTTCTCCTCGTTCAGTCTGTACCACATCGCGGTCATGTCCGTCGACGCATAATTGTACCCGCCGTCACTTTTCCGCACCATAAGCGGGTCCTTCTGGCCCGGGAAGAAGATACACGTGGCGCCGTCGCTGATGGTCGTCAGGCCCTTGTCGTCCAGCATCTTGAGCACGGCCGGGATGTGCGGGTTGTAGAAGCTCTCGCCCCGCTCCTCTAGTTTCACATCCAGCCGCTGGTACACCGCCTCGAACTCCTTGCGGCTGATGTCGCAGATCTTCTCCCAGGCCTTGCGGTGAACGGGGTCGCCGCTCTGCAACCAGAGAGAAGGGTGTGACGCCCAAAAGAGCCAAGAGAACAAGGCCTTAAGTGAGCAAAGGTTCGCACAGGCGTTGCACGGCACCGGCGCCAATGTTTTGTGGAAACAGAGCGTAAGCTTTGAGAGCCATGTCTTTTGCAGGCCCGGACCGACGGAGAGTGATCAACATCGGCTCAAGAAGCTCCGGAGGGACTACAGATCGGCCCAGATTCATCCAGTCAAGAACCAATGACCGGCCTGAACCCTCGAAACGACGCTCGTTCGGCTGTTGATCAAACGTCACGCACCTGCAGTTTGACGACGGCCTGCTGCGAGCGTTCCTTGAAGTCCGGGTCCTCGTCGAAGCGCTTCTTGGAGGCCTTGTAAAACACCTGGAGGTCGCCAATCTTGTGCTCGATGTCGGTCAGTGCGTCAGCGCCCCCCGCCTCATCGAACAGGTACTGGATGAGCATCCCGAACTGCGTGCCCCAATCGCCCACATGGTTCCGGCGCAGCACGTCGACGCCCGTGTACTCGATCATGCGCGCAATGCTGTCGCCTGAGAGCAGATTCGCAACGGTTCTTTAGAATCCATGAGGAGGGCTTTGAAGAACCTGAAGTTGATCAAGCTTAAGCCGAAAAACTGCAAAGCGCTTGAAAGATCTAAAAGGGGCAACTGAGACATTACTGGTCGTATCCCTGACTCTGGACTTGAGTGCCGCCCAATCGCACAACCTTTCTAGCGCACTTGATACTCGTTTCTGCTTTTCACGCAGCGCACCGTGACTCAATCATGCTCGCGATGCTGTCGCCTAGAAGATCAACGGGCAACGACCAGGAACCCACTATTGCGAGGGCAATACTTCTTTAGTCTTCACAACTTCATAAGCATCGCTGTGCAATGTCCTTCGAACATCTCGTGAACAAGCTGCGGATGACCCATCTTGTTTCGTCTGTCGTTCTAGATCGTGCAACAATCCCTAATTCAACAACCATCGATTTGTTGGGAGCTTCCACAAGCAGTGCTAATGATCGAGGGATCAACACTTTCAAATTAATGCCCTCGATCGCTTTGCCTTCTAACTTTTTTCCAAAAGCAATTTTCAAATGCAGATTCAAGGAACCGCGAACCCCTTTCGATCATGACCTCTAGGTCCCTCAAGCGATCCCACAAGGACAAGTTCGACTCCGAACTCGGTCCTCACCAATGATTGTCGACCGGAGATGCCCCACGTGCATCTCCTTTGCGATATTCGGCGACGAGAAGTCGACCACGACGCGCTTATACGGCAGCAGCGGTGCCCACGTGGCCATGCCGTCTTTGAGCACGTTCAGTAGCCGCTGCTCCATCCATTCCGTGCTCAGCTTCAGGTTTACAAAGCCGGGGCCTGCGATGCTTGTGGACGCGACCATGGGGGACTCGGGAAGTGCTTTTTGGATGGCCTGCAAGCGAAGTGCGGTTTGTTAGAGCGAGGCCCAGGAGAGGGACTTGGAAGAATCTTCTATCAATTCGGCCAGACACCTATCTGGAAAATGATGGGTAGCCAACAACTTTCGATCTTTCTCTTCGGAACACTTTCCTGCACGGACACAAATCAAGAAATAAAAGAGAGAAAATGAAATGAAAAGCAAACAGGCATAACCAAGGGAGCACAGCGCTTGATCTCAAGAGAGACCCAACAATACGAGCGAAACAAACAAGGCCTCACTCCGGCTGTGCAGATCAAGTAATGAGAAAATCTTCGGATGCTCACCTCGCCAACGGCGCGTGGGTTCTTGAACTCGCCCTTGCCCTTGACCTTGGCAAAGAGCGACATGGCGTTGTTGCACTGGTAGTCCCCAAACTTGGGGTTGTTGCAGGCGGCCACCTGGGGGCTCGGCGCCTCCTCCGGAAAACCCCGCTTGAGTGCCTCCCCAAAGAGAGCCGCCACCTGTGCCTTTACACTGCCCAGCGAGACAGAGGGGGCGCTGGGCTCCTGAGAAAAGGGAAAAGAGAGGCTGATGGTTTGTGAAGCCAGGAAAGAGGCGATAGAATGAAATTGAAATGGGAGAACAGTTGGGAGAGAGGGAAGAGGGGCTCTTGATGTACTAGCTGGTGGTAAGCCCAGAAATCATGGCATGAGAGGAGGTTTAAGTGAGAGGGATAAGCAGATTCGGAAGGGCCTGCCAACACAGCGCAACGTGGGGCTAGCTTTGGCTGATTGACCATTGGGTACCAGTTCCTCTAGAAGGAGACCTGGGACAATAATGGGGTACAGACTTGCTTCTTTCCCTCTCTGAGTACCTTCTTAAACATTTAGAAGATACGGCCCGATAAGTTCCATGAGGCCACAACCAAGCAGGAAACAGAGCCCAGTAATAATCAGGGCAACATGTGATGAACAACTTCAATGCCAGCCACCTGTCCAGAGACCTTCAATAAACAAGCCTTTGCACACTGCTCAGCAACTTGGATGTAGCAATAAGAAGAAGTTCGCCCTCACCATTGCATCGTCCACTGTCAACTTCGAGAGAGCCTCCTTTGTTTCAGCCTCGACCATGGCGCACTGCACTGCGGTGCTCGTGTGCAACTTGCGCTGAGGCAAGAAGGCTTTCGAGCCCTCGAGCGGGACGCCAAAGAAACTAGGCGTGCCCGCTTTGCAGAGTGTGCTGTCTAGTGTGGCGTGGTGTTTCAAGATAGTGACGGAGCGGGACTGCTTGATGGTGGCAGAGACTTGGGTTGCTAAGGGACACTGCGACAAGCTCCCTACGCTTTTTAGGCAACTGGCGCTTGGCATCCGGACTGCGGAAAGAGAGAGGAAGGAGAAAACTTACAACCTGGAAGTTGTACTGAGGGCAATGCACTATAAACAAATGCTTTAAAGATGGTGCAAGCAGCTAGAAGTTCTTCCTGTACATGATAAGTACTCAAGTCGCCACAATCCTGGAAAAAGATGAAGTGCATTGATGAAAATAAAGAGCACGCAATGCAGTACGCGGTGGTCTAAGAACCACCAGTACCAAAGGCATCGGATAGTTGATGCAAGCGGTCGCCCAACCTGCACAGTCTCCCTAGCATACTGCAAGCAAAGCAAAAGCACAACTTCAAAAACAGAAGGGCTAAACAAAACAGCAAAGAGAACCCTTCAAAGAAGCCAGGCGGACATGCCCACCAAGAGATCTAACCGATAGGACGAAGAGCATACGGGCTCCCAATCACCTCCGATGGCACCTGATCGCTCCTCTAAGAGCCTCTCGCATCAATGTCAATCACATCGAAGAAGAAAGTGATGCTCAGCCATGCGCTACCACACTCTTTTCAAGCCTTCTCTGCGTATGAATGGGAAAATGGTGCTCATGCCTGCTCATGCGAGGCAAGTGAAGGCAGCATAGGTAGGTAGGTAGATACCTAGGTTGACGTAGAGACCACCGGTGTGCGCCTTGGACCTTGGTTTAGTGAGACGTGACATAAACCGATATCAAAACCCAAATTTTGTTGAACGGTAAAGGTAGTGCTCGGCACGCAAGACCGTTGCCAATTCCTGATTGAACGGAACTTGGAAGTTGGAAGCTGCCTGGTTGAGGAGGGTTACAAAAACTCATTTTGAGCTTGGAGAAGCGCTCTCTGCGCGAATCAAGGGCGCTCCTCATCCAGCACCGCATACGCCATTTCTGTATCCATTACCTGAAGATTTGAAGTCACGGTTCAAAAGCAGTTCGGCGCCAAGAGACCTGTTTACAAGTATACATTGCGAGCTGCACCTGGGTTAATTGCTGAAAACGCGGGCGAGCAAAGATGAGGCCTCCAAGAGGTGGCGGTGGTGGTCGAGGTGCGCAACTGGCTGAACTGCAGTTTTGCATTTTCCAGGGAGTTTCGTCGTTGTTGCCCAACCTTTTCCTCTCCGCTCTCAAAAGCAGACTTCCAAGTGTAATGAAGAGGCTTCATTACTATTTCACGCATTTTGGTAATGGTTTGCCCCGGATGTTGGTTGGGGCTTCGTCGCATGAGCAGGGAGTGTGTTGTCCACAACCCACATTCTCTGTGGAGAAGCTTTCTGCCTCCAATCAATAACTTGCAATTGCTCCCAGAATGCATCGTCTGGGCCCTTCATATACTTTCTTTGCATTGGCTCTCTTTGCATTTCCACTTTGACTCTAAGCTTATTGCCGGTTTGTTTTCTTAGGGGGCTTCCGGGGCGGTGGCGGCCAGGGGGGCGACCGTGGGGGCTTTGGCGGCCGGGGGGGCAGTCGAGGGGGGGGCTTTGGCGGCCGGGGGGGAGATAGAGGGCGTGGCGGAGGCAGGGGACGGGGAGGGGGCCGGGGAGGAGGACGCGGGGGCATGAAGGGAGGGGCCAAGGTGGTGATCGAGAACCACAGACATGAGGGAGTGTTCATTGCCCGAGGAAAGGAGGATGCGCTTGTGACCAAGAACATGGTGCCCGGAGACAGCGTGTATGGGGAGAAGAGAATAAGTGTGGAGGTGAGGAGCCGTTGTGCGTGGTAAAGGTGTCTCTTTGCAGCACATTGGTGGTAATGGTGGATGTCACATTGCAGTCTGTTGGCGCCGCACCCGTCCCAGCGGTCTGGAGCACTCGATCGATTGCTTCCATTTTATGTTTATTTGCATCGGTTTGTGGTTTGACCAATGCTGTTCCAAGTTGTATAAGACAGGATTGAAACTGCTTGCAAGAAAGCCTTCACCATTCTGATGAGGTTTTTGCTCTCCACTCGCAGGCTGAGGGAGGAGAGAAGACGGAGTACCGAGTATGGAACCCCTTCAGATCAAAGCTGGCGTCCGCGATCTTGGGTGGTGTGGACAACATCTACATTGTAAGCTGCAACAATTTTCATTGTTCCACTTTTTTGATGATTTGGCTTATCATATGTTTTCTATATTATGGAATCCAAGATTGTCGTATCTGAATCGTCTTGATGCAGCATTGCTCTGTGCCCAAGTATGTTGGCCCTGCGTTGCTTTCTACACGGAAACATTCTCTGCTTTTTGCACATTGTTTGGAGGGTGGTGCATCTATTCTGGTTCTTTTGCTTGTTCATGCCAAGTGCCCGTTTGTGCTTGCGGTTTGCATTTTTGCTAGTTTATTCTGATCAAGTGAATGCACAGAAGCCTGCATCCTGCTTGTTTCTTTTTCCTTTATATGATTGCTGGTTCTTGTAACCACCTGCAGCTTATTGAAGGGAGTTTCAAGCTTGGGAGCGGTTGCTTTCTGTGTGTACAAGAAAGAAGCGAGCGGAAGTGATGAGTAGCTTGGTCCGTGTTTTTGATGCAGTGCACTCGTGCGCTCATGCAGAAAAACCAACTGCTCCGTTTTGCCAAACTGATCCGCGCCGCTCTTCCTTCCTCTCTACTTGCAAACCTGTTCTTCTGTCTTGTCTGCTTGGGCAGTGATAGTAGTATGCTTCTTCCTTTCCAGTGTGCTGTTCCATCTTACCTCATAGAATCTGAAGAGCTCATTCTGGATGCTCCACCTGCCTCTATATACGTCAAGCCTTCCCGTCTCATTGCTTGTCTCTCATTCATCGTTGCAGAAGCCTGGCGCCCATGTCCTGTACTTGGGCGCTGCATCTGGAACCACCGTTTCCCACGTCTCAGATCTCATCGGGCCGGTAAGTGGCACATCTTATCGGTCCAAGACTCCGGAAGGCTCCGGAATGTGGAAAAGCCACTGGTGTTCATTCATACCCGGTCATAAGATTCACGTTCAGGTTTTTCCGGTGGCCCGCTCTCAGTTTTATACTGTGAAAAGGACGCCTGCGTTCTGGTGCAGCGGTTTTGTAGAATAGCACCACCCGTAAGGGGAGGCCTCACCGGCAGCCGTTCCACAAAGGACCCTCAAGGACGGTGCGCTAATAATTTGGACTTCAACCTGAATTAGCATTCGGGCAGTGCTCTCCTGCCAGCTTCATAACCTGTTGATGAAGAATTCAAAAGTCTGGTTTTTTCGAAATCTCACTGGCTTGATCTGGATGCAGACTGGCATCGTGTACGCCGTCGAGTTCAGCCACCGCAGTGGGCGCGATCTGGTAAACATGGCCAAGAAGCGTACGAACGTGATTCCCATCATCGAGGACGCTCGGCATCCTGCCCGCTACCGCATGCTCGTCGGCATGGTCGACGTCATCTTTGCTGACGTCGCGCAGCCAGACCAGGTGAGCCTCGTAAATTGAGGATGCGCCATCTGGCCGCTTGCGACTAGTTGCTGATGCACTTTGTGGAAAGCTGCTTTGCTGAGGTCCGTGCGCATAAAGCGGCGTGATCTGTGGACGCACGTCTTCCCTTGGCGACTGTGACTGTTGCATCTAGTACACGAGACTTTCGAGAAGAAAGCCAAAAACGATCTGCTAAGATCTCAGGCCATTTGTCGAAGGATGACAAAGTCTGACGACTTGTTCTTTGGTTGTTGATTCTCGTGTCTTGGCGGGGCTTCATTTGAAGTCGTGCCTCTCACGAGGGCGTCCCTTTGGATTCCGCTTTTGCTACTTCCGTTGTTATTTCATAAGGATTCGAGTACCTTCTACACTTTTGTCGGATGACTTGCACTTCTTGCCACCAAGGTAGCCCGATATTGGTTTTGCCGCGACGGTTTCGACCAGGTAATTGTACAAGTGATACTGACTGGGCTGCTTTCAGAGTGTTGTAATTTCTGGTTCGGCATATGTTTGCTTAATCTCTGCAAGTTGTGCGTCTGATGTATTCTTTCTGGTGCAAAGCATGCCTTCCTTGGTTTTGCTATATGTGTGAAAGTGTGTGTTTTGACCATGAGCTGCGGACAAACGGGGGTGCTGCTTGGGGAAAGCACACACGGAAGCGGATGATGATAAACCGGATTCGGATTCCCCTTCATGATCAACCGTGAATGACTAAACAACCTGACGCTTACTAATCCGCAGCCCATGCTTTTGTGCGAGCCTGACTACAGTTGTCTCTTTGTTTACCACATGAACACGTCTTTGCTTTGGTAATAACCAAGTGGATTTCCCCGTCTGCCTTGTTGGCCTCTGTCTTTGTTGTCGTTGCTTAGCTGTTAAGGAAGCACTGCAAAGTGAGTCTGCCTCTGGTCTCTGCCTCGGTGTATTGAAGTTTGGTGCATGGCATCCGTGCTGGGAACCTGTGCTGTTTCTCGCTATCAGGTCAATCTTGATTCTCAGGCTTTGATCATTGGGCTTGGGTGATTGAAAGGAGGCTCTACTTAGGGCTTTCTTTACACTGTAAAAATGTGTGCTGTTAGCTAACGGTTCCGGTTGCCTTGACTCGTGCTTTTCAGGCGCGTATCGTAGCTATCAACGCCCACCACTTCCTCAAGAATCAGGGCCACTTCGTTATCTCCATCAAGGTGAGGTTCACAACGGTCTGCAATTGGTTATTTTTGTTCGGCTACAATGGTTATGCCCACGGTTTGAAGATTGGAAACCAAATGTTTTTAGGGAGCTTCACTCTCAACACGTCAAACTGAAGCATTGTACTACATCAGCAGATTTTGCGGCTGCTTTAGGCAGGCCCTGTCATCTAGCTATCTCGCCGGACTCGGCCTTTGCATTGTCGCCGGACTCAGCCTTGTAACGACCTCCGCATTTGCGGGATGTTGCTTCCATGTCCTGACTTGTCCAAGTTCGTGTTTCTAGGCCAACTGCATCGACTCCACGGTTCCTGCTGAGCACGTGTTTGCCAAGGAGGTGGAGAAGCTCAAGGCGGAGAAGTTTAAGCCCAGCGAGCAGCTGACGCTGGAGCCGTACGAGAGGGACCACGCAGTAGTGGTCGGCGGATACAGGATGCCGCCTAAAAAGAAGGCCTAGAATCTTTGTCGAAGCACCGTGGGCTGGTCGAGTCCGGATTGAACTAGAGCGTTATATAGGGTCGTACATATTGCAAATCAAGACAATCTCAAGCTGGCAAGCTCTTGTGGAAGATTCCCGGTGGCGCCATGATGACGCGTGGTTGTGATCTTACTTTGCTAAGTCACCAGTCAAATGATTGATGAATTGAACTTGAATGAGACCCCGGTCCATATGCAACAGTCCAGCAGGATGATCGCGATTGCACATTGGAGCACGATTTGTGAACCACATGAGGCCGAAGTGCAGTGACCATCATTTGTCTACTGTGGCGCAGTGTCTCTTATTGCGACATGGCGCATGCAACACAACATACACAAATGCCGCCTTTATGGCCAGTATGTCGAGCATATAGAACTGGTCAATATCGGGAATTTATCTTCTCACCCAAAACCTTAGTTCCATTGCACTGCACCATCGAGGTCGAAAGTACTCAAACCACAGCAACCCGAATGCAGATCCATGGGTTCCAAGTATTGTTTGTGATTACGCATAACGTCGCAGCCGATCGGAGCACACTCGGGACTCAGCTGACAACAGGTGTCAAGACGATATTGGACTCATGCTCAGAGCAGCTTCTGATTTCTCAACTCCGTGAACGTCTACATCCGGCACCAGATTCTAACCGTTTGTATCAATAGTCTGTTATGAGATCTCTTCCATTCGACGTGGAAACCAGGCCCGACCTGCTAAGGATCACTCCTACTTCCTTTCTGCCTCCGCAACAGAAGGTTTTCTCTAGTAGTACCCGTTGCTTCTTCCGCACTCGCTCAACATCAGAGTTTGACAGGGCTCAGTCACCGTCAATGCCTGCTCCTCAGCCTGGCTGAAGTGAGCCCTCCATGCCCGGTCCTCACAGAGGCGCACGCAAAGTTTGACGTATCTCAACATCTCCTTGTCCTGCAGACATCGGAGGAAGGGTGTTAAAAGCAAATCGACATATGCAAGAGCAACATAGCAACATCTCAAGAAGGGCCAAATACACAGCCGAGAAATCTGTAACCTCAAAATGGAACTCTTTGCCAATTGTTTTTGAACTCCGACAAGGACTTCCAACACAACTTGATCTCATTCTGGCCTCTTAAAAATGACTTGAGTTGATATTTTGGCTGAATCCCAAGGCTTTTGCTTCCTGTTCAAACAGCTAAAAGGGTTCAGAGCGCCAAAGCCTGAGGGTAACTAGTGCACTACGAGAACGCTGTTAGCTTGTGACACCTTGATGAGCAGCAAAGTAATTGAAACTCAAGTTGCAGAACCCCACTCTGCTGAGAGTTGCCCTTTCCTTTCTTGCAACTTATCTTTGTCTGAGACAGACAACGTGGCAATGTGGTGGACACATATTGCCAGAACAATAAAACTTCCAGACAAGCAGGACTGCTGCAATGATGCCACATTCTTTCTGCATTCTCCGTTCACACATTCGTAAGTCCACAGAAGATGGCACGTCGCACCGCCTACCTTCTGACTGCCTGGCACGATGTTATGGATCTTCCTGACCGACTTCCACTCTGCAAGCATGCTCAAGAACCGCAGCCGAACTGGGGCCGAGCTGGTGCCAGGCTCCGCTGAGAAGGTCGCCCTCCTGGCAGCCTCAAACTGCCTGCGCTCTTCCAATGACAGCTGGCAGTCTGCATCGAGGTCACTGTCCAGTGCCTGCTGCTTGTCTGGGAAGCACTTGACGCTGTTCTCCTGAGCAAAGTTGCGCTCCGACATCCCAAACACAGGCTCTGCCCTGTAGGCATTGCTGAAATGCAAGCCTCCACCTGATGCTGGGGACAAGTGTTGGGGTTGGGCAGTGGGGGTGTTAAGCGGGGGCCTTGAAAAGCTGCTACATTGGTAAAGGCTCTGCTCGGAGGAGAGAGCGCCAACGACTTGAGCTTCATACGTTATGTCTTCTAAAGGAAGTCTGACAGCATGGAAGGCTTGCGGGAAGGGCTCCTCGGTGCCGCGGATGTGCTGGCGTTTCGCAGCTTGCTGGAAAAGGGTTGCGCATTCAGTGTCGTCAAAAGCATACTTCCTCCTGCGCGTGCCGCCTGGGGCTTGGAGAATGTCCACAGCGTCGTTCATCTCACAGTCCATTGCGGGCCTGCTCGGATCTTCCGTGTGCAACGCGCGGCCAGACGCGCCCCTTTCAAATGACACTCGAGCAGATTATCGCCAGGACCTAGATACACCACCTCATTACCTACATGCTTCTCTTCCTCCCGCCAGCAGGGCCGTCACGGGCCACGGCGCCAGCTCTACCTACGGTACCCAGGTTTTTGAAATTGAAGTAGGTAGGTACTGTAGGTTACCAACAATTTCTGGCTGGTCTAGGTACGGTAAGCCAGTGTGCCCCAGCAGGACCTTTCCCGCGAAAAACCACGACTTGGGACCCGATGAGGAACCTGTCGAATTGCGTGTATAGCTACTAACCGCCAAAATCAACCTAGCCTCTAGGTATTCAATATCCCACCACCTGGTAGCAGGATTTCACGGGCGGCTCCTTAACTCGAATTATATCAGTAACATGAGTGTCAGTGTCCTCTGGCTGGCATGTAGACGGGTTTCAAAATGTTCAGTAGATAGGTAATGGAGCCTTCAGGCTTGGCGGCAAGAACCGTTACCGTCTTGAGCCGGTATCGACGAAGAGGTGACAAGTGGCAATCGATCTCTACCAATGATGATGGCTTGCTGAGGTCATCGCGGTGACGCCACCGTTCGCAACTATTCGCAACCCAGTATGATCCATGCAGCTGTCAAGGTCAATGCGCCTCAAAATCCATTTCATTACGGAATGTGGAGAGGGAGTCGTCCAGGGAGTCTTCGAGAGGGTCAATGCATGGGCTGCACATCACGGTTGGGACGACATTTGAACTCGAATCCTTGTTCAAGAAGAAAACTGAAAGATACCTTAGATCAGTTGATGCTGCTATAGGTAGAATTGAAGCTCACTTACAGAAATTTCAACCAAGCCAGTCCTCCTGCATTCTCAGATTTCATCACCCAGTACCAATCCTTCTAGCAGATCTGTTTGTAACTGGTGTGCGAGGCGTGCGCATCTCGACTAATCATCGCAAGTTTTGAGGACGGAGCGGAGCGGGCACATATACGCAGCAGAAGAGGGCTCAGCTTGCAGACGGTTGCATATGGTCAGCCCACAGTGCATCCTTGACCTTTTGCTTACAGCTGCCTTCTTTTGTGCTTCATCAAGATTCTTCAGGACATGGTACTTGTTTTGACCTATGCCAATGTGATAATTTAAGAAACAGACGTGCCTTGTGCTAGTTGTTGACGACCGAAGGACTCAAAGGTCCGCTTCAGTCTTAGTTGCAATATCGAAAGATCCCGAATCTTTGCCTATTCTTGGATCGCCAGAGGACTTTGGCCCCACTTTGGCTCACATGTCAAGATGGGCATTGACAGCACACCATTTTGGAATGGTCGATGTTTGGGCTTCTTGCAATCACCAACGTGCAAGTGAAGGAAGACACTCTTTTCTTACATAGCTTTCCTCGTTCATCTGGATGCCGCAGGCAAGAAAGAAACTAGATGATGGTGGCACTATCTGCATTTGGGTTAATCGGCCCGCTTCCACAAGTCTCTGCCTAACTGCACTGCCTCAATAGCCTGACAGCTATTTGGACAATGAGCCCCCTTGCTTCTGCAGGCGGGCTCCTCAACCGGGGAGATTGTGGCGGTTTCCCAGCAGACCCGCTTCCATTCCTACAAACTGGAGTCCCTCTCCAAAGACATCGATCTCAAGGGGGTCCAGCTCTCCATCGGCGACCGGAAGCTCCTTACGGACGCTGAACTCAAGCTCTTGTCCGGCGTCCGCTACGGCCTCATTGGACGCAATGGGGTGGGCAAAACCTCCCTCCTGAAGGCCATCGGATATGGGAACCTCGTCGGCCTACCCCAAAACATCAAGGCCTTGTACGTTGATCAGCTTGAGAGCACCGACACCGAAGCCCGTGTCATCGACGTTGTCTTGGCCAGCAACCATGCGCTGAAAATAGCAGAGAGGCAGGTGGGCCTCTTGTCGGAAGCGATCGAGAATGGTGACCCGGACACGGTGCTCCGGGTTTACCGCAGGGTTAGGCTTGACCAGCTGGTTGCAGAACGAGAGGAGGCGCAGAAAGTGGCGACAAAGAGGAGCGGGCAAAGGGGGCTCGAGGCGCGGGCTGCCCTGATCGAAGCAGAGGCACGAGAAAAGAAGGCGAGGGAGGAGCTGGCGAGGGGCACGGCTGACGTGAGTGACGAGGAGAAGGCCCGCGCAGTGATGTCAGCACAGGAGATGCTGACAGTGGCGTTTGAGAGCCTGGAGCTGATGGATGCGGGGGCGGCTGAGGGGAAGGCGCGCAAGATCCTGAGGGGGCTGGGTTTTAGGGTGGAGAGACAAGATGGGCCGCTGCGGCTCTTGTCAGGTGCGTAATTTGCTTGCGTTTTTGCATGTTGGATCGCTCAAGTGTCGACATCTAGCACCAGGGGAGCCCACAAAGTTTTAAAAAAAGTGGGCTGAATCCCCACGAACTCTTCAGCTTCATTGGGTGATCACATCTGAGCTCGCACCGACCCTTGGGGCCAGAATGCCGATCCTCGGGGAGGGAGGTTCCTACCCTAAGCCTATTGCTTCGCAGCATTTCGAGGGTGGGGCTAACCGATAACAGAACTCCAAAAAAATATAGGGTCAGTGCGCACAGTATACAATGTTGACTTAGAACTGCAAAGATCTACCCGTCCGTTAGAGTGTCCCCAAATGTAAATATGACTAGAGTGGCTTTCCAGGGTCGGTGCGCACCCTTGGGGCCGGTTTGTCGACGTTCCAAAGGACCAGATGTGACCACCCTAGCAAGCGGAGCAATGCTTCATCTCTCGGTCTTGCTTTCTGCGTCAAGGGAGGCCTCCAACGCTCTCGCATCCGTGCGATTCAAAGCATTCGCCTGCTGAAGAGCACCACTCACGACCATGTTTTCTCCATTCAAAGTTTGCTGGTCATGAACACTTCTTCGAACTTCCCCTCGAACTTCCAAGCCGAACCGATGTCCGAAGTCAAAATCTGCCTTGCCTTTCTTCAGGTGGGTGGAAGGTGCGTGCCGCGCTGGCCCAGGCCTTGTACGTGGAACCGGACCTCATCCTTTTGGACGAGCCCACAAACCATTTGGACCTGCCCGCCATCCTTTGGCTGCAGAACTACCTGCAGTCGCTGGAGAACACAACGGTGGTCATCGTGTCCCACGACAGGGCCTTTCTGAACGCGACTGTGGACGAGATTATTGAGCTCAAAAAGGAGGCCCTGTTTTGCCACGTGGGCAACTTCGACGAGTTCGTGCAGAACGAGGCCGAGCGGCGCGGGCACATGGAGCGGCTCAAGGCGAACGACGACAGGAAGAGGTGAGGAAACGGTTCCTCTTGGAACGGAACGCCCGAAAGGAGTTGCCTGAGGACGTGTACGGTGCAGCAATGTCGTTCGGAGAGGTCCTCACGAGAGGTTTTCAATTATTACCTTTTTGGGTCGTGCATTGATGTGTTGTGCTGGATGCGATGAAAGATGAGATCTTGATGTGCGCCATATCGTATATCATGTACAAGCGCAGGTTGATCAGACGTCTTCGATGAGCAAGCATGTTCCACACGAGTTGCCAGATAGGCATTAAACCCGCACGCTCAAAGTCTTGCATCATTGAATGCCAAACTTTCAAGATTCAATACTTGGCTGCGGTTTCTGCCTAGATAACCTATCACAACATGGCCCCAGATTGGCCTTCTAAACTCTTTCCGCTTATGCCTCCGCTGTCGACTGCCAGGGCGACCATCCAGAAGACAATCCAAGAGAACATCCGGCACGCTGCGCGCAGCGGGGACGACAAGAAGTTGAACCAGGTCGCGTCCCGCAAGAAAAAACTAGAGCGGCTGGGCCTGGAGGCGAACTCCAAGGGCCACAAGTTTAAGCTCAACCGGGACCGCCCTGGGTACCATAATAGCGTCCGAGACGAGATCGTGGTCGACCGGGAGGATCCCCCGGTCACCTGGAAGTTCCCTGAGCCGCCCGAACTGCGGCACCACGGGCCGGTGGTAGCGCTGGAGGGAGTCGGGTTTGGGTACGAGAGAGGTGAGGCCCAGGAAGCTCTGATCGGCTTTTTTGCGGCTGGTTCGGTCTTTTAAATGGACACTGCCAAGGACGTTCGAAATCACTGCCTGTGGGTACTGACTTCTTGTTTGCCAACGATTGTTTTTGCAGGTTTTTCTGGTGTTTCTTAGCAAACCTTTGAGATATGAGGAGGAAGTTCGGGTGGGTGGAGGCCCCTGCTGTGTGGTGACGGCTAGTTTGGATTTGGTTTGCAGCGAGCTTATTCAAGCGAACCTAACTTTCGAGCTCTTTTTAGCATACTGAGTAGCTCAAGTGCCAACCTGCTCTGCAAGCTCCGGAATGGAATGGTTTGGATACGCTCCCTGAATCCAAAGAACGAAGCCTCTCAATATGAACAGTCGACCGCTATCAAATAGGCGTTGGATTTGCCGGAAGTGAGTTCAAGTGGTTCTTACCTGTGCTCCTTTCACCCCCTCGTTCTGCGACAGGGCTGGTAGCTTTTGCTTAAGGATTTGATTGATACGGACCTTCGCTGAGCCCTGTGGAGAAGTTGACAACAAGAGGAGGCGTCCTGTATCGCAGTCCGTTGCGAAAAAGAAAGAAGGGCTCGTTTTCTGTTGTGTCCGACTCAGGCTTCGTACCGGAAGTCTCGAAACTCGAAGAGGAGACGGTTCACAAAAAGTCACCAATCCATTTTAAGTTCTGATGACAGGTGGAAAGAAAATCTTGAAAGACGTCACCCTCAACATCGAGCTGGGCGAGCGCGTTGCCCTCCTCGGCGCGAACGGCGCGGGCAAGACGACTCTCGTCAAACTAGTTCTCGGGCTGTTGTTCCCCGACGCTGGGACCGTCACGCGGCCGCCCCAGGTGAAGGTCGGGTACTACTCCCAGAACCACGTGGAGGTTCTGCGCGCCGAGCATGGCGCGCGGTGCGCGCTCGCGCACTTCAAGGAGGCCTTCCCCGGCGAGGGCGAGCAGGAGCTGCGCGCGCACTTGGGCGCGTTCGGGATCAAGGGCGCGCTCGCGACGCAGCCGATCGCGTCGCTGTCGGGGGGGCAGACGGTGCGCGTGGCGCTCGCGCACGCCGTGCATTCGCACCCCCACTTTCTGGTGTTGGACGAGCCGTCGAATCACCTGGACGCGGAGACGGTCGAGGCGCTCGTCGAGAGTCTGCGCGAGTTTGCGGGCGCGGTTCTTCTGGTGACGCACGACCAATATGTTGTGGAACAGGTGGCGACGACGACGTTCCTGGTGCAGAGGACCAAGCTGCAGCGGTTGGAACACGGGATCGCAGATTACAAGAAGATGCTGGCTAAGAAGGTTGACGCGCTGCTGTAGGAATGCCTGAGCGGCGGGCTTCAGAATGTCGGTGAATCGTGTCTGGTAGGGAAAGTGCTATATGCAGGCGATAGTTATGGCTGCGCGGATGCGTTGGGTACAGTCAAAAGTGCTTGCTGAAACGTTGACTTCCAGACGACTTGGGGTGTATTCTACACAAATAGGTGGCTCCGACTTCGGGCTTCGGGCGAGTCAAAAGTCCTCTTGTAACATAACGCATAGAAAAGGCGCACGCGACGTACTGATCCTTTGCAAGAATGTAAGACAGTCGCATCTGTTGAGGGAATTCCGGTTACAGCTTCGCCGCCTGTGGCTTTAGTAGAGCAGCGGTTCCTGCGTAAAATCCGTAGCCGAACCCCTCGTAGTCGTCTGAACCGTCTATCAGGCCGTATACTTCGTAGTCTCGGATCATGAAGCATCGGGTCTATCAGCATTTGAAGGCGCCAGCCTGCGAACGCGGGCTGGCTCTCCGTACGGACCGTCTGTAGCACGCGGTCAGTTCACTACAGCAGATCCGATAAGCGACGACGGTTGTATGCGCTTGCTCGGCTGCCGCCGCCTATAGGGTATATGACATGTGTTGGCACTCATGTGTTTCAAATGTGAGATACGGATTCGATCGACGCATTCCAAGTCGATCATGCTCCGTCGTGACACTTTTTAATTGGACGTCCCTATATAGCCACGGACGGTCGGTTATATACACTTAAACGGAGGCGTATATAGCAGCTCTAGCATGTGCACGAAAAGAATTATATCGTCCTTCCGACGTGCTATAGCTCTGCAGGCGCTATCAGTATTAGCATATATCATGCCATGTGCAGCATCATCGACTCATACATGTATGCCATGAGAAGCCTATGGCCTATTTGGCTACGGCGAGAACGAAAAGAGACCATCGACCGTAATCCTTTTCCGAAGTTCAGCTCTTAACCACTGCACTCATGTGGCGAGCTAGGCTAGTCGATCATGTGCATGCAGTGCCAGATCTAGCTCCTCGCTGACTGACGTGTCGCCCGGACCGTTGTACAAGTGGAACGTGGATGATATCGCGACCAACTGGAAGGCTAGTATATACATATTGCACTGCACGCACACAGTGAGCTAGTCGATAGCCACCGCCCATTGCGTATGCTGTAGCTGGGCCACGCACGTCATGGTGTGGGTGCGCATATGCAGTGACGCTGGAACCGGTATGCGGGCCAGAGTGCCATCTCAGGCTTGCACATCGAATACTGAGGCGGGTTGTTTAAGTCAAAGCTCTTGCCAGCTCTGAGGGCCTCATGCGCCGCTCAAAGTTAAAACGACCAAATACCCCCTGTTACCCTGACCGGTGGCACGAGAGCTGACCTGCTTCTCCAACTTTTTCTCTGAACTGCTTTGAGCTACGAAGATCTGGTGCAGACAAAAGAACCATCTGCCTAGTATTAGACTCCGTTTGACTGCTTGTATCATCCTGCATAACGCTCAAGTTAGTTCCTCAACTGGATGCCCTGGTTCGTCTGGCCTGTCGGCGGGTGTATTCCGAAAATCGTTGTTGACACGCTTCTTAGCCAAGGAAAGTAAAGCTCAAACGGTTCCACTGTAAAGCTGTGCGGAGTCCTCGCCCACAAATGTGGCTGACAGCTACAAAGCGACCATAGACAGCACAACCGTTTGCCAGGCTTAGTTATGCTAGTTAGTCGACCTGCACCATTGACACTACCCTCTGGTTTTGGATCCTCTGCATGACTACCACGTTGTCCCTTTCTTGACACAGACCGAGTGATTTGCCGAAGTCGATGGCGACTCCCAGTGCCGACTTGTTAGCGTCTATGGTCGCCGGGTCGGCGAGAACGGGGATCACCCCGTAGGACAGGAGCGTCTGCCGAGCCTGGTTGAGCAAACAGCAGCGCGCGTGAGATTGACAAGAAATCATTTCAATGGTCTAAGGACGGGGAATCGGTACCGGTATTTGAACATTGGAAAGCCCGAGCAAGCGGACAAAAGGAGCCCACACAGTCTCGATGTTGGAGCGAACTGTGAATGTGTCAAGAGAGTGCACCGAAGCTCCGGCCAACCAAATCAGGCTCGTAAACTGTTTGGACCTTAGCTTTTGGGGTGAGTCCCATGTGAGGAAGCCCGCACCCAAGCGCTCTTGCTGCTTACAGCCTAGTCGATGCTAGTCCCATACGTCGTTGCATCGAGCTTGTACTATACGGAGCCACACAAGCATCTTTTGAATGCACAGAAACACACTGGCACACACCAACCCATACATTCCAGTCTGCGTCAGCTTTGTTGACAAGAAGACAGACTCAACATTTGTTTACGGCGTACCTTATGCGTGCCAGAGGCCCACCACCGCATTGTGCGGCGGTCGATCCCGAGCGTCGGCAGCTGCACTGACAAGATGGGCACCTTGGACCGGAAGACCGCCGCATAGCGTGGCGTGCTGCCCAGCGTCGTGATGGCGATGATAAGGGCGGCGCCCGTCTTGTTGGCTGCTTGGACCTGGACGGGAGAATCTTGGGTTTCGTCATGCGATTTTCAAGAGAGAATGCTTGGCAGCGTGAGAGTCTTGACTTTGGGATGCGAGTGATCGAGCCCAAACAGAACCGAACCCAGTTTCCTGTACTTTCAATGATGTTGACAGCCCGGATTCCAACGATTGGATAACAGCCAGGGAAAAAAACGAGTCCCATTGCCAAGCAACGTTCTGAAGGAGCCGCGGACGACCTGATTCAAGAATAAGAGCGACGTAATGGTTCAATGCACTCGTTCGTCCTTCAAAATGTGCAGTAGAAGATTCACTGCTAGTACTCAAGCTTTAGGTTCGGAGCGAGAGTAAGTATCACGGCCGAAAGGACAGGGGAGTCGTATCAGACTCGCTATATCCGTATAAAACCACTTCGTTTAAATCCTCTATGTCTCCAACATTTGTCTCCCTCTGCAAAAGCCACGTTGTTTTTAGAACGCCAGCGATGGTTCAAGCGTACTGTCCGCGGTGTTACTTAGTCCGGAAGGAGATCTTAAAGGTTGTTCCTCCCTCCAGTCAAGTTCAGCGTCTGCGACTTTGCAGAAGCACGCCGGTCTCCAGCACGCCAGTAACAGAAAGACGTTCTGATGACGACAACAGAAATACTTATGATGATCGAATATGATTGAACGGTGCAACCCACCGCAGAGGAGGCGATGGCCATCTGGCGCGGCATGGGCGAGGGCAGCTCCTTGAGCATAACTTTGAAGTGGTGCCCGTTGTTGTACACCATCTCCGCCTCGCGCGCAATCGCCAGCACCGTGCGCGCCGCCTCCACCGGGAACTGGCCCCGCACCGTCTCCGCACCCAGCAAAATGCAGTCCACGCCTGCGCGCACCAAGAGCCGTTGCTTAACACAGCTTCGCTAGATGTACTTATTTAGGAGGACCGTACTGCTTTTTCATTTCGGCAGAAGAAATTTATCAGGTGCCCTGCCGAGCGTCAGTGGTCAATACCAGTATGTTTTAGCAGGTTACACTAGGTCTGCCGAAAAGATAGAAAGTTTCTTAAGTTTCAAAGGTTTCATTTCGGCGTCGAAGGTGCCGAAATCAGATAACAATACAGTATTTCACCCACAACCCTCTTGTCACAGGGGTTGGACTTTCTGCTTCGAAGTAGGTGGTGAACCTTCGAGACGCTGTTCACGTCTTCACCAAACAATTTCCGTTCCTGCCGTTCTTTCGGAATGCGCTGCTTTGTTTCTAAAAAGAGCTCCGCCTGTCGAAGCTTGCGGATCAACGTGCTCTCGTCGAGACCAGGCCTCCGCACGAAGGTGAAAAATACATTCACAAACACGAGGTCAGACGTCACGAGGGCCACTGACCGTCGAGCACGGCGTTTGCGACGTCGGTCGCCTCGGCGCGCGTGGGGCGCGGCCACTGCTGCATGGTGTCCATGACGCGCGTGATGATGGCCGGCTTGGCGGACACGTTGCACTGGTGGAGCACGTACTTCTGGATGGGGTTCAACTGCACGACGCGGAATCAGAATGTGAGAAAATGCACAGAGGGCGGACGGCTGTGTCTCGCTTTTGGTTGCGGTACTCCGGGCCGTCTTTGAGCTGTTCAAAGACTTGCATCTTGTTGAGGCTCACTCTCAGGCGATGAAAGTGGAGACTTTTTCGTTCAGGTTCTGAGTTCTACATACTTTAGCACAGAATGAGTCTAGAATGGCGATCGGGTAAGGAGTTCTGCCAATCGACCGAGTTTACTAAGAGGAGATTGAAAGGTGCAACTGAATGTCAAAAAGCTTTTCCATGGCACTGAGTACTCGTCAGGAAAAGCAGGGTGAATGGATGTTAACAGCAGAATTGGATACTCGACAGCCTTACCACAGATCAGACAGTTGTTCGTAAAGGGCAATTTGGAAAGCGGATTGCAGTCGTCAGTTAGCACAATAAGAAATATTTACTAGGCCGGGCCCGAACCTTTTCGACTGGAATTGACGACCCCAGGTCCCCCCTTGAGACCATGATGGCGTCAGCCTCCTTGAGGATCTCGTCGAAGTTCTCCAGGCCTTGCCTGCGGAAGGAGAAAAAGACTTGATGACACAATATTAACACCTCGGCAACCAGACCTGGAATCGTACGCAGTCGCAAATCTCTGCTAAGATTAGTTCAATTTGTGCATTAGATTCGATATTTGTCAACAAGAGACATTGAATCTCAGATTGGGTACGTTCCTGTCGATCTTCGATCGACGATGTTTTATCAGAGACTAAACGCTTGCCACCCAGCAAACCGAGAGCGCCCATCATAGACAATCACAATTTGGGCGTCAAAGAGTCGACAATCCTGTATACTAACTTTTGAAACGGTGCTTCGAGTCTTACTTGCTCTCGACCTTCGCAATGATCTGCACTTCCTGCATGTAGTTCGTCCCTTTCAGGAACTTCCGCAGCTGCAGGCATATGAAAAGAGTTACAACCGGCGCGCAACGGCCCTGGTGTGACAAAGCTGCAAACGTGAACGAAACAGGACCCCCGCCACTCACATATCTCTGCACCCCGATCAGTTGTCGAAACACGCCGCAACAACAGTCAAAGGATAAAGGGGAAAAGCTAAGCAGCGAAGTCAGCCGATGCCGACAGTCACGTAGAACCTGCTAGCTCCGTCCTTTTTGGAAACGCGAGCAGTCCAGCAACTCGACGCAAACCTGTGAGTGGGACGGTCACCGACATGCGCAGCTGGCAACATGGATGTGGAACACACCACCGGGAAGACCTGGTTCTAAATAAGGACAACGTCTTTTCGGATGTATGCGTGAGGTGTCTGAATGTGCTCACTTCTGTGACGTCCTCCCCGCTCCGTGTGCACGACAGGGACACGAAGTCCACCAAGTTCGGCTCGTCCCACCTCCGAAGCTCCTACGATGGAAAAAATAGCAAGTGCTTGGATCAATATCCAGCTTGCCTGCCTGCTTCTACTTCTCGTTCTTCGGGATGGCAGTACACGGGGTCAGGACGTGCTCTGCTGTCAAAGTCGCCGGAAGACAATTTCTCGTTTGCAGGGAATCATTCGGGTGAGGACTGACAAGAGCTGCTGCCCTCTTGTCGAAGTCTGAGCTCATCTCTACGAGCACACCGCCTCTGTCTTTTCAAGCGAAGCGGAGCCCTGCAAAGACTGCTGCTGTCCATTTCCAGTGTCAGGCAACGAAAGCGGCACTGCTTGCCTGCAGATTGCCCATGTTGCCATCGAGCCCCGTGGGAAAAAACCCTTCCGTAATGTATGATCTCAAGCTTTGTCGTACGAAAAGAAGCTATCAATCAGCGCACCTTATAATCTGCCTCCTGCATGGTTGGAATGCAGTCCCTTGTGGCATTCACGATCATGCAGGTGACTTTCCCCACTAGAGTGGCTGGCTCGATGCACGTGCACTGGACTGCATCGCCCTCTTGTTTAACGACCTGCATCCACCAAATGCCCCAAGTGATAAGCAATTACTTTATCAGGTGCAGAAGGGTTCGAGCAGTAGCCCGACCCCAGCATACGTCGACTGCGTCTTTCTCGCCCCAACAAATGCGGCCACACAGAATTTCTCGAACCTTGACAAGAGTTGAGGTTTCGTTCCTGACTACAAATACTCAGCTACCCGAGCAAAGAGTTTGTGCGTATTTTCCAGAGAGCCAAACAGGTCGAAGAGTAGCGGTGGTATATCGCTTGAGTTGCATCAGGAAGGAAACAACAAAAACAACCGGCTCTCAGTCAGGTCGGAAGAGCTCACCTGAAGTACTGCAGATGCATCGTCGCTTCCACTCGCAAGATACTTTCCAATCACAATCTTTTCACCGGGGTTGACGCACCTGCAGAGACGACCAATTGTCGAGTTGACACCCTTAATTCCGAAACCGGGGGTCGCAGAGGACGTTCTGGGGCTTTCCTGAGAGTTTCAAAGGGTAGCCAGGGCGAAGCCCAAAGGCTCTGACTGATGCCAAAAGCTACTGTGCCCTCGACAAAGCAGGGCGTTTCGATCCCCCTTCTCACTTCTGAATCGCTTGATTTCAACGTTTTGAAAGAATATGAGATCGACAGTAAGAGTGGAAGCCTGAAGCTTACTTGACGACTCTTGGGTCCGAGATTGGCAGCACTTCGGGCGAGGCCGCTCTGTTGGGGTCTGCTACTAGCAGAACCTGCGAGCCAGCTGTAAGCTCCACCTGCTCCCCTTCTTTCAACAGGACCGTTGACGTTGGACCATTCGTGTCCACGATTGTCTGCATCAAAGTCGAAAGGCAAGTTTGTTGCAGATTCAAAAGTGATGTCTTGGAGATAATTCATTGCCACTTCGCTTGGTGGGAGGGGTATTTAGTTGCAGACAGAATAAGGCAAGTTAAGCTCCGAAGGTGCACTTCAGAGTCAAACGAAGAAGGCACATCTTGAATGGAAAAAGGCATGCACCCAATAGCTGCCCATTCTGTTTGCGGATGTTCTGTGTTCCACAACACCCTGACGGCAACTCTCTGATTCAGAAGCGTTAGAACCTCTCAGCAAGCTTCAGGGAAACTCACCGTCACCATCTTGCCGGTCTTTCTTACAGCGGCCGCCAAGTTCTTGACCGCTTCATCATAAGCGGCCCGGTCTCCGATGGTGAAGTCCAAGCGGACAGCTGTCATGCCGGCGTGGATGAGGGCCGTCAGCAGCTCTGTGGAGCAGTTGGCCGGGCTGATAGTGCAGATGAGCTTGGTGCCGACTCGATCCCGTAGGTCAGTCTGGATAGGGATCGAGTGCGGTCAACCAATCAATCCTTGGTTTGTTGCATTGAGACTTGATGCAATGACTCTCGCTGCTCGGTTCGTTGCTCGAACTTGATTCGGAGTGTATTGAAAAACTGCGTGCTTTGTCATTGGTTGCATCGATCCATCTCGCGAGATTTGCCAGCTGCCATTCCCAAAGGGCCAGGCAGAGATGCTTCAGCTGGACTATATGAATAGACAATCAACCCATTCATACAAGTAACGAACAATCTCAGAAGCTGCACGGATAGCCTCAAGCAATTCGACCAATTTCTCTCCAAGCGACCAGCATATCTTGGGAGACCTGGTTGAGAAATAAATCATACACGGAGGTTTTAGCAGCGAGGCATCTTCCTGTGATGCCGCCTCATTTGGGTGCTAATTGCGCTGTCCATTGCGCTGTGCAGCGCTCTTGTACTTGTTTAAACCAAAAATTGACTTTCTTGCTGTTGTCGTCATGTAAATAGTTTCAATGCAAAAGGACAAGGCATAAAGTAGGAAACCAGCAAAAAGTTGCTCACTATGCAGTTACTTCCTGGTTCACTAGCTGCGCACCTTTCAGAACTTTGGAGGCAATCGTATTTGCTTGCAAACATCGTAAATAGTGGCGGATAGGACAGCAGTAACCAACTTATTAAGCTCTATCCACAAGAATCCTGCGGCGACAATCCAAGTTCAACACAAGTAAGGCACTCTGCGCGCCATATTGATAACCTTCTTTCAGATACACTGCCGATGCAAGCAGCAATTCATTGGAGGTTCAAACTTACCGAGCAGTCTGTGCTCCTTTCCAGAACAGCAGAGACACTCCTGGGAAAGTGGAGAGAGTCACTAGACTCTCCCACTCCAAAGTCGAGTGTAGAGGACGAACCGGACACACGCAGATTCGCCCTGCTGGAGTCGCGCTCAAGAGGTGCCATTGTGCCGTGCTTTTAGGACGCCTTCACCTCGAAAAGAGTTCGTGAGCTGAGAATCAGTCGCTTTTGCTGCCCCAAGAGTGAGACCTAAATACTGAAACGGACATCAGAAGGTGCAGCACCTTTGGTGTAAGATTAGTCAATCAGGCTACACAACCACCCCGAAGGTAGAGAAAAAGCGCCTCGTTGCGGGCATTTTGCATTGCACACTGGCTCCAAATTCAGCAATTTCCACGGCCGCTGCTAAGTATGGGCGCCCTTTCTTGTTCGCGCTGGTTTGGTGCATTTGAATGCGTGCAGCGGAACCCTAATCTCATGCCCCTGACGAGGGCCGGTTGACAGCTTGGGGTTAACACTAACCTGCGCAGTTTCAAGCTCGAGAATTGAAAATTATAAAAGAATGGCCCGTCTTTGCCTAGTCGAATTTTCAGTGAGCCTTCCCTTCCTAGCACACACAATTTCAATTCACAGGGTGTTGGACCAGCCAACGAGAGTAGGTAGTGTGTCAATGAAAGCTCACTGTTGACAGGCTGGCCGCCGCTGAGCCTGCTGAGGTCCGTCCCCGGCCGCGGCCAGAGCTAGACAACTCGCGACCCAAGACAGCTCCTACCGGTGATAGGCTTTTAAAGGCTTGGAGCACTGCGTCCATCTGAAGGCGCAGGAGAGGGCTTGGAACGGCTTCTGACGCCAATATCTAGACTCAGTGAATGCACTTTCTTGGTGGGCCTTCTTGGGGAAGAGAAGCCTTCGACCAGCTTGCCTAACTAGTTTCTACAAGGAAGCAAATGTCCTCCTTTGGTGGCTCGAAAGGGTTTGGTATTGGAGCAAAGCCCCCATCAGCCGCGGGGCTGGATGGGGTTGAAGCAGCGGGCACGCAGCATGGCACTATAAAAAGGAGGACAGATAGTGACGGCGCAATGGACATGGAAATTGAGCACGGACGATCAGGTTTGGGGCCTGGTGCCCTGGGGAGCTCTCACATGGGGACCTCTGGGAGTGCTGCTAACCTGTCGAGGAAGAAAGCCGTTCCTCCTCAACCTGCCAAAAAGCTGGTCATCAAGCCCTTCAAAGGTGGGGTGCAACCAAGCACAGGTCTACATTCTCCATCATTCAGGAGAAGAGCTGACGGCTTTGCTTAGTTGAAGGGATCAGTGGTCGTTGCTCCAGCATGCTTATGTCTTGTCTTTCAGTGTAGCTACGTCACAAGCAAGCTACTGCTTCTGATGTGTCCACTTAAGGATGGGTTAACCTGTCAGCATTTAACGGTGCAAGAAGAATTTCTTTCAGCCATTGATTGGAGAGGCTGACTGGCGGTTGCATGGTATATTCTTTTCGCAGAGAAACCCAAGCTGCCGGTGGACTTTGAGGAGAAAACATGGTCTAAATTGAAGGAGGCCGTCAAGGCGGTGCATGAGAAGAGGCGCATCGAGTACAGCCTGGAGGAGCTTTACAGGGTCAGTTAACACATCTTTGCCCCTTTGGGATGTCAATGTTGCAGTTGACTTCTTTGATGGATTCGAAAGGTGCGCTTATCACTGTTGAATGAAGCTTCTAAATGATTCGCGCTCCTAGGTTACTCTTCTGGATCGCTTAGCCTCATGCAGCGTCCAAGTCCATTCCGCACTGCAGTTGCATTTGCAAGCTTGCAGTTGCACCTGTAATCATTTCAAGGTTTTGGAGGTTGTGGGACTTTAGTTTTGATGCAAACTTGCAATTGTCAAGCATGCTGAGTTTTCGTCTACCCCAGCTCTGACTGCAACAGTCTTCAATTTCGAATGCAGATGACTACCTCCTTATATGATTGCTGTGTTTGCTGACTGTACTGCCTTGGCAATCAATCAACCCCAAAGTTTAACCATGATGTGGAGCGACTGACTGGCACCATCATGCAACTTTCTCGAGCCGCCTTTCCATCGTCGAGAGCCGTGTTTTTGGGAAGCTTTGTGCCCCATCTTCAGTCTGACATATGCATTACTTCTACGCTGTTCTTCAGGCGGCGGAGAACATGTGTGTGCACAAGATGGCGAGCAAACTGTACGCACGGATCCAACAGGAATGCGAGGCCCACATTGCAGCCAAGCTCCTGAGCCTTGTCGGGCAGACGCTGGATCCAGTCGTCTTCCTGGGCCATGTTGATGCCACTTGGCAGGACCACTGCGAGCAGATGGTAAGCATTATGACTGAACTTAGTCTCTGTGTTGAGCCTGGTTCAATAGCAGGTCTGATGAATACTGAGAATAAGTTGGCAAGCAGCTGCCATAGAATCATCAAGTCTTTCCTAGTGATGAGTGTTTCAACCTCATGATGCACCAGATCATCCGAGTTGTGGTTGTTTCCAGGTGCTCCTTTCTCGCTGCATTCTGACAAGTGCGCCAACCTCCTCCTTGCAGCTTATGATACGGAGCATAGCTTTGTACCTGGACCGTACTTATGTCATTCAGACCACCAACGTACGCTCCCTGTGGTGAGCAGTTCTGAGCCTCGCATGTTCATAAAAGTACCGGAGATACGGAGCTTTCATTCTTTGACTGAGGTTGCGGTCGGCTGCTATGAGTTCAGTTCGATGTTGCCTGCATCAAGAATGGCGCATTGGTATTTGTACTGACGTCCTTTGAGTTTGTTTTGAATAGGGACATGGGCCTCCAGCTGTTCCGGAAACACTTGGCTGCGGTTCCTGAAGTGGAGGGAAAGACAGTGAAGGGCCTCTTAACATTGATTGAGCGTGAGCGGTAAGCATCGACCCTCCCCCCCAGGACACAAAGCTTTCTGTCACTTTTGTGTTTCCTCTGCAGATAATCTGCGTGCAAGGCTGGATGTTGTTAAGATTCCTGCGGCAATTGTCCGGATCTGTTTGAAGTAGGATTTGAAAACACGGATACCAAGATTTTCCCCTTGAAAAGTCCCTTCTCGTCTTCTGCAGGATGGGCGAAACGGTGGACAGGGCTCTGCTGAAGAACCTGTCTCGAATGTTTACAGCACTGAATATCTACACGGAAAGGTGCGATGATGCCGCCTTGCTTTTGATGATCGGAGCTTGTGCTTTTATCGACGGGTTTCGGTGGAATTCTCTGGCGAAATCCAGATTACAGTATGCGAAGATGGCTATCCTTTGTCGGAATGCTGGGAGTGTAATCTTTATCCAACCTTCCGAAGAGCGTCTTTCGACTGGTTAGAACCTGCCCTTGCCCTCAGCACCACTTCACCCAACGTCTGCCTTCACTTATAACTTCCAGTCATTCATCGTCAAAAATATGAGCAGCTTTCAGAGGCACGTTTCTTCCTCTGCTTTGGAAGGCCTTGAATCGGAACTTCTCATCTGCTCTCTTACCCCTCATGAGGCGTTTGAGGATTCAACTTTCAGACACGCTTTCCAAGGTCACTGCCTTGCCGCCACCTTTGAAGAGCCGTTTTGGAGGAGGCTGCACAGCAGTATGTGAAGCGCACCTTGCCACAACGCTCCTCATGCCCATGCTTGCATTCGCCCTACCTTTCGGGCCTCCCAATATGGTACTTAAACACGCCTCTGAGCCTTTTCTGTCGGATGCAGCTTTGAGAAGCCGTTCCTGGAGGAGACGGCAGCGTTCTATCTAGCGGAGGGCACGCGGTACATGCAGCAGACAGACGTCCCGGACTACCTGAAGCACGTCGAGGCGCGGCTGCACGAGGAGAATGAGCGCTGCCTGCAGTACCTGGACGCGGCCACGCGCAAGCCGCTCATCACCGCCGTCGAGGCGCAGCTGCTCTCGCAGCACGTGAAGCCCATCCTGGAGAAGGTGCGGACTGCTCGACAGAGCTAGTGTCAAGATTGACAAAACTTCCCCTTAAAGATAAGAAACGAAAGGGATAGGGAACCCCTTAACTTGAATATGGACTCGAAAGGAGTCTTGTTTCTCTAGAACAGATTTCTGGCTTCAGGCATGTGCTGAGCGTCTACAGCAAACAAGGCTGCCCCCGCATTCGTGGCCGCTTGGTGTCACTGTCCTTTGGTGGTAGGACCATTTTCTCTGTAGGATGCGAGAGAACCACCTCGAACGTTCCGCCCGTCGGATGCACTTCTTTCCAATCCACTCACCAGCTCGTGTGCAGATAGTGCACTTTTCCACGATCTGTTTTCTCATACCGGGTCGACATGTGAGCACGGCCAGACGATGCTCCTTTTGGCTTGGTATGATACTTGGCCCCCGTTACTGTCTCGCCGACGCTTTTAATGCTTTCCGCAGGGCTTCAACGTGCTGATGGACGGGAACCGGGTCGCGGATCTGCAGCGAATGTATGGCCTCTTCTCGCGGGTGGGGGCGCTCGACGTGCTGCGGCCCGCGTTCACTTCCTACGTCAAGGTTACTGGCCAGGCGGTAAGTCCTGTCCGCCCATTTTAGTATGCGTATCACTTGGTGATCCTTTCTGAGCATCGGGCAACCCTTTTTTCCTCATTGAAAGGAACAAGCGCGACGGAACATGGGCGACGATACAAGGGGCTGACACAAGGACGGTTTCGTGTGCAGTCGTTGGATCAGTACGCAGGTAGTTCTAGCCGTCCGGCCCTTCCTAGCAGAAGGTCATCTCGGTTTCTTCTCACCTCCTTTTCCAATTCAATAAAGAACTTTGTGCGCTTTGCCATAACGCTGTCGCCTTGCCGGTGGTTGCAGCTTGTTTCGGACGAGGAGAAGGACAAGGAGATGGTCTCGAACCTGCTGGACTTGAAGGCAAAGCTCGACAACATCCTAGTGCAGAGGTGAGAGACCGAGACGGCTCAGTTTACATTGATTCAGAAGACGCTATCGAAGATGGAGATTGATCACTGTTTCTATCTGTTGTTGAGGCTGCGAAGTCTCTATGGAGTCGCCGTCTTGTATCTCGTGACCTTTAATCAGGCGGTCCTAAGAGAGCTGCTAATTACGAATTTTCTTACTTCATACTTCAATTATCGTGCCGAAGGCACTGCTGGGATCAAAAGGCGGTCACCAGATTGCCGACGTCCTTGCATCCCCTAAAGGTTTCAATAATGCTGTGGCTCTTTTCATGATCAAATAAGCACCCAGGTTCGCTTTTTGACGAAGATTCTCTTCTAATCTGACCACATGTCTCTGCGTCTTCGCAGCTTCGCTGGGAACGAGGCGTTTGGCAACTCCCTGAAGGAGGCGTTCGAGCACCTGATCAACGTGCGGCAGAACCGGCCCGCGGAGCTGATTGCCAAGTACATAGACGCCCTGCTGCGCGCGGGGAACAAGGGTGCGTCCGACGAGGAGCTCGAAGCGACGCTCGACAAAGTGCTCGTGCTCTTCAGGTTCATTCAGGTGAGGCTTCTTTTGCTTCTGTGACTTGCCATCCTTCTGCAGGTCCACGCTTCTCGGCCTAGTGGGGAGTACACCGTGTCCGTTGTTGATGAGAGTCCCGGATTTCATGGCCCTGTCTCTGAGACTTTACGTACTTCTGGCACTGACAGTCATGCACCCTCAATCTGGATCGTGAGAGGAGTTGAGGCGTTTTGTCACTGAATTTGAGGCGTGCGGTTGTCATGTATGCACTACAAAGATAGATCAACAAGTATATTACGGAAACAGAGACTTCACAATATTGTCACGGCAGTCATAACTCAGAACCGCTTTCCGCTTGAGGTCGGCCCCCTCAATGTTGAAACCTGTACTCGCATCGTTATGTCGCCTTTCGGCATTGCAAGGAGACCAAGAGTCTTCTGCGGGCTGTGCTTGCGTTGGGACGGGCAGCCTCGTGTTTTTGGCACGCTGACGTCATGTGTGCATCGGCTGTGCAGGGCAAGGACGTGTTCGAGGCCTTTTACAAGAAGGACCTGGCCAAGCGGCTGCTCATCGGCAAGAGCGCGTCCATTGACGCCGAGAAGTCCATGATCTCGAAGCTCAAAACGGAGTGCGGAAGTCAGTTTACAAACAAACTAGAGGGCATGTTTAAGGTAAGTGCCGCCAAGTCTCCTCTGCGCTTTTTACATACAATTCCAACTCCATGCTCGACCTTGGTCACAGACGCTTCTTGGTGACCGCTCTGAATTTTTACTATCGCCTTCCTCTGCACCCTTGCGTTGCTTTGGGTTGTCTTCGCATCACCCTGAATTCATTCCTTCTCGCTGGTTTTCTTTCGCAGGTTCCTCCTTATTTGCGGTTCCGGTTCTTATGACGTATTTTTTTCTCGGCCCTCTGCAGGACATCGACCTGTCCAAGGACATCATAGAGTCGTTTAGGGAGTCGACGCTGGCGCGCACGAAGCTGCCGAGCGGCATCGAGACAAGTGTACATGTACTCACCATGGGATACTGGCCGTCCTACACGCCTGTAGATATGAAGTTGCCAAACGAGCTCAACGTGTACCAGGTACGTGGCCCAGCGTCTTTGCCCCTGATCCTGATTCTCCACTCCAAGAGCCAGTCGATCCGTTGCTTTTATTCCATGCTCGTCCTTAATCTTCGGATCAACATCGGACCAAAACTGGCGTTTGAATTAGGCTGCAGCCAGCATGCCGCTTGGTATAAAACTCGTGCACGGCCTGGGGCGCCGAAGCTTGTGCGCTAGGTGTCGTGTTGTTGTCCCATTTCTGAGCACAACGCGAGTAATCTTATGTCTGCGCCTGCCACGGTCTTCAAGTGCGCTGGCTTTCTTTGGAGGCTTACTTCTACTTGCGAGTCTATCACGTTTCAGTGATGTCGCAGCTTGCAAATCACGCATCCCTTTCGGCTTGCCCCTGAGCACTTTCTGGAATCCTGCTCTTCTGTTTATTTTTAAATCTATCTCCGAGCCAAAATCCACCAAAGCTTTATCACTAAACCGACCCGCGCCAACTCCTTTTCTCGCGGCTCCTCTCGCCCCCTGTCTCCAGGACGTGTTCCGGGAGTTTTACCTGAGCAAGCACAGCGGGCGGCGGCTAATGTGGCAGAACTCGCTGGGGTCGTGCGTGCTCAAGGCCGACTTCCCCAAGGGCCGCAAGGAGCTGTCCGTGTCGCTCTTCCAGACCGTCGTGCTCATGCTCTTCAACGACACGGACCGCCTCTCGCTCGCCGAGGTCCGCGACGCGACCGGCATCCCCGACAAGGAGCTGCGCACCACGCTGCAGTCGCTCGCGTGCGGCAAGATCCGGGTGCTCCTCAAGGTAGGGGTCCTGGGTATGGGGACCGCTGCTTGGAAGGGAGTATGGCGTGGGAGGCGGTTTCGCAGGCCTGCTTCAGACGTGCGCGCAGAATTTCAGCCGGGCTTCATGGTAGAGAATTGAGGCCTGTCCTTGGAACGGCAAGAATCTACGTATCTTCGGCGTGCTTCACGGCGGAAGGAATCAATACCAACAAGTTTCGGCAGAGCGAGACGTAACTCCGCACAGGGGTCCACACAGTCATCTGTCAAACCGCCTTGCAGCAAGCCTTGCTAAGCCGCTTCATTCTGGTGTCTCGTCTTGCCTAGAGGTCCGTAGTGCAGGGAACCTGTTCTCCGGAGAGGCTGGCCGCTCCTCTGGAGCTCACGTTGCTAGTGGAAAATCTTTTCTCTCGCCTCCGCATTCCTTTCGAGAAAGCAGCAAGACGTTTCTCGATCACAAGTGACGGGCCCGGCCTTATCTGCGCAGACCCCGAAGGGCAAGGACGTGAACGACGGGGACGTGTTCGAGTTCAACGGCGACTTCCAGGAGCGGCTGTTCCGCATCAAGGTAAACGCCATCCAGCTCAAGGAGACGCCCGAGGAGAACACCAACACCACGGAGAGGGTCTTCCAGGACCGCCAGTACCAGGTGAGGGGGCGCCGCCAGCGGACAAGCTTTCCGGCCTGCAGATTGGATTCACCGCGTCGCAAGGGACCTAAACGATGCTTCAGGCCGCACTTGCGTCCGTTAAAGTGGGCGGAGGGCTGCGAGTCAATTGTGGATCGGACGGTTCGAAGACCGTATCGATTTGCTCGGAGGGTATCTGTTGATTTTTTCCTCTCTCCGTCACGTTCTGAAGTTGACGTCGGTATTACGGCTTACGCCCACTTTGAAAATGCAAACGAGGTTGGTCTTAGGCTTAAGACCACTTTGAAAATGCGAACGAGGTTGGTCTTACTGGTAGACGAACTTGTATATGTGGCAGCGGTATTGCAGAGTTCAAGCCCCTTGCGGCTGCTGAAGTGCTTGTCAGCACCCCGGCAAACAATGAGTGCGTGGAAACGCTGTTTTGAGGCGTTTGAGTGTGCTGGCGAGTCCCAAGTCAGAACACAGACTTCGTCACTATCTGGCTGTACGTGGCAGCATATGATCAAGGCCTAGGCTTCGAACGAGCATCCTTAAAGATCGAGCGGCCTGGCAAGGAAACTTTGTTCGTCTCCCAACAGCGGTTTTATGCATACAGCTTGGACGATTGTGCATACACCTTGGCTGTGATGATCAAGAAACAGGTTTTGATTGGCGGTTTGTTGTCATTGCTACTGGCTCAAAGTCTCGTGGGGCGGCCTGTCAAGCCTAGATCGGACAGTAAAAGCCATCAGCTTTGCCCTGGTGATGACCTCCATTTGCAGTACTTGACCAGCTTCTTTCCCCTTGCACAGGTGGATGCGGCAATCGTCCGGATCATGAAGACGCGAAAGGTCTTGAGCCACACGCTTTTGATCACAGAGCTCTTCCAACAAGTGAGTGCCACGTTGGCAGCCAGCCGGCCGTCTTTGAAACGGTTGAATTCTGGGCAGAAGCTCTTGGATCAGAGATCAGCCTGTATGGTCATGAGCGTACCTACCTTGGTCAAAGCTGATAACCATATCTGCATGGCGCATGTCAATCCTGCGTTCAACTTGGCCACTGGATCTCGAGCTTCGCATGGAACTCAATTCAGTGGCTTTCGTCACCTCGGATAGAGGTTTGTCGTGAGCTTCGTGGCAGACCCTCTAAGCATCTGAGCTCGAAATTCGTTTTGCGAGCCAAGCGGCTTTCCGTGCTGACGTCTTTGCTCCGTTTTTCTTGCAGCTGAAGTTCCCAATCAAGCCCGCAGATTTGAAAAAGCGTATAGAGAGTTTGATCGACCGAGAGTACTTAGAACGAGACAAAAACAATCCCCAGGTGTACAATTATCTGGCGTAAGAATAGAACGCATGTTTGCGTCATCTATGGGGCGACGAGCATGTCTTGTCTTGTTCCAGTCTGCGAAATGCTCGAGTTAGCGGCTAGTAATGCACTGCATCTGCCCGGGCCGAGTCGATGACGTTCAATTTTCACCTATATATACTGACTACTGAAAGCTGGCACATTAGGGTATAATCGATCCGATGGCTGCGACAAGCCGCAGCAACCGTTGTGGCCACGAGTAAGAGGTCGTGCAGACTTAGCATCATGAACATAGTCAGCGGCCGGCTTTGAGAGATCAATCTAGCTGCGGACATGTGGATGACACTGAAAGTTTTCGCGCATGCTCGATCAAAGCAAATTGATTGAATCAGCCATTGCAGCATGAAGTACGACGTCTTAACTTTGAGTCGAGAGATCGAAGGATGTTGAGCGACCGTTGGCAACGCAACGGTCATGTTTCGAAATCATGCATATATGGGTGTCAACATGGGCTTGATTTCTGTTTACCATGCAATTGCGCATTCATAAGGCCCCAATGCGGCCTTCAAGGAAAGCACGTCTACTTGGCAAGGATTGAACACGCTCAGGAGATCAAATGCTCTTCGAGCGGCCTTCTAAACTTTTTGTTGAGTGTTTCCCACTTTACCTTTCTAAATATCGTCAACACGCTCCAAGCGGAATTCTCGAGCTCAATTGATTGCAGTATTCACGCAGGCCGGTGTTGCCTGCTGTAAGCCGCAGCTAAGTACTAAGCATCAATAAAGCAAAGACCTATCAGTAAGTTGTATTCGTTAACATAGTTTTTACTTGTTAATGCGCGTCCGTTATTCTGATCTCGGTCGACCGTGCGCTGCTCGCACAGCAGCCGTGCCCGGCGTGTAGGTTTGCCACTACTATGTCACATCTTGCTCTCTTACACTCGTTTTATGGCAAGTCTCGCCTTCCTCAAATGACTTGCGAAGGAGTTCTGAGCGCACCGCTTTTGCACCGAGCCCAGGAAATAACAACCGACGAGTTTCCACAATTTCAGACCCCCTTACGTGCCAGGAAGCTCCTGCGCAACAGCCACCGCCAGCTTTCCGATGTTGAGGGGCTTCGTGAGGTAGTAGTCCATACCCGCGGCCAGGCACTTGGCCTCGTCTTCCACCAAGGCGTGCGCCGTCAGCGCCAGGATGCGCGCGCGCTGCTCGCGCGGGATGCCGCGCTCGTGCTCCGCCGCGCGGATGGCGCGGACAGCGGCGTAGCCGTCCATGACGGGCATCTGGAGTGATCGGAATAGCTAACTTTTGCGGTGTGGTACGTTAAGATTTTGGGCTTTCCCTGTACTTTCGAGATTCAAGTGCTCTGATTTACCTCTGTGTTGCCAGCACCGGACTCTTAGCCGGTGGAAGGCTCGTCAAACGCTGCTTTGGCGCTTGAGAGGGTCCTAAAAAGGATTATACTTCAAACCAAGGCTTGACAAAGCTCGTCCAAACTCGAGAACGTCAAGGATGTAAACAAGTAGACTTAAAAGAAAAGAAGCCGCAGCAAATGGTGTGATTACATGGTTTCACAGCAGACGCACCAGCAAGAGAAGATGAAGTTACGGAACTTCCTCGTGGACGGTTCAAACGGTCAAGCAAAAATGACAGGGCCGCTGTCGCTCCTTGCCGTTACCAGACCCGTCGGGTTACGCCGCAACGCAGCAACACCGGCCGACTCCAAATGCTTCTCGCGCAATACTAGTTGGACTCGTGACCACACCCATCAGATCGACGATTGTTAGATACGAAATGCGCGTTGAACAAGAACGGATTCCGCAGCAGACTTCGAGGTTCACCTGGCAGTCCATCAGGATGAAATCGAACGGCTGCGCGCCGTCCGATCTGTCCACGTTGGCGGCAACAACGGCGTCCACCGCCAGCAGTCCGTTCTCCACCGCGGTCACCCGCACGTTGAGCTTGCCCAGGATCGACTGCGCCAGCTGGCGTAACACCGGCGTGTCCTCTACGACCAGCGCCCTGAACCCCTTGCTCTTGAAAGTGTCAACCGCGAGCTGGGCTTCCGGGCTGAGGCGCCCCCGGGGCGACCCGTTTTTAGGCGACCCGTTTTTCGAACCGGCCTTTTCCTCAATGCCCAGCCTCTCGAGGACCGGGAGAGCCGCGGAGCGGAGCTCGGGCTCCGGCTTTAGAGAGTTTGCGGGCGCTTCGAAAGTTTCTGGTGCCGTTGGTTGTGCGTCACGTGGGCTCGACGCGACTAAGAACGCGTCTGGCCGGAAGTTTGTGTCTCGGGTGACCAACAGAAGGTTGACAGCTGGTTCGTCGGCCAGAGGCGGTTCCGGTGCTACAGAAATACCCGCACTCGTCCTCAAAGGCGAGACCGCCTCGCCACGTGGACAGCTTCCTTCCTCAGCTCGACACGTGGCAACAAGCTCTTGCAGCGCCCGGCGCACCCCGGATCTAAACAGGGGCTTCTGCACGACCAGGGCTCCGACAACAGACGTCCGCAGCGCTTGGCGGACCGACTCGTGGACGTCCGCATCTACCAGCCACACAATACGGGGGGCTCCCGTGTCCAGAAGTTCCCTCGGTAGGTCGCTGACTTCGGTGGAACCGGGCTGTTGTTCGCTTGGGGCATGCCGGTCAGTCGGCGCGACCCTTTCTCCCGAGCTCTTTTCCGTTTCCGCATCCCCCGCGTTGCTCCCGCCGGAAAGCGCGCGGCGCAGTTCCGCTAAACCCCGCGGCGCATCCGGCACGCCGTCGCTGCCAGGTGGCAGCAAGGCGTAATCCAACAGGATGAGTGCGAACGCCCCTCTCCGTGACGACTCACCGCTTATCCGGGTCGCGAGGGCTGACGTCGAAAACTCGACGTCCGACGACATGAACGGGTGAGCGTCCTCTAGCGAGGACCGCTTTCTCGGAGAAAAAGCTTCAGGGTCCGGCTGATGACCAGGCGCCAAAGTGGGCTCCGACCGGTTGAGCGCCGCGAGAGCGCCCTCCCAGGAGTCTACTGCCAAAGACGTCCACCCGACCTCTTCCAGAGTCCGCGCCGCGAGCGACGCGCCCACCGCCCCGCGCACGAGAAGCAGCGCGCGCGCGCCCGGAAACGGGACCAGACGCTTTGGCGTTGCGTTCCCGTGGACAGTGCTAAGCGATCCCAAATTTTGGTCTGTGCTCTGGTTCTGTTGCGCGTCTGACAATTGGGAGGTGGTTTTACCGGGGGACGTGCCAGAAAAAGGTGTCCGGTTGCTCGGCCCGGTTTCCTTTTCGAGGCACAGGCGGATCCGGAAGAGAGTACCGGGGCCGACTTTGTCCTCGATCGTGATTGTGCCGCCCATCAGTTCGACGAGCGACTTGACGATGGTTAGGCCTAACCCGGTCCCGCCATATACCCGGGTTGTGCTAAGGTCGACTTGAACGAAGGCTTCGAACACGGACTGAACGTGGGTTTTGGGGATGCCTGCAAAATCCGGTGCGCAAGTGTGTCTCGAAACCATCCGCCAGAGAAGGAGCGAGATCTTGTAGCTAATCTTGCCTTGATTTTCACATTCCGCGAAACAACGAGTGCAAGTGCGTGCAAGGAGTTTAGATCTCCTTCTGTTACAGAGCATTTCTCTTTCGTTGGTCAAACGGTTATGCACTTCTCACTAGAGATTGTCAACTTGTTGCACCAAACCAAATTGGAGCCAACCAAGGGCCGAAGAGTACAATAAGAACCCTAACCTTAAAATCGACGATTAAGCAGGACATTTGCAGGTCACGTGCACTCATTTACGTCGAGAAGCGTCAATTGGAAAGTGAGGATTGCCTGCACCGAGCCTTACCGCATCCGGTATCCTCAACTTCGAAGACGAGCCACCCCGCTCTAGTTCCGTCGGGACGTCCTCGGATAACCACGTAACCCTCCTACAAAGTCAAGGGGACGGCGAAAAACATTCATTTGGGCAGCGGAATATGCTGCCGTGCACTAGCACTGAAGCAATACCTTAATACAGCCGCTTCCGAGTACCTTGCGATCCCGTGCTTGAATCAGTGCCTCAATTTATTTGACAGCAGATTGCTTGCCTTCTTGGCACCATATGTTTCATTGCGGCAGCTCGTTCAGGAGAAGCTGCAATCGGAATCGATGGGGATGCTTCAGCTCAGGAACCCTCAGCTCACCCGAGTGAATTTGATGGCGTTGCTCAACAGGTTGGTAAAGATCTGCCGCACTCTGACCGGGTCGCCAATCGTGTGGCCCAGGGTATCTGCCAACGCACGAAATTCGGGAGTCTTGCAAAGTGGGGCGGCCAAATTACGCATTGCGGTGTCGTTATACAAAATTCAACCCCTTGGATTGCATTTCTGCGAAGCCAGACAACTGAGAGATCCAATCCTGATCGCGAGCGCTCGTGAGTAGCCTCCTCCCAGTCACCCAAGAGAGTATCACAGTACGTACCAAGGATTAACCAAGGCCCAGCTTTCTCGGGCCAGCGGCTACTGGGACGACTGGAGCAAGTCTGCTTCCTACTGTAGCTAATGGAAGCGCAGATCGTAACGGGGTGGCAAGGTAGCTTGGTGCGAAGTCCCACCATCAGAAGCTCTGATGAAACGACAACCACCTCTGTGCAATGACTTGGGCGATTCATTGTCAGCCGAGGTTTAGTGACTGGGCGTCCGGAAGTCTTCCATCAATCAAGGTGACGTGGCTCACCTGGCAGGTCTAGCGCAAGTTCGACGCCCTGCTGCGCGCTTTGCACGGTCATCAACTCAACGAGATCCTCCAGGGTCTCGATCAGGTCGAAGGGCACGGACTCCAGGTCCATCTTTCCCGCTTCAACCTGAGGATTGGTATTTCAAAATCGGTCACAATAACTGTTACCGTTTTATTACTGAGATGGTTCTGGCTTGCAAGGGCTTCTGAGGTTGGTACGTGGTACGGGGCGGGTCGACATTTGGCTTTAGGTTTTTGTTTAAATTCAGCTTGCTCTTACTCTTCTAAAACGGCAATGTTCAAAGCCAAAGAACGGGGGAAAAGCGATGAGTTAAATACACTTGATGCCGCAAGCCCAGTATCTCTGCGCGCCGAGGATTCGAACGGTAGTCTCAGTATCTTGCTAAGACGGCCATGGAAGTCTCTCAGCTCCAAATAAGGGTTCACCTTGTCAAATGTCAGGATGGGTTATGAAGCCGGCAATCTCGATCTCCGATGAACATTCCGGACGAAGTGTTCGCCCCGCTTGACGACCTGTTCCGACCATGCTCTGTCTAACCGCAAATCTCTGGATTTCAGTTCCAGATTCCTCACCTTGGAGAAGTCTAGAATGTCGTTCAGGATCACCAGCAGCGAGGCCGCGCAGTCGCGGATCTGGAGAACTGCGCGCGTCTGGGGGGGCGCGAGCGAGTCGTCCAGTAGCAAGTCCAGGAGGCCCAGGATACTGGCCATGGGAGTCCGAAGCTCGTGACTGGAAGAGACACAGAAAGGCTTCAGTAGAGTACTGCGCACGCGTAGAGCTCTCGACGAATCCATACGCAAAATTCAGGATGGTCTTATTCAGTTGCAACCACTTCGGCCCTGAGAATGGAAGCAATTCGGCACCTCGACCCCGACAAATGGGAGAACCGCGGGAAACTCAATTTCAGCTGGCATAAAAAGGTGCAAAATATGGCCACGACGAGACGGGATGCGTGCCCAGCAAATGACGGCTATGAATTTCAGGAAATGCAAGCACACGTGCGCAGTTGGTGCCATACGGCACCCGATTGCGGCAGAGCGCGCGCGCGCGCCGCTCACACCTCATGTTGGCCATGAACCGGCTCTTGGTCTCGCTCATGGCCTCGGCGCGCCGCTTCGCCGCCAGCTGCCGGAACAGCTCCCGCTCTAGTTTGATCTCGTTGCTGATGGGGCTGGTCAGCAGGAACACCATGAACACCCCCAGCAAACCCACCGCAGCCGTACACGTGGCGACCGCGACGATCGTGCGGGTGGCGGTGCGATCAACCGCGCCCATGAGGCTCCTCCGCGGGTGCGCCATCACGACCGTCACGCGCATCCCGCGGTACGAAAAGCTCTGGGTCTGTACGAAATGCTCCGCCCCCAGGAGGCGGACGTCCGCGAACGAGGCCACCGCGTCCACGGCCGCGTTGTCCGTCGTTCCGGCAGAACCCACCGAGCGGAGGAACGCGGCGGTGGCGCGGATGATCGGGATGCTCGACTGCTCGGGGATGACGAACTGAGACACGCCGCCGGACGGGGCGTCTGCACCGGCGGAAGACGCCATCAGGACGCTCCCGTTCGTGACGTAGATCGTCCCCTTGTTTAGATCGAGCCCCGCCAGAAAGTCGCTGACCGTGGTGAGGGAGATGAGGCACGTGGCCAGCCCGCGGTGCGTACCGACTCTCGGTCCGGTATACTCGAACCGGCTGCCGCGCACCAGGTTGGGGAACCCGGTGAGCGCCTCCGGGATGAGGTTCAGAACGGACCCCGAGGGATCCCACATGACGGCGTCGAAGTCGAACGACTGGATCGCGCGGCAGTCCGCATTGCTGAAGCCGCGGAAGAGCTGGACGGGATGGCGGGTCGCGGTGTCGATGATTGCGAAGTAGGAGGGCGGGGCAACGTTCCGGGCACTCGACGTGTTGCTGAAGAAGGTGCTGAAGGTTGGGCTGGCCCCCAGGGGCTTGCTGGCGTCCCCCGCGAGGCTGTAAGAGCCGACGCCGTCCGTCATGCAATACCCGACGCCGGTCATGACCTCGTTGTACTGGACGAAGGAGCCGATGGAGAGCCGCCGGCCCATGCGCTGGGGAGACGGATGGACAACGGTTCTTTCTACCCTCACAAGGAACAGCCCCTTCAAAACTGCCGTGAGATAGATGCAAGCTCAGAGAAGCTATTAGGGGAAACATGGCGCCTTGCATAACGCGTTTCGAAAGTATTATCTGAGCTTACGACCTGATATGATGAAAGTGATGGATACTGAGTGAAGGTACTACGTCGGAGCAGATGGAAAAACGAACTTGCGTGAAGGAAACAAAGGTTGCCACTATCAAGGGGAGATCTGCTCAAGCGGCGGCCCGGCCTGCTTCTTCCTTGCTACACCTAGGGCGCTCGCTGATATTTTGAGCCCGTTATGAGCTGAAATAGTCGATTGCAAGACTCAGCTTGCTTGGGCAGTTTCGTTCAGCATGCCTTTCAGTTTCTGGATGCGTGGCTGCCAAAGACAAAGCTACCCAACACTTGCAACGCAGACAAACGTTGGCCACAGTGTCGTCCGCTCGTTCGCTCGACTGCCCAGACCGGCAGGAACACCCGACCCTTCACAAAATACTTTAATCGCGCAAATCAAATTCGAGGATTCAGTAGATCCAGTAGATCCAGTAGATGCAACACTAGCGCTTCCGGTCCATGTCGCTCACTTCGAACGCGGCCGAGTCCCACGCGGCCGCGTCGCTAAGCTCGTCGACGAGCGCGTTCGCGAGGGACGTGCTGCAAAGGCTCTGCGTCTCGAGCAGCGCGCGCAGCTGGTCCCCTGTGCGCGCGAGCAGGTCCGCGCGTATGTCCTTCCCCAGGATGTCGATCGTCTTCACGGACGCGGTGTGCGTGAAGAAGAAGGCCATCATGGCCACCCCCGCGAGCAGCACCGTCAGCAGCGCCTGAGAATTCACAGGAAGGTTTGGCTGCTAACCAGGCTTGATAACCAGACTTTAGTGTGGTTCTTTGACCAAAAATCGCGTCATAGCCATGCTAAAAACGTGGTTACTGCTCGAGTCTGGTTATCGGGCATTCAAACAGCTTTGACCAGCCCGTGACCGACTGTGTTAACCGCCAAAAATCCCTGTGAATCAACTTGGTCGGAAGAATCGCAGTTTGATTTTTCGCTCTGTGACATCTTTGCGGAGAAGGCGACGAAGAGCCCAGACTCGTTGTCACAATCGGGAGTCCTCTGATTACGCTTGCATTGGCTGTGGGCTTTTCGATGCCATCAGCCGAAGAAACTCCGTTGGAGACAGTCATGCTTAACCCGACCGAGCTCCTCGCTGCCTACTTTATGGCGGCAAGACTGTCAGCGTTGCCCGACTACAAAGCCCACGAATGTTGAAAAATCGTGGAGCGTTCCAGCCAGCTCAGAGTTCGATGAACGAAAGAGCTCGAGCAAATAAAGGCGTTAGCATGAAAAGATTCGAGCCGCTTGAGCGCTTTGAGGCGGTCGATGCAATAGGGTCGTAGTGTTCGTTAGTGCTTAATTTTCTTTTCTCTAGTGATTCCCGTTGCCAGCTGTTTCCTTGCTTTGAACACCGTATTGACATTGCTGCGGGCTAATTCAAAGCCCTGAAGTGAGGGTCAAAAGTTGAGCCCTAACTTCAAAGCTCTTAAGTTAGGGTCTGCTTAAGAGTACGCCCCAAAGACGAAGTCAAGGTCTAGAATTGTATATTATCTCCACTTAGTTTCTTTCCGACCCACGCTCTGTTCACCCTCTCCTTGCTGGTACACGGCCGCATATCGAGCATCCTGTGACTGGATTCCGCCTACCAAAATCGAGGAAGCAACCTTGACCGCAAGCAGGCAAGATGTTTGATGATAAGCTATTTGAACCCAAACGTAATACTTGAGGCCAAGTCAATCATACTCGAGCATCTTTCGGGTTGACGTTGACATGGAGCTGAAAGGAGGTGGTTATTCATTGTGAACAAGCCTGAAGCCATCTGAATCCAATCTAAGATGTAGTGCGACTTTTGCTAGCAGACTACTGCTGAAACACCACCCCCGACTGCACCCTTTCTAAGGTCTGCAAAGGTTGCCACGTCCGAGGAGTCCTTCAACAGCAAGCTTGAGGAAAGACTAAGCTCAGCCAAAAGGCAATCCCTCTCACCATGGTTGCCAGCCGCATCAGCAGAACACTGTAGGAGCGGGGAAGCTCGTCCTCCTCCTCCCCCGACGCATACATCGAGGCGCCCTTGCCCCTCCACTTTTTGGCAGGTGTCAGCCATTGCAGAATGCGACGTGGCTCCCAAACACACCCGAAGGTCCCCGCTTTCTTCTTCATTGTTCACAGTGCTCAAATGTTGCACGGGGCCCTGCTAGGCGCTTGTGAGTCAATAAAAGGCGTATGAATGGCGCTCAGGATAATATTAAATGAGCGCAGGCGGGTCTCTTGCCGAATGCATGTCTCCTGGCATTGCACCGACTGATCAAGTATAGCCGGATCCGTTCTTTGGAGACGTGCAAGAGGCCGCTCCAAGGCTTAATCTTTCAGTTGCTCCGAATGCAACTTCAAACTGGCGGCAGCCCAAGAAGTGAGAAGAAGATTGTTTGAAATCCGTGCGATTTAATCCTCCGTTGCGCTTAGCTTGAGTCAACGGCTGCACTTCTATTCCAGGGAGCCGCCGCCCCTTTCCAATCGGAAGCACTTGCCGGCATCCGCTGTTCCAATCCCGCCCTGACCAATACGGCTATACGTTTAACTTGGGCGCCGCAAAAGCGGCTGCCAAGACCGAAGTCGGCCACACCTTTGGTTTAACATGCGCCGCAGACCATCTCAACCTTAACAGTCATGAACGACCGCACTACCGATCGCTTCACTTTCAACCTAAGCACGAGTGCAGGACTGAGTGGCTCTGCGCGGCGAGACCTGGATTGAATTGTGGAATCGTCGGACGTTTGCCTCTGAGAACGTTAGCTGACAGGTCTCCCTACAAAGAAGCTGACGCTCCTGTGGAAGCACTATTTGTCGACCAGCTGGAGCGAGGCATTGGGCGGCATGTGCACCCAGTCAGGCAGGCCGACTCTACACGGCAAACATACCTATGTCAAAATAGGCTTCACTCGGCCATTCGCCTGCAGTGCGCGGGCAATATCCCGAACTCCGATCGAGTTGTGTCAGGCCGCCAATATCGGCCCGACGTCTCACAGATTGAGTCGAGCTGGGGAAATTCAAACGTCACGGTCTCACGGTCCGGAAGTACCGATCAAGCAAGTGATATTTTCAAAGGTGTAGATGTACGCGTCCATCTGAACGTGGTCTAGACCATCTGCTTCTGTTTGACCACAGCTTCACAATGGTACGTGCGTGAATTAGCGATAACGTACTGCCACAAAGAGTTGCCGCCGACTGCATGGCGCCGAGATCCAGCGAAGGTCGACGTACGTTCCCCGACTCCGACCGAAATCCGGAGTCCGAAGCACTGCCCCAACCGTGCCAACGCGGCTCATGCATTACGTAAATCAGTTGAAAGTACAATCACTTGAGCCGCGGCCTGCGATCAAAACTGAGCGGACTGCTCCATTGCCGAGTACCTGCTGCTCGCCAGTTCCTCAAAACAACTCAATGGGAGCAGGAACAGGGCCGTGGGCCTTGGCCCGTGGGTCGGCGTGACCCGCTGGGCCAACAATCCGGCGCGGCCCGCGGCCTCGAGGGCGGCTGTACTTGCACCGTCCTCCGTACAGTCCTCGCTCCGAGGCTCGTACCTATATCGTAGCTGTACTGTAGACGGTAGACCGTACTGGGCGAGTCGGAGGCACATGTGTCAGATTTGATTCGGAGCTGAGCAGCCGGGCTCCCTCCGGGCTCCCTAGAAGTGGCTGCTGCCGCAAGCGACGTCGCGGAGGTACCACCCAGAGCACGCCATGCCAATTCAAAGTACCTACCTACTACGATTCCTGAGGGGGATCCATTGTACCACGTACACGCAGTACCCGGTACATATAGTAGCTGTAAATCGACGGTGTACCAGCGGCCCGTGACGATCCGACGGGCAACTTTGCTTAGGTTATGAGTGCGCGCGCGACAGTCCAGTTGGATCGATCGAGTCTGGCAGCATCGCTTGAACTGAGACACTAGGACACTGTACTTACTGCCGAGCACCTAGTGGGACGGCGCAGTTCGGAGCGTCGGGAGCTCCGGACGGCCACGATCAAAAGTTAGAACGTTAGAACGCGTTCTACCGGATCATCGCAACGGTTTGTACACTAGTGTACTTTTCGTAGAACGTTCTATCGGCCAACCAGAGGCCTGTGATGATCGTTCTAAACTGGCTGAGTGCACCGTTGATGATTCCTCGCCATCAACGGTGGACCCATTCAAACTGCCTGACTCTGTGGCCGCCGGCACAGTGTGCCTGGTGCCAGACTTCGAAAGCAAGCACTGAAGCAGCCTGCACTTGGCAGGAATTGACGCGCAGCTAGCATGGGGAGCAGGGCAGGCATGCTCCCTGCCGCCTACCGTAGCATGAGGCAGCTAACTTGCTCCCCATGGCTGCTGCAGGCGCCGGAAATTTGTCAGGCAGCAGCTGGAAACGTTTCTAGCCCCTGTCGCTGGGATCATTGGTCCTCGCAAGCTTTTGCAAAACAGCAGGCAAACTTTGGGCAGGTACTAATACAACTTTGTAAGATGACAGAGGTTTGAATCGTCCTACTGTCCTGAAGGTGCACTTCTGGCATTGAATTGACCAGGTGATGGAAGCGGTTCAACCTCTTCTCTCTATTGATTGTCCTGCTTCTGCAGACCTGCACAGCTTGTGAACTGGCCTTGGCACCAATGTTCTAGCTGGCGTTTGTGATTGCTTTCTGGAATCTCTGATGCTGGACATGCTGGATATGAGTGACGATAGGGAAGATGGGGCCGTCTGCGAAATGCATGGAATGTGCCCTTTCCAACTGTGCCCAATGTAGCAACTTTCCAGCTGCTAAGATCCTCCAGATCTACTTGATTTGAAATTTTCCTCTCAAGCAGTCTAATCAAGAAGCCCACCACTCTGCGCGCTGTCATTGCCAAGCCTGCCCAGCATGGTCCTATCAAAGCCCATCTTATCTTATCTGAGATAAGATTTGAGTAGCAGCATGCCCGAGCAACTCATCAGAAGATTGGGTGCTTCTTACTCAGAGAAGCCCTGGCTTCTACAGGTGCATCTGAGCTGTGGATTCTGATGTCTTTTGTTCGTTCGCTTATCTGCAGATCGAGAGACCTGGGGAATGCGCGACAAGCTTTGACATAGCTGGCTTGGCCCATTCCCCGCTCAGCTCTACACTGCATACACTGCAAGTGAGTTTCTCTCTCAAAAATCTGCATAAGCTTCGTTGGCCCAATTGCACATGACATAGGCTTTTTCACGTTCTATACTGGACAAGCTCTTCAAATGAGGCACGTAGCTAAGCTCTTGATAACCTTCTTTACATGCTCCATTGCTGAAGTAATCTCAATCTGGGCGCCGCGACGCCTTTTATGTTCTTTTCTCTCAACACAAACGTCCATCCCGTCTCACCAAATAAGTGCAAAAAAGGAACTCCATTCTGACTCCTTTTGTGATTCCTTTGCCAAGATCTCTCCCGATACTTTTTCTGATTTGTTGCTGACGTCATCTCATATGCCTCGCAGATCCACACCCACATGTCTTCGGCTGGCCAGCTCAGTAACAGCTTGCCAGTCATTCTGGCCAGGACGCTGACATCATCAGCATCAGCAGCTGCTACAAGTAGCAGCTGTGATGTAGGCCAGTTTACCCAGGTTGCAATCGGAAGCGTGACTGGGGAATACGCTCCGGCGATCCAGCAGAAACGACAGGAAGAGCGCCGATGATTGGCGGGGTCGAACAGTTGACGCGCCAACTGGAGAGGACACCCGTTTAGCACAGGTGCCAGGTGGGTCACGCACTTTGCAGGCTTTCGTACGTCACAGGGTGTATGGCATGCTTTTGTGAGCGTGCCAGATGTGGTAAAGTCTTTGTGCGCATTTGCAAGCTCGGGGATCATTCTGCTTGGTCATGAACAATGTCTTCTATTTTCTTATTTTGGAAGACCGTTTCTGAGTGACACTCTCTCAACATAGCCACTTTCGGTGTCCACCCTGTCTTCTGTTCTTGGAATAGGACGTCACTGATTTGCTTAAATGCGGATTAGTCAAGGATCTGTCAAAGTGGAGAAGGGAATTTGCCCGCATGGGCCAGAGCTTGTTTATTGCGAGCAAGTCTGGCGAGGAAAAAGTCTTGGCAGTCTTGGAATGCTGGAATGTTTTTCCAAGCTGGGGTTTGCTTCTCGACAACAGAAACTTCCGAACTAGCCAATAGATGCCTCTGAACTTAGTAAAGGGCAGGCCGCCATCAAAGCCAAGTCTCAAACCTATGAACCATATGTTCAGAGCAAGCAGCGCTTGCGCAAAAAAGGCCATGTGTCATAAGCGCGCGACGTCATGCTTACAAAACCGTCCATGTCGTCATGCTCACATCAGGATCTGGGACGTCCCCCTGCAGGTGATGCGCAGCTTCTACGGACAGCATCTGCCAAGTGGCGCCATCACGTGTACCTCCTTCTCAGGTCCAAGGCAGGCAGCTTCAAGCTGGCCGCCGAATGAGATGCAGCCGCTTGAAGCGGCCGCGCCGTACCAGCCACGTGGCAGCCTGAGCCCGATCCTCGTTCTGGCATTATGGTGAGCAATCAGTTTCTGCAATTGCTTCGGCAGTTTTAGAGGTTACCTATGGGAGTGTGGGCCTATGGAAATGTCGCGCTGAAAGGCAGATAGATGCACATGAGAATTGTCGTGTCTCCATATCTGTGTTATAGTCGGGGGCCTTAAAGTTCATAAGACATGGGGGCTAATAAGGTACGTGGCAGAGTGGAGCAGACAAGAAAGAATTGCGCTTGAGGCTTTCGTTTTCTATCTGATGCGCACTGCAAACGCCGACTCTCAGCGTTTGGCGCTGCGACTGTGGCACGTGAACATGGCTTTCTGAGCTCGGCCAATCAATGTTGTATGATGAGACAATGAAGCAGGGATGTGCCTTGACGCTCCTTTTCAGACTGCATCCACTGCGCTTCGTTTCGTCAGTGCAAACAGTATGTGCTTGTCCCTGCATTGAATTTTGACATGTGAACGTCGCTGTCTGAGCGACGGTCAGGGTTTCAAAGGAAAGACATATGTCGAGGGGCCATGTCCTTGGCCCCTTTTTGGTATGCATTCCACTTGCGTGGGCTCTTTCCTTGGGTGAGTAGATCTGAGTTCTACAATCAGGATTTCGCATCTGGTAACGTGACAGGAGGAGTCTGGTCGCTTCAACTCAGGACTCCTCCGAAAACGTCAACGTGAAGGTAGTCTCTTCCGAGTATGGCAACAAACGAGTAAGGCACCTTCCAGACAAGACACCGGCAAAGTGCTTGGTGTTTATGCCCCGTTGAAAGAGTTCTTTGGTCGGTGAAGAATGATCTGACTTTCGTATGTGCAGAATCCTTCTGTTCTGCATATTGCTGGAGTGACCGATCCTTCATTTTGCTGGCGGCCAACAATTCGTCTACCAACTGCCACTACAAGGCGCGCTTCGACATTGCGGTATCTCAAATTGCAAGAGTCCCGGTTAAGTTTATGATCTAGGACACAAGAATGATTGCCTAGAACTACTGTAGTGGACAATTTGAGCATGTGGCATTTGAAACGTGGCCCAAACAGCATGGTTCCAACCGTGTGGTTTAAGAAGCATAGGTTCAAATGGGTCTTCAATTGGTTTCAAGCGCGATTTGGTAGCTAGTTGTTTTTACCCGCTTTGGTGCACGAATCTGGCGTTACATCCTCAAGGTGATTTGAGTCCGATCAAAATTAGAATCTTGGTTTGTGTGCATTGAGCTGCAAAGTTCCCGTCTCCGTGACCTTCTGGGTTTGTGAATCGTGCATTGAATATCACAAGGTATCGCAATCATTGAATAGAGTAAGCAAGTATCATCAGCATACTGAGAGGTTCAAGTAGATTGCGTGAAATGTCGAGCTCAATTGCAAGCTATGAATATATAGCGGATGATGTATGGAAAAAGCCTCGAGTCTTCCCTACTACCTAGTCAAAAAGATGGTACGATTTCAGTTTGGAAAGCTTGCCGGCCTAGAGATTGAACCCGTGACCTTTTGGAATCACTTTTCGAGGAGCAAAGCCATCTGTTAAGGGTTTTGCAAAGCCTGAGCTAGGGTTAAACCCTTTCAGCCCATGATCGTTAATGAACATTCTTACCGTCGATATTTCGCCTTTGGCGACCGACGGCTGTAAGAACGCCCCGGCGGGGTCCCTCCCGGGCCCCCTCCCGACCTCGTTTCTGCCCGGTTTTCCCTCCCGACCCTTAGAACGCGGCCCTAAGGCGCCCGGGGTCCAATGGATGGTGGCTAGTAGGATACCTAGCTAGGTTCGGTGCGGAGCGGGCATCATCATTTTGATAAGCCTTAGGGTTTTATTTAGGGATCCCAGGTAAGCGACTGTTAGTTCAATCGATTGATTGAACGTTGCCAAGTATGATCGAGCTCCTCATTGAACATTTGTCAACCTCAGATGTTGTTGACATACGGCACGATCTTTACAATCTCTGATCGTAATACTCAGTATACTTCAAGCTTTAGTTAAGCTATTGTCACGGATATGGGATCACCCAAAAAGAATAGCCTTTTTGCTTTAAAGGCTATTCGTGCTCGATTGCGGATCAAGCAACAAATCAAGCATATAGTCTAGCTCGCGGCAAAACTCGACATGCGTACCCCATGCGAACGTTTGTCAGAATTAGCAGGAGGGTCACGAGGACGTGCGGCAGGCGCAGATCGCTATTGAGAACTTACAGACACAACTATATTCATGAATTAAACACAATACTTGCTCATGACGGTTAACCTATAACCGCCCGCCTACATCAAACAGTAACTCCGTGACACATTCACAAAAATGATTGTATTAATACGTCCAACACAGAGATCTGCACTTGCCGCCGCGGCCATGCATGTCCAGTGACCATTATTTAACGCAGATTGGGCATGTACGTGTACGTTGTGCATGAACTTGGGCATGACTTGAAGATTGTGCATGAACTTATGATACCAACTGATTACGAAAGTATATGTCATCCAATTTCGCGTGCGTTTCAACTCATTCATGCGATTACATGTTTGCTCCATGCAAACACTTTTGTAGTAACGATTCACCAGGCCCGGAATTGTCCGGCACGCGCACGGGGCCCTGTCACGGGCGGACCGGTTTTGAAATTGTTGGCACCTGATGAATGCAACGCATGATTGCATGCGTAGGTGCTCAGCGGCAGTACGCAATATATCGATCAGAATCGATCCATTGGGGCGCGCACAAAATCCATGAATTGCGCAATCATGGGGGCCCTCTTGCAAGGACATCATGGACTATATTGATGCAGGTTTGATTCAACTTCATTAATTTAAAAGGTTTGACGGAACTGACGCGGATCGGATCGTACAATGTTTGTATACATGAGGTCAGTCGCTTAACGGAACTGCTGCCACCTAGTCATAGACTCACTCACACTAAGCAGATCAGGGGGTTGAGCTTCGCTAACCGTACAACGGCAGGATTACTTGAGGCACTGCGCATGAAGACGGTGGTCCTCAACCGCCGCAATCGCCAAACAAACAGGATGACCCTAATCGAGGTTGAGCGTGCAAAGTTGCCTCGGATGCATTGGCGTGAGTACCAATACAATAATTAATAGATCAACCACTGGCCAAACGTCAACATTAGTTGTGTAGATGCACAACGGCTTTGAGGTCGTTGGACGTATTTACTTGCTGTGCATATGTCATGTGAGACTCGGATGCAAGAGCTACCTGAACACCTTTTTTGAAAGACAACACGACACGTGCACCTCGTCAAGGCAAAGCTCACCATCTCAACCTCTGTCTAGATTGACGACCAGAGATCAAATTCGGAATCTGAAAGCAAGCTGACTACGGAGAGCAAGACAAGCTAAACTGCAAAATCAAGATCCTAATGAACCCCGGATGTACCCCGCCCTCCCCTTATCTAACACAAGCAAGCTGGCACAATCTCTGCAGGCCCCACAATGTACAGAAGTCAGAAGTCTCACGGAGACTCACGTGCGCACCCCCCGTGCATTATTGTCTAGTTGCTGCCTTCCAGATTAGTAAAGACATCTGTCCTTGTGACAATACCTGCATATGACCAAATTGGGTGTCAAATCTGGCAGCGTTCAGAAAGCATCAAGCAGTAAAACAGCGGCAGTCCCGGTTTCTGTGCTCTAAACGATGGTAGCAGGCCCGGGACAACAACGACGCTGCAGATACGGACACCTCGTATTGTCCCTGTAAGACTCGTATACAAACAGAAGGCCCTCAACTGCTTCCCTGCCAAAACACTGCGATGATAAAATTTTACTAAGTGAACACCTGCTTCTAGTTTTCACCTGCTTCTAGTTTTCACCCAGCACACGGTTAGGCTATGCCACAGCCCATAACAACCAGGGTGTCCTTCTTATTCTAGACTACTCTCTCAGGTAAGAAAAGGCAGTGCTGTCGTGGACACTCACCGACGAGCTGATCCGCTTCGTTGACAACAGGGATTCTGTGCACCTTGTGCTTCAGCATAAGCACGGCGGCATCTGCAGGAGTGACATTTGTGCTCATGAGGTTGACCTAGAATCCTTCAAAAAGCGATTGATTGAGCACCTTCAAGCGAGCTCGGACATCAACACACTTCGGAGTACGAACGGCACAAAAACAAGCAAATAGGTGCCCTCTTTCTCAAGTTGTCACCTCGACTACGACGGCTTGGAAACAAGGGAGAGCAGCCGGGGTGTTTGTTCTGGACTTTACTGATAGGGATCCCGAGCTTACTTGCACTTGTCGGTCACTGCCCATGTCGAGGTCAACCACTTACCTGACACGGTGCTGGAGTCGGTGGCAGTGTAAACAGGGGTGGACATGATGTCCCCAACAGACGCGTTCTGCAGAAGAGGGGTTATGAGGGACTGATCAGCATGGTCGAATAAAGCAAGCGCATTTTCAACGAGGGTTCTCACTAACCACTGATGAGTCGGTATCACAGTCGGCCATTAAAACGTAACATACTTCTCAGTGATTGCTCTGACAATGAAATCGAATACACCGAAGCTTTGGCCCCAAGACAGAGTAGCCTCCAGACTTCTCCGTCAGTTTGCACTTGTCCAAGTCAAAATACTCTCAAAACCTTGATTCCTCCCAACAGCGAAAATGTTGAAGCTTGCATGAGAACCTTCCAATGCTGCGCGCCTGGATGAGGCAACCTCTATTCATGCCAGTCTTTCAACTGGGACTGCACATCCATGGGCACCGATCCGAATGTTGTCTCCACTGTCGAACATTGTCTCCACTCTCAAACGACTGCCTCTGGCAGACTTATGCCACCGCAGTCTTTAACGCTAGACGCTTGAAGCAGGATACCCTGTGCCTTCCATGTTCACACGGGCAGCGAGAATGGAAAGAGTGGAAGGCGCCCACGGGGAGAAAGAAGCAGGCGTTTGACGTGCTCGGGACTACTGCTTCAAACATCGCAGTCCCAGCCCGAAGAGACACGACGTGCGATGCACACATTGTTGCAGAGAGTCCGTATCAAATGACCACGCCCCGATCCAAATGCTCACCGGGTCAGAGGACTTCTCCAGGTCCTTCTTGGAGACAACGCCCACCACCTTGAGGTCCTCGCTGACGATTGGGAGGCCGCTGATCTCATCAAAGAAGCCCGTGATCTCCGAAACCTTGTCGGTCACCTTGGCGGTCTTGACGGTAGTGGCCATGATGTCGGAGAGGAGGGTGCTAGGCTGGGCCTGTAGAAAGAAGGACAGCGCTCAGCCAGAGCGAAGCTCAGACCCCGTGTTTTGACAAATGAATGGAAAGATTCCAATAGACTGGTTCGGTTGCTGGATTGGGGAGTATCTTGAATCAGTGCACTTTTTCCGTTGTCAATGCTTCCACGCTTGCATTAAGTGATCTTTCAGAAAGCTGCGTACGGCGATGGCCGGCTGGAACTCACAATTTTGAAAGAAGCCTTAAAACTGAGATTCTTTGAGCAAGATGGGACCTGTTGTTGTGCAATTGTGTCAATGGCGCGCCTTAAGGCCACGGCCCTGGACACATCTCAACTGGCGACTTCCTGAATGCAGCTGTTGATGCATCCTGGGGCAAACGCTTGAAGCATGGTGAACCATCGACGACTAACACGAATACGAAAGTGACCTGACAACTTCAATCGTGCACTCTGAACTAACGTTTTGCATATCACAAGGTGAGGCGGAGGCTTTGCATTAAGCTAATTTCAGGAACCATAATAACAGGGCAGGTGCCAGTGGCTGATAAGCTTAGACCAGACAAGCACAAACATTTTTACTCAAGTACAAACCAGCGAGCGTTAACCTTTACACCTTGACCTTGCGAGGTGCGGGCAAACCCTAAAAGAATTGAGCAGTGCTCGTTACTGGTATAAGGATCATTCAGGTAACCAGAATTCCTCTCAAAAGGAACGGAAGGCCGCCGTGCTCACGTTTTCCTTGAACATCATTGGCTCGTAGTGGGCCATCACGTCCTCAAAGTTGAGAATGGAGTGTGTGGAGCTCCACTCCCCGTGCGTGAAGGGCGCTGCATCGCTCTCCTCCTCAACGGCCACAGAGGCAGACTCCTCCTCTGAGGCAGAGGCAACAAAGCTGGTCCCGCGGCTGCTCGGGCGAGAGGTCTTTGCTGCTGCAGATAAGGCAAAGAGTACCTTCAGATTGAGGTGCAAAAGAGGCGCGAAAGGCACGATATAAACTTCATTAAGACCGAACGGCCATACAAGCACCTACTTCGATTGTGCCTCCCAACCCGGAGTTGCAGGATGAAAAGCAGCTGCAGAGGGCTGTGAAAACATTGGAGACAGACTTTGGTCGTCAAGGTGGTGCAAAATAACTTGCATCAGATCTCGGGGCACGAAAATCTTGGATGTTCAGTCCCTGTTGCATACAGATAAGAAAAGAACGAGAGCTTCCAGCACCATTGGCTCTTGTTGAGTCTAAATACCGGATTTTCAAGGCAGTTCTTGAGTTTGCCGGGGAGTCCGTCAATTTTAACTTCCAGTTTCAACGATTTACACGCATTCAAGGCTGAAACCTTCACCAAAAAAGGAAACCCGTCCGTTGTATCTCACAAGCCTTGAAATTACTTGCCAAAAGGCGCTACTATTTGCGCATTCAGATTGGCAGAAATGAGGTCTCCATTCCCTGTGCTCGCCTGCCAAACAAATATATGCACAACATGCAAGAGCTTCAAATGGGACAGGAAGACCGGGCTCCTTAGGCTTCTAATTAATACCTATGCCCCAAGAAAAGGACACACTGTCCAAAAGAAAAGCCGTGCCTTGGCCTTGGAGGGGTCCCGTGACTTTTGTCAACCAAACTCACCAGCAACGAATGCTTTCCCATTCCCAAAAGAGTTGCCCCTAGGCAATGGGACAGCTACAGTAGGCAAGGGACCAGCCGCAGCTGCGCGGACCTGGGAGTCCCTGAGAGCTGAAATTGCGCTCAACGCTCCCGCCTGCGAGGCGATGATAGAGGAAGCCATTTTGAAGAGCGGCCTACGGTAAGGAGCTTCGACGGGCACGACCTAAGCTGAGGCGGTAATATTCAGCGTCCGGAGAGCAAATGCTGTGCAACAAATGACAGATTTCTGAAAATGCAAGCGCCTTTCTATGAGAGGGAGAGATGTGCGGCTCTGGAAGGAAGAGAAGAAGCTGCGAAGAGGAATAGCTTTCCTTGTGCCGTGGTGGCCGTCGAATATTGCTCGACGACCCCAGTTACAGTTCACAATGGATCTTTCTGAGTCTACTTCAGACCTGCGCTTGACAAAGACGACTGCGTAACGCCTTCACCCGCTCTTGTCTGGCGCGTGCCAATCCTGTGGGGTGCTTTTCTAGCCGTCCAGATTTTGAGATACTTCATCGATGAGCTCTTGCGAGTCGTCGATCTTGCCACATCACCGGTATCCACATCACTTAATACCACGAGTCATGTTCACGTGCTTCGATACGAAAACACAACTCGCGCTCTAGAGAGGCGAGCATCTGAGCAGTCCCTTCCCCTCAGGCTCCAGAGCTCTACGGTACGGTAGTATCGTTGTCAATTGGCAAGGTGGTGAGCCAGGCGTCTTTTTGCGGCTTTGGAGTGTGACTCTCTGAAGGTTGAAATTTTAAAAAGTTCAGCTTGTTCTTTTAGGGTTTGGAAGCCGGGTCGGCCTTCCTTAGCTTACATACGTTGCTACATGAGCAAGGCTTGGATTGCCAGCTGGTAGGGTGGGTGGCCAATGCTGAGCTCCGCAGGGCAGACGAGTTTTCAAAGGATCTCAGAGAAGGCGTAAGCGCCACATTAAGGACAGAAAGGTCGCCGACTTTCTGCCGGCGCTGCAAACTCTGGAAGTTTGCGACAACTTGCAATGATGGCCTCCGTAGTTTGCAAAGCATACGCTTTGCCTGCAGCCTCCGCTTCCGTCGGCAGGGCGTACAGCTCACAGAGCGCCAGCACGTCCGCTCTGACTATCCCGCATGCACCGCTGCATTTGCCTTTCAATGTCGGAAGCTCTAAACCTCGGAGACACAGGTGCTCTGGAGTCATTCTGAGTACCCTCTCCACATCTGCTGGCTTTAGTCATCATGATCAAGCTTCGGGTGGTAAGTTCTTGGCTGAGACTGCATGCATAGGGATCGCCACAATGGAAGCTACGAAAGAAATTGTGGTTCTTCTCCAGGCATAGGGACTCAAATTGTAGTTTGAGTTTGTCCAGTTCAAGCTTTGCATCTACTGAAACAAAGTAGATGTATAGTTGTTCAAGGGATTCAGTAGTTCCGCTGACACTCTGACTCGTTTCTGGTGGACCTTTGTGAGAGATATACTCGGTTTATTACTCTTTTTCATATGCATTCTGGTTCAACCATTTTTTACGTGCCTCAGGTTCACAAGGCCACTGGCAACAAGTAATAAGGCGGCAAGTTGGTGCCAGGGCGTCCGCTGGGAGCCTGAGCGGTGACGGTGGGGATGCAGAAAGCTTAGCGTGAGTCTTGAGTCGCATTTTTGAGGCACTATGATTTCACAGGGGCTCAGGCGCAAATGTTTCGCCCCCGGAGAGGTGTTCCCATTCACTTGGTACGCCTGTCTCCGTGAGGTTGGAAATTGAAAGATACTGTCGCCTTGGTTGCGAGCACAGAAGCTCGTCTCTAGCAGTGCACATTTGCTTGGGTAGTGCTAGCTACCCATGGTGTTTACCACCAAGAAGTTTACCACCATGGTAAAGTGCTTCATCTCATTATTCTCCGTGCTCCTGCAGGGCCGCCAAAGACGCGAGGGATAAACGCAACTTGAATGGCGTTATAGGCATCGGCGCCGTGCTCGCTGTATTGGGGGGCATGGTCGCTGCTTATGCAGTCGGTGGGCCTCGGGCGCTTTTAGAGGCTATATCAAAGTCGGGCCTTCCCGCCGCTTTCTCGCTCATCTTCGTCTCGGAGATCGGTGATAAGGTTGGTGATGCATTCTGCAAGTTTACCAACCGCTGCGAACATGTGATCCTTCAAGCGAGGCTGCAGCCCGATAGCTAGGGGCACAGTGTGTCATATCTGCACGTTTTCTTTGTCAAAGGAATGGAACGGTCAACGTCCAGGGACGTCTCTCGTGGGGCAGAGCGATGGCGCGATCCTGTTCATCCGCACGGACTCTCAAGTCAAATGGCGCCCTGCGACCATTTTCTCAGAGCTGTTGACGGAGACTTCCTCTTCCCTGCAGACCTTCTTCATTGCAATGCTCCTAGCTATGAGGCATGCAAAGATCCCGGTGAGTACTCAATCCCGTTTTGTTGAACAAATACATGGCTTGTGTTTCCTTGATTTGCCTGATGATTCAGACCCCTGAGCCCAGCGCTTTCCGGCAAGAAACCGGCTGATCTCTGAGATCGTTCGACTGACAGTACAGCTGCCTCTGTGACTGAAAGACACGCTTGGCACCATTGTAAACAACAATCTCCAGAGTGTGCACTGCCATTGATGAATACAGTTCCATGGATGGACCTGAACTGGACCTGAAGTGAGCTCAACCAGCATTTACTAATGCAATGCCACTCGAAACTGCAGGTTCTCGTCGGGTCGTCAGCAGCCCTTTCGCTCATGACGGTCATCTCCGTTGCTATTGGAAGGCTCTTCCAAAAAGTGCCCGCGCAACTGAAGACAAGTAGGCCACCCACCATCCTTTCCTTGATGTGAATTCCCCCCTGGCCGAAGGTTCTGGAAGCAAGTGACTTCTTCTTGGTGACGAAACCGCAATTCTCTTTGCCGGACGAAGACGGTCTCCTCTGATCAAAGATCCGTCTCAGAGACTCTGGCCCTTACGTGTTGGCCCTCTCATCAGGTCTGCGAGTCAGTCCCCGAGTCGGCGCAGTCTTACTACCCCTCCTGCTTAACACGCCTTTCACACGTCCTTAACACTCTCAAGACCCGTTTCGAACTTGAACGATTGTTGGTTATCGAACTTGAGCGATTGTTGGTTCCCGGCGCTCGCTCGAATCTACCCCCTTCTGTTTGCAGCCATACCCGTCGGCGAATATGCCGCGGTCGCGTTGCTTGTGTATTTCGGTTTCCGCGCGTTGAGAGCCGCCTGGCTGATGCCAGACGAGGCCTCGGTCGACGAGGGGGAGGAGAGCGAGTTGGCAGCGGCAGAAGAGGTCCTGAAAAAGCAGGAGGTACGTTCCTGAGGTCTAGTCTTTGACCTCCCCACTCATTTCTGTTTGTATCCGCTTGAAACGAAGTTCGAATGGGAAAGGGACGCTTGCTGACACCTCATAGTAGCGACCTTCGACGTGAGTCCCCTGAATCAAAGACGAGGACTTTGGTTCGAAGCGAACCTATGATTGAATAGTTGAGTCTTCGTCATCAAAACGAAGGACGTCAGAGCGTTGCACGTGCAAACACTCGAGCCTTGTCCAGAAGCTGTTCTGTCGAGGGAGTAGAAGCAGATGCGAAAACACGTCCAATCATCTCATGTCTATTTCTGTCGTATCCAAACGGCGACCTGCAAGTACCCCTTGGTGCCCGGAGTTCTGGATGTACCCGGGACACTGTTTCTGCACTTGCTCCAAGACAAACGCCACATCAATCGTCAGTGGAATCAAAGGCCGAGCTCTCAACGCACTTCTTATTCTCCGGCAGGCTGAACGGACCTCGAAGGTTAACAAGCTGTCCGTATGGGAGGTCCTGGTCGAGTCGTTCTCCCTCGTTTTCCTGGCGGTAAGGTTACCTCCCTTGTGTATTCTCCAACGATTTGCGTGCAAACCGCAGACCGTGCCCCGTCGTAGTTAACAAAAGAGTGCGCGGTATCCGTGTCAACGGAGGAGTAGTGTAGGAATGTCCGACAAAAGGGGCCGCAGAGGACTCTCACATGCAGGAGGGCTCTTTCGGCACTGGAATTGGATAGTGCATCATGGGGGCTGTCCGATGCGTCAAGTTTGGCTTGTCAGCGAAAAGGAGGAAAATATTGCGTAACAGACTGTGCGAAGCACTTCCTGCAAATGACGAGCAGAACGCTTCAGCGGCAACATGTAGCTTCCTCTTGAGGACCGAAAACCCCCTCCTCCTGTCTCGTCGTTACATGGCCCATCCAGCATTCGAAAGGATCTTGTTGGAGTCTTACCAGAATCCGAAGTTCCGAGGTCAAAGAGTCATGTTCGTGGCCGTTCCTCACAGTTTCGGAGGCTCACTTTTCTAGATAGTTCAAAGTAGATGTTGGGACTTCTCTCCTTACAGTAACACGTTCACGTCCGTTACGACTGTCTCTGCAGGAGTGGGGCGATCGGTCAATGTTGGCAACTATCGCACTAGGAGCTGCGCAAGTGAGCACCGGGTTCTGCTTTCTTTGTTACCATCTTTGGATGAGTGGGGTGCAAATTGGCCCCAGCTAACATCTTGCAAGTTCCACCTGGCTCTGAACGTCCTCAAAACGTCCTCGCAACTGCCATTGCGAGAGCCACTGCAAAAGCTATCTGAAAGCCAGCACCGTTCGTTTTGGGTCATGAGGTTGGGACGGGGGAGAACTCTTTAAAGCTTTGTTTGCGCCTGACCGACTGGCGAAACCTGGAAGAGCATCAGCCGTTTGGTGTGAATAGCGAGCCTCTTCTGGAACTATGTTGATGGTTCGGCCGATGACTTAGAGCACTCCTGATTCTCTCGGTGTGCTGACCCTTCACGAGCCTCGCCCTGTACAGTCGCCCGTCGGAGTCGCCCTCGGCGCAAGCGGTGGCCACGTGCTTGCCACTGGTCTCGCTGTCTTTGGCGGCTCATTTTTGTCGCAATACATCTCAGAAAAGCAGGTAAGCATGGATCTACGCCTTTCTTTTGTGCTGCGGATCTCTCCCCACGCACGTCAGACTTTCTCGCCCGATCTATGACATAGGAGCTTGACCTCGTAGACAATCTGACCTGTCAACTTATAAGTTCGGAGTTTCCGTTTGTGGGTTACATATGGCTCTGGCTTTGCATTCTTTCAGTCACCTTTTTTCCTGCTTTCATTCTTCGATGCAGGTGGGCTACGTTGGAGGCATTCTATTCTTGGTATTCGCCGTTGCAACCCTCATGGGAATTTTCTAGTCATTGTTCGATATGTTGAGTTAGGAAAGAAAAGATCCTCAGAATTTGGGGCAGTCAAGTTGAAGCTGGTTGGGACCCAAGGAGCCCCGTTTTGCAGGCCCAATCTATTTTATGATGCCAATGGGCATTAGAAAGAAGCAGACGTTTGTTGCTTTTCGGCGGGAGAAGAATCATGATGCCTGTTGACATGGGTTTGAGCATTATGCTTAGTACGGACATATGCCGCGCTCAGCTAGCTCTAATCCTAGACAATGCACTTGCTGTATATGCACCTGGAGTAATTCAGACACGTGTGCACTCATGATATATCTTTGTATGTAATCCAGCGATAATGCAATCAAATGTGCCAAATGTTAGTATGCATTGCTGCAACCATGGTGTATATGTCTAGTCGCAGACACTTGGATAAGCCCTACGATTATGTAAAGCAACTGTTGGGACTGCAAGCACAGGCGAGTAAATCGGTCCCGGCCGACAAGGAAAGTGATCAAATGAAGACATGCAAAGCCTGTGCTGGCCCTGATAACGATGGGCGCATCTGCAGCTACTGATCCATAGGCATCACAGGCAACTTGATCAGCACATTGTTGCAGAACGTTTGCAGCCATGCAGTTCGCCTTTTGCTGCTCTCTTAGGACAATTTGCCTTTCACACCCACATCTTGCAAATGGTATTGACGGCCGGTTTGAAAAAAATGTAGATGTTTCGCACGTGAAACGACGCTCCCTGCCAACGCCCTAACAAAGGGGTATTCACCACTCTTGTCAACGCAATGACTTTTTCAGACTGCCAATGTTGCGACCACAACTTTCCTGTATACTTCCCTCGCGAGGCCTCTGGTGATGGCGGTCAGGCTTCCCAATCTTATGATCCGAAGCCTGTAAGACAACGTACTTGGAATGTAGGCAAAGATTCAATGGTCCTATTGTCAGCGTAGAGTCCTCTAAGGCTTCTTCACAGGTGGGACTGGCGGCTTGGCAGGCCCATTGACAGATGGTGGTCCGCCTGATGCGCTGTTCAGGGAGCCACCGGGCGCCTTGGCGTTGGGGTGGTTCAGCTCGCCCCACGCATCAATCCACGTGACCATGGCCTCCCCGAGCTTCGTGAAGTATGGGTCAATGGCAGAGAGCTTGTCCTTCACTTGCTCCGCGAGCTCCAAGTAGCACTGCAGAAAAGTGACCCGTAATCAGCCGGCTGAATCAAGACTGCGATTCTTGATGTCATGTCAACTTCATGCCCAACCAGAGGACGCAGAAAGCCATTGGTGCATCTTGGACCAGAACATCATCAGTCTCCAGCCTTGATCTTACGTTTCAACAGACAGACTTTGTAACAGATCACACAGAACAATCTTGTTAGGAAGTCCCTCTGCAAAAGTTTTATTGAGGCTTGGCAAGCAATTGATCGAAACATTTGGAACATCGCCTCGAGATACAATGCAAGGATGACAAGCTTCTCTGCAATGCTTCCATATTGGTTCCTTCCATTTTCGTCCTGTTGGTCTTCCCAACATTCGCTCTTCAAATCCTGCTTCCAGTTAACCTTCCTTGCAATTTGGACGCTTATAAGACGTGAACATGAATTGCCCAGCTTGTGCATAATCAGTGAACAAGCATCAGGTTGCCAGCGAACTGGGAAGTTGCTCGTTACCTGCTCCACCGTGACCGCCTCCTTGGACAGCTGGACGGCCTGGAAGAAGGGGATGATCTCCTCTTGCCAGAAGATGCCCTTGTACTCCTTCTTCAGGTTGGTGAAGGGATTGCTGGCCTTGCTGTGCCAGATGTAAGGCAGCCCGGTCTTGACACCGTACCCAAGGTGGTCAGCAATCACCTGCAGAGTATGGTTGCCTGGTGTCAGACGTTGCTTCAGCTGCCACCTACTTTGTAGTCTTGCTCGCACTTCATCTGTCTTTGATGTGTCTGCTCAGGACTTCCCAGTTGATTAATCTGAAGATTGCAAGCGATTGCACATCTCATCTGTCCCCTGGTGATCGCTTCCAAGCTCGCTCTTTTCAAGCGCGATCATTTTGCAGGTGCAAGTCATCGCCCATGTTTTCTGTCCCTAATGGTAAGGTAGCGAAGTGTCAAGTCATGCAAAGCCTTGGACGATCACTTTCCGCTGCACGTCCACTCTCTATCACACACGCCCAGTCTCACACAAAATGCAGAAATACATCTTGAAACAACCTCGATTGATGCATTATGCATCTGTACGCGTCCGCATGGTCTACCAGGTGGCGCATTGCACTCAATCAAAACTGATGATGTTTCCTAGCAGTCCCGTCCAAGTAACTAGAACCATGAACTTTGCAAGCCAGATCTAGGTCATTATTCACCACCATGATCAGACGTCAATAGTGGCATGATGTTTAAAGTGCCGGACACGCCTCACCTTGACACACCACCCGGCCCACATGTCATCGTACCGTCCAATCGGCTGTCCGTCTCCCATGAGGCCAAAATACATGGCGGGCCCGATCAGGTCCCTGTTGAAGGCCAGGTTCATGCCGCACATTGGGAAAAGCGTCCCCTTGGGGATGGTCATCACAGCATCCACGAAGCGCGTGTTCCTCTCCGCTGGCTTGACTAGCTGGGTGGGGGCGTCATAATCAGGGATGTTCAGCCACAGCCCGTGGGAGACGGCGGTAGGCACACCTGGTGGCATGGAGTGAGGTGGCCATTAGACCAGAAAGTTGGAAAGAGCGATGTGACAGCCAGGGAGCAACATTTTGAGATGGCGCCTCATGAGTCGCAGGCAGAAATGGAGTCTGAGGACCTTGCAGAACAATTGGCAGAATCCTAGCAGATTGAGTAGTGAGCACGGCAAGAGAAAACCCTATTGCATTTTGTAGGCCCTAAAGATAATTGCTTCCTTACGAACAAACAAAACAAATGTCACGTTTGTTGCATCATGTAGGTCTAAAGTATTGCCCTCTGCATGGCTCAGTCCCAATGCAGATTGCCTTCAACACCGCACTCATTCCTAGACAAACGCAAATGTGGAGAAGTATTGAGTATAATGCAATTTGAAAGCAATAGATCAGTACAACAAGCATCACAGACAGACCAGCAACAAATCTGCTGATGATATGATAATGCACCCCCCAATCTTGTGCAAACCCTACAGATGGAAATTGCATAATCCTACCTTCTCTTAGGCTGAAAGGGTACCCACGCACAAAGTCGGCACCAGGTCTGTAAGGATCATAGAGGGTGTTCCAGAAATAAGGAGTGGCGGGGCTGAGCAGGTTCTTGATGTGCTGCTCCAAGGCATTGATGTCACTGCCTGAGGGATCTTTGGCAACCTGCAATAAGCACATCAAAATATCTGCTTGTCATGATTGCTGTCCTTCAAGCACTGATCTTCTGAGAGCTCGATCCCTGCTCTTCTGAAAGGTTTTAAAACATCCGCAACCTTCTCTCTTCGTCTAAAATGTCGCAGAGTATTGCAGGATGGTCTCATCGTTCATTTGATCAAAGCCGACACCATCTTACATAGGCGGTGATATCTTTCTGATATCCATCGGGTTGCTTTTGAGAGTTGTCAAGACTAAGGCTCTGTTATGATCTGTGCACTAATATCAAGTACATTCTAGAGGTACATTAGAATGGATCTACAACTGGTCTCAACAGATCCAATTATGGAAGACCAGCAAGATGCAAATTGCATTGATAATTCAGAGCTCGCAGAAGTTGGTAAAGCAGAGTCCAGAGAAGGGACCAATTGTTGTGAGTACTTACGAAGCAGTCGTCGTCAATTGTGAAGATGTACTTCTTCTTCGACACCATGAACCCGAAGCAGCGGCAGGCGCTGTCCTTGAATGAGATGCAGGATGCCTTGGGCCCTAGGATGCGGTTGATGTCATTCCTGTTGTACAGCTCATAGTCAAAGCCCTCAGGGACCTTGACTACCTTGGTGGGGTCACCATCCTGAACAATGATCAGGTGATATGGCTGGAAGAAAGGCCGCCACATCTCCAGGAAGTCGAGATTCCTGATGGTGGGAATCACGATATCTAGCTCCTTGGCGAGCGCCATGGCTGCAATGCACTTTTGAGCTGATCAAGAAGGCGGCTTGCACGCGGTGACAACTGATTGTGGAAAGGAAAGCCGCCTCTGCCTGTCCGATCAATGCCTACAATTTCAACCAACAAGAAGCCCGCTCCCCAAAACACCAGATATTGCGCCGCTGCTTTCCGAGGAGCTCGGAGACGAATGGATCTGACTCGGCTTGAGCGCTACCGCGAAGACGTGACTTTTGAAGCAAGGCCGGCCGCCGGGCCGGGCTTCTTGGCGGCAGGTCTGCTTGGATTGGCCCACACATGCATATGCAAAGATCGAACGGACACATTTTTTGCCCAGTTATAAAATTGATTTGTGAAACAGAAATCCTCATCGTCCCGGTGGAAGCTACCAGGTGAAGCTGCCAGTTTACAGACACAGAAAAGCAGAGCTTGCTACAGCTTGCTAGCAAGGTATGAGCCCGGTTTCTAAATTGCCGGAGTCGGCGACAGTTGAATAGAAATGGGTTACGATGCAATCTCCTAAACCCTTGCTCGCGAAGAAACCGGCAAGCCGAACGGTCTGCCAGGGACAAATTCTCATCATTGACATTTGAAGCAGCCAAATGCGCAAGATGTGGTGCCAAAGGACCGTCGGAATTTCTGGCTATGATTAAAGTATGAGTCGCTGTGACTGATATTGACACAGTTCCTCCTCGGAGAAGCAGTGGGGTAACTAGGCGTGCGACGAACATCTAGATCTTCTTCAGCTCCACGAGGCCTGCTGATCAAGAACAGATCTCTGAGATCTCAGTCTGCGCCAGCACTGAGCAGGCCAAATTGCGTGGTGCCAAGACGCCTTCTTCCTTTCAAAATTACAATGCAGCTGCCAGCTGAACCGCATTGGCTTTGGCGGGTGGTCTCCTTAATTGCATGGTTAGGCGATCAATACAAGCAATGCAGCTTGCTACTTGGACAACGCTGAACCCCATTGATGCCGCCTGCATGCAATGAGACAAATTGTCACAGCCATCCCTTCTGCCATGCGGCACGACCCACTTTCGAGCTTTTGTTGCAGTGCACCCGGCTTCATCGCAACAGCATTCTAGCTCGATCAATTTCTGAAAGCCATACGGATGATGCAATGCGTCAGTGACGACCATTAAACCATGGCCCAGTCCTACCACGCACAATGCTGTGTGGGCATTCAGATGGGAAGCAAACAAACCATAGCAAGAGTGCGTCACTCAGACTCCGTACGGATTGGTCTTCCGACTCCCCTGCCCAGAGCTTGCGCGCTCAGGGCATCTCTAAAGACCAAAGAAGCATGTGGGGCCGCTTTCAAGGTGCTTAGCTGGAGACCTCCTCACACTTTTCTAGAAGGCGTCGGGGCGCCATTACAGTGCCCAACCAGTCAAAGATCCGATCGTAGCGGCCACTTGAGTTGCAAAGCTGGCATCAAGGATAGTGAGATTTCGTCTGATGATGCAATCAAGGTGAGCTTCAGCTGCATCTAGATTCTTGGATCATAAGTACATGGCATTTGAGAGCACACTTCACCAGCAGCTTTGGATTTCAAGCTGCTTTGATTGGTCCTCTGACCTCTGTTTTTAGTGAGGGTTTTTTGCTTTTTCTGAAGCTGACGGTCCAATCTGGAATCCACTGTCAGTGTTTAGTTCTTTATAGTGGTTTAGTGATTAATTTCCGAGTCAGGGCCCACGGCATGAGATCTGTGTGCAGTCAATGACCAAGGTGACGTTCTGTGGTGGCGCCCTTTGTGACAAGGCGGTGGTGATCGCCCCCTTTTGTGCGACCTCGTTTTCATGGACTTTTAACGCACTTCTTTCTACCATAAACCTGGAGGGCTTGTTTGGTTTACACAATTTTTGTCCCAAGCACCACTAGATAATCACGCTTTGTTCATGTCATGTTTTACCACCATCAACTTGCAATCGCGGGTTTTCCATGTAAAAAGTGGTCACGTCAAATAAACAGGTCAGCCCTATCTGCAAAAGCACTGCTCCGGCTTGCTTGCCTATTCCTGCTCTCTCAGTTCCTTTGTCCCAGTGGCAGAATCCATCTTCCAAGAGCCTCTTTGAATAAGCGGACACACCGTCCGTTTGAAGTTCGAGTCTTCAATGTGAAAGCACTCAGCCTCATAAGTCACCACGGATTTTGTGCTCGCTCTTCTGAGAGCAAGCTATTGGCATGTTGGCCCCATTCAATATACATATGACTTCAATCTCCGCAGGTCGCTTCTCGATGGAGTCTTTTTGACGCACTGTAAGGCTCAAACTTCCATGGACACGCAGGATTACCAGTGCCATTTTTGTGCTCTACAACTTTACCTTTTCCTCAACCTCTTCTTTCCCCACAGATCCAAGAGTTGCTGGCAATCAACGAGCAGCAGCGGAAGCGGATAGAAGAACTAGAGGCGGCGATAGAAAACCAGTCCCGTCCGGCCGCTGCCGAAATCGTAGAGAAGCCGGTTGCTTCAGAAACACAGCCCGAAGAAGAAACCCCACCACCCATGCCGAAGGTGAGGCCCTTGCCGAGTGTACACTGACGAAAGGCTTAATCTCTCGATTTTGAAAATACTGACTTCTCGTGCTGGACAACCTGACAGGAATGTATCATGACTGCAAACAACACGCATGAGGAGTCTCACCTTGAACGCTGAAACAATGGAGCGAGGTCGCTCATCTAGTTATTCCGTTTGCACGCAGGCTCCCCCACTTGTGTCATTATTGGGCGCACTGGGGACGATGCGCAAAAAACAATCTCTGAAGGTCCGGAAGAGGCTCAAAGACTTGGACTTGGTGAGCAATTGTCGTGATGTCATGGTGCAAACCGTTATTGCAGGAATGTTTGGTTTGTGCATCCTTTAGTGGTTCCGCAACTTCAATCACGGTGGGAACTGCATCTCTGAACGACGGTGCTGCTTACCACGGAGGGTGCTCTCTGGTGATTCCACTAAAGTCACCCCTGGAATGCAAACGCACTGTCTTGTAGTCGCTGTCCTGTGATTCTCGTCATTCCATCAGGCAGGAAACCACTATGTCAAACTGTGTTAGCGAGTCACTAGACCGTCTCTTGCAATCTACAGGTGCCTGCCAAGGCTGAGTCCAAGGCTGAGTCCAAGGCTGAGCCCAAGGCTGATCTCAAGGCCGAGCCCAAGGCCGAGCCCAAGGCCGAGCCCAAGGCCGAGTTCAATGCTCATCCCAAGGCCGAGTCCAATGCTGATCCCAAGCCTGAGCCTAACGCTGAGTCCAAGGCTGAGCCCAAGGCTGAGCCCAACGCTGAGCCCAAGGCTGAGCCAAAGGCCGAGTCCAAGGCTGAGCCCAAGGCCGAGCCCAAGGCCGAGTCCAAGGCTGAGCCCAAGGCTGAAACCAAGGCTGAGCCCAAGGCTGATCCCAAGGCTGAGCCCAAGGCCGAGCTCAAGGCTGAGCCCAAGGCTGAGTCCAATGCCGAGCTCAAGGCGGAGTCCAAGGCTGAGTCCAATGCCGAGCTCAAGGCGGAGTCCAATGCCGAGCCCAATGCCGAGCCCAAGGCCGAGCCCAGGGCCGAGCCCAACGCTGAGCCCAGCGCTGAGTCCAAGGCTGAGCCCAATGCTGATCCCAAGGCTGAATCCAAGGTTGAGCCCAAGGCTGAGCCCAATGTTGAGCCCGAGGCCCCCTCCAAAGAACGTCCCAAGGCAAAGACCGTTGAGTGGCCGTCCCCCACTGATCCGGTGCCGTTCTGGGAGCGACCCGTGACGCCGTTGGCAGTGGATGCCGCGAGACCGGGGGACGGGGACGTGTCCCAAGACTCACACCCGATGCACATCGTGCATGTGACTGCGGAGATGGCTCCCCTGGCAAAGGTAATACTCACAACTGACACTCTTATATTAATTCAGGGTGAGACGGTTATCTCTCGTCATTGCGAAGCATCCACCGGGGTAGTTTGTTGGGGGACGCTTAACAAAACGGGTTGGCTCTCAACCTCGAAATCTCGACGAATCGTCTCCCTGAAATGTTTCTTCCGCACACCGGGTTTGCATCTTAGGAAGATTCAAAAAGGAAGCCTCTCCTCGAATCGAGTTTGCGGGGCTCTTTCCAGCCCCTCTGTTCCCAATATTCTGAATCCTTGATCCATCAATCTGGTCAGGTGGGCGGACTTGGCGACGTCGTGACCGGTCTTGCTCGCGCGTGCCTTGCCCGCGGGCACCGCGTCGAAGTGCTCCTCCCCTTCTACGAGTGCATCGACATATCTCAGGTGAGCTTCTCTTTCGTCCGACGTCGATTCACCGGATGCCTAGCCGGTCTGACGTGAGACAATTGCTTAGCTGAGGCTTCTGGTCGTGCTCCTGTGGCCCAATCCTGTCGCCAAGGCACCTTTGATCGATTTTTACACGGAACTGCGAACAACCTCCTGGTTCAAAGCAGTTGAAAGGGAAGCTTAGAAGCTAACATATGCGTTTGCTGCAAGGTTTTCAAGCCTCACCACCTTAGTCGTCTAATTTCTAGGCTTTTCACGTTGTCTCAAACCGGCAGCTTGCTTGGAAAAGGGCTGTCAAGCGGGTTCAAAGAATCAGGTCTCTAGAAAGTCTTCAAAGTAGAAACGACTGAGATTCTTTCATCCGTTCTCTGCCACAGGTGAACGACCTACAACCCGGCGAAGAGTACAACTCGTTCCACCGGGGGGGCTGGGTCAACCTGCAAGTGTTCCGGGGGGGGGTGTCGGGCGTCCCCGTGCTGTTCTTCAAGCCTGCGAACCACTTCTTCCGGGGGAACAGGATCTACGGGGGGAGCTACGACGAGCTGGAAGCGTACCTGTTCTTCAGCCGCGCGGTGCTCGAGTATTTCCAGGTGCGGTGTTTTTCGCTTGCATGATTCATTCCAATTAGTCCCGTCTTGCAAACTCGCCACCAGTTGTACCTCAAGTGTTTCGTGACCTTTAGCCGCCACAGTGCGCTCATCGTTCCTATCCGTAAGCTGGCTCTTCATGAGCACGTCAAGCCACAAGCTTCGAAGGAATGAGGTAATAAGAACGGAGACGGCTTTCCAACCCCAGACCGTTCGACGAGCATGTGTGCTGTTCCAAAGTGTAAATTTGCGTCAATCGTTCCGATGCTATGATTGTTAAGCGGCATGAATGACAATGTCGAGCCCGGGGGCCACGATGGGTACGCATGGAGAGCGTATCAAGACTGAGTTCACCTTATCGCATTCGCTTCTTCATTCGGTTGTTGGTCGTGCGCCTCATCATTCATACGTTGAAGCAAAAGCTCAGAGTGGCCCGTCCCCAATTTTTCGACTTTCGTTTGTTATTTCGAAAGATGCGGCACATTTAAGGAACGAGTTTAAACTCTCTGCTCGCGAACTGGTCATCGAGATCTACCGGTTCTTCTTTCTTTTCCGCTTCTCTTGACTCTTGACCTTCTTTTCCTTCCCGACTTTTCTACGAAGATCTCCTGACGCATTTACACCCCTGCAGTTCCTCTTCTCGCACCTTCTTCCGTCGATTTTTCTCTTAATGTGCGCTTCTGCAGTCATACATTAGTTTTATCGTGGTCACGTTGCGAAACAAGAGAACATACCGGACCCTGCCTCGGGCCTTCGCTCATACCTATCGTCTCTATGCTAATAGAGGATGCGATTACCGTACCTGTACTTGAAATTTCGGCAGAAAATAATCATGATCTGGCCTGCCGAGAATCTTAGAAATTATGAGAAGGCGATAATGGTCCGAAATGGTTATTGTAGCAGGTTACTAGGAGCCTGCCGAAAAGATAAGAAGTTTCATAATGAACTATTTAGCGTCGAAGGTGCCGAAATACAGGTACGGTTTATCTTCCGCAGGTGCTGAGTCAGCAGCCTGACGTCATCCACATCCACGAGTGGCACACGTCGGGCGTGGCTCTGCTGTACTGGGACATGTACAACGCGCTCGGGCTCACGCGGCCGCGCATCGCGCTGACCATTCACAACATGGAGCACGTGAGCGCTGCCGTCACTTCCGACTTGCGACTAACACTCCGCCAACTCTTTTCATTCCTGCATTTGAGCAATATGTTCTGCGAAAATTCTGATGTGGTTACTGAAGTCAGCGAGCCTGAAGAAGATAGTCGTCGGTCGCCTCGGAAGCCTACAGGAAAGAGTCATATAAGCGTCTGGTCTTCATAATGTTGGTTCGGTTGACATTGGAATTCCGCCAAGGTTTTCAACTCCTGTCTTAGAACACTGTTTTTTACCTTTTAAGGTCGTAAAGGAGAGTGCGGGAGCCTAAGAAGACAATTGTTGTTCACCTCAGAACTCTGCAGTAAAGGTTACCGTCTGGTTCCTGAAGTGTTGCTTCGATCATGCAGCACGGTGAGTGCCGCCGGGAGCAGCTCGACATGTGCGGGCTGGATGGGGGCTCCTATCTGGTACCGGATAAGGTAAGCCGTTTCTCTTATCGTGCATGTTCAGGGCCTTGATCTTTCGGTGTCAGCTTTTATCCTCTCATGACATGTATCTGCCGTCCCAGGCTGAGAATCCCGCATACTTCTACTATCAAAAAACGCAAGCTGCAGAAAGTCGAGGATCAGCAGGGCATTCTACTATCATGCTTTGTGAGGTAGTCTGCATTATTCCACGAGGCTTTACAACCTGCTTTCTAACGAACAGACTCTGCGATTTTCCCAACGCTCCGACTCCAATCAACGTCCCTCTCTCGCTGCATCATGTCTATCACTGCCTGCGTAGTCTTGGTAAAGTATAGCAAGCTGCAGAAACAGAGGATCGAATGGCAGCGAGGCTCTGCAGTATTCATGTTGACCTGATGATCTGCGTTAGCCGACCAATATAACATGATAACATCTTCAAAAAAGAATCAAACGCTCCAAAAAATCAAGCAACGTCTCTCCTTCTCTCAGGCGATCGACGACCGCACGATCGGGCACAACCCCGAGCGGGGCAGCCTCCTCAAGGGGGGCATCGTGTACAGCAACGTCGTGACTACGGTGTCCCCCACGTACGCGGAAGAAACGCTGTGCAGCGGGTGGCTCTCGTCCGCGCTGATGCGCAACCGGGAAAAGTACCACGGCGTGCTCAACGGAATCGACACCGTGCTGTGGGACCCGGAGCGAGACCCGCATTTACCGGCGACGTTCAGTGGTGAGTAGTTTTCTTTTGTTCGTGGTATTGATTTGCATGAGGTTGTCTCCTAGTGTCAGCTGATCTGTCGCTGTGGGTGCTAACTTTTGTATTGCGTCTCTGTTGGTTTCAGGGGATTGGCTACTTCAGTTTGTTCTTCCAACAACCTGTCGCATGCAGATTTTGCAATAGAGGCCTTGTTTGCGCGGCGCTCGGTTATTGCGATTGAGCCTCGATGGTGCCTAAGAGTGCTTGCCCCTGGTCATTGCACGAAAGTCGCCAACACCCGGGCAGGACTAGCGGCTTCGAGTCACTTCCACGGGACGTGTGGTTACGTAACCAAGCTGCGTCTGTGCCAGTGACGACCGCATTGCATGACGCCTCTTCCGGTACGAAAAACGTCGCATTTCGGGAACCCGCAATTGCTTCGCGAAGCCATAAAGTCAGGCACAGCGTTTGACCATACAAACCCAAAAAATTGACTGACCCACTTTCTTAACCCCTGTCAGCGGACGATCTAGAAGGCAAGCGCATCGTGAAGCACTACGTCCAGCGGGGACTGGGTTTGGCACCGGACCTCCAAACCGACCCGTCGAGCCTGACAGGGTTTGGTGACGTGGCCACACGACAGCCGCTCGTTGTGTGCGTGACGCGGCTAGTCGCACAAAAAGGGGTGCACCTCATCAGGTGAGATGCTTGCGGTTACAACAACCCAATAATTCGACTCGATTGAGTATTTTCTCTGGACTGCAAGCCTGAAGAAGTCGCACAGCCTGTCTGCAACGCGGAGCCTCTTCTCGTAGTGGTTCTGTGACTTTCTTCCCTCCTGAATTGGTGGTTGAGATCCGCTTGGCTTCGACTCCCGAGGCCGCTGCCTACGTCGAAAATGGGAAACTTTGAGTTGCCTTGACATCACTCGTCGCGTGTAACGAACAGCACATCACACAAGAGACAAGACTGACAGGGAAAGCATGCAGCCCATTGAAAGGCCCGTTGCTTGCTCCCTGCCGGTCACGAACCTTGTCAACCCTCGTCAATCCGCACTTGATCCGAAGCCCACTTTCGACTTCTATCAGAGTCGCATGCCTCCAAGGATCCGCGCTTCCTTCGTCCCGTGGCAGCATCTCGTGGCAGCAACTCGTGCCGATACAACTCTCGTCCTCCTCGAATCATTCCAAATACTCGATCAAGCTCAGGCAGCAGACGAGCACTCCCCCGAACCGCCCCAGAACCTGCCAGCAACGGAAAGCGCACGGTTTTCTCTTCCCTTTCTCGCTGCCCCAAAAAACGCACGGTCTTCACCCCCTTTCTCGCTGCCACAAAAGTCCACGCTTTTCACCCCCCTTCTCGCTGCCCCGTTTCTCGCCCCCCTTCCTCGCTGCCCCGAAAAGCACACGGTTTTCAACCCCCTTTCTCGCCGCCCCAAAAGCGGACGTTCTTCACCCCCCCTTCTCACTGCCCGAAAACCGCACTGTCTTCACCCCCCCTCCTCGCTACCCCGAAGGCGCACGGTTTTCGCCCCCCTTTCTCGCTGCCCCAAACGCGCACGTTTTTCACCCCGCTTCTCTTTCCCCCCCCCAGGCACGCCATCTTCCGCACGGCTGAGCAGGGCGGCCAGTTCGTGCTGCTGGGTAGCGCGCCTGACCCGCGCATCCAAGCCGAGTTCCAACAATTAGCGGACCAGTTCCGGGACAACACCGCCGTGCGGCTCCTGCTTACGTACAGGTAAAGCGCGGAAAACTTGTAGATATTTGACGTCTGCAATTTGGGTCAAGTTTGAGGCATGGACGTTCTTGTTTTGGTTTCTGCGGCTTCAGAGATCTGTTGCTTTTGTGGGAAGTCAGGTTATATTGAGTGTCCAGCTCACGACGCCTTCGCGTCAAAGTTCTTGAGGTTGTCGAAATGCTGTTGCCTGTCTTGAGGACAAAGGAATTTGGGTGTTTGCAATTCTGAACGAGAGCTGATCGTCGGAGTGGCAATGCTTGATCACTCACAATGAGAGCAGAGCACGTTTTGCAAAGCTTCTGCTGTGGATGTTTGCTCGTGTTTCAGCGCTAGGGTCTCGGAAAATAGGCAGCTACTTCAAGGCATTCGCAACATTAACGAAAGCGGTTGCGGAGGAGAACCGGAAGAGCAGCTTCGGGGAGGGGCAACGGTCACGGTAAACGGCTCACGCTTCCAGAGCAAGCCGGCTTGCTGACGCTAGTTATTGGAACCCGAGCTTTGAACCTTGCGCTTCGCAGGTCCACATTGTTCCAAATAAACCGAGGGGCATGGGTTCGTCTCTGCACACGCCCACCTCTTTTTTCCGTCTCAGCTGGAGCAAACCCGTCCAAAGAACGGAAAGTATAAGCAGATGGGAAATGCGCAACCTCGATCCACAACTGGTCCCTCAACAGATGGACACGACCCTGAATCAAACGTGTTCTCCTCAAGACTTCTCAGATTGTTACAAATGATACCGATCGGTACCAATCAGCAACGAGCAGTACTGCTCAGACTGTCATTAGTACCACCAACCAGTACGATCAGCGCCAATCCGCACCAATCAGCAATCCCGATCATTCTTGCAGTGAGTCCCTGGCGCATCTGCTCTTTGCCGCCGCGGACGTGTTGCTGGTGCCGTCCATGTTCGAGCCGTGCGGGCTGACCCAGATGATCGCCATGCGCTACGGGACGATCCCGGGTGAGGCCGCGCGAGCACTCATCACCGGATCTACTTTTTCTTTCGTCTTTTTTTGTTTCGACCCAGCACTTGAGGTCCCGCGTGCTAAGGCTGAAGCTCTTTGCCAAGGACGAGACCAGGCGTTGCTGACATTGACAGTTTCGGTGCCTAAGGCTTGGCGCATGCCGCCAGGACTGCCTTTCTCGCCCGCTGCAAGCCAACAGTTTTGCGGGACAATTGTGAGAATGTTTTTGTGAGCCCCTGTTTGTTGGTGAGAGCAACCTATGAGGAATCAGGAGTGGCTGCAGTGAGCGACTGCTCACGTGGCAGTGCCACGAACTGCGTCGAAATTGATGCATTGGCTCAGGCCAGATTGACATTGAGACGACTTCTGCTTTGCGCTGCTCTCCCGATCCTCCTTTACAATGCTGGGCGTCGCACAAGCTCGTGTCAATTGGATCAAGAGACATAGTAGCACCGGAACAGGGCGGGCTGTTGCTCTGAAACTTGTCAAAATTGTCTTGGCTGGCAGTCAAATTGGAGCAGCAGCAGCTGGACTCATGTTGAAGCGCTCGGTGGTCTTTGAATGTTCGTCTCTCTCAGGCAATGGTTCTCAACTGGATGTCTAAGTGTCTTCATCATGAGCCAGAACGTTCGTTTGAGCACGTTTGACGTCATGATGACGTCTGAGCCGTGTTTGGCAACCCGCGTGCAGTGGTTCGACGGACGGGAGGCCTTGCGGATACGGTCTTCGACGTCGACAACCAGGCGGACCAAGAAAGAGCCAACGGGTGAGCAGCCCTTACGGGGCCTGGCAGCCGTTCATTCGAAGACGCATGTGACCTTTTTTTTCTGGTCTCCATTGTCTCTAGCAAAGCTTTTGCTACTGCGACTTTTAGAAGCGAAGCTCTGCTTATATTCATGCTCAGCGAGGTCGAGAAAGTCTCTTCACATGCATCCTTGCTGGAGAATCTCTTTCAAACAACTGTTTTCTCAAGGTGGAGCACCACTAAAGGGGAATTCACAGACACATGTGGCGTAGCCGTCGTAATTGTCTTGAGAGCGGCTATGGTTACCCTGTTTTTGAGCTATCCCTCTTTCGATCTCCTAAAAGCAAAGGACCATTCTTCGACGTCCGATCTGGCGACGTCGCCACGTTGATGCTGACGACCGCACGACCACCTTCATTATCAAACTTAAAAAACTCGCATACAGGTACGTCTTTGACGGCATCGGCGAAGGGGATTTGGACTCCGCGTTGGATCGGGCGTTGCGGCACTACAAAGAGAACGCCGAGGAGTGGGATCGGCTTGCGTCCAAGGTCATGAAGATCGACAACAGCTGGAACAAGTCAGCGGGCCAGTATGTTGAACTATACTCCGGGATCCGAGCATGATGCAATCTGTATTAAGCACGTCCAGTCCGACTTCGATTGCACGCCTTTCCGACGAGGTTTTCGGATGTACACCTGGATTGAATGGTCCGACCAGTGCTGTTATTTATGTTCTTGCTTTAGGCGATGGGTCCGCTTCCAATCTGCACTGCCAGGTGGAAAGATGACAATGACGCGGGTCATCTGCCGCAATCTCTCCAGTCCGACCGGGCGCCATGCCTGCTCATATTCACAGAGCTCTAGGACCGCGGTCAATATCCGATTCTCATAATCCGATGCATGTAGGTTTTGCTGACGGTGGCATGGACCATGCATGACTCGCGAGCACATATGACATGTTCAGTACATAGATTTCGACGTACTGGTTTTATACTTGCTCATGCATACATGCAAGTATCAATTAGTACGTCAATCTCTGCAGACTTATGCCTATAGTGAATTCAAAGTAAATTATAGCTCAGTACTAACAAACCAACATTTGAAAATTCAAGGCGTGGCGCATGCATGCGCAGACAGACGTCATTATATCACCCTAGTATATGCGGACTCATGGCCATGGACGTACGGCAGATTCAAGTGCAGCGACTTATTTTAAGCTGTGGGCCATGCATGTGCAGATCCGACACCTTACTTGCATGCAAGATTCTCAAGAATGGTACCTATACGCGTATGCGTCACTCATGCACAGTTAGTCACTGACCGTGACCCATAGCCTATCATTGGAAATTTGTCCTCAATCATGATCGAGCAAGCAGTCTCCCGCGACAGCATATAACCCATAACCACGTACGTACATGCACTTGAAAGCTTTGCCGGTTGAAGAGACCTGATTTCAGATACGGACTCCGCCCTTATACAAGAAGCAAAAGTGGCCGGCGATTGCCCTAACTAGATGCAACGTAATGCAGGTTGCAGCTCAGTCCTGACAGTGTTGATTCTGAATGAAGGACGACATGAGAGAGGCACAGCAGTAACTGAACGAGAACAATCATGTCGTCAGCGCCACCGTCCCGACTGATTTGCTGACGTTCCTACAATCGCTAAGCACTACTATACTCTATCTATCAGATTCCCTCTTCAAACGTCCCTAACCAGTTCCTACTTCCAAGTTTGATCGGTTGCAGTTATCGAAACCGTTATTGTTGCATAACGCACTTGAGGTATTGTATTGCCTATTATCAACTGAATCTCTGAACACATGTGGCGACACCAAAATGGACGCAGTAAACAACCTCTTAGTACCTCTTTGTACATGGCCTCACGTAACGAACTCAATCCCAGCAGTCGACCCGTCCCCACCTCTTTACACTTGTCGTATATGTTTTCTGCTTTGTCGACCTTATTGTCAACCTCGGAGCGCCCTCCGCGATCGCGTAACCTCTCTAGTTCTTCAAAGAGTGCACAAATTGCGGTACAGCAATCCAATCAGCGGTAGTGTCAATCCGTACTCGCTCCCTAGAAAGATATGTATCGGCGCCTGTCCTAGACATGTCCCCGTCCTAAGACTCGAACTACGTTGCTGTCCAAACACGGCCACTCTCAAAACATTCTCGGCACTCCCGCAAGAAGAGGGCGCGCGGGGGCTCTCGTCCGTGACCATGCTGAGTCAGCATCGCTCTGTAGCTCGGAATCCTCTTCGTCCAGCTCGGAGCTCTCGTTGATCGACACGTGTCGTCGTCCCTTCTCGGGAATCACTGGACAAGGGCTTGCAATGCCAGCGGGGCATTTTCCGGCTGCCTGCAAATGCGAATCAAGTCCATATGAGCCCAACGACTCCAAACGGTAAGCGCCGTTCTAGGGAAAGAATCACTTTCGCATTAGACGTGACGAGGAGTGAAATGATTAAAACAATGCTCGCAACCATGCGAAAGGCAACACTGTTCGACCTTTGATTGCTCAACACTGGAAAGGCACCTGACTGGAAACCACCTCGCTTGGATGTTGAGGGAGAATAAGGCAATGCCGAGAGCAACGCCAACCATTTTCCGGTTCTCAGGATCGCAAGAGCACCACAACTGAGTAAGAAAACCCTTAGACGAAGATTGGCTCACGGGCAGCCACCAAGTCATGGTACAAGAGTGGGCTGCAACGTGCGGGAAATGGAGCCAGAGGAGTGCATTCTCACCGTTTGCACACGGCCGCCTGCAGGCTGGAATTGCCAGTTGCGGACCAGTCCGCGGGGGATCGTTGGGGGCCACCCGGGGGCCGTGAAGGGGCACGGGACTAACACCCACTTGCAGATCTCGTCCACGTGTAACTGTCACAGGCAGAGGGAAGAATTGCAATGAGGGCGACACGAAAAAATTCGAGAAGCTCGGTGGGAAAGACAAGACCCGGTATGGAGAAGTAAAATGAGCGGGAAGCTCGCACAACTGTGGTACATTGTCGAGAACCAGGACACGAGTGCGACTCCATCGAGATGGCAAACTGAACGAGGAGGCAATCGATCAGATGTGTAAAGCCTGAGAGCTCTTGTCGCAACAACGTCGCAATAACGTCCCAAGACACCCTTTTCGACCAGACCACCCACAAGACTTCTATCAGACAGCACCAAAAGTTCAGAAGCATTTGGGATTTGGCACAGCAGTCGAAAACGGAGTATCTGCCTCACCTTGAGGAGTTGCCGCGGCCCCTGCCACGAACAACCCTTATGAGGGCACTGTGCCGGTGTGAATGGGCACTCCAGCTTGAGGTGCGCACCCATGAGCCCAATCGGTCGCCGCTGGCCGCACAAATCGCACAGGACTGGGGGGCTCAGGAGCTTGGAGCCGGGCAGTAGTACCGGTTGGGCAGGGGTGGCGAGCGCAGGTCGGGGGAGGCATACCTGCCACATCAAAAGGCCGGAGGCTTGAAGGCAGCTTTTACAAAGAAGTCTTTTTCCGAAAGGGGCAGTGACAATTCAGAATCTTCCCGCCGTTTTCTAGGCCTGAGGTCAGAAAGGCAAGAAGACTCTGCGACGAGGAACGCTTCTTGTGAGAAGTACATAGGGTATGACTTGTAATCAGACTCAGATGAAAATGATGCACTGGTGAAACACGTGAAGAAGGGGCCAACATGACTTACGAAGCCATTGGAAGAAAGCATCAAATGTCTAAGTGATGTGTGCTGGTTCTTGAGTGATAACCCATGCACCCACGGAATTTCAAATCATACAACATCCAACTCTCTGAGGTCCTGGGGATTGGGCGTCTGGGACAGCAAAACTCCCCTCTATATAGCCTACTTCAAATGGGCTGACGCAATGAATGCTTGTGCTCGCCTCCGAAACAAACAGTGAACCAGGACAACAACCAGCGTGGCAGGATGAGCATAACAATGAAGACAGAAGCTCAGTCTCCTAGATCAGAGGGTAGATAGTCAGACGCCTTGCAGAGTGAGCCCATGTCCTGGCCATGTTCCTGAAAAGGAAAGGGATCCCTCACCCTTTCACAGGGCCCTCGTTCCTCCCTCCCACAGTTGACCTCTTCCGTTTGTTGTGACTGGGCTGGTGTGGGGCTTGCGCTCCGAGAGGGAAGCCTAAAGGTCTCAGATGGAGAGGCGTTGATGACTGGTGAGCTGGGATGGCTAAGAGGGATGGCTAGTCTGACTTGAGGAACCTCTTGGCTGCCTAACAGCTGGGAGGGGGCAGTCCTCCATGGTAAATGCGGAGCCTCAATCATTGCCCTTGGTCGCTGCGAGAGAGAAACGCGTGTCAGCAAAATTGGGAAAGCTTGAAGAATTGCTTTCAGGCAAAGCAACTAACGTCATGGCCTCGGATTGGACAGAGGCTATCAACAGTATATGCTCCCAACAGCCCCATAATGGGACTGCCCGATTACTCACTGACGTATGTCAAGTCACTCTGATCTAGGGACCTTCAAACTTCTTTGAAAGCACACAGTGACACAGTGATGCAGTGATGATGCACCAATGATGCATGCATCATGACCAGATGTGTCCTTGATTGATGGACTGAAAATGGATGGACACAAAGCTGACGACCTTACAGCGAACCGGCTAGAGAGGCCCAAACACCTCAACCGAAAACGTATTATGCGAGAATTGAGCCAACACACCAAGACGTCACGAGTGGAACGGTCAGTGCTTGGCTGCCCAACCTGAAAAGTGCCCATGAAGAACCGGCTCTTCAGATCACAGACGCGCAGACTGCCCAACAGCTGACCATACCAGTAAAAGGAAAAGAGCAGCAAGGGGCAGTGCCCAAACCGGGCCAAGTGCGCTTGGAACCCCCACTCCTTCCGTTACATCCCTTTTTTGTCAAAAGACCATGAACGACAGATCTAGAACACAGTGATGAGCTTCACTCCATGGGCGACAATTATGCACATGCTATTGCGTCATGTGACATTATGCACGTGCTCTCTCATGTCGAGGTAAACAAACACTCCACCAGCATCCTTGATGCGCTAAGGGGCTGTATGGCTGACCTTTCTTCCACCGCAAGAATGCCAAAGCATCTGCTGGGAAGGAGTGGGAACAGGAACGGGAGCGGTGGATGGTGGTGCAGGAGTGCTGTCCATGGTGGTCGGCTGGGCTCCGTTAAACAGACGCTGCATCCATAAGAGCTTGCTTTTGCTGGCTGGAAAGAAACTACAGTGCACTTGGATTGATCAGTCTACTCTGAATGCTGGACAGCTGCGCAGACAATCGGGGCTGAAGCGTGCCTGGGAAGCGGGTTCCAAAAGGGAAGCGGTGAAAGAAGTGGGGCACTATCCAGTGCTCGACTTTAGCAGGAAAAGCTGCGCTTAGTTGGCCCGGCATGCCGTGTCCCAGCAAGAAGGGCTGAAGCCAAACAGCTCAGTCCCCAATTTCTCTGATGCGAGCTGCAGAAGGGCAGATGGAGTGCCAAATAAACCGGGGCCGACACAGCCTGAACAGAGAGTCATCAGAACCAGAGGGAGTGCCCTGAGTGCGTAGCTCACCTGTGCGAAAGAGTCGCAAGGGAACTGAAGAGTTGGTGCAGTGTCCGAGAAGAGTCGAGAAGGCGCAACTAGGGAGGGCTGATTGCTGGCGGTGGTTCCTTGATCCTGGTGCCTCTTAGCTTGCTCTACGAGGTGCCGGGGCAACGACAGCTCGTATTGCTGCTGAGCTGGAAACATGGTCCACGCTGCCGACGTCTGTGCTGGTTGAGCAAAGCTCCGCACAGCTGAATGCGAGGCCGACGCCTGTAGTGCCTCTAAGCTGCCTCCCCGATGCGCGGCAAAGCCAAGCGTGGGAGCTACAATGCATCCGCCCTGGCCCGCTTGCCCTTCAAAACAACCGTCCATTCTTCACTAATATCAGCAGCTGGAGATAATTATTCCGGGTATGGATCGACACCCAAACAGGTCAGTAGTTCCAATGTCAAGCGACCTGGAAACAGGGACAGCACTCCTCCAAAGGCAAAGGCCGTTCCACGTTCCCGAGGTTGTGCATGGTTTCCACGCCCTTCGCAGGCGCTGAACCGCACCTGCAACTGGGCGAGTGACACATGCAAGCAGCCCTTTGACATTGTTACTCCCATCATTGGACCTCGCTTTCTCGGAGCTCAGCGCAGGTCATCTACCGTAGGTACCGTATTATCTCTGTTGCTACTACCTACTACTACCTACCTAGCTTCCGCAGTGCTCGGAGCATTGGAAAGTCAGCGGCCACTCGAAATCACCTGAGCTGAGCCCCGGAGTCAGCGCTGCAACTTCCATGCAACTCTGAAGGATGCAGTGTGCACACTGCATGCACCACCATAAATGCCCATCTGGACTCCGGCCTTGTGCAGTGTGCAGTGTGCAGTGTGCACGCCGCACGGCTTTGCCGGTATCTTTGCCGGTGCGCTTCGCGAAGCTTGCGACGTGCCGAGAATGATGCCGTTCACAGAGGTACGGTCACCGGTAATGTTGTGACAGCCGCACTTTCTGTTCCTAGGTAGGTACCTACCTACCCACCCATTATACGACAATGGAAGGGCAATACCTACCTAAAGTACCATGCCTCTAGGTACCTAGGTACGGTAGGTACCGTTGGGACACCGTAGTAGGTACGAACAGCCGTACCGGTCTATACCTACTAGAATTGACGGAGACGTGGACGGTGGCTGAGGTAATACCTGCGGACGTACCGAAGTGGACTAGCTAACTTCGATAACTCTCGTGTGACCTAAGAGCCGTGTGACCTAAGATAGGCACCCGGGGGACGGGTGGGGTTGGTATGGTGGTTAGGGTGGGTTGGGGTGCGGAGCGGGTGATTATTTGGGTTAGGTGTTTTAGTTTGAAGTGCCCGGGTAAAACTGTATCTTAGGTCACACGCCCGTTAGGTCACACGAGAGTTACCGGTATGACTAGCTACGTACTAGCAACGGTATCTGTACCGTAGATTTGGATATCCGGCGAGTAACGGTAACGGTAGCAAAAATTTCGGGAGGTAGTACGTACGTGCTACGGTATTAGGTACCTGTAACCTAACGGTAACCCAGTCGGGGGAGCCACATCGGCAATCATCAGAGCTTGTGGTCACGACGACGTCGGATTCGGTTCCCAAGACCTGAAAACGCGGGGGGCGCCCTGCTCATAATTACAGTGCGAGCGCTGCGGTAACTCCTGGAGTACCGTAGAATTCCGCAATTCTCCGACCGTGTGGCGTGCCAAGTCCCGAGTCCCGACTGGTTGAGTGGTCTTTGGTGACTCTCCACATAATTCCGTTAAAATACTGCAAATAATGATTTAATTAGCGGGTAAGAGCAACGCCTAACTGAAAAGTTTAACCGGGAGACAACACAAGCTTTTCAAACATGCCTATCCTAACCTTCTCCCTCGCTAACCCTACCCGTCCCAGTATTGAATACATTCATGGCGCTTCAGTGATCATGAAATGGATAACTGAAACTGGTTTGCAGGCCTGACCGTAGGACCTCCGAGTCCCGACCTCCCTAGGTATTGGTAGGTCTGCCGTAGATGTCTGATGGAAGCGTCAAATTGCACGCGCCGCACGGTACCGGTACAAGCAGGCAATTTGTAAAATTCGGTCCTTAAATTCACAGCTAGGGGTATCCTTTTACTGACATGCCCGAAGACAAGGCAGAACTGCCATATGCGTGCTAGGTGCGAATGCAGGGCAACTCGAGCGAGTGACAGTGCACACTTCAACGTTCACACTGTACACGTACAGAGATGTCATACGACGGTTGTCCAACTGTCTCAAGCTCTGAACTGTCATCGTTCATGCGAGTCTGGTGAATCGTGAGTCGTGACGTACTTCCTAGACCCGTTCTACGGTAAGTACCTAGTACGTTTCCCTGGAGGCCGCCGGCTTTCTCGCTCACTTTCAAGCGGGATCCGGGATCGGTATGGTCGCACCGTCACGCACGAGCTTTGGATCCTGGTCCCGACTCCCGACTGCCTTGAGGGTTGGCCGATACGGTTTACTACGGTATTACGATTTGGGCTGCCTCCACTAGCCGGGGGATACGGAGTACCCGGCAGCCGGCTACTTCTCAAGTTTCTCCAAGGAACCGGGAGCTCTTCCGCAGAATGCGTTGAATGAAGTAGCCGCTTCTACACCGGGGGCTGCTTCCGCCGATCGCTGTCAGCGTGCCACGTTGACTCAAAGAGTCGCGCAGTCATTCAAGAAAGCAGACTGTCGGTGCTCGCACGCGTCCGGGTTCAACAACTCTACCATTTTCCTGAAATCTGATTAGTCAATTGCCGATCGGGGCGGCCGAGTAGCCTACTTTTCGAGGGATACGTACTTGCCGGGCTTTTCGAGGGATACTTGCCGGGCAAAGTAGCTAGTAGCTCCCGATCATCGCGGACCGCAAAGTAGCCGGGTGGAGTATCCCGCAGTCTGGACGGGCCGGCTACTTCAAGGCTTGCCCGGGATACTCCGGAGGGGGGTACTCTGAGTGGCCGACGACCCAAGTAGGTAGGTATCCGGCAGTGTGGACTCTGGACTCTGGAGTCTGGAGGCGGCCTTGGGACTGACAATCATCAATTGCATGATTGTCAGATCGTCGGCCTTCGCGGCGGACCCGGCCGTCACACGGGTCCCGGAAGTTTCTGAAGGTGTTGTACGGTCTACTGACTCTGATGGGTCGGTATGACTCGGAGGTACCTACTCACTGCTCAGTGCTGCATCACTGATCAGTGCGCAGTGCTCAGTGCGCAGGTAGGTAGGTACCTAGTACAGTGTACACCGTGCCAGATTCCAAGTTGGCACAGATTTTATCCAGAATGGGCGGGGCCGGTGAGCAGACGTCACCGTCGAATGATCACCTAGTAGTAGCCTGTGGGACCTGGGTGCTTTTCGGAATTCCCAACAATCCACTTTCGGTTTTACCAAAATATGCTGGCCACCGGGCGGCCCGTCGTGCCGGCCCAAATGCCTTGATCGGAATAGGTTTGCCAATTGCGTATCCAGATTCCACCTACATTTGTATATTTAAATACTTGCATACTATACGCCCTGTTTTATAGGCCCCTGAACATTTTTCATGTGTTGTGCTTGCTGGAAATACTACTTCTACTTTCGCATTCCTACCGAGGGGTCATGCGGTCTGTGTCAGGGGTTTTTTATCTATCAGATCGCCCAGGGAAAGGTTTTTGACAACCAAAACAGAAAAGAATACTTCAAAATTGAAACACTTTATACTACGAAAGGCAAGCTGGAGATGCCGGCCCAAGAGGTCCCGCAACACCCGCCGGATAAGCCGGAGACGCCGCCAATATTGCGCTGGCCCGGTTTGACCATTGCGCGCCGGCCCATTTACCAAAGAGTGGGCCGGCAGGTGAGTTACTGCACCTTACTGTACTACCTTGGGCTACATTTTGCACATGCGCATCAAGGACCGTCATCTGGTCGGCACTTGGGCGGGCACCTTGACTACCGTGGCCCGTGGGTACCGTACGGGCAGTCTGTCTTGGAATATCGATGCAGGGCCCAGCCTGAGGCCAGAACCTGCAATCTAGGTACCTGTATACCGTGATACCGTACGGTACCTACCTATTAAATACCATACCTAAGTTAAATACCAGTAGTACCGGTATACCATAATAGTAGGTACTATAGGTACCTACTAGGTGTCAGGTAGAAGACCGTACGGGTTATCACAACGTCAGAATGATCGTTGAAACTAGGGAGGTGCGGAATACAGGTATGACGGCGTTCACAGCTCAGCACAAGCTGCACAAGCACATTGCATGCAGCACCTCGATCATCCTGTATGTTTAATTGGCTGCAAAAGCCGACGTGGCATCCATGTAGGACCCGGCCCCGTGTTCAGCCTGAGGTCACCCTAATTCGAAATCTGCCATGTGACATGTCACCATCTACCTAGCTGGCACGTGCATCCAGGTCAACAACGCGTCGGCCTCTGCAGCCCCGAGGGCCATTGAATGCGGACAACGCTTCGAAAGTGAACATCATGCATCAACTTCCAAGACTTGCAATACCCACCCACTCATTGACTGCATTGTCTTTGTCAGATTCTCATGTGGTCCTTCCTCACGAGTTTGAGACCATCCCCCTCGGTTTCATAGCATTTGATATGTAGCTTTTAAGTTTTTGTTTTGCGAGCTGCCTTTAATCTCGGGCAACACAAGCTACACAACTCTACATGCGATGAACCTTGAAGGGTGCTGTCCAGGTGAGTCTTCCCTCCAACCACCGTAAAAGTTAGAAGTTCCTAGAATGAGGTTCAGAGCAAGCCAGTGCGACCAGGAACTTGCGACCTTCAAAACGTTGCAGCACCATGGTATTAGCATCGTGAGCGCTCGTTGAGCAGCGTCTCAGCTGGTTATGCAATTGCGCTTCTTCTGTCATTGCTAGCTCGTGGGGCCGATTGTTGGTGGTGGGGTTTTGTGAGCACAAGTGGTGCGTGCCTCTGCTCTAAACCTCTTGTCCCATCTTGCTTTGGTGTTGGATTTGGTTTCGGAAAAGTTCTGTTGTTCTGCTAGCTGGGTGGTGCTTTCTGACTTAAAAGTACACCGTGTTTATGCACACCACTTCCTACATAGGCTTTCTGCAAACCCATCCGAGCGACATGAGTAGTTGAGATTATTTAGCCCACAAGGTTTTCTGCAAACCCATCCGAGAAACACGAGTTGCTGAGATAATCTAGCCCACCATGAGCGTCTGCAGTGGTGTGGACTTACAGTGTCTGAACAGGTTTGACTGCTGCCTACAATCATTGGTGCATGACTTATCGCAATTGAGAGCCTCTGATGTATCTATTTCTGCGCAATCACTTACACTGCACAATTGGGTCTTCTGAACTGGCAAGGGCCCGTACCGAACAAGTGCTTGCTTCAACCAGTCACCTGCTGCATGCTGCAATAATCCTTCCGCAAGACCCGAAGCATTCTAAGGGTGGTGATCGAATGAACCGACTTCTTCAGAAGCGAAGACAAGGGAGAGACTACCTTTCCGTAATTCCTGAGTTTGCAAACACTCTGCGCCCTCTCGGTGTTCTCCATTTCTGCGATTGCATAAAACCTACTGCCAACAAGCTTGGCTGTGTTTAAAACGTCGCCCATCTACGTTCAGGAAGAAGAGTGGCTTTTAAATATCCATAATCAACGGACATTTATCGTTAGTCTCAGCTGCTCGAAGTATGCTCCAACGTGCTCTTTGGTCTTTGCTGGACTGGAGGCTTTGGATTTTTGAGTCAAGTTTGCTGGCCCCACAAAAGAGATAGCAAGACCGACACTTCATCTTTTCTGCAGCGGAAGGGCAGAAGTGACGGCATCTGTTGCGTCTAAGTCATGGCTTGCTGTGCGCCTGCGGCCAATGGAAGCCAGCCCAATGGGGCGTCGGAGCAGCATACCGAAGTTGTAGCAAGGGGCCCTGGCTATGCCACGCCCCTTGACGCGTTCAACAGCGGGGAGGTGGAGAAGCTGCTATATGTTGTAGCGGTGTACACGGGTGAGAGCACAGCTTTCTTGGCTTGGCTCTCCTCAATCATGAGCTGAATGATTAGAACTTTGTACTGGAGGGGTTTTGTGAAAATGGTTTTGTGAGAAGAGGGCCAGGATTGCCCAGCTCAATCTTTAGGAGAGGGGGCAGTTTCATATGCTTCATGGTGTAACCCTGATGTGTGGCTCAGAGGACGTGGCTAGATCTGCGGCTTTCTTTGAAAGGCACGATTGCTGTGCCTGTTCAGGACTTTCTGAAATATTCAATCAGCTTTCACAGTGCCCGGTGACGTCAATCCTGGTGATTTTGCATTAGGAAAACCAGTGGTAATCTTGTCTCTGCCTTAGGTCAGGTCCTTGTCATCAGAATGTGAGTTGCTATAGCATTTTCTCCTGTTCAGCTGTGCTTATGTTGCCACCATAAGTGGAGAAAAATATCCTTCAGTATGCAGGCCTGCGTCCCTTACCGGTTCGATTGAAATGGCACGACTTGCTCAGAAGCCCACAGAGTCCTCTTGCAGGCACCCTTGTTCAGAAGCCCAGTAGCTGGTCACGCCTGACCTTGACTCCGTACTTTTCGAACCATCTACAAATCATGGGAAAGTATGGGGTGAGAACGGAGCCACAGTTGAAGTCCTGTAACCCACCTCACACCCATCGCAAATTCCGCTTTTCCAATCCTGTTGCTCAAAGCTGCGTAACATGGTGTTCCAGACACCGCTGTGAAGACGCCTGACTACCTGGGCAAGGCTAGAAATGTGAATCACCTTTGTCCGATTGGCAAACATCTGGATCAGAGTCTTCGTAAGAACCCACCAGAAATTCCCCGAACCTCTTCAAACCTATAACAATCTAAGCAGACACTGCGCCGCTGAAGTGTATCAAATGTCCCCCTCAGGCACTGCAGTGAAGAAGCCCGACTACCTGGCCACAATTGATGCTCGCCGTCTATTTAGATTTCAGCTGGGTAAAGCCTTTTGTCAGAACGCATCCAGCAAATGGAACCTTCCCAAAACATTCCAAACTCATAGGAGAATGCGCAGATCCAAAACAGAACCGGTGTTCTTCCGCAGGCACCGCCATCAAGAAGCCCGACTACCTGGCCACGATCGACGTGGACCCCGCTTCGCCCACGTATTCCCAGATCATCCACCGTGCGCCGGTCCCGTTTGTTGGCGACGAGCTGCACCACACCGGCTGGAACGCGTGCAGCTCCTGCCACAACTTGCCCGGCGTTCAACGCAAGTACCTCGTCGCGGCGGGCGTGCTGTGAGGAGCCCCCTCTACTTCGTTTGTTACCCCTTGTTCTGCCAAGTCCGCTCCTTGTCGTCCTGTTTTCCTTTTTGCGAGAAACACCGAGCAGTTTATTGGGGACAAACCAATTGGCGCAGGCGTCCTATGAGGAGCTGTCCTGCTGTTTTCGGTTGATTGTCAATTGGCCTTTGGCCGTCCGTTCTATGTCTTCGTCTTGCTTTTTTCGAACCGATTCGAGCAGGCAAACAAAGACAGTCCAGTATGTGGGCCGCAGCGCACGTGAAGTGTTGCAGCGAACGGGCTGTGAGGAGCCATTTCGGATCCGCAGGCTTTTCTGGTTGCACTTTCTTACCCTCACTGAAGCATCGGCTGTTTCCAGATCGTCACTGCACGACCGTGTCCTCTTGACGTTCTGGTTTGACCTCGTTCTTGTCACATCTGACTTTTCGCTTGTTTCCCTCCTTAGCCTCCCTTTCTCAGACGCTGTTCCTTAAGGGCTTCGGGAAACATCTTTCCCTGTTGACTCTTTGAAAGAGTCCATATGTCGTGGTTTGCAAGCAAGAAAATAGGGCTCCGCAGTTATCCCCACTTGGTTCTGGCACTGATCAGGGCCGCCGCTGCTGAAGCAGTCCTCCCTTGTGCAGGTCTTCGCGCATCTATGCGTTCGACGTGCTAACCGACCCGCGGGCTCCCACGGTTGCCAAGGTTTGTCATCTTTCTCCCGTACCTTGCCAGACCCGTCTCCGTATCTGGAGTGCCACATGTTGCCCTCCCTGTACGGATACTGTGAGCGATGCTGGTAGATAAGCGCCTCAGGGGTGCCCTGCTGCATGCCCCAGTCGGGCAGAGCTGCAATCGAGCGCTGATCCAACCAACCGGCATTCGGACAAAGCTTTGAGGCACCCCGAGCGCTGGCGGCCGTTGCCAGCTGGAATTTCCCTTGCCTTTGTTGGGCTCTTATCATTACTACTTTCGTCTGACCCTCGCAGTTTCACGTTCTTCATGTCTGCCCACTGCAGCGTTACCCTCTGTCGTTAGCCCTGCCTCTTTCAGAGCGGGAAGCCTCGCCTGACAGCTTTCCGTTGCATCTGCTTACGATAGCGTTAACCTTCTCCTTCAGATCGTCGAGCCTGAGGAGATTCAAAGGTTCGGCCTGGCGTTCCCTCACACGTCCCACTGCCTTGCGACCGGCGACGTGATGATCTCGTTCATGGGCGACGTCGAGGTCAGCGCGCGCTCGCGTATTCGTTCCGACTTGCGCTAAAGTTTTTGAGTCGTCTTGTAGGCTCTTCGGCTATTGCTTGTTTAGGGGTCGGTTCGGGTCGCTTCCTTCTGGCTGCTACTTTTGCGTGGATGAAACGGAACAACTGCTCATCTCCTTCATCCCTTCATTAACGACCCCGATGTGCGCACGTGCCTGAGTGTACGTTTTGCTTTATGCTCTTCTTAACTTCCTTTCTATTTTCTCTTGAGCATCGAGTCCGTAGAGTCTTCTTGTAGTTTCTGAGACTAACGTCTACCTGGGAAGTCGGCAAGCTGTTTGGCTTTCGTTTGAATCGCTTTTCAGTCTTGAAGGCACTGGTCGCGAAATCATTTAAGAGGTCTGGCCACACAAATAGGCTCCGGCTTCTGTCACGTCGAATCGACGACCTTGTTGTGTGCTTCTTTTGTAGCGTCTGTGCGCGCTGTTTAGCACCATCGACAGAAGAATCTGGAAAGCGTTTCCCCGTCACCCTAAACTGTCCTTCCGCAAAGCGCTGTAGTCAGGCATCCCGCGCAGGGCGCTGTATTGGGAACGTAAGCTCAGTCAGGACACCCTTGGCAATCTATCTATTTCTTATGACGGAATTGACGTACGAAAACTCTCTTTGATGTGCAGCAAACGATCTAAATGGTGTCAGCATGCGTGCAGGGCAACTCGAAGGGCTCAGGATTCTTGCTCCTCGACAGCAACTTCAAGCCCAAGGGGCGCTGGGAGGCGACAGATAAGGACTCCCCGCCTTTCGGATACGACTTCTGGTGAGGCCCATCGCTTATGGTCAGCTGTGATCAATCTGCCTTTCATAGAGACGCATCTTCTCAATGGTGATGATTCGTTGTTTTCCAGAGTACGGTGCAGCCGAGCCTACGAGAAAGCTGGTGACATCATCGGACAGCTTTCAGTGCCCTATGTTGAACGTGACCTTGACAACGCGCATTCCGACTCGTCACTAGCTTCGTCATTACTAGCTTTGGAATCGATGCTGTCAATTGAACGAGTATTTGAAAACCTGATAACCCGTTATCAGGTGATTCTCGGCAGTAGTGATTTGATTTCATCGATGCGTCGAAAAGTTGGGGAGGGGCCTGTCAGGATTTCCCTGGATTTCAATCCGAGATCGAGGATGTACAACACAATGATCAGTCAATCAATCAATCAATCAACCGTCCGATGTCAACGATTATTACCTTGAGACGTCGAAACTCGGATCCCTTTGAATGACGGCCGTATAGTGGAAGGCGATCAAGTCAAGTCCAAACACTCTTCGATTTAATGGATCGATTTCGGGGGAGACTTTTCCGGGGCCTAGGAAGCCCAGACTCGATCTTTTTGGAACGCGAAAGGCCTGCCTGATTGAGGTTTCTTACGCAGTCAGATACCGGTGATTCGGGTCACGTTGGAGAATCAATTGAGCGTATTCCATCTCTGCCTACCTTGCCGGAGTTGCCCTCCGTGAAATTATGTATCTCGGAATCTCCGAAATTTGGGGCAAGCAGCCCATATGCCCCCAAATACCAGTCACAGAATGCAAGTCGGACTGCGGCGTAAATCTTTCGTGATTGTTTAGGTCCGGCCTCCGTCCATCCGGCAACCTTGGACCCCTTCTTAGTTAGAAATGGTTGTTGCCGTTTCCCTGTTCTATGCATCTCGTATACTGGGCGTATGCTTTCCCCCTTCTTTCCCCAAGATCATAGTTCCAAATTCCAAGATCTACGCCCCTGATGACTAGATACCCGGGTATAAGCGGCGTCACGGCGTGCTGACCGTTTTACTGACTTGTGCATTCAGAATTTCTACCCGCAAACCCAATTGTCAGAAACATATTCCCAGAGCCCTCATTTCAAGCCCCTCAGACACCAACTTTTATGTATTGATAAGCGGCGTCACGACGTGCTGATTTGCAGCTCCTGGGGCGCTCCCAAGAACCCACCCAAAAACCCCAGCCGAAACCCTGACCCTAACCCCAACCCTAGCTCTAACCCTGGTTTTTTACCCCCAGGTATCAGCCCCGTCACAACGCGCTGATCAGCAGCTCCTGAGGTGCGTTCAAAAAATCCCAAAAACTTTAGTCCATCCCCTGAACCCTAGCGCTAACCCTGGTCCTAACCCTAACCCTTGTTCTCCACCCCCCAGGTACCAGCCTCGTCACAACGTGCTGATCAGCAGCTCATGGGGCGCGCCCAAGGCCTTCACCAAGGGCTTCAACCCGGCCCACGTGGGCGAGGGCCTGTACGGACAGGAACTTTACGTGTACGACTGGACGCACCGGACGCTCAAGCAGAAGCTGGACCTCGGGGGAACGGGGCTCATTCCGCTCGAGGTGAGGACACGTCCCCCAACTCAGGGGGAGACTGAGCTCGGTTTTCTGATCACAAGGATACGTGGCAGTTTAGGAAGGACGCTCAGGCGGAAGGTGGACCTCGGGGCAACGGGGTTCATTCTGCTCGAGGTGAGGACACGTGTCCAGGTCCAGGCGTGGTGTTGAGGCGGTTTTTAGGAAGCTGGGTTAGGTGCTGCTTTTGGCGGAACGGTCAAGCAGAAGCAGGACCTTGGGGGGACGGGGCTGATTTTACTTCAGGTGAGGACACTGGTCAAGGTCTGGGGGTGGTGTTGAGTGGGCTTTCGGAAGCTGGGATAGGCACCGGTTTGGCGGGACGCCGAACAGAAGCTGAACTTCGAGGGAACGGGGCAGTTTTTTTGAGGTGAGGAGACGTGTCCAGGTCTTGGGGTTGTGTTAAGCGGGTTTAAGGAAGCTGGGTTAGGCGCTGGTTTCTGCTCAAGCAGATGCTGGAAGTGGGGGGAATGGGGCTCATCCCGCTCGAGGTGAGGACACGTGTCCAGATTTAGGCGTGGTGGTTGAGCGGGGTTTAGGAAGCTGGGTTAGGCGCTGGTTTTGGCTTAAAGCTGGACCACGGGGGAACGGGGCTGACGTGTCTAAATCAGGGGGAAGGAGCCCGGTTTGGAGAGCTGGGTTAGGCGCCGAATTGGCAGGACGGTTGTTTGAAGGCGGGACTTTGGGCTGGTCCCGATTAGGTGAGAAAGTGTTTTCAGGGTTAGGGTGCCGTTCATGTGGAGTTAGGGAGATTGTGTTTTCATGGACATTGTGTTTTCAGACGACGTATCAGCACCCAGGCTCAAGCAGTAAGGGTCAGCATTGAAGAGCAGTGATTTCGGGGGCTAGTCCAGCAGATAAAAGATCCACAAACCAAGCAATCCTAAAGCTTGTTGAGATGGTTGATTTGGCGTCAATCCAAAAACGGGTGCGTGTGTGTCTGGGCCCGCCTTGTGCTCAAAGCCGGTTTTGTATTGAATAAGTATGTTGAAAAAGTAGGCATTTGGCAGGAACGAACAGCAATCGGGCGTGCGTGGTTTTCGGCTTTGCTCCGCGCATTTTGCAGTTGGTCGTAAAGGAAATCATACGGCGATCTAAGCAACTTTTCCTCGCGGAAGACGAACCTTACTGGCGCCCTCGTAAGTACTCGGGAAGTTTGTGGGACCGAAAGCGGCTTGGTTAACGAGGTATCGAGTTTGAACTTACCCTTGACGACGACTTTTTCGGTTTGCAGATTCGCTTCTTGCACGAGCCCAACCGGTCCGAGGGCTACGTGGCATCCGCTCTGAGCAGCACGCTTGTCCGCTTCTTCAAGAAGGAGGACGACACGTGGGACACCCAGGTGGGAATGGGCCCCTCTGAGCGCTTTCACCTCAAAGCCATTGTAGCTTTGCACATTGTTTCAGTTGAGCGCACCCCGTGCTTTCAATCTGGACGGGGCTGTCGATCTCCCCTTCTTCAAAGGCTGTCACCTCTGTGAGCATCCAAAGGGGCCCCTGAGCATAAGAACAGTGACCTTAATGGACGGATGCAAAACCGTGCAGAAACCGGATTCTCAGAAGTGTTTGGGAAGGTCTGTTGGCTTAGCAGGCACCGCAGCGGAGTTTCGTTGCGGGGCACACTGTCCGATGCAAACCTTTTCGATTTTTGCAGCTTCTGCTTGGATTCACCTTTTTATCGAGATACTGAAGTTGAGTGCTTGTCCGGTCACGCGATTCAGTACAACGCGACGAGCGGACGTCACTCCCACAGCTCGATCGCTTAACCCAACCTCGCCATAAGAAGTCTTACGAAGTTTTCGAACAAATAATTCGGCCTGTTATGATGGCAAGTTGCTGCCGAAAAGAACATTGCGGCTCTTCGAAGCGTAAGTAATGCTTTCACGCCTTTTCCAGGTGGCCGTTACTGTTCCGCCGAAGACGGTGGAGGGCTGGGCGCTGCCTCACATGCCGGGCCTGATCACTGACTACGTCATCTCGCTGGACGACAAGTACGTCTACTTCAGCAACTGGCTGCACGGGGATATCCGCCAGGTGCGCGCGCAAGAGGAGAAAGGCTTTCACTTCATAAAGAGATTGTCAGAAGGGGGTCGAAAAACCTCAGAAACATTTCGGCCCCGAGAACGTCGACACTGTTGTAAAAGTTAACCTGGCAGATTTCAGGGGCGAAACCTCGCGCTAAGAATCTTTTGACCAACCTTTGATGAGAACTGCCGGGTCATACCCCTAAACCCCGCCATGTCATCTCTTCCAACAGGATCCCCGGCTTCGGCCTCAAAAGTGCTGAATTCCCTCGACCCCGCTCTGTCTGTGCTGATTCAGATTCGTTCGACTTTGGACGCTGACGTTGACGTGCGAAGGGCGCTTTCAAGCATAAACAACGGATTTATTTCATGCTTTGACCGCGGCTGTCCTGGGGCATGAGCGGAGGTTGTCGTATCTGGCATAGCGTCCGCAGTCCTTCCTTCAGTCGCTCTTCTGGCTTCGAGGGCGTCGGAATCGGTTGTTGGATTTCCTGAGCGTCCTGCGTGCAGTGGACGCCTCCGATTTCTTTCTGCTGAACGGTGATCTGGTTCGACTACAGTAGTAGGCGATTCAATTGCTTGACTGCAGCGAGACTGCATGAGTCCATTCACTCTCGGTCCAGAGTTGCGGGACCGCTCTTCTTAGCAGTGCGTGTTTGTCGCGCGTCTGTTTCCGGTCCCTTGGCAAACGAAACTCTGCTCCATTTTTTGTTCACAGTGACTTTAGCAGCCAGCACTTGCACCCAAGCTGACATTACAACCTCTTCTGTGCCGACGCAGTATGACATCAGCGACACGGCGAACCCCAAGCTAGTGGGCCAGGTGTTTGTTGGGGGGTCTATTGCCAAGGGCGGGCCAGTCAAGGTGGTTGGGGAAGAGCAGCCCACCGTGCCAACCGTTAAGGTAAACATCTGGCCTCAGCTTTTCGTGCCAATTGTCTGAATGTTTTTTGGATACTGATTTATTGTTGAGAAATGGAATTCTTCAGGGAAGGTCAGAATGCTGCCCGCTAACCAGGGTTTGCAACACTCCTAGTGTGACGGGGGATTGGCAGGAGGAGACCACCGATGACATGAAGAAAGCGTTTTTGAGGAGGCCATGTTCATCTTTTTCGTGGAAGACTCACCCCAAGAGGATCACGCGGAATTCAACTCAGTGCTCGCTCGACAGGCGACAAGCAAGGACCCGAGTCGCCCAACACTTCGCGGCGGCCAGAATCCCGTTTCTCCTTCTTCTGCTTTCCCGTCCCCACCCTCCCCTTCAGCGGGAAACCCTGCCACACATACTGACGTCATTGCTTTCGTCACAGGGCCACACGCTGCGCGGTGGCCCGCAGATGATCCAGCTGAGCCTGGACGGGTCGCGGCTGTACGTCACCAACTCGCTTTTCAGCAGCTGGGACAACCAGTTCTACCCGGACCTCGTCTCGGGGGGTTCGCATATCCTCAAGGTAACGCTTCGCACTGAATGACCTTGCTGCGTTACTTCGTTGAGCAAAGGTTCTGTGTGCGGAGGTTTACAGCCATAATAGTCTCTTTCACAACCGGTATCACGCGTCATTGCATGTGAGAAGGATTCCAGGGGGGTTCCAAATACTTGACAGACCCTGTTTCACTATTTCTGTGACTTTGCGTTTTCTGTTGGTCCCGATCTAACAACCCGTTGACAACCCATTCTGCTCCAAAACCAATTTGCAACTGCTGTTGGTTTGTCAAAACCCCTCCACAGATCTGCAGAATGCGTTCCGCAATTGCTGAGGACACGCTTCTAGGGAATCATTCACGTGTCGTATTCTTGCAGATCAACGTGGACAAGGAGAAGGGCGGGCTCACTATCGACCCCGACTTCTTCGTCGATTTTGGCACCGAGCCTGAGGGCCCCGCCCTGGCGCACGAAGTGAGATACCCCGGGGGCGACTGCACCTCTGACATCTGGACTTGAAGCTGCCCGGGACGCTAGAACCGGGTCTGCGGTTGAACAGGTCGTGCGCCCGACCATAGGCTTCGCTTGGGGAAGCTCGGGTGGAGTTAATGCAGTGCGCTAAAGTCGAATGAAGCAGCAGTTGCGGGAAAATCTTTGTCAAAACGTTTTATATGTACAGAGAAACTTATATATATGTAGATTGCTAGTGCGTAGATAAGGTTCGAGTCCGTTGTCAGATCGGGATCAGGATGTGTAGCGCAGCGCCGAAGAGCCCATATGTCCTTTACAGTCGTTGACGAGACGCGTGCTGAGAGTGTCCTTACTGAGGTTGTCAAGTCCGGCCGCCGGGCCCGGCGGCTCTTAGAGCCCGGTCCCCATCGCCGCTCTTTCAGAGTAGTACCGAGGGAGAATGAGGCTGAGAACAAAAGCTTTGAGAAGGATCCATTTGAGTCACCTAGAATACCGGTTTTGAATCTTGTGGTTTAATGCGACCTTAAGGTCATCATGAACGCAACCGTCGTGCACTGTTGAAGCCTCCAGTCGGATCCTGTGCGCGAACGGTCACTCCCATGCAGGTCAGAGTCCTGACATATACGTGGCATGGTCAACCACTCTTGCCTGTCCCGGAATTGCAGCCTCGATATATCGTGCGCTTGCATGGCAATGCTCAGGCTGCGCGTCATTGCGCATAAGCCAGGCTCACAGCCTCTCCTGTGCTCCCAAAGTGAATCTGCGCGATAATCATCAAATTGATAAATACTGAGCCGATTGCGTCATAAATATGCGGCTGGCTACAACAGACCATAAAACCTACTAAGTGCATGCACGTACGTGCATAACTGCTCCGAGGTTCCAACATAACCGGTCTACTTCATATATATAGCGGCTCACTTCAATTCTTGCAATACTTGAAGTGTTGGTACATACGTACGTCGTGTTGCATGGATTCCACGCGAGCGAGAAACCTGACTCAGAAACATGACTCAGAAAATTTGATTATTGTAAACATGCTCTAGCATACGTCAAAAGTCGACGCTAGCTAGCCCGTAATGCATCTTGCATTGAATGCACGTCGGAACTGCATGATCAAAGGTTGGGTACACTGGTTGCACCCAAGACCAATACATCTTCTCAATCAGTAAATCAGCATTAGGTATCACGTACAAAACATGCCACAGCATCAACAAGAAACTCGGTGAGGAAGATTGAAAGGTCGGAATTAGTCACGAACGTCTAAGTACAAACAGCAAGCTCAAAAGAGACAGAAGAAGCAAGTATGGGAGAGCCGGCAGAGTCGCGGCACTCGGTGGCGGTGGAGGAGGGGGTGCGGCCAAAACGAAGGGGTTCCCTGCCAGCGTCACGTTGCCGGAGAAGCTCGTCTGTACGCCGCAGTCCACGGGTCCAGAGCCATCTGCGCGAGGGGCGTTTCATTATTTGCGGCCTTGGACTCTTGCTTGTAAAGTTACATGTATGCTAACTCGGTGTACTGTCACCTTGTGGGAGACTTTTTTCTTTTGCACTCTGCACCTTAGGAGAGCAATGTTTGATAGCCCTGCATAATCGAGCTCTCGAGATCACAAGAGAGACTATCGGCCGGCAGTGCAGCGTTTCAGAGGGTCGACTAGTAGATACTCACCCCTGTTATAGAAGACTGCGTTGCATCCGTTGCAGTAGTCCGAGATGCAAATCGCGTTTGGCCGGGCCAGGCAGAAGAGCACGGTACAGGGATTTGGCTGCAAAGGGAGGAGCCCGTTAGCAACCTGTAGCGTCAATTCAACCGCGAAGAAGTTGAGCTTGATCAGCTTCCAACAGCTCTATCTGAAGCCTCCGTTCAAGATATACGATTGCAATGAAATTTCGGGGGCCAGGTCCGTTTGAGGTGATCGAAAGCAGAAAGTCAAATGGGAACTGGGTGTCTCATCAGGATGCGGGTCCGGGTACTGTAAGATTGTACTAATAGGCACCTGGATCTGCAGTGGATGGAAGGCATATTCGCCGCATGATTTCCGACTTTCGAAAGCTTTGACTGAATGCTTCATTTAACTGAAATGTTATTAAACATGTCATTTAACATGTGTGATCAGAGAAAGAGTTACCGGTAAGACAATCAATCCTCCAATCTCCAAATAGTCGAAGGACATTTTCGTCACCCTGGCAAGGCTTGATAATTGGGTTGCACTTGACCCGTTGACAAGGAGTTCGCTAGGAGGTGAGATCCTTACTACGCATGTGAGTGGCAAGGAGTTGTCCGAGCAGTTGCAGCTGACGGTTGTTGCAGGGGCTGGGAGCGCGGCCTTTTGGATGTTGTAGGATGGACGGCACTCATTGCAGGGGTCGGGGTTGCACTGTGAATAACATACCGATGCTGATCAGAAACGATATGACCCTAAGATGTCAAACTGAGTGCTTATGTCAAGCAACCGGCTGGACAGAATTTCCACGATCTCTTACATGCTCACCATCTTGATTGTGGACATTGGCTCAAGGCTAACAAAAGACTCGAGAACATGAAGTCCTGTTGTCTGCGGTTGTGCTCTGGAATCAGCAGGCTTGAGCGTCCAGCCGCAAAGCTGACAATTTGCAGTAGTTGCCACCACCAGCCATGCAGCAAGCGGTTGCCTTCAAACCGAAAATTTAGAGTTGATCAAACGACAAACCTGAGCTGTGGGAAATCGAGGACAAAGTGGCGCGCTGCACTCCTGGCCGGTACAACTCATGGCCGCTGTTGATCCATCTAGACAGGTCTCCACTGCCAGCACAGGACTGAGACTCAAGTAATCTGCAAGAACGTTGAACACTATCTTTGTCACGTACAAGACTTAGCTAGGCCTTCAAACTAAGCAACTGGATCCATTCCAATTTAGAGTTGGAACAGTGTGCGCATACCAAAAGCTGGGAAATACAAGATGAAGCACTCCAGCATTTGATGCGTTGCAATGAAATATACTTGCCTGGGATCAAGAAAATTGTCAGAAGCAAAGCTGTGCAGGTTGTATGCAAAGTTGCCATCTTCAGTTCGCTATATTGAAAGTCGGAAAGCGATCACATGTACAGCTCTCTTTGTAACGCCGGTCGCAATACTTTCGTTCGCTCCGAGAAAAGGCGAGCACAACCCTCTTTTCCGCTACTGATGCAAAATGAACCGAGCACAACTCTTCTGCGAGTGCCACAACTCCTTCACTTGGTGTTATCTATGCGGAGGCGCTGCTCGAGTTATCGGTGAGATGTAAGAGCCCCTACAGAGCGCAAACTAGCACTTCTTTATCCACCGTACGTTTTCCTTGAGTTGTCTTCTGCTATCTTTTTCTTGTCAGAGCTCAGAGGCGGAAACGCTGCAGCATGCATTTGCATTCCCAGCAGGCCGCCAGCTCGTTGCCTCTATAAATCTTCCAAAGCCTTTTGGCAAGGTGAAGCCCATCAAGGCGGATGCAAATGGATGCAAAGGGGAAATTTCTTTCCACAATTATATCTTCTTAGGATCTCAATATGTCCGGGAATCACCACCAATACCGTTGTGTAAGAGCTGGGTTTGCTTCAAATGCTCAGTGATCAGAATGCCAGCGAGGCAAATTGCAATGGCTCCCAACCGCTGAAGCAAGATCTCATGCGCGCATATCTTTCGCCTGACAATTCAGGACCGTCGATTTTGAGGTTAAAGGCAGGGTTTAAGAAAACCCTTTACTCAAGTTACCCAAACAACTGAGGAGTGAGCAGCTGAGCGTCTCGTGTGGTGCAGCTCAGTACTGAGATCTTGTTGAAGTGCAGCTTTGCTCATTGGCCGGGTCTCTACTTTCTCATTGCCATTTTTCATACAGCAAGCAGCCAGGCACCTTCTGAAGGACGAAGAGTCGAGAAATGGAACAAGCCGACAGTGTCCGCTATGGGGTGGTGGGAACAGGGATGATGGGAGTTGAGCACTTACGGAACTTGGCGGCAATCCCAGCAGCCACAGTGGCGGCAATTGCGGATCCTCATGGTCCCTCCCAGGATCAAGCAAGGGCGGAGGTTCAGAAGGGCTGGCCATCGCAGACAGAGTTGGAGGTATGTTCCCCTGGCATTCCCAAAATTGAAGAACGGGTTGCTGGAGGATGGCCGCCACCCTCTGAATGGCAGAGTGGCATTGAACCATTTGAAAGTATTGGTCGATCTACGGCTTCTTCAGCTGAATGCCAATGTACGACGCAAGACTCTATCTGAGCTGTCTTGAATTCTGGACTTGAAGCAGAGAAAGAGACTTACAGATGAGCACTATGTTGATGGCGCAAGCTTTGACGCTAGATATGTACTCTGCTCGCAAGCTTCTTGCAGCGCCTTGGTGTGTGCATCACCTCAGGTTTTGCGCTTGATGCCAGGGTGGTGTTGATAGCGACACCGGGACTAGCAAGTTGCACAACCTGTCCGCATCGCACTTCAAAGTAAAAGCAGTTCGCAGAGGCTGACTTGCTGCTTGCAAATCCGGAAGACCCTCAAGAAATTGCTGGTCCAGGCTTCATGTGCTTGTCAGGTACACCGCCTTCACGCGGGCCCTTCATTTATGAAATGGTCGGATGTGCATCTCAGAAATCTTGCGATTTGCCCCCCATTTGAGCACATGTTCCAATCTTGGTTCCCACTATGAAGGCGGGATCAGTTCATTTACTGACCCCCCCCCAAATTCTAACCCACTGCAGGTTTTTCCAGACCACAAAAGCCTCCTTGCCAGCAGTCTCTGTGACGCCCTCCTCATCTCCTCCCCCAACTTCACGCACGCACAGATCCTGCTAGACATCCTGAGCCACCCAAAGCCACCCCACATCTTGGTCGAAAAACCGCTGTGCACGACTGTGGAAGACTGTAAGAAGGTTATTGAGGCGGCCCGGGCCCAGCCAGGCGTGGTCCTCCATGTTGGCTTGGAGTACAGGTACAGCACATGATCTAGCTATCAGAGCGGTGGAAGCATTATGTGGACTCCCAGCAAAGTCCTCACGAAGGTTTGAGACTTACTCTGATTCTGCTTATTTGGGATGGTGGAGCCACTGGTTGTTAGCTTAACCAACTTGGACCGTCAATTGGAGAGGAGACAGACCGGGAGGGTACCGGAGGAATCACCCAGGAGTCCACGTGCTCATTCAAATAATCAACAACATAGCCCCGACGGCTCAGGTGCCTCAACAATATTTTCGGGTCAAGTAAGGCTGCTAGGTCACATCTCACATCTTGGTCAAAAATTTCCTGACCAAGGCTGGCTGCTGGGCTTCCTGAATTCTGTGGACAATAAGCTCAGTGGACGGAATGTGTTCAACCTCGTCACAAATCTTAACCAAAGGTTTACGCGCTCCGCACCCAAATCCCCTAACCAACCCACCTGTCACCACACTGTTCTCGTATCGTCTGAGCTTCTTGTTCACTGCGCCAATCGGCTCTGGATGCAGGTACATGCCCCCGGTGGCAAGGCTTATAAAAGAAGTAAAGGAAGGGGCAGTGGGGAGGATCTGTATGGTAGCCATCAGGGAGCATCGGTTCCCGTTTCTGGTCAAGGTGCGCCTTCAGCAACTCGAATTTGTTTGACATTGAGTACGTGAAACGTACGTCAGCTGCAGCTATGCTTTGAGCAGCTTTTGCTGTAAGATGGTTTCCTTGGATCCTCTTGCGAGCCTTCAGAAGTTCGTCCGGAGACCGAAAACGGAATGCTACTTGCCTTTCTGGAACACATTCGTCTCCACTTGAGTAAGGGCCAGACGTCGCTTTGGCAGCAAGCAAGAGGATGGACAGGCTACCGGATCCGATCGTCCTGGTTTTCCTTTCAGACAAGGAGCAGAATTTTCAGAGAGCCCAAAAGTACTTGAATTTCAGTACTTTGGGACTTGAGACTCCATTTGAGTAATAATGGCTACGAATCTTTGATAAACGAGCGGGGCTTGGTTGCAGGTCGGCAACTGGAACCGCTTCAACAGGAACACTGGCGGCACCCTCGTCGAAAAGTGTTGCCACTTCTTCGACCTGATGACGCTCATCATTGGCAGCAAGCCGACGCGAGTGATGGCGTCAGGGGGCCAGAGCGTCAACCACTTGGACGAGAAGTATGACGGGGAGGTGAGGTCAGCGCCGGGATGTGCGGCCTGTCTGGCTGAGGATGCCAGTGGTAAATTTTGTTAAGGTTAAGGCAGGGAGGTGCGTTTCAAGGCGTTCTGACGCAGACACGTGGGATAATGTGTATGTCGCGGATCACGATTCTGACCCGTGCACAATCGAAGCTGGAGCCCGTTCAATGTGTTGTCGGAAGAACACGTCGAGGTTGAAGGGTTATTATCCCGACCCGCCACCTTACATATCGACTGCGACGGAACGGCTGGTGAACACTAGATATTCAGACGTGACCCAGGTGTCAAGCTCCCCCTTCCCTAAGCAGAGGATCTTGAACCGTTAAGCACCCTTTTTGATGAAAAAAGGCTGGACACCTGAAAGCACCGCTCGGCTCTTCAGCTTTCAGGTTCTCCTTTATGCCGGACGTGACCTATCGTGGCAAAAGTGCAGCCGCACTTTACTTGTTTGAGAGGGCTTCCAATGCCTTAACAAGAAAGCTCTTTTCAAAATTGATGAAAAGTCGTTTCCTGCTCACTGAGTAGACAATCCCAATTGCAGTGGGCTGCTGGTTATAATTCTGTCACCGCCCTCCCCGCAGACGCCCGATATTCTGGACAATGCTTACGTCATCGTGGAGTACGCCAATGGGGCGCGGGGCCTTCTCGACCTGTGCATGTTCGCCGAGGGCAGCCGCAACGAGCAGGAGATCTCCGTCGTGGGAGACAAGGGCAAGGTATGGTCAAAACTTCAGGAATCCAACATTGTTTCATGGGTAGTTAACTAGGGGGGATGGCGTCAGCGTGACGTTTCAAACGCGAGAGCGAGGTGCGGGTATCTCCCTCGGTAGGGAGGACGACCTCCGAAAGCATAGGAGAAGGGAACGGCCGTCTAATTTCGCAGTCGATCATGTTTCCCTTTTCGTGAAGGAACAAGGTTGTGAGGAAGGAGGCTGTGAAGTCGTGCTTTCAGCAAAGGGGCGACTATGTCAATGGCGGCTCAGAAAGGGACTGAAAGAGGCCCTCTCCATTCTTCTGACTAGACTCCTTCTGCGACTTGAACGTTTCTATCACGCTTCTCGATTCTGAACACTTCTTTGAACACAAGAATGGACGACCCTGCTAACATTTGGACAAGTTGCTCCGTCCTGCTGCTGTTTTCGCGCTTTCCCTCTGTATCCCTCAATGGCGATCACTTTTCGCGAGACGAACAGGCAGCGATGATTTTTTGTTCTTCGGGAGCCTCGATTCTCTGCACAGCATACAAACTTGACGGTTACATGTTTTCAACGGTGTCTCGCCGCGAATGATTAGGTGCCGTCGTATTGCACATACCGTCTTTTTCCTGAAACATCAACGCGTCTGAGCATAGCCCGTGTCTCGCAGATCGAAGCTCTCGTACCGGAGAACATCGTGCGAACAGGGAGCCGGACCGGTGGGCGGGACGGTGTTGCAACGAGTCCTTGTCACGACTACCGCATCAGGTACGGAGCCACAGACGACCGCTTGAAAATGTCGTTATTCTTGTCGTTTGCAAGCAAACTCGATCGCTGATCGCTGTTCCGAAGTTTTTCTAAAACAAGCGGCTCTTCTAAGGAGAGTCAAGCGGTTTGCGTTTGAGATCTTTTCTGCTGAGGAAGAGTGGATCAAGGGTTTCCTGGGGGTCGTCGCGAAAGCGGCCCGGACTTAGCTTCAAAAGGGTGAACGAGCCCGACTTTACGAACGAACGACCGAACGCCAGCTGAACGAACCTGCCGGCCTTAAATATCGAAGAATTGACAACTTTCTACGAAGATGTCACGTCAGAGTCATCGAACCTGTCAATATCGCATCCCCAGGTTAAGAGTTAAGGCTGACATAGCCTGGCCGGAGTAGAGTACCGCTTTGCCTGCTCCGCATGAACTCCGGTCTTTCTACTGAGTCAACACCTTGCTTGGCAGGTACGAGGGGTTGCACCACGGGTCGAGCTACTTGGAACACCTCGATTTTCTGCGCGAGATCCGGGAAGCAGGGAAAGTGCCTCCGACCGTGAGTTTGGAGGACGGGTTGCTCTCCGTTGCCATCGGCGTGGCCGCCCATCTGTCCATAGACGAACAACGGCCCGTGTTGCTGCAAGAGGTCTTGTCAGACAATTGAGCGAGGGCGTGCACCTCGACAAACCAGCGAAAATTGAGATTTTGCTAGTGGGTGCACGGTCGGAGAAAGCGTGCACTGCGCAGGATCATTGCTGTAGGCTGGGCCACTAGTATCAAGAATCGGAGTCGCTAACGTGGATTTGACTTCGCACAAGACATTGACTAGTCATTGCTGGATCATAACAGCCCCAATCAATACAATGTTGGCGACTTCGATGTCCTGCAACCAGATGCTACAAGCCTGCAATTTAAAATGTCTGAATCCCCATATAGCGACATCAAGGCAAACCTAGCTTGCCCGATTTCGTTTGTCTAAAAGGAGACCGTCACTGTGAGTGCTGCGCCTCTGTACGTGCAAGGTGTATGCATGAAGCATGGCCCGACCGTCTGGCGCAGCCAGCACGCATGTTGCTCTATAGAGTGAGCCGATTCTTAAATCAATGTGCATGGACAACATCACAGCTACCATGCAGGCACTAAGTGCTCGGCGCGTGCATGTGCTCATGCAGTACCTAAGAAGCTGCGCTGCACATGTGCATGCAACTTTCACCTTGCAGCACAGGCATGCGGGCGTATGATATACTGCCGGTGCAAGCTAGGCATACTGGCGTGTATCATTATCAAGCGGGCCGGCCGCGCGGAGAGAGCGGGCACGCCTCTGCATCATTCTGAATTTCTAAAAATATGAAGGTAAGCTTGGCGGCGCCGAGGCGCCCTTGCGAAAGTGCATGGAAAGCTACATATGTTTACAGCTATTAAAGAATTCAATGGCGTGAATTCTAGCTACGATTTTCCAATTATCCGACAATTCGCACATGTATGCATCGATCTAATTGCGCTCCGGTGACAGGCTCACTATAGGCATCATTCCAACTTAGCCTGCCGGCAAGTAAGTGCGAACGTATATAGCATGTACTCCACTATCAAAATTTCGGGGCGCGGGCTGGGCGGCATGCATGCAGTGCATTATGATGCATAATGCACGAGATGCTCAACTTACTTTGACAAATTTGTCTCGAAGAGCCCAGAGGCATAAGCTGAGCTAGATTCCATATGAGATCGGCCTCCGACGTAAAATCGTTTTGAGTCTCGGGAGTAATGAAGGGGCCGGCGCGTCTGGTTGATCATAGCTAGCTGTTCACGGACCACCAGGGGATCTTGGCCGGGCGGCTGATTGCGCTGAGTCGACTTGGCCCACCTTTTGCTGCCCATACAGAAGGTGCACTGCATCAACCACGCTGAGATTTTGAAGCTCTAAGCTGAAATAATCTGAGAACGATAACCTTAGCGATCCAAACGGCTCATGTCTTAATGTACAGAACTCGTACGGTATGTGTTACAGCAACGGCAAAGAGGTCATTTGACCCACATCCTCGACCAGCGTGTCAATACCTACACTCGCGTCATCTGGTTATTTGAATTCGAGCAATTCTGGCTCTCTGCCTCAGTATACTTGGCTGCGTATGAAGTGCGCAACTACAGGGCTTACTCTACGTGTACAGCCTCGTATGTGCTTGATCTCTTCCAGGCTACGGTACACTGACAATCGATCCTATTGCCCAGGCTTGCCGGTTTTATCGACGTCGTTATGGGATCCCTGGCCCAAATTCGCCGCTCCTGCACCCTCAGCTTCCTAGCAGCTGAGAAGCCGGGCCGACCAATCCATCCACGTGCGGCACAGCCTCGAGCCCCTGCTTGAACCAGCTGAACTCCTCCGTCTCCATGTAGTAGCAGAACACGAACCCCAGAACGAACCACTTGACACTTGTGACATACTCCGCGATCCTCTGCGTCGTTGTGTCGTTCCCCTTCCCAACCAGGGCCGGCAGAATCATGATGATGAACAGACCCAGGATTGCCGCCGTGGACGCGCCCAAAACCACGAGCGTCCACCCGATCAGCCCGCACTGCACCACCGTCGAGACGGCGCCTGCCCCGCCGTCCTCGTTCTCTGCCCCTTCCTCGTCCCCGTTCGTCGCCGACACGTTGCTCTCGCGTCGGGGACCCGGCCCCAGGCTGTCCCGTCGAGTCCCCGTGCCGAGGCTTTCGCGCCGCGAACTGCCGCCGAGGCTCTCTCGCCGAGGGACCCCGCCGAGACTCTCCCGCCCGTTTGAAAGCTCAGACGCCTTGGGTAAGAACCCGCCTTCTTCCGAATCTTTCCTTGGCCGCTTGTTCCGCTGGTTCATGCTCGGCAAGTCGTCAGCATTGTGAGGGCTGGCTTCCGAGTGCCCGTTCTCGAGCTCCGCATTCAGGAAGAGTCGGTGGGCGTCCAGGTCGGAAGCGGGGACGGAGGGGGGACGGTCGGGGCTGAGAGGGGGGTGGCGATCGGTGTTGACCTGCGAGGAACGTCAATGAGTGTAAGTGCTGTGATGTCAATGCTTTCAAGGCAAATAGCGGCTCGAAACTGCTTGCATCGGCTCATGAGCATGCTTGACTGCTCAATTACTACAACAAGAAAATTCAACGATTAGCCTTCACGAAGTTGGTGACGGGGCGAAATGTAAATCGATGTAGCCAAAGCTGGGCCTCTCAAAAATCTGCCGGGTAATGTCTACGCCCAACTGCTGAAGATAGCAGGAAGCTCCAGTTCCTAAAAGGGCGAAGAGAGAGATCTTCGTCAACCAGTTATGGCTGAAAACAGGACTCACATTGTCCATGACCAGACCTTCGGATGACGGAGTATGCTCCAGAGCCTCAGGCCTCACTGCCTCCTTCGGCTGCTCTCCGGCCAACTCCCAAGCACGCCGACGCTCAATGTCCATTTTCCGTAGCATCAATTGCGCCTGATGGAATCTGCAAGGATCATATTTGAAGAATCATCCAAGTGCCTGCGTAAGAAGTTGAATGAGAGACCGCCACTGAAGAAAGGCAAGAAGAACCACGAGCAGACTAGAATGAAAGAGAATCAGATCTAAGAGATGACGACATACCGCTGCAACAGTGTCATCGCGTTGATTGATCTTAGGCGGCTGCAAAAATACCCGGTTTTTATGCAAAGTCCTGAGATCGAATTCCTCGATTGAACCTATAGACATGGAGAAACAGGCCTAGAACACTGTCTGGCTCTTGCTAAAAACAAATGACTATCTTTCGCTGGTGCGATATCAAGCCTCTCGAGAAGAAGTAGTCACACCAAGAAGGTGCAATTGGCAATGTCGCTACAGTACGTAATAATAATATTAAAGAGCAATATAAGCACAGATAAAAGCAGAATGAGGACTGGATGAGAAAGTGCAACGATCTCAAACAAGCCATAAGATGGGGACGCATCATGAAAGAATCAGAAGGAGAAGAAACGACTGTCTCAACCGGATAGAAAAGCATTGATCAATTTTTAGGTGGCTCATATTTTGCATGGCTGTGAGCAGGGAAAAGCAGCACCTTCGTCTTGCATAGAGCGACTTAGATTCTTGCAGCTGCAGCAACATGCACTTACTTGTTCTTGAGCCTCTTCTTCTCCTCCACGCAAGTCTCCAGCGCGTCTCGAGCATGCGTGCGCTCTTCCACAGCTACCTCGTATTTGATGGTGAGGTCTTTTGCGATGGCAGTAGCTTGCAAGAATTGATGTTGGACGAGCAGCAGCTGACTGCGCGTCTGCATATACCAATGCACCTCTTGATGAGTATTGGCAGCGGCAAGCATGCAACTGACCTACTACAGGGTTCTGGTGTTTTGTCAAACCTGGAGAAGCTGTAGTAGAAGCAGCTCGCCGATCGAGAGAAGTGCCTACAATATGCTCCACAACTGAAAAAAAACAGGTCGATCTGCAATATATCTGTTCTCACTGATCAATTGTGTAGTGCTGCATGCGTCTTGTGTGATGCTGACCGCTCTTCTTGTAACATTTCTGCCTCCTTCAAAGGGATTGCGCACTCGAACCTTGAAATGAGCTGCCAGAATGCTGCCAAACAATAGTAGCATCAAAGTTTTAGATGTGACTACATAAGGCTGATGAGGAGGCTTCTTATGAGATTCTAATGGATTAGGACCAGCTTGAGTTCCTCCAATCTGACATACAAATGAAAGCCACTCTAGCTTGGCTAGAGAAAGGTGGTGCATTCTGAGGGTGACATTAGGACCAGCGAAAAGTCCCTACTTCTAAGCAACTATAGTTGACATGTCCCTTTCAAATTGCATATTGCAGCTGGAACGATGGAACACATGCGAGATGCTGTGGTCCTTGAATATGCATAAAGTTCACATAGACCATAAAGAACTTACCTCTTTCTCCCTCCTTGCAGCAGCGACTACTTGGAATGGCCAGAAGATCGTGTCAAGGACGCCATAGACTATGACTTTCGTTAGATATGACCACCATACGAAGATCGATTTGACTGCTACCCGTAACGGCCAAGAGATCACAATGAATGGCCAAGTGATCCACTCAAAAGTCCCAACCACCAGGTCCACGACTGCCGCAAACATCTCATAAAACGAGACCATCCTGCCTGAGTTATGCCCTCTTTTGACTGCTATTCTTACAATTTAAAGTAACACTCCCAGCTTGAGCGTCCGGGCAGATGCTTGTCCTCGCCATGCCCCCTTGCAGCTTCGTCGGTGGCTAGGCGACACAGCTTCTATGACTGAGGCGCACCACCCTTCGCTGCGTCCGGAATTGTTCTCCTCATGCATGCACAGCACCATTGCGCCAACATTTCTTTGCCACCTTTCCGAAGTTCCCTGCACGCTTTTCTGAGACTGCAGCCTGTGCAGGCTCCAGCACTGCACTTTCGCCCCGTAAACCTGCACTTGACCCTTGTCCTACATAGACAAACCTTATGCCACATCGAACCGAGAAACGTTGTTTGCAGGCTATGGACTTTCGACGGCGATACTGACCATGGAGGATCAATCATGGCTCAGCAGGCTGGGCACATGCTGGGCAGAAGTTTGGTCAGCATGTGTTCAAGAGCGCCGGCGGCCATTGAGCCATTGCTGGAGTTCCAGTGAAGGAATGCGGGACGCACATTGGCAGCGCCATTGGCAGCTAGGAAGCTCGTTGAACACTCTTAGGCCTTACTGTAGCCAACTCTCTATATTGCTGAGAGGTAGAAAGAACTTCTCAAGAGTTCTTCGGAAGAGGCCATCGTGCAGTACATTCAGAGGCACCATCTGGCACACTGAAGCAGGATCACCTGAAGTGCGTCTACTGGTGGCGGCTAAATTTTGGACGTCAAGATGCAGCATTGTGCATTCAGAGACTAAAGAGATGCCTCACACAAGTGAAGAGTGTACCGGACAGCATTGCAATGGCTTTCATCCCAGCTCCTTACAGTGCTTCGATGCAGCTGGGGACCAGGAAGTGGAAAGCGAAGAAACTGATCTACCGCTTGTAAGTAAAGAGATCTTTTCAAGTGCTTGCAAAGCTTTCCCTTTTCCATGTTGCCATCTTGTACTATCTGCAAGCCTTCTGCTTTTGAAATTACATCTGCCGCCCTTAAGAGCACGTTTTACTTCTAAATTGGCCTCGAAAACTCCGTACAGACGGCTCTCTGATCTTGTAACAAATACGTGGGACTTCTCTTTCAATTGCAGGTCAGTTTAATTATGCCAATCCTCAATGTAGAACATTTTCTTGACGCCATGTTGGCTTCACTTCTACTCCAGGTGAGCCTTACGCAATCGGTTCACAAGTTTGCCCCGTTCTTTTGTTTCATCAGCTAGGAGTCAGCTTTATTAAATAGGAAGGAAAAACAGTTTGGAGTGTTGTTGTATAAGGCACAGATAGGACGCTCTGATCAATGCGGACCATCATCAATCAACTGGACTTCAGATTTTCAGCTGTGTTTGGAGCTCGCTTATCAAATTCAAGCTGGTTCCAGGAAACCGAGGAAAACCAGGCTTGATGTTATGACAGTCTTTCTATGCTTTTTGTAGACCTATCAAGGTCCGATGGAGCTATCAATATATGATGACAGCAGCACGGACGGTAGCCTCAAAGTCCTTGAAAGGAACCGCCCGACACTGGAAAAAAGGATGATTGTACTTCTGGTAAGTCTACTTACATTTAGCCTTGACATTGTGGGCTTGAGAAAGTATAGTCATGGCTTTTCAACTGCTTCATCGGGCAAAGGCAATCCAGAGTGGAGAGATGGTAATCGAATTCCACAGCCCTTGAGTTCGTGAAACTGTTAACTTACAACACCTATGAGTTTTACTTACTACTTTAAACCGCATCTAGTTCGACCTTAACGGTGGCTACCTTGGATGTCCATCTACAGATAGAATTGACTTTTCGATGACTTCGTTTCAGAAGGATCCCTTGCTCACAAATTCTCTGGCCAAGATGAAGTTCCCCATGGTTATGCAGGTCTCAAAAGGAGAGGAAGGCAGGCCACCTCAGGGCTGTGGGTTTGGACGAAATGTTGCGGTGTGTACATCGCGTTCCCTCATCCTTCCAATAGTGTCTCCATTCTTAAAACCGAGGAGCGGAACATGTTTCTTTCTACAGAGCGCCTACATGTTCTTGTGCGGCTCTTAATCCGTCAGGCCTCTTCAAGATGTGCCTGCTGATAACAAATGATCTATCTTTAGCCTTTTGCCTCGTGAGTTTATTTACTTGGGTTCAACTGGATCAATCCTTGAGGATTTGTAATGGCAGGGGAAAGGGCTTACCGATGTTGTGCCCTCCATGCTGCAGGTTAGACAGTGCCATGGGGAGTACCTCTGCTTTGCGGATGCCGTAAGTAAGTCACCATTTCTGGCGAAAACTGGTTTGTGAGCTTCCTTGGCTACTTCGAGCTGGCTGGCCTCTTGTTTCGAATCTCTAAATCTGGTCTCTGCACCCTATCCAGTTCCTCACCGTGTCCAGTTCGTCAGCGATCTAGTGCTCGAATAGGCAATTTCAAAGCGTTTTCACAATGGGCTGATTTGACACCTGACTGCTACTTTGCAGGATGACATCATGCACCCTGAGCGGATAGAGTTGCAGCTGCGGTTGGCCAGGCAGAGCAGCAAACTACTCGTGAGTCAGATTACTTGCTTTAACAGCAAACTTCCGAAAGTGGGACGTTCCTCAAACCCACCTAGACGGAGGTTAACTTCAGACCAACAGTTTTCGAAGCTTGCAGGCAGTTTCGGAACAACGGGATTCCAAGCTTCCACGTCATCCGGTGCTGCAAATACACGAATCAGACCACTTTGGATGCTACAGAGTACTCGACATTGCGAACCACCGCCGTAAAGTATGTCCTCGGAAGGGCCCAGGCCGTTTCTCCCACAGGATCTTACTTTTGGAACCGTAATCTTTCAAAACTTCAGCCTTGCAAACACCAGCCTCAACCGTTTCGTCTTATTGGCAGGTGGGGAGCGACTTCGTGCGAGAGCCGGCGGACGCCACCCCTCGGTACACCGAATGGCTCAACTCGCTCTCCCAGGCCCAGCTGTACACACAGCAGCTCGTCGAGTGCACCATCATCCATGTAAGTTCGGAAACGCGAGAACGTTACTAGGTTCTTTCCGCAGTTCGAAATCCACAAACACCAACTAAAACCACTTTGGATGCTGAAAGAAGAATATAGCACTTGCAAGTTCATCAATAAGGGCGACGAAAACTGCCTTTGTGCCTCTCTCCTTTAAGTGGTGCTTGCTGTGAAACGAATCGAACAGCGCAGAACTATCGCGTTTCTACCTTTGAAGGCGGATGCCGACGAGCTCTTACACCATTAGATGGCACGCTGAAGGTGATCTACGTGGCTCTCTTTGTGCGTTGAAAACTCTGTTGCACAGGAGAGCCAGCTGAATCCAGGACTCTAAATCAGCTGAGACATTTGTAAAGCCAAATCCTTTTGTGAGGATGTAAGTATTCCATCATATGATGCACTCTCTTTTCTCTTGAGTTATGCACAAGTTGAAAGTAGCCCATCTGCCGTTCCCTTGAAGCAGTACGGCAGAATCTCTAAGAATGATTGCCTCCCAAGACTCGCGCTTAAGCAGCGTTTGCTTCTTTCTGATGTCCAGCCGACCTGGTTCTGCTCCCGGGCCGTGTACGACGCTGTGGGGGGGTACGTGGAAGAGGGCCCCGGCACCCCCGACGACCTCATCTTTTTCTACAAGCACCTCCGACTCGGTGGCTATCTCGCCAAGGTGAGGAGATACAGACGAGAAGCCACGGCAATCTTACGAGACAGGGAACGGTACACGGATGCTATGCGCTGAAGTCGAATAGTCGATAGCAACTTCTGGAAGCTTGCGAGACTCTCCACAAGGCGTCCGAATGCTGTCCCGCAGACGCGCTGGTTTCCTTTCTCGCGCTCTTTCTGAACCCGCTTCTTAGCGCCAGCGTGGCGTTGCTCAAGATGATAGCTGGTCTCGCAGCAATTCTGTTGTTGAACCTCCGTCTCGGTTCCGGGCCGCCTTTTCTTCTCTCGTGGGTATTCATCCTTGGAACACACCGACCTTAGAGCTCGTCAGAAGGGGTCTGCTGGGGAGCAACCGAAGGGACCCAACCTGCGACATGCGCAGAAGAAGTCAAAGCTATCTGATCCAATACGAACGTCCAATCACCGTTCTTGCTGCGAGTGTGCTCAGAGTGTTTGTTTCGCGTGCAGGTTGAGAAGCCGTTGGTGACTTACACTTACCACGGGGCGTCAGTCACGGGCCAGCGGGGTGTCGACTGGCAGAAGATCTGGGCGGTGCGAGTGGCGCATTTAGAGACGCAGCTCCTTCCACACGAGTAAGCTTGCGTACAACTCTCTACTTGATGCGGATGCATAACTCGTGATAACGGTTGGTGGGGGCCATCCCAGGGTTGCGGATTCGCTGGCATGCCCAGGCAGGGTTTGATACGGGAAAATCTTCAAGCTGGTTCGACGTGCGCTACTCGTACTTGTCGAACAGGTGCCCAGATGACCTACGCTGAAAAGCTCCTTCAATTTGGCACAAGACTTCACCTTCAGAAGCTTTTGATGTTCACAATGAAAAATGTCTGTCCCTCTCACGAGCGAGGCTCACGTCCAATTTGGCGCCATTCCTCTTGTCCGATTCGTAGAGCGGAGAGCTTGCAAGATCAACGTGCTCCTTGTTCGGACGTCTTGTTACGAAAAATGGTTGATCCAGCCCTTGTTGAGAGGCTACGGGGCCGTGCCTTATCGTAACCTGATGAACCCCATCTGTATTTCTGCAGACCCTGGGGAAACGGCTTTACAATCTGGAATGCTGGAAAAGAAGGGAAGCGGCTCTACCGATCTCTGAACGCGGCTAACCAGTCGAAGGTAAGGTCTCTGTCGAGCTGTTTGACTCCGGGCAAGACAGACCGTAGAACGAAGGAGCACTTGCATGGAAACACAATGCTATGTGCATCATTGAATGGTTGGAAAACCATACCGAATTGCAAGATACTACTGTGGTGCTAAAGAAGTAGGACAAGTGTTACATCTGCCCACTGTGCTGGAGACGGGAGGGTGACAAATCGGGGCACCTTTTCGGGGCGCAGCGTCTAATCGAGATGATTGGTCCGATGCAGGTCCTCGCATTCTGTGACGTGGATGGCAAAAAGCTGAAGCGAGGCTCTTTCCACGTGCCAGAGACGAATGTTAGAGTGCCAATCCTTCATTGGTCGGTGGCGCAAACTCCCTTACTGCTGTGCGTCAAAAGAGGTCTTACAGGCGGCGCATTTGAGCGGAACTTGGACTCTTTACATCTGCAAGAGGGCCTTGACTATGTGTTCTTCAGTTGACTAAAACGTTTCAAGGACAATATGATAGCTGAAAAGCTCTTACTTTGGACTTTCTTCAAGCGACCTAAGGCAACACGATATATGCGCATGCGTGAGAATGCCGAAGCCCGATTTAGAGTGCGGGTTGCTCGTGGTTGGATAGTCAGCCTGGAGGCAGTCTGTCGCAAGCTTTCAAGCAAGCTTTGTGTTCCCCAATCTTTATACCTTTGCAAAGAAATCAAACCGCTGTTGCTCGGAAAAAGCGCTAGGTTGGTAGGACCAAGGTGTTTTACTGCCAATCCAAGTTCGTCATCACGAGCAAGCTCCAAACACTCATGATGCCATGCAACGCAGTCGAAGAAAATAGACGAATTGGCAATTACGCAATTACGTCTTATTGTATAGATGCAAATTGTACATCGCAATGAGAGGTACAGTCTGCAGGAGACCGCATGCATTAGTACTCTCATCTCGAGCATGAACTGAAAGCTCAGACCTCGTTCTGCCCATGTTATACCTTTCGGCTAGGGCCGCCACATAGCCAAATATCCTTCTCCTAGTATAGGCTATAGACTATGTTCGGCCGGCACTAGGAAAGCGAGCTGTCCAAGATTCGGTCCCTCAATTGCGATCAATCGTTAGTAATTGGATGTTTCATGCGCGGATCGCTCTTCTTCAATTGAGCCGACTTGGCATGCACGATCTGCAAGTCACCTGGCAGCATGCCCGGCCTTCAACGCATGACTTGCAATATAACGTCATATATATATACCTCATGGTAATGATATGGTGACCATCTGGTAACTAAATGTTCACATGATTGGATCGAGCGCTATGTCATTAGCTGCAAATTGAAAAGCCAATCAATTAACACTCTCATTCCCATGCTATGCAAGGATTGAATCCGAAGCATATACGAGCTAGCGCTCAGTGGGCAAGGACCCGGCCCGGCCCACCGATTAATATGCCATCCGATGCATCCATGATCAGACAGGAATCTTGAGGCTTGATGCACCAAATCTACGTGGCGCTGTTGAAACTTGAAGAACATGCACCACTCTGAGAAGAGGCCGGATCTGTGAACAGTCGACCTTTCATAGGCGAGAGCTTTTAGAGACTTTGAGGGGCTCTCAGAGCTTTCGGCTTAACTTTGAGTCAATTGATCTAGGTTATATGGTACATTGTTTATAGTAGTCCTTCCTGACTTGTTGTATGTAAGATGGTCCTCGAAATATCTCATTTGAACCCGAGCGACATTTTTGCATGTTGCTTCGACCCATGCTATCTTACAATTTGGAACCCGCGGCTTGCTCCTCCCGTTTCGCTTGCGCCACTTTTCCGAGCTTCCGTATCATGGTATGTACTTCGGTAAAATAAGGAGACGTTGCCTTCTCGACGGCCGCCATGAGCGCACGGACTCGCGGGCAGGGGTTGAGAAAACCCTCCCGTTCCTTGGCATCCAAAACCTGCAAAGTATCTCCACAGGCCTTCAGATGCCCATAAAACACGTAGTGGCTGCCGCCAAGCTGGAGCTGAGCAACATCAACCATTGAATCCCTCTTCAAACCTCGCCGAGCCGTTTCCGCGGGAGCACGAGACGTCACTACCTGACAAGGTGCACCTCTCTTGATCAAATCTTACTTGCAAGACTCTCAACCCGCAAACGTGCATCGCGGGATTTTGGTTGCTGGTTGACACAGACAGCAGCAAAGACGAGAGACGAGAAAGTATCTGCCACGAAGCTTCCACGGAAAGCCCTGAGTAACACTCACCTCCAGTTGCATCAACTCGCATACGATGGAAAGGTCCGCAATGGACGGCTCCGATCGTCCAAGGACGAACGGCCCGGGGTCTCGGAGCCACACTTTCTCGAGGTCTCGCAGGGCGTTTTTCAGGGTTTGCCGGCCTTTCTTGAGGATGTGCAGGTCGGGAGTGAGGCCCCGGTTGGCGGCAAGGAAGGCATTGAAGACCGTTTCCACTGTACGTATTCATTTTGCCATCTTCAGTTGGTGCAGAAAAGAGTCCCTTACTTTATTGTTGGTGTATGTGAGCGATTTGGCAATTGCGGTCGGCACTGGCTGTGATGACCTGCTAGGAGATAGTCACAAGGAAGCAATCTTTCGAACGTGACAAGATCCACGAGAGAAGAATGGAGCTGAAGGAGACTGAATCCGGAAGGACAAACTCCAAGTTTTGGTCAACTTCGCATCAGTTCGCCTGCGAAGAACGGTCTGTTCGGTCAAAGCAGACTGAGCTAAAGGCACTGGTTACTCTTTTCGAAAGCTCCTGGTTGTTCGGTCAAAGCATACTGAGCTAACGGCACTGGTTACTCATTTCAGAAGCCCCGGCTTGTAAGAAGTCAGGCGCTCTTCAAAGCTCTCCCCAGACGCCGAGCTCCAACGGGTCACTAAATCGGAACATGCACAAATTCTCCTTGTCGAAGTACAAGACTTTTCGTCTTGAAAGGTCGCATCATTGTATCTCAAAAGTAGCACATTTGAAACACGGCTGACTTTTCTGCGTCCCTAACAGAAGCCCCTGGCCCTGCAAATCTGATTCTATGTTGTGCCTTTCGATGCACCGGGTCGTAGATGCTGCTGAGGCCACAGATAAGAGAGAAAAAGGTGACAAATCTTACTACTGCCTTTCCGGATGTTGAGGTGGTGCCAGTCCAGGACTGCGTCAATCTGCGCCCGCTCGTGCGGCTCTTTGGGGTACCAGTGATCCTCAACTCCCGCTCTAGTTGCGGCCAGGTACCGCATGATCGCATGGCTGCAAAGCAGATAGCAGAGCTTTGGCCATGATGAAGTTGCAAAAGAAGTCTAGAGTATAACGGAGGAATTGCAGACGAGTCTTAGAGCCTCATGGTGGTGACACGACCCACGCCTGCGACACAAAAGCTGATCATGATTCTTTTAGTGCTGGAAAGGTTGGCCCACTGTCAAGAAATCGCAGTTCCTGAAAACACATGCAACCACTTGTTATTGTCTGAGGTTGATTTACCAAACAATCTCTCACCAATTGTAGGTGGGAGGGAGACGGTCCTGGAAAAATCTTACCTCTCCGGCAGCTTGAACCCATCATCGTCGATTGCCGGCAGCTTTTTCAAAGGGTTTATCTCTGCGCAAAAGAGTGAAGGCGTGAAACCACCATCTCTTTCTTATTGTGTAACCTGGTCATCAGCTAACTCCTACTCTTGACATGAAGTTGAACTGAATATATTGACTAGAGTTGTGCAGCACCACAACGTTGGCCATGTTTCGTCACGGAGGACAAGTCACAGTCCGAGGCTGGGATTATCATTCTGATGATGAACTCCAATCAGATTCAGATCGCAATTGTCAGGCCTGAATAAGCTTGCTAAGTACCAGGTACATGGACACTCCTGAAATAGTTTTGCAATAACATGAATGATCTGCATATGATTCTGAATACCTTACCACATGATTGCGCATATGATTCTATCAGCTCACCGGCAAACTCTGGCTTTACGTGTGCAAGCTTGTCAATTCTAACAGAGACAAACTCGTGCTCCAGTCCATTTGCCCTGCAAGAGTGGAAAAGTGAAACACATGTTCACGTTGCAGACCAGCCTAGCTTAATTACCTGGCCCCTGAGAGCCTGAGATGCTTTTGCTCTGATGGCACTACAGGTTGGTGAGAGAGATGCCCCCTGCTGATCGCTGCTGATTGATGACTTCTTGGATGGCTTTGCATTCAGCAATCAAGTATTCAGATAATCGCACTGTCCAATTGGATGGCTGTCTCTTGGAATGGATTTGCATGACACCAGCAATTGATGTACTATTCAGAGCCGAAACAGAGGCCTTCTTACTTGCAGAAGATCAGGATTGCTCGTGTTGGCTGAGAAAAGATGTCCCCATAGACCTTCAACATCGTGTCGCTGTTAAATCAATGCTCTGGCTGTGTTGGATCCTTGCAGGCGCGCTGGAGACAGAGTACCTTGCTGGCCTGTAGGTTGTGTCAGGAGAATGTCCGACTTTAAAGATAAGAGAACATGCGTTCTGCCACTGCACAGCTTTGTGCTGCCCTGACAGTCGAGAAAGGAATGACACAGATGATGGAACATGAGTGCTGGTGAAAAGGGAATGTGTGCAACAACGGCCCTCTGCACTGAGCTAGAGCCTGAGCCTGAGGGCCCCTCCCCAACTTGCTGCAGACTTTTCAGACTTCAAAGAACTGCAGAAAATGTACGTAGCCGCGCAAACGAGCATAAGAAGCGTTTGGGAAACGGCGGTCGCCGGACAGTCACGTTCAGGCCCAAAGGAGGCCTCCGTGATAACAACCGTCATTGCGCCGCCAGTCAGAGGCGACGGTTTATGCGACTCTCCTATCAGATATGCATGCAAAAGCATCAGGCAACTTTCGCTAAATTTGAAACGACATACACATTGTACGTCCAACACAACCTGCAGGATTGCCATGCAAAGTTCTGTTGTCTACTGACAGTGAAAGATCAGCTGTCCACATTCTCATTACACCTTGGCTCTAAATCTTCAGTCATATTCCAGCTGCTTCCAGCTTTATCAGAACGCGCCATCAAGGGTCCAAGTGGACACATTTGCACGCTGCGTCAACACTTCTGTCTTTGAGGGAAGCCAGCATTCCTTGCCCTCGAACAATGTTGCGAGCTCTCCGGCTGCTGCCGCTAGCTGAGGCGCACCTTTCCTCTCTTCATAGGTGCCAGCTTTCATACATCATTTATGCACCAGCATCAGCGACGTGTTTACTATCTGCATGTTCGTCAGCGAACACAACCACCTCTCAAATCGCTGACATCATCGGTGCATCAGCAGCCGTCTCCCGACGAGCGTTTGGCAGTCAGGCTGAAGTCTGGACTTGGGGTAAGGGAGAGGAGGGCCAGCTAGGGCATGCCACTGAAAACCTGGAGAAGCAACCCAAGCGCGTCGACGTCCTACTTTACACCACCAGCTCATCGGGTGCGGAAGACTCGTCCAAAGCATCTTCTGGCTCCGCTAATGTCACACCGTCCTCCTCCACTAGTGGCGCGTCCCAAACAAGGGGTGTGGATTCAGGTTCTGAGCCAGGGGGGGGTAATGAGAGGCAAGCGTTTGCGGGCCAAGTGTCGTGTGGACTGTTTCACTCTGCGGCGCTGCTCGAGGGCCTTCTCTTCACGTGGGGCAAGGGCCAAGGGGGCAGGCTGGGCATAGGGGACGACCAGCCGAGGTACCAGCCGGCACGGGTCCCGCTTGATGACGTCAGCGCCGTCGCCCTGGGAGGGCTGCATTCATTGGCTGTCACAGGTGGTGAGCGCCCCCAGCCTCCGAACTTGTCCTTTTGGATAGTTGGATAATGTATGATCAAAGAATTTGATCTTCTCCAGGTTGGAGGTTGTGGATAGTTTGAAGGTTTCCAAATTGAAAGTTGTGGATTCTCTGAAGGTCTCCATATTGAGGGTTGTGACCCTTGGAAGGAGCAGAATACCAAAGAGACAAGCAATTCGACGACAGATTGCCCATGTCATTTCCACCCCCCCAAAGGCGACCAGCCATGATCATCGATTGGCGCCACTTTTTTTGCCCTGTTGTACTGTTAAGGGTCAGTATGGACAGCTGTCAGCTGAAGAAGAATCTGAGCGAATGCTTACTTTACAATCTCCAGGATACCGACTTCTCAATCTGTTAATCTCCCTTTGTTCACCATCACGTTCTTGCGCTGGTGCACAGATGGCCGGGCCTGGAGTTGGGGCTTCGGCATGTTTGGAGCGCTCGGGCATGGGGACTATACCAACGCATACGAACCTACTCTGATTCGGGGGCCTTGGGAAAACAAGGGCGATCGAGTCGTGACAATCTCTGGGGGTGGGGCACATTCTGCGGCGGTCACAGGTTAGTCTCTTGCCAATCGTAACCAGTCTAAGAACCTCGAACCCAAAACGTAACCCAGCAACAAATGCACATTTTTTCCTCTCCATGGCGTCCTTCTTTTTTCTTTCTTGGAGCTCCAGGACGTCCCTAGGGCAGGGAGCCATCCTTGGAGCTTTGCAACCATCATTGTCGCGGAAGATGAAGAAGGGACTACTGTAGCGCCGCCATTCATCTTCCTTACCTAACCAGGGCGGTAGCTATTGCGAAACCCCAATAGTGCACCTACTGAGCTGTCAGTTGAAAACAGACATTCAATCGAACGGTTCAGAGTGGACTTGGAGAAGTTGCGGTGTCAGATCTTGGCCTGGTAATACTGGCATGAGAGTATGGAGCTTCAGGGCTGTTGATGCCTCCTGATGGAGGTGGCTCCTTACGGCAGGCAGTTCATGCTTTACGAAGATTTTTGGCCACCCCCCTCTTGTCCACCTCCTAAGTTGACATGCACAAACAGCCCTGGCAGTCTCCATGTGCCCCCTACTGAGTTCGTCTTTGCCAATCCGAGTCAAGAAGTTAGAGAAGTAGCAGTTAGAAACTGTCAATAATCTCAAGCCTCGAGGATTGCCTTGTTTTACCCACCCAAATCTCTTGGCGGGAAAAAGTGCCCATGTAGAACCTCCCGCCAAAGCCAAAGCAAGTCAGGTTACGATGCAAACAATCACATAGGCATGTTTCAGCGATAGACGCCGTCGAGTTTCCTCAAATTGATCGCTCGAATCGTCCAGCGGCTGGTGCTGTCTATACTTGGGGTCGAGACGAGGGGGAGGGGCGGTTAGGTCTTGGAGGCGCGGGGGCTGCCGGGGGATCCCCCACGCCGCTCCAGGTGCACGGAATAGAGGGCCACGTGGTTGCTGCCGCTTGTGGAGGATTCCATACGCTGTGCCTGACTGGTGAGGGGCTTCGGGCGAAACGCTTTGGTGTGTAGTCGTGGCTCGCCTTTCGAACGCCGGCTTTTCCAGATAGAACGACCTTCTTTGGGAGTGCTGCAATCACGCCTTGGCAAGGGCAAGCGGAAGAGACACTGAGCGAGTCTGCTGAATACTGCGGTGATCCTTTATAGGCAGCGAAAGGAGACTAATCTCAGGAATTGGTTCCGAATTTTCTTCCAGAACAGCTTGTGTTCGTCAGAACGTTTTTGCTGGATTGGTGTGTCTGATCCACCTACCATAAAGGAGCATATCACTTATGTATTTATAAGGCACCCCTTCGTTGTTTCCCTCCAGACTTTCTCAATCAGTGCTTCATGTGCTATCCAAAACGGACCTGCTTTAAGCTGTCGGCTCACCTAACGAATCGATTCTTTTGCCCCTGCCAATGTTTCACTCCGACAAGCACTTCCGGCTTGACTCCGATCTCTCAGCCGTTCGAATCGGACTTGCGCAGATGACGGAAGGGTTTGGAGCTTTGGTGCAAACGCGAACGGTGAACTAGGGCGGGAAAGCAGCAGTAAAGGAGGCCCGCAGCCGATACGGGCTTTGGAGGGGCGGAGAATACGGCACGTAAGCAATCGGCTGTCAATTGCCGAGTTTCAACAAGACCACTAACATTCAGGTTCTGAAAACCAGAACTATGGGTTCGCTTTGCCCCTCGCTGGCAGAAAGCGCTGATAGTAACCAATTGATATCGAGCACGTACATTTCACCTTTCGCTAATCTCATTCGTCGGCACCTGGCACCTGTTTTGCCTGAAAATTCGCGTTCGCCGGGAGCAATCCAGTATACCTAAATGTCTGACCTTTTTCTCGCGTGCTCCAGGTTGCCTGCGGGGGCTATCACTCGGCCGCGGTCACGGAAGATGGCGTCATGCTGACGTGGGGCCACGGGGGCCACGCGCAGCTGGGGCACGGGGAGCTGCGCAGTGAGAGGACGCCGCGCGAGGTGGAGGCCCTCCGGGGCGTACGAGTGAGGTCCGCAAGCTGCGGCGGCAACTGGACGTCCGCAGTTACAGGTGCCGTTCAACGTATTGCAAGCTTCTCGGTTTGGTCGAATTGTCCCTCTTCCTTTGACCCCCGCTCTCAGAACTCTCTGCTTTGTCTCTTCGTGATTCAAGTTCGGCAAAGGTGCAGACTTGAGCAAGCCCGAAGACCTCGCATCGTAAGAGAAGATGCTGTTAGACGTCTGCGCTTCTTGGCTCGCTTCGACCTCCCTATGATTTTGTCCTGGTGCAGATGCTTGATACACTTTGGGAACCTTTGGGCTTCTCTACTTCTGTGTAGTTTTCTCGCAAGCGACTGGTCTGGGACTTTGCAGCGTATCCATTTCATGACTTCCAGGTTATCGGGAATCCGCATTTCTATATTAATACGCGTTGAGTAAGCTCAGGGTCAGAAGTCATTAGCTCTGCTTAACCTGCCCTTCTCTACGGTTACAAAGTCGGGGTTCCGGATGCGGCTTCTGGGATTCCCTTTAAACGTGATCGAACGTCGCGGCCCGAACGACAGTGCCATCAAGACTTCAGTCCAGGCCTCTGCAAAGCGACCCAGACTCCTCAAGTGGACGCATTTCAGTACAGCAAGCCCAAAGTGTTTACGGTTTTGGCTTCTTATAACAGTAGATTCGGTCCCTTTGCAGAGGACGGGCGGGTATTCACGTGGGGAAAGAACCGAGACTGGCAGCTTGGGCGGCCGCTCTCATTAGCCGTCGACATGGAACCCACGCCCCGGGACATTGCTTTCTCAGACTCGGAGGACGGTTTCTCGAGACGGGCGATTGAGATAGCATCTGGAGCACACCATGGGGCGGCCCTCGTTATTGCCACAGATTGATCCAGACCGGACAGTTTGGCATGCAAAGGAAACACGTCGTGTTCTTCGAATAACATGACATGCGTTTGCTCAGAATGTATCATGCATGCTGCTCAATAATCAATACCGCTGCGTGGGTAATGCGCGCCAAAGTACGTCTGAAGTTTGTTTGTATGACTTGAGAACATGTAGAGTTCAACTTTCGACAAGATTGAGATGCATTGGAGGTGCTACGTTTCAGACTTACACTCAACATGCATTCGAGAGATACACATTACACATGTAGGTACGTAACATCATTAAACTCATTGGGCGGCCAACATTAGCAGAGATGTCGATCAACTCTATGGATCGTAGCCGTGCACATGGCCGGGCTGCAGAACTTCAATTCAAAACATCTCAAGTCAAACTCAGCTGCATGCCGTATGTCAATCTTGTCTGATGCTTTGCATGTCAGATGCAGCACAGAAGCGTCCCTGTCAACGATTTCCGCATGCAGTCGCAGCAGGCTGCAGCAAACGACGTTCCTCGGCTCTGCCAGAGATAGGAGCTAAGGGCTCTGATAACAACGATGACTGATTTACAAGATTTATGAGTGTAGCGGTCTCTTGAAAGTGCTGGATCAGATTAGATCACAACGCCTAAGTCAAGTCTTCAGGTCCAACGTTGCTAGTCTCGTGGATCGCCATCGGAAGAGCTTTGTATTTAAAATGACCAACTTGTCCGGAATTGCATCCAGGACCTTTCAGTGTGTACCAACTCTACAACTTACATAAACTTCGAGCAACTCAAAGGCATACTCAGTCCCTCCGTCCATTGTTCAATCTCCACAACAGATGAAACCAACTCGGAGTGCTTGTTTTACTCCAGGGCGTAATTTGGGTTCACCATGAGTACTCGCTCATCGGCCGCAATCAACAACTCCGGTTTTGCCGGCAAGTCCTGCGAATCTTTTCCTTCTTTCTCCGCCGCGTCGCGCGCTTCCTCCCAAGCCGTAAGCGCGGCCTTCGACTCTTCGACGGCGGCCTTGCCGTCCTCGAGCTCAACGAGCGTGCCCTCCCGACGGATCAGGTGCTGCGGAAACGGAAACGGAAAATGAACGGTCAGCGGAACGGAACGGGGGGTAAACCATTTCTGTTCGACTGGGCCCTCGTCGTGCATACGAAGGTGCCCTCCCGGCGGATCAGGTGCTCGTAAACGGAAACAAAAACGGAACGGATGGAAACGGAAACGGAAACGGAAACGGAAACGGAACGGTCAGTCGTCAGGACGGCAACTATTGAGAGCTTCGTCCGCGGCCTTGTCTTTTTCAGGTCTGTCCGGCGTGCCCCCTCGGTCATGTTTTTCAAGAACGGAGTACTACGAATGGGAGGAAGCTTTGCCGCTGCCCCTACTCCTGAGCACCGCCGTTTCAATCTCTTGGTAGGACGGAGCGAAAAGTAGAAATACGACGAAACCAATCTTCACGTCACAGCTTGAATCACGTGATTTGAACCACTCGCCGGCTCACCTGTATGATGAGCTTGACGGTCCGCACGTCTTTGTGGAGCTCCGCGACTGTGGGGTACGCGTTCTTCTCGTTCTGCTCCGTCAGATACCACGACAGCAGGTCCTTCTGCTTCATGCCGACCGCGTCCGTGCCTGCGGGAGAAAGAAAGTGCAGGTGTCAAAAGCAGGTTTGAGGAAGGTTAGCAGGAGGTTGAGGGCACACAAGAGTACTATACACAACCCTCCCGTCTGCTTCATGTCCACCGCGTCCGTGCCTGCGGGGGCAAAAGGAGTGCCGGTGTCAAACGCAGGTTATGAGAGGGTTTGGGAAGCGCTAGAAGAAGGTCAAGAATGACAACCCCACCTTGTCTTCTTCCGATGCGTCCCTCTGCGGACGAGAGCGTCCTAAGCACGCTTGTCAATGCCCCACTCGTTGGGAGGCAACATAAACTCAGCTTTAGAAGTCAAAACCGTGTTTGTCACAGACCCGGCACTGTTATTAGCCTCACCATCGCCCGTTTCTTTCTCTCCCAGCATTAGCTGGTGCATGCTCGTGACAGGTCGGTTTTGGCAAGGCGACGAACCGAAGCACGCCGGACATGATCTATACTCATTCCGAGCCCAAACTCTTACAACTCAACATCGCCGAGACTGCAGAACCGTCACACACTCACCATCGCCCGCCTCTTTCTCTTGCAGCGGCAGCCTGTACGTATACGAGCATGCTGGTGACCGCATCGAACTTTATCCCGAACACAAGAACCTAAACTTCTAGAGGGTAAGGGCACTCTCAAAAAGTAAAAGCCTTACCGTCTCCCGCCTCCTTCTCTTGCAGCCGCAGTCTGTACACGAGCATATTCGTCACCGCATCGATCTTGTCTTGCGACACCGATACCACGGGGACCGGGCCCCGCTTCGCCTTCTTCGCCTGGCGCGCCTCGCCCGGCTTGACGTCAGGCTTGACGTTGGCGTCCTCGGGCTCGCGCTTGACGGGCGTCCCGGCGGCGGCGGCCAGGGGCGTGACGTCAGCGGGAGCATCAGCGGGCTCGGACTTGACGGGAGAGGGCTGGGACAGGAAAGCAAGGCGTCAGGGCGAATCTGAGTACTGCCTAATGGAAATCACCTGTCAGACGATGCGGTTTGGCACCGATGCCTTTCTTGCAGGGTTTAAAAGCGGAGTCGATTTGCACAAGCATAAGTCCAGACTGTTCTGTATATCACTTCTGATTTGTGATGGCATCAAACAACTTAATCCCGCTGACTTCAATCGCCAAGACGGAATCTTGCGACGCTTGTGGCACATGTCAGCCGCACTACATCCACATGCACCAGAGAAAAGGACTCCCTCTCCGTCTGCCTCCTTACAGCAGACGCTTCGATGGGCTATTCGAAAAGGCCACGGCAAGAAGTCGAACCCCTTCAATTCAAGTCAAACGTCCGCTCGCTCGTCGACTCACCTGGTCTTCCCGTTTCCTCTTGCTCGCGCTGCGGGTTGCCCGCCCGTCTGACGCCGGCGTGCCGTCACCGCTGGGCGTGAAGCCGTTACCGGACGGCGCCCCGCCGTTTGCTGACGCAGGCGGGGACGCGGGGCCGTCCGACTCCGGGGGCGGGGCCCTCCTGCCGACGTCATCGTTGTCGTCATCGTCGTCATTGTTGTCGTCATCGCCGCCCGGGCCCCCCCGGAGCTCCTCTTCTTCTTCGAAAAGATCGTCGTCGATCTGAACGTCTGCGGCATCGACGCTGCGGAGAGGAAGTCAACACTGATCTTAGCAGATGAAAAATCAAACAAATTTTCGGTTCGCGACACACATCGCAGTTCTATTCACAAAAGGTGGTTGAACGGAAAGGAGTCTCAGAGACTCCAAAGGCCAGAAATAAGCTTCCGGCTGAGAGCATGCGATCCTGCTCGAAAACAGAGTCTGCTGATTAGAATCCATTCGTGATCAGGAATTTCAGATGTACGCCTTAATCTTTGATCCTGAGGATATCAAGTCCGTTATTATGGAAAGTGGATCAGCATCTTAGCAAGGTTCCTTGAGAGGCGACACACTCACTGCACAATCGACGTGCTGAGCAGCCTCCCAGCTTCGTCCACGTGTCGCTTGGTGATCTGCACGAAAGCACCCGGGTGTCTTATGAACGGAACACTGTCGGTGCTGCCCAAAACAGGTCAAGATTACTTGGCGCGACATTCAGTCAACCAGCTGTTGGGCGCTTTGAAGGGCAGCCTCGTTGGCGCCTGAAAACAAGTGCTTTCCAATGCTTTAGGGCATTCACCGTTCGTCGACTTGGCCTTCTAACGACTTGCAGATCAAGGACAAAACGCGGAGCAGTAGAATCGTCGTCTCATCTGCACGCTTTCCTTGATACGCACACCTTCCCCGCTCCTTGAATGGTAAGTCGAAGGACTCTCGATGTAAACAACCTTAAAGAGCTCGAAGAACTACTCTTTGACGCCTCCGCGAAGAGAAGCTTAATGATCTCCGCAAAGATAAAGTCCTTGATCTCTGCGGAAAGAAGGATTCGTCAGCACTCACGGTGTGGCTGAGCTGCGACCGCGCGAGCGCCTCCGACAGGCGCACCATGGCCTCCAGCTGTCGCACCGTGATTCGGTAAGCCACCCGGGAACCCGGGGCCGCATCGCCGCGCCGCAGCTGCACGTACGTTTCTTGGAGGCACTTGGCGGCCTCCTCGGTGATCTGGCAGAAAGAGTGTGGATATGTTTGGGTTCACTTTCACATTAAGTCAGACTTACGCCGAGTCGCATTAGTGCCCCAGGCTCGTGAATAAAGGGGATTCAAACACGTTTCTTCAAGCTTTGCTGCGCGCAGCTGCACGTACATCTCCCTGCAGGCACTTGGCGGCCTCCTCCGTAATCTGACAGGAAGTTATTATGAAATGAAAGTACTGATCAGAGTTAGCTCTAACTTGAGTTGCATCAGTGCCCCAGGCTTGCAGAGATAGAAACCCAGCACAATAGTTTTCAAGCGTCGCCGCGGCGCAGCTGCGCATACGTCTCCTGCAGACACTTTGCGGCCTCCTCCGTGATCTGGCGGGGGAGGCAAAGAAGGTTGAAAGTATTGACCTATCGTTCTCTAGATGCTGAATCAAGAAAGCGGTGGATTTAGATGGTAAAGCTAGGGTTTTGTATTGTCGGACACTCGGGCTTGGGTTAAGCACATTTCTTGCAGGGACTTGGCGGCCACATCCGTGATCTGGCGGGGGGAGAAGTCTCGATTTTGCGTAGAGTTGGGCTTGGGTTGAGTTGCAAGGACGTTTCCTGCAAGCACTTGGCGGACTCCTCCGTGCTCTAGCTGGAATCATCAGAAAAAGTTACAGGTCTCGATTCTCTGTAGACTTGCGCTAGGATTGAGTTGCACGAACATCTTTTGTAGACTTTTGGCCGCCTCCTCCGCAATGTGACGGGTAGGCGGGAGTAATGTGTCTCCATTTTGCGCAGCTTCAGGCCTAAGATAAGTAGCATGAGTGTCCCAGGCTTACAAACACGAGAGTCTTCACGTCAATGCCCTCTGCACCCGAACCTTACCCGAACCCCCAAAATTATCCTAATCTTCCTCCTCGTCGTGTCCTAAGTCAAACAGATATCTGTCTGGTGCAAAAGAACGACGAAGCTCGGGAACGGAACTAGCACAAAACCGTCAAGAGGCTCTCACCCGCCGCTTCATTGTGCGCCCAACCTTGATCTAGCACTGCAGATTAATTCAATTTTGTCATTTGTCATCAAATCACTTCCGAGCGACCACTTTTTGGAGGATGTGAAGAACCTTCCAATGCGCTCTTACCCGCGGCTTCATGGTGCGCGCGTACTTGATGTATCGCTGCAGGTCGAGCGTGGAGAAGTCGGGCTCGATCGCTGCGTCGCGGTACTGGTGCACGCGTACAATGTGGCGCGCAATCGCCGCGTCCGCGTTCTCGTCCGCCTCGTCGATCATGACGTGGACCAGATCGAAACGGGACAGGATTGCGGGGGGGAGGTTCACGTTGTACTGCGTGGGGGGAGGATCAGGGCGGGTCAGATGACTGGGCTGTTTGTAACTGCTTCTGTTTGTTGCATTGTTCGATGTGTCATGATTTTTCTCGTCCATGTTCAACAATACTTTTCATCAAATGCGTCTCCAATGGAAGCGGGATAGGATGGCGGTAAAAGGTTTGCGTCGTACTACGGGGACGGAAGGGCGCGCCGTCGGGTGAATGGGCTATTTGTGCGCTTCCTTTGTCAAACTTTTTGTGCGTTCGGCCGAAGCGGGAGAGAGAAGCTGGCAGCAGATTCTGCGTCATTCTGTCGAACAAAGACAACGAGGCGTCAGCATGCTCTTCCAATCTCACGTCTGTGTACTTTCCCATTTCTCTCCCTACTTTCAAAGTGATCGAGGGCTCTGACATACGAAAGTGCTTGCTCTCCCTTCTCTGTCAGAAGCGCCGCAGCGGGGTCTGCGTATGCCACCATCTCTTTTCCTATACTGCATGTAAGCTCTACGTCGCCTGATGGATTGTGCTGTACGGTTCGCAAAACATCATCGGCAAGTCTTCTTAGATGGGGCCCGGTCTCACCTTGAGCGGCTTCGATTTATCATATCTGCCCCCCGCGGGGTTGGCCGCGGCCAGGATGGATGTGCGCGCGTTCAGAGACGCCTGAATGCCCGCCTTGGCGATCGAGATTGTCTGCTGCTCCATGGCCTCGTGGATCGCGACCTGCGGGCAAAGGTGCCATCGCATCTCGTTTTCGATTGCGCAATCCTCCTTCGGGTTGAAATGAAAAAGGTCCTCAGGATTCGTTTGTCCGTCGACAATCGGTTGGTGAAGCGGGTTTTGAACGTCGATTATGACGGTTTGAAATTTCCATCTACCCTTGGGAACAGAACCCCCAATCGAGCAGTGCGTCCTTGCTCAAGACTGGTACTTCTTGTACGGGCGAGCATGAACGGGAACGGGTGAAAGTACTAATCAATGTGGTTTGCCGGGCCGGTTACCATAAAGAATTGACGCCTGAGGTGCGAATGAAAGTGGCAAACTGATGATAGACACGGATCGAGGCCAGCAGGCGCGTTTGGTGGTTCTTTTCTGCTGTTTGAGGTGGTCCAAGGTGCACATGCCGCGACAGACTGGGGAGTTCAGACTTCGAAACTTGCTTTTCAAAATCACTCAAATCGCGCCACGTGGGCTGTGCTGCACAGCCTTGTTCCAGACAGCACAAGAAGGATCGCAGGGGCTGCAAACTTGCAACCTTCAAACCCCGGATGTTGGACAATCGTCAGCATCAGAATCTTCAAAACCAGAATTTACCAAAGCGCACCTGGTCCTTGACGTCCATCTTGTCGAACTCGTCGATGCAGCAGATGCCGTTGTCCGCGAGCATGAGCGCGCCCGCCTCGATGCAGAACTCGCCCGTCTCCGGCTCTTTGGCCACCGACGCGGTCAGACCCGCCGCGGAGGACGACTTGCCGGAGGTGTAGACGGCGCGAGGGAGGAAGCCGGCAACGTACCTGCGAGCAATGAGGGTTTTTATTTGTTCAGTCCTCAGAACAGTTTGCAGATGGCTGAAAAAAGTAGCACGGTAAGCAGAAAATGGATGGCGGATTGAAATAGGTAATTACCGTGACACTGGGCAACTTTGAAAGTCTTCTTGAGAATAGAAGGACGAAGTTGGTAATTGAAGAGGGTTGCTGATATACACGATGCTAGGAAAGTGGAGCCGGTAAAACGGACCAGCATGTCTAATTTTCGTCGTGAAGGGACATAATCACCCATCTAGTGAAGGGAGCAGGAGAAGTATACAGCACAGCTGCGGAAGACAAAAAGAAGCGCGGAATGACTCTTTTTGGGGTCTACGAAGACAAGCAATGAAACCGCTGCCTTTTCGAACCTCACAGGCCGATCACAGGCCGATGAAGGCAGACGGTTCAGGGCTTCAGGATTCGAGAGTTCTCGCAGCCTTTGCAACCCACTTGAGGAACTGGCTCTTGGCGCAGCTGGGATCCCCCACGATGCAAATGTTGATGTCGCCCCTCAGTTTGATCCCCTCCGGCGTCGACTTGTGCACCCCCCCGAACAGCATCAGCAGGATCGCCTTCTTAATGTCGCGGTGGCCGAACACGGCGGGCGCGATGCTCGACACCAGCTTGTCCATGAACCGCTCCTGCCCGCGCATGCGGTAGATGCCCTCCTTCTCCTCTTGCTGCGGCGCAGGGTCGCGAAGGTGTCAAGCGATTGGGCTGTTACCGTTTCCAGGGTTTGGGGGTCGCAAGGGTTTTGATGTACTTAGGTAGTTTACAATTCCGCGTTTCAGGATTTTTCCTGGTTACAAGAGTTTGAGAAGATGCAAGCAACTGAGCGTGTTTTAATTACTCAGTATTATGCATCTCACGAGTCTTCTATGATCGGAGGAACACAAAGATGCACGTGCGCCGACTCTATGAGGTGCAGTGCCGTCCTTGAGAAACCAAGAACGGGCAGAAAGAACATGTTCTGCGGCTAGCAAAACTTGGCGGACAGAAGGCGAGCGCAGAACGTGGGTACACAGGAGAAGCTTCATTCAGGTCGAAGGGAGAAGCGAAAGGCCTTACTGTGAACTGGTTGTCTGCAGCATCGAGGTCTTCCTCGTCCGCCCGGATGTTGACCAGACCGTACTTCAGGTCCGCCATCTGTACGGAGGAGGTGTGAGGCAGCGTTTCGTAAGGACTAAAACACCACGTGCGAGGTATCTCGACAGCACTGTCTCGAAATCAGGCTGCCCAGACCAAGCTTCGTCTTCTTGCAACCAAAACGGAGCTCTGAAGATTTCAATCGACCGACAGCAGCGTTTGAATTTGGGCTGCCCAAGCCAGTTTCTGTGTTTGGCAGCTTAGACGGAAGCCTCGACATTCAGCAGGTATTCCGACAACGTTTGGACCGGATGGAGGCGGAAGGCCCAAGCTGCTCCGCACTCAGCTAATGACAGCATGCGCCGCAGAAGGGCTTTGAACGTGAGCACACTCTTATTCTTGAGAAAGAAGTCGCGTACTTTGTACCCAGGAACATGCGATCGCCCGTCCGTTCTTGCGAGCACGACACTAATCATGCTGTCGCGACAGGCTCTGCCATTCCGGTCACCTAGTGAATATCTTTGCGGAAACAGTACGAACAAGTCGAGGAAAAATGTTCCGCAAATTTATATGGAACCCACCTGCACCGAGCTGGCAATGAAGCACATCTTGTAGGTCAGGTCTCGCGCCCCGAGAGCCTTCAAGCCACGCACGCCCCCCTCCGTCTGCGTGCCGGCCCTATCTCCCTTGCTCGACTTGACGGCCTCGGTGCGGTCCCCCGGGGCACGGAGGGCGCCCACGTCGGGAACGACGACCACGCAACCCGTGAAGACGACCCTGGAGAACATTGCAGTATAGGGTCTGTCAGCCGTCCTCAACAAGAGCCGCCCCTTCCTAAGCTTCAGAAATGCTGCAAGCTAGAGAGTTCTTGGACACTGCTTTCGAGAGTAAACAGGAAAATTCCTGGATTGAGAAGCTGTGAAAGTTGAGGGCGCCTCGACTTTGGAACTTCGAGAAACGAGTCTACGAAGCGTCCGTCATTTGTTCATCAAACACTTGCTGGCTTTTGTTATCCTGGACTTTTGGTTTTGGATTGTTTCGTTACTTGGCTGCATCATTGTCAACAACTTGCTCCTTATACTTTCCTTTGTTCCGTTTAGCTCTGTCAATACACTTCAAGGGAAGCACCTACGCCTCCCTCGCTCCAGGATTGAAAGCTGGCTTCCTACATAGAGCAGCCTTCTGCTTTGCGCCACTCGTTTCACGTCCCTCCACCTTATCTAGTATCTTCAAGCCTCAAAAATACTTCACAAACAAGAGTAACAATGTCTCCAAGGAACTCTAGGCGTGCGGCTCACTTGTCTCCGGCCCTCGCCTGCTCCACAATCTCGTGCCGCAGGATGACATCGAGTGTACGCGGGAGGCTGCCAGCTGGCACCTCCTCGGCAGACTCCTGCATGCGCACCCGCTGCCAATCCACGAACTTGCACTCCTGCCGAACGAGTGTCCACTTCTCGCGGTTTGCGCATGTCGCCTCCGCGCAGATGGCGGGCTGCAGAAGAATCGAAGAGCATGCGGTCAGCTTTGGCAGTGTAGTAGAGGGTTTGAAGACCGTTGTTGGAAGTCTGGTGGGGTCTAGACGAGAAATTGTCAAACATGAACACGGAATGAAATAGTGAGCTGTGGTGGGCAGACACCGCCACCAGATTGTACTACAACATAGCACCCACTACCTCACTTGTGATGTTAGGAGCAGGAACTCAACCCCAACTAAAAACGCAAAGACAGAAGCAGGCAGACGGGTGCTCAATGATGATATCGCAAGTTGTCGAGCGAGTCCAGACTAAGACGTGAGCAACTCAGCCACCCTCTGACCAAGGCTAGTCGCCAAGCATCATTCAACTCAGCTCCTGATTCTCATACAACTTCAACCTGCCCTGGTTACTGCAAACCGCCTGGTTCAACCGACACCCACCTGTGTATACTTGAACTGCTGCTCGACGTCCCTGGCAATCTTCCCGCACTCCATGCACTGGAACGTGCCGTACAGCAGCTCCGGCCGCACCTCGGACGTCCGCGTGACTGTCCCGCTCACGGACGCGAGCTTGCCGACCCACTGGTCCGGCTTCAGGTCGCGCAGCCTGCGAGGGGGGGGGGGTGATCAGGCACTCAGGAAAGGGGGGGGGAGCGGGCCGGGGCAGATCTGAAAATGCATTGGTAGCTAACCTACTCATTGGTCTGGCTTCAGAATACGCAGTCTGGAAGGGGGGAGGGATGATGCGCTCAGGAATTGTGAAGAGGAGCTATGAGATGAAAACCTGGACATGTAATTGCTAGCGTGTCCACCCGTTGGCTGGCTTCAATTGGTGCAAACTATAGGGGGAGATCAGGCCGGAGAAGAGGGGAGGGGGAAGTGAAATGTGACCAGGTATGTCCGCCAGCAGCGCTGGTCCCGCAATCATGGTCTTCAGAATGATGGGCCAAGCATTGAATTTGAGCTGGTCTCTTCTACTCAAGTTTTCCTCAGTTTACCAAAGCGTTGAAGAATGTGTACTCTTCAACGAGTTTGCACCACTCTTGTTCAGGGGCCTTCGTTTTTGATGAACCATTACTCAAGCCACTAGCTTTGGAAGACCTGCGGCTACATGACAGCTGTGTGAGTGTGGATGTTCAAAGTTACTCAAACAGGTGGTCCTGAGAAGCTCCAAAAGGACTCACTTCTGCACAGACGGAAGGCCCCAGAACGCCACATAGAACTCGCGGGTGATGTCATCGCCGACCACATAGTCAACATGCTTGATGCGGGTGACACGTTGTAACGCCTTCCGCAGGAAAGGGTCGTATCTGCAGGATGAAGAGCGGTCAGTATGTTGCTGGAAGCTGCTTGCAGCCAATTTGTCTGGGCCTTTTGTCCTTTTTCCATTGGTAAAGCACCAAGATTTTCAGGACGCAGATGACTGTAAAATCAGGTGGTTAACCGCTGGCAATAAAAAACCAAGCGGCCGCTCCAGCCCTCTGGAGACTCTTCGCATAAGCGCACTCTGCAGCAAGCAGATCTTCAAGAATTCTTTGATCAAGCAATGCAAAGGAAAAGCTTGAATGCACCTGAAGTGTGCTGCTGCCACCGCACGCTTCCGTGCAAAGGCAGAGGGAAGTTCTGCCCTCATGAAACCGACTGAGATTGTTCTAGACTTCAAGTAAGTTGTCTTTTCTAGCACCTGCCTGATGTTTGCAAGCAAAGCTTTGATTCAAAAGCTCGCAAAATGGCCACCAGATACGAAGAGCGTCTTACCGGTAGAGATCCTCCTTTATGGTCGTCGCCAGCTGGTCGTCGTGATCCAGCAGGTGCTCAAAGTTGACAAAGATGGTGGTCTTGTCGTGGACTACCATGGTGTCAATTTGGGCCAGGTAAATGGGCTGCAGCGCCGCGCGCTCATCCTCAGTCTGGCCCTCAATGTCCTCCTTGTAACTGAAACGCAAAACACGCTTCGGTTCGTGCATACTTTCTTTGATCGCCACAAGTGATAAACTTTGCTTGGGTTGGTCTTCTGTCTTGCTACATTGCAAATCTGAGAGACAGGATGCTTGCAGGAAGACTGATTGAACCGATTGCAAGGCGCTAACTTTTTCTGCACAGCACAACAGAAAGGTAATCACTGCGGTGGAGCAAATTGATCGGATGAACATCCCAGAAAGCAAGGAAACGAGAAGACACGTTTATCGGGTTAGACTGTTGACCACACCAGAAAAATTTTCTTGAGCTCACGCACATGAGCATACGGTGGACGAGTTTTCCAATTCGTGCTCAGAGGCCCACAATCCAAATCTGCTCGATGCAATCTGCACTTACTTCTCCAAAAAGCCCATAAACCCTTTCTCCACGAACTCCCCAATCTTGTCAATGATGCCGTCCTCCTCCATTGTGGCTTCTTCTTGTTTCCAAAGGGGATAGTTCTTGATCCAGTCAGGCTCCCCTTTTCAGCCTGCATTGAACAAAGTTGCCAGCTGTCAGCTGGACCCAGGAGTTAATATGTCAGGGAGCATTTTTTCCTGCTTGCAATCTTTGACTCCTGGTAAGAAGGCGGACTCAGGGCACAGGCTGAGGCGCTTGTGTACGTCCATGATGTTGAGAATCGATATGTGCGTCAAACAGCACGTGACTATCAAGCTAAGCTGGGCCTAAAATCACAGAGAAGCTGACAGAGGAAGCAGAAACGAAGCAATTGTCTCTGGAACAAACAACACAAGACACATCCCTTGTGCACAAAAGATTAGAGCGCCTCACCTCTGTGCAACTGTAAGCGCAAACTTTGGAGTTCTGGTAGTGATGCGTACCGGTGTGCCACAAACCCAAGAGGTCTTCTTCTCTGGCACCTTGCGCGAGGCTGCTTCCTGTATACCACTTGTCTTTGTCCTCCCAACTCGTTTCTGGGCTGCCAACGTTCCTGCAACACAGCCTCCTACAGGCTGATACTAGTAGGTACCATCATGCCAGCGGCCATCATTCCCGCAATTTGGCGCCAAAAGCACCCGCCAAGCTCGCGACCTTGTCGTCGATGAGTATCCATCGTGGAACATCCAACGGCTCGAAATGCTGACCGCGTTGCCGGCCAACTTTCTGCATCCAATTACAAAGTGCCATTTGGTAGTAGTCACAAATGAGCAGCGTGGGCGCGGGCCACCTGCGCGCGGCTGCCTGCGCTCGCGGCTGCTACCAGAGTCCGAGTCCATGAGTCCAATTTCCAGTGTCGTTCTTTCCAACGGAAGGGTTTTCTGCTCAAGGGTCGATCAGAAAGGCGCTTGCATTCTAAAAGTACCGTAGGCCAGAATTCAGAAGCTCGACATATCCCTGGCTTTGAGGATCAAGCTCGCTGGGCAATCCCTTCGCGTCTTCATTCCTCCTATGTGGGCGCGGATGCCTGCGTGCGCGGCGCGCGTCTCCTCTTTCTCCCTCGCCACCCGCACCGTCCACTTGGCATCCGCACAGTCACAACGCTCATTCATTTCAGACTGCATTCATAGTCTTTGTAAGTCTCCGTCACCTTCATCCTTCCACCAATCGTTTGTGGGCGCTAAGCGCAGCCCTTTCATGTCATTTGCTGCCGCGAGAGCTCAAGCGGCCATCGACATTTCGGCAGCCGAGGAGGGAAAGAGACAGAAGATGACGAAGAAGATCGGGACCCACAACGGCACGTTCCACTGCGATGAGGCGCTCGGTGTCTTCCTCCTGGAGAGGACGGACAAGTTTGCAAACGGGGAGCTTGTGAGAACGAGAGACGCAAAGGTAAGCATCTGGTAATGGAAGCAATTGGACAAGGTGTGCACTAATTGCTGCAAATCTTGGTAATGGTGCTGATTTTGATACACCTGTAGCCCAGAGAAGCCTGGAGAATATAAGCACAAGTTTGGGCTATTAGAAACGGGCTGCAAATCAAGGCATTGGCGGCGCTGCACATGCACCACCCCTTCATCGAGCGCAGGGCTTGTCTGACATGTGCTGTGATGTCATCGGCACTATGCCTTTCCACACGTATGCCCCTGCGGATCCCCAAATGTTGTGAAGTGGGCAGCTCCGAATGACTCTTCTCGCACCAGACGATAGCACCACCTCGTTTCTCACATACTGTGCACGAAATCAAGGCGATTCCCTCTCTCAGGTCCTGGACACGTTGGACGTTGTGATTGATGTGGGCGGCACATACGAGCCAGACAAGGATCGGTATGACCATCACCAGAAGGGCTTTGACACCGTCTTTGGCCATGGATTTAACACGAAGCTCAGCAGCGCTGGCTTAGTGTACAAGGTGAGCCCAGCTTTAACATAGTGCGCTTCCTCTTGGCTGCTCTGGTTTGCTTTTAGCTTTCTGAGGTTCTTTCAGCATCTAGCGAGGCATCACTACTCTTCCTTAGAAAGGGACATATTACAGCAGCGCCTAGCAAGTACAACCCCAATGATGAAGTGGATCTGGACCCCCAGACTGTAGACGTTCTAGTTCGAGACATGAGATATTTCTGCTGAAGTCAGGAATGGGGTTTGACCTTCTAAAGTACCGGAAAAATTCTTGCGCCGGGGGCTCATAAGATTACTCCGGTGCTTAGGCTATCTCTCTTTCTACACTTAGGTTGTGAGCCGGTGGTTGCATTGCCGTGGTTGCAAGTTAGTATGTTCTTCATAGCTATCTCAGACTTCTTGTTTACCTGTTATCAACATCACTCTCGCACCCGTGCAGCACTACGGCAAGGAGGTCGTAGCAAAGGTGCTGGGTCTTCCGTTGGACCACCCCGACGTGCAGACCGTCTACCTGGCAGTCTACAAAAACTTTCTCGAGGTGCGTCCTTTCTGCCGCTTCGAAACGTACCCACTTTTCCTTTCCTTCTTCACCACTGTTTTACCTGCGGACAGCTTGTTCGCATTCGATTCCGTGATTCACATGATTCTTCTGTGACTCTACGAATGCGTGGAGTGCGCTAGGCCTGGCTCCAAAGGAACACGGTTTCGCTTCCGTGAGAACGTTGTGTCATTCCAGGGTCAAGATGCCGTCTACGAAATAGGCCTTATTTCACATATGGTGATTGGGCAGTGGTCATTGGAAAAGTTCCGGCAGCGAGCTCTGCAGAACAGAGTAAAGACACTCCCCAATATACGAGCAAGGAAGTATGCTCGGCCTGGGCCGGCCGGCATGTTTGGCTTGTAGGTATCGGGCGTCAGCTTTCACCCATCAAAGCTTAACGAACGTTTCAGAAGATCCTACTACTTGTCTTTGTACACACGATCTCGATGCCAAAATCGCTGTCTGCCAAGTCATTACGTATTTGTAAACAATCATTTGATATCTTTGACAGGCGGTCGATGCCATCGACAACGGTGTGAACCAGTACGACGCTAACTCCCCTCCAAAGTACATCAGTAACACGCACCTCGGGGCGCGGGTCGCGCGGCTGAACCCGAACTGGATGCAGCCGTCTTCAGAAGAGCAAGAAAACGAGTCGTTCAGGAAGGCCTCGAAGCTGGCCGGAGAAGAGGTGAGGGTTTATGAGGTTTATGCTTGACGAACATCCGTTTGCCGCAAACTCGTCACCACTACTAGTTGCTTAAACGCGACTATTCGATTGACAAGACCACTTGGGAAGGACCTCTAGTTTGACTGCTGTTATGTCACCAGGTTGCGATGAATAGGAACCCGCTCGAGGGAAGGTCCCAACGTACGGAATCCTTTCCAATTGGACTGGACCATATCCGGACGCCCTCTTGCGAAGTAAGGAGGCAGTGAAGTACTGTGAGAAGGTCAGGCTCCCGCCGGGCAGCATCGAACTGCTTTTAAACACTTTTGGACGCTCTGTGGATGATTCTTCATAGAATCGGACGCCCTTTCCCGTACAGTTTTTGGAGTCGGTGAGTTACTTTGGAAAGGTGTGGCTCCCGGCACGGAGCATCAAACAGCTGTCGGACGCTTTTGGACGCTTTGTGGACGCATTCCGACGGACCCGAACGCCGTCTTTCGTACAGTTTCTAGAGTCCGTAAACTACTTTTGGAAGGTGTGGCTCCCAGCGCGGAGCATGGTGGAGGCGACGCCGACCCTTTTCAGACACTTTCGGACGCTTTCTGGACGCATTCTGACACTTGCGGACGCCCTTTCTTGTACGGTTTCCAGCGGCCTGCAATACACTAGGGAGGTTTGGTTCCCGGCGGGAAGACTTGTGGACGCTTTTTGGACGCTTCCAAAACAATCCGGACGTCCTGTCTAGAACATTTGACAACTCGTGACTACTTTGCGAAGGTGTGGCTCCCGGTGCAGAGCATCAAACAGCTGATCTCGGAGACCTTCGGACACTTTGTCGACGCCTTCTGATGGATTTGGACGTCCTTTCTCGTACAGTTTCTAGAGTCCGTGAACTACTTTGGGAATGTGTGGCTCCCGGCGCGGAGCATTGTGGAGGCGACGTTGGCGGCGCGGAAAGAGGTGGACTCGAGCGGGGAGATCTTGCAGCTGAAGTCCTTTTGCCCGTGGAAGGAGCACCTGCACGAACTAGAGGAGGAACATCAAGTGGAGCCCAAGATCAAATATGTTCTATATGAGGTGAGGGGTTTGATGTCAACGTTTTGCGAAATAACAGCAGCATCGTCCAAGTTTTGTTCTTTCTTGGATTCGGAGTAGAGGAAGGAACGAAGAAGAGGGCCGCAGAACCGAGACAAACGTTACTTCATCGTCCATGAGGTATTCGTCACCGGTCGGAAACGAGGTACCTTTTCAACCCTGTTCAAGAAACGCAATGTATGAAAAGGCGCGGTATCGTGGAAATGCCAAAGACACCACGATAGCAATTCCTCGATGCTGATCAGTGGCACCAAAGTGGAGGCGCCCTAGCAGCTTTCCTGGGAAGCTTTGTGAGCCGGTTTCAGAGCGCTCGGAAATCTCGTTCTTCACCTGATGTACGCATTCCGAACCTTTCATAGAATCGGAATGTGGTTCCAATCGTTTGGTTACCCAGATCTCACGGACAATCTTCACGTGCGGACATCCGTGACCTCGGTCAAGCGGTCCTGTGTGCGTGAACGCCTTCCGACGTGGTTGCTGCAGTGGGTTTCGCCGGGCTTTAGTTTGTGCCTTTGTGTGCTTTAACGTCGCACAGCCGCGTGCATCACTTTCGGCAATCGACTGGCGCACAACAACACTCGTCGAATTCGCACGGACACCTCCCGCAACAGAGTCCCCGGTCGTTTAACAAGTCTTTGACACTGTCTGTTGCAGGACGACCGGGCCATGCAGTGGCGCGTCCAGGCGGTGTCACAGGCCCCGGGGTCGTTTGAGAGCCGGAAGCCGCTGCCCAAGGCGTGGCGGGGCCTCCGGGACGACGACCTGTCGCAGGCGAGCGGAATTCCGGGTGGCGTGTTCGTGCATATGAGCGGATTCATCGGCGGGAACAAGACGTACGAGGGCGCGCTTGCTATGGCGCGGAAAGCTCTAACGATGGACTTGTAAAAAGTATTGATAAATTGAGAGTTTTAATCTAGCAGCACAATTTGGGACCAGTACCTGATCGGACGTTGTCATAGGCTCTTTGTTGACTGGAAGCGCAGGCTCGCTCACTCATCTTACTTCCGCGCTAGCCAAGACCCGCCAACGTCATGTCCCCTTATGAGTATGTGCATGGATGTCGGACGGTTCCACGGACTACTAGCAGGCTGTAGACATGGTTTCACCATAGCGCTATCCGACCATTGCATGCAAGAAACTTGGTTATGCACTCCTTCCCGGCGTCGCTCAGCATGCCTGCTGGCATGTGAGCGGGGCCGCGCACTGCAGTGGCACGGGACTGCACTTGCAAGTCGACTGCAGTACTGAAAATCGTGTTCGATCCGTGGAGTTGTATATCGCAGCTGTTTCTGCGCGTGAAGTAGCCACGTACGTACTAATATACCACACAGCAGGTTCAGCTAGCTTGCGACTCAGTAATTGGATGGTGCGTCTTGCATCCGAGATCTAGAAAGCTGTTTGGAGGTCATTGCAACCATTGTTTTCCATGATTTTCGAGGCGCGTTACAAGGTGACTACCTCATCGACTTCATGCGTCCTTCTTTGACTTTTTCCGCAAACCTGCTGTATTAGCTGCCTGCTTTTCTAAGGTCACCTCTTTCGCGCGGGCTTCAAGGGGGAATAACCGTCCTAGCAACACGATAATCAACGGCACAAGCATCTGTAGATAGTACAAGGACCCAAAAACGCGCCAGATGTCTCGGATCGTCAAGACCTGCGCCGCAAAACGAAGCATGGCGTCGTTTGATGTCAAAACAGCATGGTTGGATCCGTAGGCGGATTAATGGCAATTACTGTGCTTGTCAAAGGAGCAAACTGGCATTACAAAAGAACCAAATCAGACTATATGGTCTGTTCTGATCATCATTTTCAATCAAGTCAAATATTTTAACTTCACCAGAGACGAAAAAGCGCCAAAGATAGCGGGTTATGGAGCAACAAGCTGAAGCTTTCCGAAGGGCACCCACCGAGTCAAAAAAGGCCATCCAATTAGTGGCATGTGTCAGCTGCGTGTAGGCGCACATGAGCGCGCGCGCGGGCAGGTTCAGCGCGGGATAGCGCTTCACTAATCTGGTCTGGTACTTGTACAAAACTGCAGCTAACTAAGAACGTTATCATCTGCGACGTTCCAATCAGAGCATGTAACTAACGAGGAGCTGAGGCTTCCGAAGGCACCCACCGAGACGAAGAAGGCCATTCGATTCGTGCCATGTGTCAGCTGCGTGTAGGCCCACATCAGCACGCGCGTGGGGAGTTTAAGAGCAGGATAGCGGTCGACAAGTCGGGTTTGGTATTTGTACAAAACTGCAGAGTAGAAAGCCGGCCTCTGCGGGAAGTGATTGTCGTCCTAAACCAACTAAACTACTCGCTCAACTAACTGTCACGTCTGTCTATCCGCTTGGAAGAGTGCTACGGGTTACGCATAACTACAGCTCTTTGCGAGCAGCCTGCGATTGAAGTTAGAGAGGGAAGCTTAAAAGTTAGATGGCTACGTTAGTCGAGTCTGCAACCATATTGCGACAAGTGACTTGCTAACTTTTAAAGCTTTCTCGTCTACCTAAAATCGGCAGGTTGCTTGAAAGAGCTGTAGCATCCGGAATGGCGTCCGAAAAATTGTTTGGCCTGATTGTTTGAATCTTCGATTTGGGCTTGGGCTGAGAATGGTAACGAGACTCGTCGGCATGATGCTTCTGCAACCGATTGTCCTCTAGTAGATACTCACGTGGACTTCTTTGAATCCGGACTTGCGGAGACTGTTCTCCGCTTTCTTTATTCCTGTAGGTGATCAAGTTATGCAGTGCCAGGTCCGAGTAAGACAGCGCGTTTTCCAAAAGCAGATCAGAAGGATTGGTGAGCTCACCTCGACCGCTCATGATGATGACGGAACCATTGAGCCGGAAGAGGGCCTGACCTAGATAAGGACCCTGCATTCAAAATCAAGAAACTGGTAGAGCGTGTGAACTGCATAAATGTGCTACGTCATAAGACTTGCGCGCAAGGCCTTTTCAGTGCAAGATATTCAAGGGCTGCCGCCTTATAACGGTTTGAAAGATGTGTGGCCGGGACGCATCTGCGCTGCCTGGAGATGACCGCGCCAGCATGACGTCACACCGGCGTCAGCGAACAGACGCCGAATCCGCGACGGACCAACAAATGCAACGGGCAGCAAAATTTCAGAGCGGAAGTCCGTGGGCGAACAAATCAGTCTATTCGTTTCCAGGGAGATTAGCAGAGGAACATGCACCAGAGCACCTAAGACTTAACGTATCATAGGCCACGACTGGACAACACTGACGGGTAAAGGCACGGAAACGACTTTAACAGCTTAGCCTTAAATAAGACCTCGGGTTCCTCGGGAACAGGCTCACTCACGTGCCAGATTGAAGACACCATTTGCGTGGCGGCGAGTTGAAGAAACCCGGGCTTTTGCCCGGGGGGAGTCAGCCGCTCGTACACGTCTGTGATTGATGGGCTTTTGTTAGCTGAACAACCATAACAAACATCTCGAGGAAAGACGAGAGCAAAAGTGCACCATGACTTTCTTGCTCGAAAAGTGCTTTCAAAAGGTGAACGTTCAACAATGTAGACGAGAGCGACAAGACAGATGCTCTGACACGGCCCAATGATGCTCAAAGCCCCGGGGAGATTGACACCAGTGCCAGAAAACAGGGCACTCACAGTGTCGCAGCCAAAGTCCAGTGTGTATGTTCCAGTTGGCCCAGATGGCCGCGGGATGCTTTGCAAGCTCGCTGCCCAACACCCGGACGTTGACCGCCCCCGCCCTGCGTCCAAACGTCCGAAGTGTGAACGTGTCTCCTCGACGAATTAAGTATGTTGATAAATCTGTACGAATCTGATGCATCTTTGGCACGGCTTACTGAAGGATTTAGATCCTCATTGGACCTGCATCTGACTACGAAAAGTGAGCTTGAAATTGAGTCACTTCGGACAGCCCGTGACGCGGTCCGCCAAATCTCTTCGACAGCTTTTTCACGGTTGATGCTTAACTTCGTTCTACTACGGAGTAAGGGGCACACGATTTCCACGGTCATTTTAAGGCACACCAGTCGAGTTCTGCAGCAAAGCCGTTCTCTGAATGGAAGTTCGGAGGGCGACAGCGGGCGGTTTGGCAGCAGGGAATCTGAGGACAGAGTCTCCGACCAGCACTTACCAGGCGGGCTGTCCAGTGTGCCACCAAAAGACTCCCTGCCGAGAGGAACAGCAACGTCCGGCAAATCTCAGCCGCAAAGGGAGGGATTGAATGCCGCGCAGCGCCCACTGAAAGGGCTTTCTGTCGTGCGACCTCAAGAAGCCCTGCCCCATGTGATGTTCAGGGCTGAGTTACGAGGATGGCCCAAACTGATGCTTTACGGGCGAGATACGGCGAAGTTTCAGCAGGGAATCCAGGCAGAAAGTCGCCGAGCAGCGCTCACCAGGCGGGCTTCCCGTTGTGCCAACCCGAGAAGCCCTGCCCCGAGAGCACCCAGGCCGCCTCGAAGCACGACCACATGGCGTAGCACATGAATCGCTGGTGCTCAAACACGAGCAGCTGGTAGCCCAGCCTGTAAAACAAACGAGTGCGGGGTTCCGTGTTCGAAAGTGTCTGGGGTTTTGGTTCTGGATGTTGGGCGTATAGGCGTGCGGATGGACACTTCGATTAAAGCCCGTGCACATCAGTGGTGTGGGGCGGGCGACGATACACCGGCAGGCGAAACATATGCCATGTTCACAAGGAGACGTACCTGCAAACAGCGTTCTTTGAAGCTGATGAGGACAGCCAAACACTTGCAGATCAAGGGTACATTCTCTAGGTTTGGGTCCTCAAACTGAATCCGTGGGTTCCATGGATCTCATGGTGTGATGGTTCCTGGCTTGAGGGCACCTGAATGTGCAATAGGGCCATGGCCCGGTTCCCGGAAGACACTCGTGCGAGTCGAGGGTGAGAGGCTTATGTTACAATAGTTTTCGGGCGGGCAAGCGGAGGCGAAGAAGGTTGCGAGGGCACGAAGGCGGTTATGCAATGGACCGCAATTTCAACCTCTGGCTGTATGTACCTTACGTAATTAAGCGCGAAGGACACGGGCGGTTCTCTGACAGGATCATGCCTCATGGCGTGTATCCCTTTTGCGAAGAGAAAGACAGAACAAGACTATCAGTGATCTTATAAGGCTCTTGAGCAACGAGGGGAATTGGGTCGAGTACCACCAAAGAACAAGTTAGGCCCAGGCGACATAAAGGTCACGCCTACTTGAGAGCTGGATTAAACATCCACACTGGACACGCAATCAGCCATATGGCAGTCAGACAAAGAGAAACGAGCAAGGCCTCTCACCTCCGCCAAAAGGAGTATGTGTGATTGTACGCGTAGGATTTCAGAAAGGCGACGGGGGCCAGCCGGGCCGTTTTGAAGGTCAGGTAGCCAAACACGGCGGTGCGTGCCAGCGCGACACTAGCAGCAGGCAGCGGGTTTGGTGTCTTCTCTTTGCGACTCCACCGCTGGACGAAGCGGGAAAACGAGGAGGTTCATTTGAGGGATGCCTGGCTGATTGTTGAGCCTCTGGACTTGAAGCTGCAATGACATGCCTCAGTCGAGATGTTCCCTAACGTTTAGGGTATGGAAAAAAGCGGACTAAGTGCGCCATATGTCAATGGAGACCCCTCCTTGGGGTCAATCTGCCTTGTAGAGCGGCAACCGAAGCATCATCATGGAGTTTAACAACCATCTTTTATAACCAGAAACAGGTAAGAGCAGAACTTATTCATCTCAATGCAGAAAACTGAAGCTCACCCCTTCTGTCTTTGTGTACTGTATGTAGTCCACGTAGTCAACGTGAGGCCCCACTGACATGTACCCTTGACTCACGTAGCCCAGATACTCCAGTATGTTTGGCAGCGAATTGATCCGAAACAGGGCCTGCGTCTTTGAGAGGCGCTCCTCGGGAAGCAAACCGTCCTGGTAGTTATAGGCGACTGAACCCAGCCGCAAGACTAGAACCATAAAGTAGCCTGTGAGGCATAGTCGGCCAGTAGTTAGCTCGTAACTCAATAGATGAGGGGCACAAAGAATCAAACGAGAGCAGGCCAGAAAAGAAACATGAAAAGGTTGGTGGATGGTCTTAAAAAGCAAGTTGGTCGGCAGGCAAGAGAGGGGTACACCAATCATGGGTTGAAAAGGAGATTCTGTGTTCCAGAGTACAACATGTAGAGACTCATTTAGGAAAAAAGGTTATGAGGAACCCAGGGAGCCTAACCACAATTGACTGCAGTATATCAGAGGCCGGGTGCTGCTCAAGGACAGACGAAAACTAGTCACATATGGAGCTCAAGCAAACTGGTCTAGGAAACGAGCAGGTGTATGCTGAAGCCTCTCGAAACTTAGAACTGTGCCATTTGATATTATAGCAATAAATTTGTAAAACTTCTGCATCACAGCAAGAAATTTCAGCCTCCGATGAGTCCTCTGTTACATCGTTGCATTCACATAAAAGAAAGTGAAAGTAGATGTAGGTATCAGCCTACCAACAAAGGGGAATGTGCCCATGTACTGCCCGCTGTACAACCAGTGACTGCACACAGATGAAGAGGTGGTCAAATGGAGCAGCTTCATTCATTTGACCAGGTCGAAGTCAGCACGCGGATACTGAGGACGACAGAGCTGCTGGTGAACAACCCTCCAAAGCAGCTGGCATGACAGGGCCTCTGATTGGTATTTTAACAGTGAAGGACTGGAGAGCAGAAGACAGTTCTTGGACCCACTCTCCTCACAATGATAGCTTATTCCTTTTGGCGCTCTGAATAACACGGAGAATCTGTGATGAAGTACGGCTTTTTGGAAAATTGCTACTTTATGAAGGGTTCAAAGAAGGAGAGAGCACATGTGAAAAGTGTTGAACAGGGGGATTGGCACGCCAGCCTGATAGATTGATACATCAAAGACGCTCGAACCCCAGTCAATTAGTGTCTATATCATCTAGAACACTGAGTGACGTGCAATCTGAGTTCCGCATCCGCTTGATTGCATCCGACAGTATGACTTACCACCAGGTCATGTGAGCGAACGCCACCCACGTCACCATCACCCCGCACCACGGCCGGAAGAGCAGCATGATCGAGTACGATACAGCAATGATGAATGCAAAATGTGGCACTGCCTCAGGATGGAGAAGTCTCAATAAGACTGTCGCGGTCAGAAAAGAGTACAGGTGGCGGCCGGTGGTGGTTGGGACAAATCTGTGAATAAGCCCCAGGGGAATGCAGGAGAAGAAGCAGGCATACTGTAGAGTCTGCCTTGAGAGCCCCTGATAGCCGGCGGGAAACCATTGAGAGGCTGCATGTAGCGGTGCCATCGTAGGATGCACAAAGGCGACAGTGCAGAGCTGATGCAGTTTGTAGGTGCATCTCACAGAAGGCAAGATACAAAGTGAAGGATTGATAAGGTGTGCAATCAAAAGGGGCACTATGTATGGTGCGTTGACCTCTACATAAGCTGGGAAAGTAAGCTCAATGAGTGCCCTACGAGACGCCTCTCACAAGGCGGAGGAGCAGCAGTGCAAAATTCGTCTCAGCTAGAGTCACCTAGGTCGAGCGCGACTATGCTGGATTTATAATGCACTCTCCCTCAGGCTGTGCTCCAGTATCAACGCAGCCAAAACTAGGCTCAAAAGCACTGTGACCGTCACGTGGCGACTTAGACGGTCCAGATGGACAGCGATATCTGAGGAGCTTCTTCACACCGTAAATGGACGGGAAGAACTTGAAGGCTGCCGTCACTGATTTTGGCGCGCTTGAACTTGAACTTGATCAAAAGTTCTGCAGCTTTGCATGTCTTGACCAACCATTCTCGGACTCCCGTCTGGCACAGAGTTCCGCAATGGCGCGACTTGCCAGGTAGGACGTAGGCTTTGTTGGTTGCCACCTGGGGGCTGGAAAGGGGACAGTTCGGCATGTGAAGAAGTGAGTATCGTCGAAGGGACTCTGCAAATAGTTCGCTGGCTTGACGAGGGACCCGGTTTCAGACCTTTTCCAGATGGAGCCAGCCCCTAAGAAAACAGTTGCGGAAGTCGCCCCAGGCATAGCCGCCGATCCTGTGGTGGCTAGAAGGCCGGAGCAATGGGGGTTGCTGACAGCAGTGTCGGCTGCCGCAAAGGAGCGCAAGCAGGTGTGTACAAGGTGTTGAAATATGAGAATTCGTGTCTGCTGAAAATCTGCGTAGTGACCACCGTTTTCTTGTTCAATTTCAGAGGCAACATTTCCAAGAATGAATCCATATCCTTCTTCTCCTCTTGGCACTCAGCATAATCGTCAACATTTTGGGTTTGGTTACAAAGTAAGTTGACTCTTCTCCATCATGCGCAGCATTTTCACAGCAGTTTCTCATCTCAAGCTCCCTGTCACACAACAATTGGCAAGGGAGTACTGGCGCACTACATGCCTTTTCCGACTTTTGATACTTACTGAAGAACTGACAGGATTTGGAACTCGAAGCTCATATGCTTATCCCCAACTTTCAGAAGACATGGGCGGCATGCCGGACTAGAATATTAGCAGATTACCTCGGATTCTGGTCCAGATTGCCACAACATCACTTCGTAAAGTTCCAGTGCTACTTTCAGGTGTGCACCTGACAGAAGCAGTTATTGGCTCTTGTTTGGTTCTAGAGGCTCTGGAGTGCAGCAATGCTTGTAAACCCCACAATTGACTACCAGGTAGCATGAAGCTCTATACCATTGTGAGACAAGCCGGCTGACAGCCTCATACTTCTTTCTCAGGGTCAGGACATCATTCTCTACAGAAAGGAGCATTTGCTCGGCAGACTCGTCCCAGACACCCACTACAAGTTTGACCTGACCAACGTCAGCGGAAAGCACTGTAAAGTGTTTCTGGAAACCAGGAAAACCGAAGAGGGAGAGGAGACGGTGGTTCTCGTGCAAGACTCCAGCTCGAATGGCACGTTTATCAACGGCGTGCGATTGGAGAAGGGGGGGACGCCTTTGGTGCTCCAGAATGCCGACATACTTTCCCTGGTGGGCGTGCCTGATGCTGGTGAGGATTCTCGTGTGACTTGTTGTCCTCTTCCAACTGAAAGGTTCTCTTTAAGATTGCAAGATGGGGGCCAATTGGCAGGTACGCTGTTAGCGTCTAGCTCTGCCGGATACCCCATCTCTGGAATACCTGATGCGGATGAATGATTGTCCACTCGTTCAGAAAGCATTATCTACAGCCTTACCTTCGCGTTCCTATTCTTCTTCGGACATGCGTTTTTGCAAGTCACAGCCATATGCAATAACAAAGTGCCGCTCACAATCCAGTCTGTATCCATCTGCAGATGCCGCACTTGCCTATGTCTTCCGGGCGGTCAACGCGATCGGGGCCCCTTTGCCTGCTGAGCAAATTGTGGCTGCCAAGCCCCAACAGCCTGCGCCAGCCCCTGTTCGGCAGCCGGCCCCCAAGCGGAAGCCGTCACCCCCTGGTATGTATCTTCAAACTTTCTCTTCGGCCTTTCATAAAAGGCTATTCATTCTGGTAAGGATGTTTTCCGTAAAAATGTTTTCTGTGGTTCTGATACACACAGGGACCACAGGTCTCATGAAAACGAGCTGAAGGTTCTGCAGTTTGCCAGTCGGTCCACATCTTCTCAGTTCAACACTTAATCCATGTCCTCAGGAGGCTGCTGTCAGAAACGCCCCTCAACCTTCCCTTTTAGTAAACAATCGCAAAGCATTCTGTTGACATGCGTAAACTGTAGCCTTCCCGACCACATGTAACAGAGGTTAGATGACGTGCATACGTAAGTGCTTTCCCCATACTAGGCCTCCTTCTGCTCTGCTATTGCTCACAAAGCTGAGTCCTGTTTGCAGCGTCGGGCGTGGTTGGAAGCGAGCAGCCTTCAGAGGGAAAAAGAGCACGAGCGGGCGACGGAGCTGCAGACGTGGTGCGCTTGGACGACATGAAGAGACTGCAAAGGTCCAACGAGGTGCGCTTACCGGCCTTCTTTTGTGTTTGTTTCTGATACACAAGTTGCCAAGCAGTTCAGCAACAGCAGAAAACAATTGAAAGATCAGAATGATCACAATAGTGGCATTAGTCAGTTTGTACGTTGAGGCTTTTGCAACGCTCTCTGGAATCTCCTCCAGCGCTGCAGACGACTTCAGGCGCCCTCGTTCTCGGATACAAGCCCCAGAATCCAGACAAATAGCAGAAGCTGTGAAGTGGCAGCCAAGGGCAGGAGATGATTATTGACTATCTTAAGGATGTGTTGCTGATATTCATTGCCGATTTCTATTTCCATCCACTTCAGGAGTTGACCAGAGGGAAGGAGGCTCAGCAGCGGACCATCGAGGCATTGAAGGCGGACATGCGGAGCGCCGAGCAGAAGCATCAGGAAGAGAAGGCGGAGATGGAAAAGGGCTGGAAGGCGAAGCTGGAGCAAGCACAGGTGAACGACACATAGTGCACTTGTGCAGATCTTTTTTACGTGCTGATCAAATTTTAGTCCTCTAGTTGCGGTAGGCTTGTTTCGTGGAGGCGAGACCCAGTCGCAATTCACGGTGTAACTTGGACTTAATATGTCTAGGAGGCGTACTCAATGTGCAGGTTGTCACTGATATCGTGCGGGTTGTTGAGGATACAAACCTTCTAGGCAGTCTACCATCTCAGTGGACCTTCAAGCACTTTCTCCACTCAAGCCGTAATTTCATGAAAGTTTCAACAATATCGCCCTCTCTGTAAAATCGCCCGTCCCTTCCGGCCAGATTAATGCGTTCTATCCCATCCCCCATTCAACAGCAAGTTTCGATCGCACTCGTCGTCTAACCATGCTCTATACTGCTCTGCTGCCAGGCCGAAGCAAAGGAACACGTGGCAGGCCTGGAGCGGTCGAAAGCGGCCCAGTCGCAGCAGCAGAGCGCCATAGAAGACCTGCAACGGCGGCTGGAAGCCGCGGGGCAATCCAGGAAGGAAGCCGACGAGGCCATCAAAAAGTGAGTAATCCCACTTGTTTCACTCTGCAAGGTGCAACAATGACGCAGTTTTGGAAAACTTTTAGCCCTTGAGCCCAGGCAGATCCTGGCAGAGGAGATTGCCTTTTCTCCTGCCAAATCCTGAGTTTGGCTGGTGCTTGTCATGGCAGGCAAATTCCGTTCAAGATATGCAAAAGACTTTTTTTGGTCCACTCTATTGCTGATTTCGAGCTTGTGCACGTCGCAGCCACCTGACGACCATTAACGAGCTTACACGTGGCCTCGACAACGAGCGGAAGGCCCGGGCCGCCGAGAAGCTCCAGGCAGAGGACGAGCAGAAAGCGGCAGTAGAAAAAGTGCGAGCGGAGGCGCAAGCAGAGCTCGCGCGTAAGACGGAGGGGGCCGAGAGGGAGAAGGAGGAGCAGGCCAAGCGGCTGCAGCAGCTACAGGTAAGAATGCGCCCGTCCTGGAACATGTTGGCTGTAACTTGGGATACGAATATACTACAAGGTTTTGGAGGTTCGTGATATTTTGTTTTCTTTTTTAAAGGAACCCGCTTTAGGAGGCAAGGCTGTCACAAAATGGTGTGAAGCGGCAGATTTTCTCCTGGCCTCGTGATGGGGCCTGTTTCTGATAGCAAACGCCGATGCAACTCCTCGTTGTCGGAAGGTCGAAAAAGAGCTTAGTGTCCTCATTTGGGCGAGGTAGTGCTTGCCAAAACTTTCATTCAACCCCAATGTGCCCATCTTTCCGTACAAACCTTCTGGTGTCTGTCTGCGAACTGCGCCTGAAGGAAACAGTGGTTGACTTTACTTCCTTGTTTCCAGGACACCGAAAAGGAGATTCGTACGCAGAACGAGTCGTTGCGCGCCAAGCTGGAGCAGCAGCGCGAGCTGCTCGTGGGAGCGCAGGAGCAGGAGCGGCGGCTACAGGCCCGAGTGGCGGAGGAGCGGGCGGGCACGGGGGCGCAGCGTGCGCAACTAGAGGCGGCGCAGGCGGAGCTGCGGAAGAAGGAGGACGCTCTGCAACTAGAGCGGGTGAGCGAGCTTTCAAGAATGGCAGGTTCAGGTTTTAGGGTGGATCCGGAAAACTGTACCCATAGAGTTTATTGAATTGTTGTGAGGATATCTGGTTGGGCAATGCAGTGTTCGTGAGCTTCGACTTCACGCTCTGACCCCGGGCGTTTGGTGCATCCGATGAAGTGTGGGAGCCCACCGGAGGGTGTGAAAGCGATGTGCTTCGAGCAGCGGGTTCGAGCGGTTTCGTGTCAGCAAGGCGTCACGCGAATAGCGCCCTCGATGCAGCTACTTTGCAAGACAAGAGCAAACGCTCAGACTTCATCATTTTTTCTTTCAAACCGTTCAACTATGTATTTTGTCCTTCCCAATCATGCATACGTCTGCTAGAAATAGCGGAACGGAGGTTGCAGCTTAGGCTGGATCACGAAGTTGTCGTCACGTAAACATCTTCTGTAGCCAGCCTGATGCAGTGTTGTGTGCAAAGCTCTGAAGCCCTGATGTTGGCGAGCCCCAGCAAGCCCGACGACAACTCTATTTGCTGCCGTCTGCTGCCGTTTACTGCCGTTGCTGCTGTTTGCTGCCAATTTGCTGCCGTTCCTTGTTGCTTTGCTGCCGTTTCACAAGTTGAAAGTTTGTGGAGCAGCTCTTTCGGTTCCAACCGACCCTCAATATTTCAGTGGCAGCCCGATTGCCGGAAAGAACTGCCGAGTTCCAGAACCGGTGGATGTGTTTTGACACTTTCCACCCATCGTCGCAGGCCCAGCGCGTCCAGGCGGAGAGCAGTGTCAAGTCGCTGTCGACACGCCTTGAAGAGATGACCAACAAGCTGGCGTTTGAGACGGAGCGGCTTCACGTACGTCAATCTTCGATGCACTGGGTCTCCTCTGCAAGAAACTATCGTCTTGTTGACGGACGTATTTTAAGCATGCGGAAAGTTCTTCTTCACTTTTCCTTTTTGGGTCCGAGATGGGAACGTTTCCAGCCGTTCAATAATCCCCTTATCTTGCACCACTACCCCGCTGAAACTCCTCCAAGGTCGTCACTTTCGGTTTTGCATGATCTCCGGTCCGGTATAAATCGGCTTCACGTTGGACTTCGAGGTCGTTTATTATCTCTCTGATTGATTCCATCCTTTGTCGAGTCCAGTCGCTTTTGCTCAACAACACGTCTTCCACAGTCTGCCGGATCCGCCGCTTTGAATCTGATGGCGTTTCTTCGATCTAGGATGTTCGCTGTTCTCTCAAGTTGTGCAAGTGCTTGTGAGCCGTCTCATACATCGAGAATTCGTTGATTCCAGCTCCGAGTGTTTCGAGGGTTGGACCTTGCATTGTCCACCGGGCTTGAAAGACGGTTATCCCAGCTTCAAACCCTTCTTTAAAAATCTTCCCCTGGCTGAAGCTTGTACTTTTCACGGAGCTTGAAAGCCCGTGATTTCAACTTCACATCTTTTGATAGGCTGAACTCTATTCAATTTTGCAGGGCTTAAAGGACCGCATCCTGGTGCGCGAAACGCAGCTGCGCGCGTTCCACAGCACGACGGCCAAGGCGTTCCCATTGCTCCAGACCATGATGGAGCAGCTCGACACGATGAGGAGCGTGAGCAAACTGTCAGCAGAGGACGAGCAAGAAATCACTCGCAGCGGGGGGGAGGGTTCCAAAGGCACGGTTAACCCCCCTGAGGCAAACGAGCTCGCGGAGGGGGGCGAGGATGACACTGGAAACAGCCCCCTGAGGCGAGATGAGGAGATGGCGGACGCAGAGGAGGCGTGGAGAGATGTCAATATGACGCAACTCGAAGAGGATGAGGAGTTCGTCTTGAGCACCGCGCCTGTGAGGCGGACTCCGCAGAAGACCCCCCCGAAAAGTTTGCGGGTTGCGTCGCCCGCTCAGAGGGGGTCAGCTTCGAAGACGCCCGGGTTAAGGGCGGGGTTAGCGTCGCCGGGTGGGGTTAGCAGGGCGTTAAAGTTCGGGCAGGAGAACGGGGGTACGTCTCAGGAGGAAGAACAGGAGGGAAGTAAAGACTTGGGGCGGGAAGGGGGTATGCTTGGCGAAGTGTTTGCCAAACCAGCGGATCGGGAACCCGTGCAGAAGACGCCTGGAAAGGCGGAGAACGGGGAAGAGGAGCAAAACGGTGGAGAACTAGAAGGAGAAAGAAAACAGGATGCCGACAAGGAAACGCAGGACGAAGAAGAGATCGAGAAAGAACAGGAGGGTAGAAATGGAATTGAGGGCAAAGAGAAGAGCCAGGACGAGAGTCAACGAGGGAAAGACGAGAGTGAGAAAGTCGAGGGAGAGGGGCTGGGGCCGAGGGACCAGGAGACGTTGCTGATGGAAGATGACGTCATTGGCACTGTTCCCGCTACGTATGCAGTCGGGACGCTCCTCATGGAGGAGCCTGAGGGTGGGGAGCTGGGTAGCCTGGAGGGGGGCTTGGGCACAGGCAAATCTGCCCCCCTGGCGCAGATCCCGGAGGAAGTGGAAGAGGGGGAGATCCGGGATGATGAGGAGGGAGGGACAGCGGAGGGGCAAGAATTCACACAGCTGAACAACGGCGCGACGCAGGCGGTGGGAAAACTTCCTGAGGGCGAGAACGAGGAGGAAGTTGGGGGTGAGGAGAAGGAAACTGCAGAAGACGGGGCCGTGCAAAACGGAGAGCGTGCAGGGGGGTCGGAAGCGCAGGCTGATCAGACCCCCCGGAACGAAGCCCCTCGAGGTGGAAAGGACTCCCTGGAAAATGGGCAGCCCCCCGAAAGTTTTCAGATGTCTGAATATGCGGACGGTACTCCGAGGGGGGGCTCGGACGCCTTTGAGCTCACGGGAAGCCGGCGGGTTTCTTTGGGGGATCCGCTGAAGGGGCTCCAAAACCGCAGGGAGAGCACAGGGGGGCGGCGGGAGAGCCTGCTTGAGAAGATGGACTTGATAATGGACGCGGATTTCACGGACACGGAGAAAGGGGTCCCAGCCAGCCCCGCGGCCCAGGGCGCAACGCAGCTCCTTTCTAACAGCCAACGCGCCAAGCACCCCAGCCCGGACTCCGTTCTGCCCGCTAGCCCAAAACGAGGGGCTATTAGCAGCCTTCTGGCAGCCGGGATTGCGGGCGGGTGGCGCAAAGGGGGTTCCGACGGCTTCTGGGCAGGTCTGAATCTGAACGACAAACCCCCCCCGGCAAGCGCCCCCGCCGGGCCTCGGCCTGTGTTGGCCGGGGCGTCGCCTTCGACGGCGCGGGCGCTGTTCCGGCGGAAGTCTAGCGAGTTTCTCGGGGACTCGGGATCCGAGCCGGGTGCAAAGCGGTTTAAGGCGGCCGGTGACGACGACGTCGTGCAAGACTCGGGGAGCCAGCGCACAGCGGACGGAGGCCTCCGGACCGAGAGCGTGGCGCGAAAGAGGGGCGGCAGCAGTGAGGAAAAGGAGCCCCTCGATGACGCCAGCGGCCACGACGATGACGTCGGCGAGGGGGGCGATGACGACGATCCCCCTGCCCGGCCCGCGCGTGAGCTCGTCTCGTCGCAACGGAGCGTCAGCGGGAAGGCCCTCGAAAGCGCGCCGAGCCCCGCTTCCGTCAGCATTGGGAACCGCCGAGGCCCTGTAGAGGACGACATTGACGGCGCCGCACAGGCAGAGGAGGCGGACCCCGAGGCCCCACAGGGCCCCGTGGAGACGCAGGCCACCGGAAACGACCTGGCGGGGGGTGGTGAGAGTGACCCGTTTCGGGTGGGGGGGTTTCCTGGCCCGGGCAGCGCGCCTCTTCCGAGCAGCCTGGCGGGCCTGCAGTGCAGCGAGGCGCTGACGTCAGCGCGGACCGCTGACTTCACCGAGAGCCCCGTGGAGCCGACGCCCGCCGCGATGCCCCCCCCCACGGTGCCTCCCCCGGCACCGAAGGCGCGGACGCCGCGGCAGGCAGAGAGGGTTGGGAGGGGGGGGTTCGGAAATGACCCCCTGGCGGGGCTGGACGTCATGCTTGACATCATGCGGCCAGCAGGGGACATGGGCGAGAGTTTGCAGAGCGATGGAAGGGTTGGGGATTCGGAGATTGAGTCGGAGGACGAGGATTTGTTGGAGGAGGGAGCAAGTGATTATGAGGGAGGGGAGCGGGGAGCGCCCGTGGGGACGGAGGTTTTGGCCAACGGGCGGGGCGGGTGAGGGATGGTAAATAGGATTGGGTATGGGGTCTGGGGCGGGACGCCCCGTATATTGGAAAGGGTAGGCGCTGCAGACCAGATTCGGGTGTGTTTTGCGTCTAGAAACCAGAGGGGGCAAACGGCGTCACCTTTCTTGTATTGGCGGTAACCAACTGGGCCGCTCTTGTCAGCAACCAACCAAGCGAATGGTGCAACTGCGTGTGCAATTGCAGGCCCCATTGCCCAAATACTCGAGACCAGACTGGGCCGCTCTAGAAGCCTCGCTTAATACTTGCACAGAACGCGGCAATGCTGTACTGACGAGCTTGAGTTCAAGGGTCAAGATCGAGCAAACCGGGTGCTTTGTCACCCTAAGTACGTAAGTGTGCATTCCTTCAATCTAGATACTGGATCAAGCAAACAACTTGTGAGAGCGGCAAATCTGAACGTGCAGTGCCCAGTCAGTCATCCTCGATGTTTTGTGCTCATCTTCGCTTCCAACTATCGAGTTGTTCCCATGCTGTTTGGTGCCCTTGTACGCAAAGGGAAATAATGTTGGATCGAGGTCATTTGCCGCCGCCCAGTTCCACATCGACCAAAGATCGCATGCAAGCCTACAATTATCATACTACAAGACTCCGACCTGATGACCAGTTCTCTTACGACATGCAGCAGTAATGATCGGAGTCAAGTAGCTGCTGTACAGTCCTCATTAGGCGTGCATGCACCCGCAAGGTGTTTGAATTGCGCGCACCGTGTTGGCTCAAAGCCGACTCATGTTTTAAGTTTGCTGGATCGATTCACAGCAAACTTATGTCGTCGGGCCCCGTTTAATGCAATCCGACTGGACATGCAGTATGATTTTCGGATTGATCGATGCCGCAACTGACACTTAGATCAAGCGCTAGCTGCAGCGGGCTGGACCTTTTAATTAACCAGTGGTTAGAACCGGGCCGCCCCCCAGTACAGTTTTGGTGCATGACCCTTCGATAGTGCACTTTCCGATAGTGCACCCTTCGATCATTAGTGCACTGACATGCTGAGTCGCGATTCTTTGATTGCTCTAGAATGAGTACCTAGAAGCGGACCGACGACACGTACCTGTGACGGTAATCATAAGGCTGCGTTAGCATCAATCAGGGACCATGATCAATGCAATGAAGATACACAATGAATGATCCAGAAGCGATGATTTTGACAAAACCGGCACCCTCGTGTCAAGTCTGTTGTATTCTAGCTTGCAGTCAGAAGTCACTTGTCTACATCTATGCAGTAGAATTAAAGGAAGTGCCTGGCCCTACTAGCCTTTATACCTACCGTCACTAGTTGCAATTTGCCTATAGGGACAAGCTGGGTACATTGACCAAATGTTGACGATACGAGCCAAGTATTCTTGACTCGCTGTATCGCCTTGTATGCCGACAAAACGCCGCCTACTTTCAGCTTTTGTCGGCCTTTAGGAACTTCCGTTTGGCCCCAGTTTACATCAGTCGGCTTGTGCCAACCGCTGCGCGGTCCTACATTTCCATGTATATGGACTAAGGATTACTGAGAAAAACCGTTTGACTATAGATCGAGCTCCGACCCCGTACTTTAATGAACTATATATATCACTACACCACAACCGAATCATGATATCTTTGACACGCTTTGTTTCCTGTTACGGTCCGACGCTTGCACTAGGTGTCACTGCTTGCACAAAATGGTCCAACCAACTCCTCTGATCAGGAAGATAGTTTGTTGGACGAAAAATGTATGCCCCCAAGACCCTTCTTATCAACGCAAACATGCAGAACCCCAAGCGAAAACATGCCTGCTTTACTTGAAATTACCATGAAATTCTGTTGTAAATGATCACAGCGGAGGGACCTAGCTTGCAGCGGCCCCGTCAATCGAGTAGCTGACTGTCACGGAGTTGCGTCCATCAGGGCCCGTTCCGGTTCCGGTTCCGGTTCCGGTTCCGGTTCCGGTTCCGGTCTAGCTTTCACCCAAATCTGCAGACGGCGGAGGACCCAGACGCGCAACCCGCGTTCTTGACTGTGATTGGGGAAGCGCCGGTTCCGTCCGAGAAGCTAAGACGACGGCGGAGTGTGGCGGTGAGCCCCATTCTCTTGGCGGGGCCGTTGGGGCTGCTTCCGAAGCGGCCGCGCGCGCAGTCGGGCGCCAGCAGAGATGACGTGCGGTACTCGTCGTCGGATCCGTCGACCTGGGAATATCGGACGGCCACGATTTGCAGAGCGATAGAGATGGACGCTCCGGCACCTCTTGCTTTCACGAACGACTCTTTTCAGTAAGATCAGCACCCGGGGGACGGGTGGGATCACTTAGAGGCTTAGGTGTGGAGCGGGTCATGGTGTGAGTTAAGGGTTTTTCTTTAATAAGGTGCCCAGGACTCCGGTATTCAGATTATGGAAGCTCTTGCTAGTGCAAGCACGAGTTGCTAGTTTTGAGATGGACCGGATCTAAGAGCGGGGCAAAGGGATGGGTGAGAAACAAACACAGTCAAAACGCGAGGCTAAGTGCGGCGCTGGACGGACGAGACTTGACCGATCGAGTATTGGGATAGCGATGTGCGAGCAAGAGACGGAAAGAATGGGAGATTGGCTCGTCCACTCTTTTGGATCTATGATCGCCCGCTTTGAATCAAACTTTGTCAGACTGTGGTGCTTTTTGGCTGGGGACACCTAAGCAGCATTGCTCATATTGACGTCAAAATCGAACTCCAGGAGTCGAGAAGATCCCCTTGAGCCAACTAGAAAGCCGTCACGTGTTTCTCGCACGAGCAAGCTTCGAGCTGAAAGACGATTGATATGCCTCTTTGTTCTGCAGCGTCCGCAACTGATCTTGCGGCATACTGTCATCAGTCGCACGATGATGACGTGGAACGGACCTGCGCTTCGCACAAGTTCAGTCCAAACTGCACAAAACCGGAGCGGACGAGTGGGGAACTTACGACGTCAGCGGCCCGCAGCTGGGGGCCGTTCACCTTCATCGCGGCAGCGATGACGTCAGCACGGGAAGGCTGCAGAGGCGCAGGGGTAGAGTTTCGGTCTTTCGGCTGATGGAAGCGTGCAAAGTTTGAATGAGGGGCGAGTTGATTGAAAGCATGCTGATGCAGCTTGCAGTAGGCGCCGGTTGAAAATACTGGCAACTCTAGATTGTATCGACAGCAGATTGCAATCAGATAGAAAGCCCCGGACACCTAGACTGAAAATGTTAACCCAAACTTGACGCCCCTCCGCACCCTCACTCACCCTAACCCCCCAACCTAAGCGAACCCCACTAGTTCCCCGGGTGCCTATGTTGATGCAATATCTGCCGAGAATGCAAATCGAGAGTTACAAGATTCTGTTATAAGCCCAGACGCGCATTTCAATCACTCTTTACAACTGACGAGGAGGGCTCCTGGAAGATCCCTTTGAATGCAAGAAACTAAAACACCCTTTGAAGAAGTTGACAATCAAGTATCTCAAATACCAATGCACTCCCCTCATATTTCAATCCGATCATGCAAAATCTGCGGAGCTTATCTCTGTGTGCACACGGTAAGAAAGGCGCAGGCCAACGTTTCTGGCAAATGTCGGCATCCCGTTTTGTCGCGTCAGTAGGGGACCTAGAGGGTGCCAACGCGAAGTGCCTCAAATCCTGAACCCTTATAATCGTTCCGTTCTGAGTATCCCGTCGTGCGTTTTCTATATTGATGACGTCCCGCCCTTACCTGGAAAGTCTGGCCCAAAACGCCGTGCACATCGGAGGTCGCGTGGATCCAGTCAATGAACCAGTCGAGGTGCTTCACTGCGCGTACGAGAACTCTTGCTCTGAAGTTCGTTTCTTGTTGGTTCACCTTCCTTCCAAGCTTCCGGACACACGATCCAAGAGAAACATTTCTTTTGAGAGCATTGATCGATCAAGAGCCTCAGGGGTTCTTGACGCTCAATGGAAGCATTTGTCCGAAATGCGGCCTTCAGGAGAAGAAGGCCGAGATGGACTGCTTCCCCAACGTGCAGGCAACCCGAAGAAACCAATGAGAAGCCACGTGTCAGCCTGAGATGGCGCCACGTACCCTCGGGCATGTCGTGCCTTTCGGTGGTGATCGTGATGTTGGCCAGGCCTTCGACAACGAGAACGACGGCGAAACCGTTCTCTTCCGCCATGGAGAGCTCGATCCCCGCGCCGGGAGACAAGAACACCCGGAGGGGCCCGAATCTGTCGCAGAGGGAGTGACGGGTGAAAGCGGCCGGGGCGAGGGGTCGCCCATCCAAAGTGATGGCGAAATTGGCATCGTCGTCAGAAGGGACATCCTGAAATACAAATGACTTAGGTTTGGTACGCTTTGGGTACGGTTCAGCTAACCACCCAGCTAGGACGTCTCGGACGAGATCTGGATGTACTGCACATGCCCGAACTTGTTCCGAAAGTGTCTTAGCCGGCAGAGACTTCTTCCCAAAAGAGAGTCTGAATGTGATCCGAACCTGATCCGAATTCAGGCCGAGATCAAGCTTTCATAAAGCTGCACCGATCTGAAACGCGTCCGAATTTGGATCTGAACCTGTCCGAATCGAATCTGAAGCGCACTTCAGTCCGGATATGGTTCGAAGGCTTTCTTGCAGTGCGCGCAATCAACGGGAGGCGTTGATTTTGGGTTTCAGGGTGGGTATGGGTGCAGAGGGCGTGATGCTAAGGATTTATCTTTGCAATTTCAGAGTAGGAGCTTACTATACTCAGGGCTTGCTAAATCTAATTCGAAAAGACATGCGTCCTGAGGACTCAGGTTACACGGAACTCAAGCTGTTGTTGTCCTGCAGGTTAAGTGAGTTTTTGAGGAGATCTTAGACGAATAATTGCCTTTAATTTCAGGGCTGTTTGAGATGATGAGGAGAAAGAAGTATGCGTCAAGACGATAAGGAGTGCCTATAAGAATAAACCTGTGTTCCTGAGCAACCTCGACCAAGCTACGTGGACATGACGTGTGCACTGTGCTTCTGCTTTGCCTTTTCAGCTCAGGAATACCAGAAGATTCAACATCGTGCTCCAAGGAAGCAAAACATTCTTGTCTTACCATTGGGTTTAGTAGCAACAAGAGCGTCCCGGATCGAAAAGAGGAAGCTTTAATCGTTCACCTGATTCAGCTGGAGGCTGACTTTGTGCTGATTCTTCCCACGCTTGTACAGCAGCGCGAAAGCTGCAGAGAACAATCCTCAATTCAGTGACTCTGATTTCTGTTCTTCATCCTTACTTTTCTTCTCGCAGTTCGAAGTATAATAGCTGGTAGGAAGTTCTATCTTCTTGATCAGCTTGAAACCAGAGCTAGTCGATCTTCTTTCGTAAGGATGCTTACCCTCTTTGCTTAGAAAGGCAGTCTGATTAGATACAGCAGGCGTAACGTGGAAAGAAAGGAGCTCAAATATTAGTAAGAAACCAGCAGGACTGTCACATCTTCTCCTCAGAACCCTGAACCACATACACTCTTAATTGGCTGGGCCATCAGGACGCTGGAAGGGGCTAGCCGCTTGTCACATTAACGTTTGACAGGTCCAATTATGCAACACGCTCCATAGCTGCACTTGGGGGATATATGCTTCACTTGGAGGAAATTCCAGCTTTTGAGAGCGGAGTGTCGTCATAAGGATGAAGAAGCTGGAAACCGCTGGAAGTCGAGGCTTGCTACTCGTCCCTCTCATGTGGGAGCTTGGACTAGACTCGTCTTCTTGTTTCCCGCTGAAAGAGAAAGCGTCAGAATGCCTGATCTGCCCTTTTTCTTACACAAAGTTTGCTCTCAGCTCTTCACAGGATCCTTGTTTCAAAAGTGCTGAGAGAGTTTGGCCCTACACTTGATAGTACTGAAACGCACCCCAGTTGTCTTATACGAGGGGCTTACCATCGAAATAGGTCTTGCCGAGTTCCCCAAACAGGTGCGTGTTGATCTGGATGTTGGAGTCGCTTATCATGCAGAAAGATTCGCCAGGATAACCATGCCAGTCGAACTTCTCCCCCTGGAGCCCAAACATATGGGGATCTGCAGAAAAAGCAATCAGGTTGTGTGCTTTTGGCATGCCAAATGGCATTGAGATTCAAAAAGAGCGCTTGAGCCTCCCATGCTTGAAAGGTCGAATCAGCTCTGATTATGTCGAGGAAAGAGGTTTGAACAGAGTTTTGGAGTAAGCAGCCCTTACTTTTGGTCCTCACCCCTTGAAGTCATTCAAACCTGTGCTCCTGTGTCAAAATGTTGTCTGGACGATTTCTGAGGCATCAAGCAGAGAACACAAGGCAGCATGTGTGATGATGGTTACTAGGGCATCGTGTCAAAACACTTTTACAGTGGTGTACTGAACTCCGGTTTTCCGGCTTTTAGAGGGGGCCATGGAGGCCGGTTTTGAGCAACTTTGGGGTTCGATTGGGGGGGTATGGAAGCCGGTTCTCGTTTTCCACCCTCTGCATTTTTTGAGGTGGGGGCTATGGAAGCCGGTTTTATAAGCTAAGTGACCTGGAAACCTTCTGGGTACCACCGACTTGAATAAGGCTTGAATATACAAATCAACGAAGCTCTTATAGGAGTTGGTCCGTTCAATGGTCATGCAGACTGGCGGCTTCGTGACAGAAGAAATAACAAAAGGGGTTTAGTTCCGACGCGAGTTCGTGCACAGCAATATCTATCTGGGAGGCGCTTTGAATTTTCAAGAAGAAGCGGGCGGTAGGGAGGTGTCGGCGTATACTGGGCGCTCCTACACGTGATTATATGTTGCTCGTCAACATATCTACGTATATGGGACCCGGTCAGCTGCCAGGCCGGGGTACGACAAGGGGACAGCGGTTGGTGGCTGGTTTTTTAATATCAGGGGATGGTTTTCCGGGCGAAGCGGGCCCCCCCCTGGAAGCCGGTTCCCGATGCTCGTCAAGACAGCCCCCCCCCACCCGGAGGCCGGTTTTTTTTTCGGAGTTCAGTACACCACTGCAAAAATGTTTTGACACGATGCCTAGACCGGTGGTTTGTTATCAAAGTCCCTGAGGGAGATCCACTTTATGTTGCCCAGCTGCTGTGTGACCTATCCCTCCACTTTCAATCTCCTCTTACAGGTGTATAAGCACTCCCTGTAACCTGACCAAATACTTTCATAGTCGGTGACACGCCACAGCCCCGCTGCCAACCTGCTTGACATACAAATCCTTTGCGCCTGACATGCCTTTCTTACCAGAGTATGTTGCATTAGGATTTTTTTGGGGGGGGGAGTCCCCTAAACAGAATAGGCCCACATTTACGCAAGAGCTGAGAGCTGGGTTCGAAGAGCAACCTTTGGAGAAAAGAGGAGACCATTAGATTCTACGTTGGAAAAGACTTTTACTTAGAAGAGAAGGTTGCCATGTTGGATCAGATCACCATTGCATACCAGCCGCCCTGGTAAAGTGAAGGGACTAATGTCCAGATAGTAATGCGCAGATTCAGCAAGCCACCAGAGAAAAAACACGGAATGCTGAGCTCCCGGCCTGAAGTTTCAATGCCAGCTTATGGCAGCCTTGGCCAGAATGGCCGCTTCTGATCCTTCCTTCATCAAGGATTCAACAGCCAGACGCCCCATCCGAGTTGCATTTCGTCAGAAGTAAGCGCACCCAAAGCAAACAGCCGAACGGCTCAGGTTGAAGAAGAGCTACAAGTTGGAATTCTGTCTTGTGTCAGTACGTACCTCCGCCTCCTCCCGCTGGGGGAGCCGGTGGCGGGGGCCCGGGTGTAACAGACGGAGTGGGCGTTGGCGTGGGAGTGGGACTCGGAGTTGATGGCGGCCGTGTCCCGGTTGGCGTGGGGCTCGGAGTTGATCGCGGTGGTGTCGAGGTTGGCGTGGGTGTCGGAGCGGGCTGCCCGCTAGACAGGCTCAGCATCGACCCAAGAACCACCAGCAGCAGTTTTGGGGACGGCCGGCTTTGATTGCGCGCCATGCCAGCGACGAGAGTTGTGCTCTGAGAAGGCGTTCCAAAATGTGATCAGGAGGCGGCTGTTCAGTGCCAAGACAAAGCAAGGGTAGTACCATGAGACAATGAGACACGAGGGAGACACGTCCCTTTCTTAGGGACCAAAAGACGTCCTCGTAACATCCCTTTGAATGTCCTGTGCAAACACTGCATGAGGGCAGATCTGTTGAAGCTGTAAACCGGAAAGGCGTCCTGGCGCCGGCTTGCACACTGTCGGAGCAGAAAGGCGCATTGTCGAGGATTCCGAGTCCAATGATCTCGGAGACTCAGGCTAGTGTCATCATCCATGATGTATTATGACTTCATGGTTAACATCCTGACACTACTTTGACAAGCTTGTGCTAAGCTCTTTTACCGTATATATTGGCTGTGGAAAATTAACACAGTACCGTTAGTCCATTTGCGAATTGGCGGGCCCGGCCGCCGCAATATTCGGGGACAGAGTAGTGTCAAGTTTCAATCGCGCCCTGGCCCCTATGCATGAGAAAGTCGACTCCCAACTTCCCAAGCTGTGTAGGCCCATGGCATTTGGAGCACACTTTCCTTGTGACGTTTACCGTACTTATATTACAACCACACACCGACGTCGCCGAGACGATTTAAATGTGAGCCACACGTCACGAGGCGAACTTATCCGCCGTACAATAGATTGATTTTCACTCCAGCGGAGTAAACGGGAGGCGGATGATGGACCGTTCGAAGGTACAAGTTTACAACCATACCGTAACAGTTCATTCACGGGGGTATCCTGACTGACGTAACCCAAAGGTTAAAGCATTCACAACAGTATCCTGACTTACGTAACCCCAGGGTTACCGCAGAATTGCTACCTACGCATTAGAGGCGAAGTCGAGGTAACTCGAGCATGTAACTAACCGCATGTAGTTGGCCTAACTCTTTTCATGCCAAGCCAGGCGCTGTCCATTGATTACGGTGAATTGGCAGACTGCCGATACAAATGGCTGGGTACCCGGTACGGCTTCTACGGCTTTTCCGGCACTGTACGGTAGGCCGCCGTACTGGTGCCGGCCCCGGCGGCCCCGGCCGGGTATCTTCCGGACGGCGGCGGCCGCCCAACCCGCAAGGCCGCCCGTCCGCGACGCCTAGACTCCTAGACGTGATAGACGGCGCCCGACCGGACGCATTCTTAGGGGCTCACAGTCTTGTTGGACCCCTGCCAATCACAGGCCAGTCGGATTGGCAAAGCTTAGACACATCAAGCATACGGTATATTGTCCAATTAGTGTTGAGGCCAATCCACGCTTTAGTAGGTATCGCATTCCAATTTCCGAGTCGAAAAAAACTCTCACACCTCCATCGGAGTCCATGATGTGATCAACACCATCATCATAATGGCATCACTAATTTTGACTGGTATGTGCCTTGATTGCCGTAAACTCGACTTGCACTCCTTAAACGAGCATGAGTAGCGCCCCACAATTACAAAGCTCTGGTATCCTCGTTGATAAGAGTGAGTGCAGTCATGAGACGAGTGGCAGATAAACACTACATTCACTCGCCTCATGTCCAAACCGTCGTTAAATGTTTTTTCGGGTATTTATTTATCGATAATTCGGAATTCTTTCCGTGGCTCAAAATGCACGCCGCGGAGGAACTTTCGAACTCCTAGCCGCCACGGTGTACAACTCCAGCAACTCTTGGACTGTGACGGGCTCAAGTCAGCCAGAGGCCCGCTTTTGGAGAAGTCGCCCTTCGGCATGTGAGCTAGGTATCGATCAGTGGGCATAGTAGCGTCTTGGCGGAGGAACCTCACTGTCACTGTGTCAGGCTCTGGAGGTCTTTCAAGGTAGCGGGCGTTGGGAGCTTTACTCGAGTGAATCAGAATGTTGGACGTCTGTGTTGAGTATCAACAATTCACATACTAGGGTTGTGCTTGGCTTTGAAGCTGCAACAATGGCTTACCAGCTGCCGATGCTGTTGCAAAGTCCAATCAACCTCAAGATCCTTGATTAAATGGCAGCTTCGACTATGTGGTTATGCTATGTAGCAGCTCTGTACATTGTAGCATCTTTGTCTGCAAGCTCCTCAGTAGTAGTTGCTGCTGGCCCTGCTGGGGTGATGGCAGGTCAAAGGCCTCCACTCTTTCCCTTAGCAGAGAATGTTCCCCCAAGAGAGGAATCCGGCACTCCCCTCACTCCACCTCTTGCCTATGGCATCCAGATTCCCAGGCTGTCGTCTCTTCTTCAACCGAACACCAGGGGGCCAATCCAGGTAAGCTCTGAGACATCAAGATTGTGCTAGTCACTAAGGAGAGTTCCAGGCAACAGCATGGCCAAAGCTAAGAGCTTGGCAGGTCTGCCCTGGGCTGGTTGAGGTGGTTCTTGCAAGGATCAACGATTGCTTGATCTGTGTGTTTCAGACAGTCAGAACGCCGATGAAGCCTAGTAATCATGCCAAGCTGAGTCATTCATGTTTGTGCATCACATAATCTGAGATATTGAAGTATCGTAGACTGTTGCTTGATCTGCAGGTCCCATTTGGTGTGCCTGTCTATCATCATCCAGCTCGACAGCCTCCAGCTGGTCTTGACGCACTTCTTCAGAAGCTTGAATGCCAGGTAAGCTAGACATCACAGTTGTTCAGTATCAATCGTAGGGTCTTATACTCTGACAAGAGCCAACAAAGAGCATTCTATGCTTCTGGCTGGGGCGCAAGTTTTTCCTACCTTGGCAGCTTTGCAAGTTTCTGCGAAATGGGGAGACCTGATGAAGCATGGTTTCGTACACGCCAAAGCAAGCAGTGACCAGCCACATGTAGATCTGTAGGGTCCACTTGGACTTTGATGCATTTATCCAACGATTGGACCGTGTTAGAGCATTGTGATTGTAACTTGGAATTGATATTGGCCATGCTGAAGACACTTTTGTGCATTGCAGGAGGTTGATGATGGGGACAAGTTCGAGCGCACGCAGTACCTGGTCACCAAGCGGCAGAAGCAAGGGCTCCAGATCATCATGGAGCACTTCTCGTACCCGAATGTCAGTCACGTGATCGGGGCCCTGGGCTCGGGGGGGCTGCTTCGGAGAGCAGAGGTAGACTGGAAAGCTGGGGCTGCAGCCTTCCTTACGGTTGCGGACAGGCAGCTGCGGGAAAGCATGGGGCAGCGGCAGCTTTTGAGGGCAGCCCTCCAGCATGCGGAAGCAAAGGAGAGGGAAGCGAGGGAGCGCCTGCAAGAGTCAATTCGAGCTGCTCAAGCAGCGCAGAGAACGAATGAGAAGATTCTTGAGGTAGAGCGCCAGCGTATCGCACTTCTTGAGGACAAGTTGCAGCGCCTTGGGCGTTCCGCAGTTGGGGCAAGTCAAGAAGGGGGGCCGTTGGGGGCTGCAAGCGAGGGGGCACCGCAAGCAAAACGCACGCGCAATTTCGGAGCCTTCCGTGACTCCTTTGAGGGGCAGCCCTTGAATTTCCGGGGGGCAAGGAAAGGAGCCGTGGAACCGCGCCAGCAAACCCGACGCAACTCTGCCATTCGTCAGATCCTCAGCAATGCTTTGAAAAGCATCCAGCGTGTCGTGGGGAGCTTTGCACTGACGGGAGATACGCAAGCTCATTTGAAGGCCATCGCGCGAGCCTTGCAAGTTGCGAGCGGAGGGAGAAGTTTGGTAGCGGACCCCAGCTTCCTGGTGCCTGAGCGCACGCGCCTTAAGCAAGACAAGGAGACGCGAAAGACGCTTCTGGGCAGCATGTACGATCCGGAGGCCTGGATCCAGCTTTACGACGACTACAACATCACTTTCAAGTCTGGGCGAGGCATTGGTGGGATCCTCCCTCGGGGTGCCAAGCCGAATGACAACAAGCTTCTTGCCACTAAGAAGTACCTAGATGATCTGATGGTCGAGATTCTGCCTATCAAGCCCACTGCAGGAGGAAATGGGCACATGGTGAGCCTTCTCATGTTGCTTCTCAGTTTACTGTGTCCCTTTCAATCATCACCAAGTTGATTTGGTGACTTAATGTACGCTGATGAGAAGGGGCCTGCAAGTTAGGCAATTTGTCGCAGTCTGCTCTTCCTTAATAGGCAGTTCTACCAGTAGCTGAAGTCATCATAAGCTTGTGAACACTGTGGCAGACATCTTGTATCAGGCTGCTTCTGAAGTGTTGGGATGCCAAGACTGCTGAATTGGGAATGGTCACAGTGTTGCTGGATCCTTCTTCTTTGTTCACAAGCCCTTCTTCTGGATGCCTTGCAATTGGACTCGGCAATCAGATGTTTCATGGTCAACGCCAGTCATCAAGTGCATGATATGTGGATGACTCTTTTGTTTTGAGCTTGTGCAGGTGTCTGCAGCATCTGTCATGGGTCTGACGCTACCCTTCTACTACGCAAAGATGGAGGACAAGGCCAGAGCTGCGGCCGTTGCTGAAGCTGAACTCGCCGGCGTGGAGTTGGATCCAGATGAGCCACTTAGCATGCTCTTTGACGTCAACAAGACTGGAACCCTAGAATCAGTTGTAAGTTGAGCTTTTCGCGCAAAAGCTTCAAGAAACGGTGCTGCAGGTCTGCTTGTACAAGCACGTCCAACATCACTTGCTTGTCTTTTCAGTGCAGCGAGGGGGTGTCTCTTGAGCAGGTGACGCTTCAAGGGCGGGAAGCCAGACTTGCTAAAGGACAATGTTGTCTGACCCAATCGTCTGTTGGCATAAGGAGTCTGGATTAGATGGAGGTGGACCATTAGATGTGCTCATTAGTGCCTTTAGAAACATTGGTCCAGTTCAATACCAACTTTTCTGTCCTTTTATATCTATGCAGTGGGCAGCTGCTTTTGACGCCCGCAACCAGGGCCCGAATGACTGGACAACCTGGGTGGTCAGTCCTAAGTTCGACAATCTGCCGGAGTACTGGCAAAGCCCTCGCCACTGCCACACCATCATGGAGGCTACTGGGAAGGACAAGGTCAAGAACATCAAAAGCGATATGCTGGACACCATTGGCGAACTGCAGGTCAGTTCATATGCGCATCGATCGCGTTGGCTCCCTGGATCCTAGGTAGCATTTCTCAAGCACTATGTAAACTTATCTGAAGCCATTTTCAATCATGTGGAGGTGTCTTTCACTCAAACATGATGCTCAGATCTTGGCTGCATAGCAGTAGCCTGCAGGCATAGTGTTCTGAGCCTCTCTCGCTTGGCTTCCTTCATTCATCATTGCACTTGGTCGATTAGGTGTTGAAATGGTAGTCTTCTCATCTCATCTTAGGTGGCCAGCAAGTCGAAGGACAAAGTACTGAATAAGATGGGCATCTTATTTTTTGTCTTTCCTTGTGTGCAGAAGTTGTACGACGGCGGTTGCAAGAAGCCTGGGGGCACTCTGTTCGAGACGGTCGTTCACCATGTGCGCAGACAGTGCAGGGCTCACTTGCGCTTTCCGTCTGACATGGCCTCCCATTGGAGTCTTACACAGGATGGCGGATCTGCTGGTGGGGCGACAGCGACATTCTGCCACCGATGCAACTGTCAAAAGCACCAGCTTACGTGCTGCTTCGTCAGGTACAAGGTGCAGAAGGACGATACGTTGGAGAGCCTCGCTAGAGCCCAACGGGTAACAGTCGACCTCCTAACTTACGTAAATGATCGATCTGACGCCGCCACCAAGATGTTCAAGCCTGTGCAAGGTCCCAAGGGGGTGATCAGCAGTGACCCCATCTGCACCAACAACGCGTGGACGCTGGAGCAGTCCAAAGGTGCCGATCAAGGGTGGGCCCCAGACATCGACGTGTCTGCGTTGGATCCAACGAAGGCAATTCTTGACCAGACCGCAGGAAGGTAAGCTTCTGGATTCACAAGAATCTCTAGGCGACCTGCTGACCTTTCTCAGAATGAGCACCTACTGAGCACCTGCATCTACGAAATCCTGAAGCCAAGGGGTGTTGCAACGGTCATTTTGTGCTCTCGAGATTGGAACTGTGTTCACTGTGCAAATCATGGAAACCGTGCATATTGCCTCTCGCTGAGCAATCTGTCCAACGTGTATGTGAGTTTGCACTGTCCCTAGTCGGCCCTTATGGACACCTACTTGATTCCTTGAGACTAGCGCAAGCTGAGACTAGCGTGTGTTTCTTCAGATACCTGCGGATCTTCATCAGGTGGCCGTGCAACCGGGAGAATCCGGACGCGTTCCTGAAGTACGACCACCTCCACTCCCCGTACTGCATGGAGCACGCGGTTCAACGTATCACTGAGTTCCTGCTCCACTTCGTCCACGCGCGGGCGGAGAGCATGTGAGAATTTCAACCGTCTGTTGCACACCAAGTCGGTTCGCTTGACTGCATGGGTTAATTCATGAGAGTTTCGTGCATCATGAATCTGCTGCTGAACTTGATTTGGTCGACACAAATTCTGGATACTGGATTCTAGATGTAAGTTGAGACCATGCTAAACCTGATCTACCTTCTCATGCTTCCTCGGCGTGGCAGTGTGTCTATCGGTGGCTTGCTATTGCACTTGTCCTCTTGCTTGTTTCCCTACTGTGATGAAGTCGCTTCTTTAGAATCTGGTTACTTCACTTCAGGATTGGCCTCATCCAAGATGCAGTTGAGATGCAGCCATACCAAATGCGCGTCTTCTCCTTCTGGCTGCAGGAAACGGGTGGACCAGCTGAATCAGAAGTGGTCGGACCTGCATACGAACTATCGCATGAACATGAACCCCAAGGCCGCCGATGGGGGTTCAAAATACTACGCTCCAAGCTGCACGGGTGGCAAGGCAAAAGCCCTCATCAGGACTGCTGACGCTTGGCTTCCTATTATCCTGACTGAACGGGACACGGCCGCGGTGCCCGAGATCTGGGCCACGTGGAAATCTCTTGTTTTGACAGGTCGCTCGTTCCACCCTACGGAAGCTGAGATTGAGAAGTTCTGCAGCGACGCTATGTTTTTCTTCCTCCGTGTCGTGACTACTCTGGACGACGCCCACTTTTCCTACTACATGCACACCAATTCTTTCCATGGTGAGCTCGCCTCCATGGGTAGGAGTTTTGCCAGTCTCTGGGCACGTTTCGAATAACTGTCTGCTTAGAGCTAGCATCGATCTCGTAGCTAGCACAGTACTCAAGCCCGGTGAAATCTTGATTCCGTCTGCCACATGCTAACATTCTGCAAGCATTGCGAGTGCGTTGCTTCTATGAAAACCAGCTTCGCTTCCGGATGTGATTGAAGGTTTGCAGCCAGGGTAAGACAACCGGCGTATGCAAATGATGGTATCAAGGGGTTCCCCATAAAGCGTCCATCTGGTAGGCAGTTCCATTGTCCAGACCACTTCGAGTCCCCCAGTGGTACTAAACAGTTTCTACGAAGCTGCCTCTGGAGGGTTGGGGTCATATTCTTCTGCCGTTTGCTGACTCGCGTTAGCTGCATCTTCCATTTCAGGTCCCGATTTCCTGGTGACTCTTTTGTCACTCGAGAAGTGGATGCAAGAGGGTGCTGAGGCACAACATCTCATTGCCGATCTCATCTACCGGATGTCCTTCAAAGGTGGCACCCCGGGGCAGGTTTACACCAAGAAGAACGAAGACGGAACCTACAACAAAACCGACGGAAGGCAGACGGATCAGAAGGTGGGTGTGGGAAGTTAGCCAAACGACAACTCCGTGTCTCTAGAATCCAAGCTCTGTCTCTTTCTTGTCGCACGGCCTCTGTCGCGCGACCTCTGCTTGACTTGTCAATGGTACTTTGCGTTTTTCAATCACTAAAGACTGAGAGGAATGTGTCAACTCGAGACAGCGATCATTCTGTGTTGCTGCAAAGTCTGCTTGTAGTGAGAGCTCGAGTGACAGACGAGTCTGACCCATTGCCCGTACTTTACTTTCTGATTCCGACTTACCCTTCATTTGCAGTCCCAAGTCTTCACCCTGTACCTGATGCAACGGTGCAACAGGCTTCTCTACTACACGTTCGGGCCATTCTGGGACCCGAACATCGTCATGGATGCACGGCATAAGGTGCACGCGAGGCGGCTGGAACTCCTGGCAAGTGCCGATGCTGCAGTCAGAGACACGGCGGTCTCTCTCGCTGACGCAAAAGCTGCCGCAGACGCGGCAGCTCTGGCCGCCACGATGGCGTCCGCGGCACCTGCTGTCCCCGATGCCCGCGCAGATGAGAGCAGTGGGGAGTCAGATCCTCGCACCAGTTCCAGCGCACCCCCAGAGATTCGTGAGGCAGCCCGCAGCACCTGGGCGGCGCTTGCAGCCGCAAAGTTGGCAGCGGAAGCAGCGGTTAAGCTGCGTAAGAAGGCAAAGTTGGCGTCTGACCTCTCCGCTGCGCATCTGGACCGCGCCAAGTCTCAAGCTGGCGAGCTACCAGAGATTGAGATCGACGACAGCATTGAGGAAGAGCTTGTGGAGCTAGACGCCATGATGGAGAGCAGCGCCACGCGGGGCGCTTCAGCGAATGTTTCGGAGGGGCAGGCGGCCTGCATGGAGTGTGGGGAGACCGCAAACTCGGAGGTCAACGTCCTTGTTACCTGTAGTAGCTGCACAGGCAGCTGTCATTTAGCTTGCTGTACGCCGGCGTTCTCAGAGGTTCCTGAGCAAGAGTGGACCTGCAAGCCCTGCAAAGAGCTACCCGTCTGCAAGAGGTGTGGAGAAAAGGAAGGGGTTGATGACGAGATGGTCGTGTGTAAGAACTGTGCGACACCGTTTCATTTGGGGTGTTGCGATGCTCCCCCACGCTCTCGCGCGGACGATTGGTTTTGCATCACGTGTGGCGAAGAAGAGCAGGACGAGCCGGAGTGCCATACGTGCGGGAGCGGTGATGAGCCAAGGTCAAATAAATTAATGCAGTGTGCTCTTTCTTCTTGTAAAGTAGCTCGTCACCAGAAGTGTTGCTCACCACCAGTTAGAATGAAGAAGAATCTTCTTTGGTATTGTTCTACTAATTGTAAGGAGGTGGCGGACCAGGCAGTTTGACTTCAAAAACTAGCTTCGATTTCAGTGCGACTACATTTGATAGGCTTGTTCCAAGTGGTAGACACTGGACACTCATATATATTGTGACTCAACTCTCTAAGTGTGTATATTATGGTGTTATTACACAGTCCGAGACCGTTTTACCGGTACGGAACATGGGCCTGTGTCTGGGTACACATTCTATGCTCTTATATTATGTATCCATTAACCGCTTCAACTCGTGGTTCTGTCATCGAATATAACCCTGCCGGCAAATCAGATAAGTCCGATTAAGTATGATTGGCAGCCATAGTTGGTTTGTTGTCAATATGCCATTCATATTACATTACATATGAGTGGCTTATGTGAAATACAGGTATCCTAGTAGTTGTAAGTGCTCACTATCTGTACAGATACGATCATCGCACGCAACGTCACTAACGGTGCTGCGTAAGCACTTTGCAGTAGAAGGGAAAGTCGAGCACTCGATCGCTGCTCAAATTGTCACATGTCTGCGCATGAGGTACCCAGTTCAATTTGATGGTCACATGTTCTTATGAACGTACCCTCATGCAGGCGGCCACTAGAGCCATCGGGCAGTGCACCGGTGGGACCGGAATACAATTGTGAACGACCCTGCAGCTTGCTATATAGCTGCAAGTCACATGTATGTCCAAAAGTTGACACTACAGCTTGCTATGGCTGCACGTCATGTCCAGCCTATTTGTCTACCGTCCTACCGCATGATGCAAATTATTTATTAATTAGCATGCAACTAATTATGGAAACAACGACTAGCTAATGTGCGGCAGGTTTTGACTGCTCTACCCAACCTTATTTGTAAGCCTTGTTTGTGCTCAGATTCCTAGATCCGGCAGAATGCAGGTGCCAAAAGCTTTGTCGCTGTTTCCATAGGGCAAATGTGGCCCATGTCAGCGCACGCCTGTATGAAGGTTGAATGAAGGATGAGTTCAAATTCGATGGAAGCTGCGTATGAGCCGGCACTCGAGTAGGGCCAGCTGCGCTTGACTGAAATATATATGCTGAGTGAAACGTACAAATTAAACATGCATGCATGCAGTTGTGGCAAGCTGTGGCAAGTTGTGGCAAGGTGTCTGATCAACTTCTAGCCGTAGCAAGCTGCAGTGTCACTAAAAATTGTTCCCCAATCTAGCTCACCGGTGCGCTGCCCAATGGCTCAACGTGGGTAATTAAAGGGCGCTAATCAACAACATGTGACCATGGTCGGGAACACGGTGCCGGGATCGACTGGGCGGCGACTCACAACAGGCTGAGAGTTAATAGCGCCACAGTCGCAAATGCTGACTGAGGCAAAAACAACTGTCATATCCTACTAAGATTAGCTATTATAATGATTGTTCATAAGAATCGAGCTTGATACCCACAAGCCGAATGTACCGGGAGCTTGCCCAGTAAGCTGGCACTGCACTCGGAGAGAGTCAAATCTCAGGTCTGGTACGGCCGCAAGCATACGTACTGCATCCGGTGAACGACTTCCAAGACAATGTCTAATCCCATCCCCTTCAAGAATTGTGATCGAGGATTCTTTTTGCATAGACTATCTGCAATCTCACCGTGGTGTATCCTGTAATTGCAAGAGGCGGCTCCCATGTGAAAGTGACATGCGCAAGCTCCGCATGCTGTCTTGCCATACATGGGTAGTATGTGGCATGGCTGTTGACCTACTTTCCGACTTTACAAATATAGTGAGATCCAGTATTTAAGACTCATCATGGTACAACAGGTTATAAAAGAGGTAGTTCTCTAAGAAATCTAGGCTTGCCCATATTCGCTGAGTCAGCGAATCAGGCCCAAATATAGACCATGGCATGCGTTCTATAGCATGTCATTGGGAGGTGGATTCGAATTTTTGGTCCTGTATAAGCAAGGATTGCATGCCATTGTTTCCGTTGGGAACGACCAATGAATGGTGTTGGAAAAGCGCCAAACAAGATCTTGTAAGCAAACAATGTAATTAAACAGGAGCCTTTTTCATAGCTGTGGGATTGTCTTTCGTGCTCCATAAGGAGTATCCTGACGCGTTGAGCTTCTCGACACCCCCTAAACGTATTAGAAGTTTGTCCGACCTCGGCCGGAACTCAAGCACCACGGGCAGATGGATTTTGAAACTTTGCTCTAGACCTCCCGCTCGATCACTCGCAGCCTTCTGCTCTAGCCACTTATCTCCTAGCACCTTGGCCAAATCGGCCTCCTCCTCAATACGGATTTGCACGTGGCTTCCTGCTTTGCCCCTGTGAATTTCCCAGACTGCGAGTTTCAGAACAGAGGCCGGAAACAAAGCAACGATCTCTATGGACGACGAAACCCTAGCCACTGGAACCCAAGCATCCCCCTGGACAGTCTTATTCCCTTTGCCAGTCACATAAGTTATCAGCTTCGTCGAAAATTTGTCGTACCACTCGTCCATAGCCTTCGGAGTGCTCACGCGGATTGCTCCGGAACAGTTCAGCCTGAAGAGCGATGAGAAGGTCTGGAAGGTGGCTGGGCTTCTCCGGTGTGCCAACCAGGTTGAAGTCGATGGGGTGGATGGTCAGCGTCTCCCGATCAAAGAAGCGCTGCACACGAGATTGAGCAAACTGTCAGCACCGTTTTAGCGGAAGGATTGGCTTGAACGCCACTGCAGGTAGACAACGAGTATGGAGCAACTGAGATTTGAACACGCGAGCAAACAGAAGCAAGGCTACACGGATCTGAGTTGAATATTCAAGTGCAGGTGTTTCTCTCCCATCGCTGTCCCCCATCGCTGTCACAGGCTGTGCAGTGTCCAAACATATGCAACTTGAGTCGAGAAGGAAGCAACAAAGCGTGCGCAAGGAATGGACCGAGTCCTTACAAGGTATTCAAGCTGCATCCGACCAGACAGGCATGCGCACACGTATAACTGCTTCTCACCTTATAGTACATGTCGTCATCGTCGGCCCAGAAGTACGGGTCCGCAACAGTAGGACCCTCGATCTCGTCGGCAGCAAACTCCATTCTCTCAAAAGACACAAACACTTCTCCTAGTTCATCCTCTGACTTGAAGTTCTCGCAGCCCCCTAGTTGCTGAATGTCAGACTGCCTATAAAAGCTGTACCCTGCGGCGATCTTCCCTTCAGGATGATTGACAAGAATCTCTGTGATGCGCACAACGAAGGGGGGCAGCTCCCCACCCTCGCTCGACCGCAAAAAGACACACTGACCAATAAACAAGGCCCCCTCCGATGGCTCCGGAAGGTGGTCGTGCCAATTCCGATTGGGCAGAACAATGGCGGGGAAGTAGGGCCCCACGGGTGGCTGCCACTTCTCTAAAATGTCTTTGATCGAGACAGGAGAGGCAGACTTAGCGGGATATGCGACAGCGGTACCTACAAGATCCAGGAAGAAACAGCGCTGTAACACCAAGCTCGACAAGACAGGACAAAAAACGCTTCTGGAATAAACAAGGGCTAGATGAAGGTAGAGAGGAAAACCTGAGGCACAAGCATCCTTCCGAAAGCCCTGCCCAACTTAGCTTCCGTTCTCAGAGGGGATGTCCTTAAAGGAGAGAGGGATCATAGAAATCATAACAGCCCCCTTGCGGAAGAGCAAAAGAAGTTGATTGAGCACCTAAATTCAGAAATTGGTATTGCAGTGGGCCTGTACTGACTCATTGGCAAACTTGGACACAATTGGAACTGAATATGAGGCAGCATTCGGATGAGCTGAAACGTTGAATTGCACGCTGATCTGCACAGCAGATTCATAGGAGATAACACCAGACAACTTGACTAGGAAAGTGACAAAGTCGCGATCATCACGAGCTTGTTGCATACCTGCCAGTCGGGGCCGTTTGCTCGAGGGTTTTTGCGGGCTCGGAGATCCGCAGTCGTAGTCATACTCATCTACTTCTCTTGAGCACAACGGGCGTCCACGGCTAGAGAGGGCCGGAGCAGCGGCTGCGTTTGCTGCCGATTGGGTTGCACCCGCTGCAGATGTCTCTGCTGCCGAGGATGCAAAGTTCGCCCCCTCGTTAGCAACCGCTTCCTCTCCTGCATACCAAGTATTATGAGTGCGATGACAAGGTTGTTGAGTGCTCAGTCTGGAAGTGATCCCCCTTGGGACTGCTCCCTTCATGTGACAACACACGCAGGAAGCCGCCAATGTAGTCTAGGCATGCATAAAGAAGGAACATGATATACAAGAAAAGCGCATCCCTCTTTCCAGACCTCTAAGCAGCAGAATTGAAACTGAGCAGAAGGACTGGTTCGAGTGATTCCAATCTCTTCTCTTGAGGCCTTCAAGTTTAAATGTTCCACTGTAGGCGCCATGATGTCAATATCTGTAAAGAACAAACCACTGCAACTCTCAAGATACCGAACCAATTTTCATCAGTCCTTGGTTCGTTGCGCAATACATGAGCCTGCAAATGAAACTTACCAAAGGGAAACTACCGCAGGCGCTTGAACATGCTCACCAGGCTGGGGCCGCACATGAATCCACTTTCTGAACACCTTCCAGAATTCGTCGATGTCCCAGGATGCCCCATTGGCTGCACCATCGCTCCAAGGCAACATTGCTGGCAAGATATTCAGCGCTCCCCGCTCCTGGAGGCCAGAGATATCGGTCTGCAAATGTCCCATCCGGCTTCACCCTGTTGCCGACACCCCAACCCCAGCCTTCAGGAGCGTAAGGTTTGCCCTCTCCCCTTGCACCAGCTGCTACAGGGGGGTACTCAGAGAATGGACCAGGCAGAGAGTTGGAGAGTGGATGAGGCACAGGCGCATTGGTACCTGCAGGGGAGTAAGATGCATGAGTTAGTTCGCAGGCCTCATTGTATTCTAGTATTTCAGTCGACCTTGAATCAAAGAAAGATGTGCCAAAGCAAGCTAATGCACATGATGCAGTGTTTGGACAGTCCATTGGTAGGTCAGATGCTTGAAGACTTTCGAAGCATTTTGTCAGGCTTCAGACTACTTCTCAAAGCTACCCCCGATGCTTATTTTGCAAGGGTATTCCCAGGCAAGCTATTGAGAAAAGTTAGATGTACAGCAAGCTGAGATTGCTTCAAATGAATCATGAAATTCTTGCAGGGGTGACTCTGCATGTGATCCATCGACCATGGCTTAATCGCAACACCTGTGAGTCACCACCAGATGTCTGTCGATTGTGTTGTCAATCAGAGTTGCTTACCAGAGTCTGCCACTGAGGCAGGTTGTTGTCCCAAGCTGGCAGACATCCCTTGGCCGGATGCACTGGGTACAGATTCTTGAGTTCCTGGAATTTGAACAAGAAACTGAGCACAACTTAGGACGTGGCTTGTCGTTCTGCTTGAAAAGACTCAGAACTACCTTCTGCTATTGATTCAGACAGCTCAACACTGGACGAGGCCATTCTTTCCTTTCATTCCAATTGGAGCATGTGAAAACCAACCACCTAGTCTGGGATCAAGGGCAAGACAGCTCTAAACTGGACCAATGCATAGTTGCCCAAGATTGTCACTGCCTACAAAGTCAGCTCTGGTTTCAATCAGCAATGGGCACTGGGCAGTTCCACGTCTCTGAATGAAATCCTGGAGCTTACCGCAGCCATCTGCTGGAATCTTTGACTTGTACCGCATGATGAAGTCCTCAAACACCCAGTCTGGATGCCTTTCGGCCAGGTATGCCTGCAGCTCCTTGTTGCTTGACAACATATGAGCACCAGGGGGGAACCAGTAGCGGTCCACATAGCATCCATCTTTGCCTACCCGCCTCCCGACCTTCCAACCCCAGCCTTCTGGAGCATATGGTGCCCCAACACCTTTTTCTAGAGGTTTGACCCCTCTCTGAACAGAGCTTTGGGCATCTGCTCCCGCTGGTGAGCTCACTGGCTGGGAGTGCGACAAAGCAGCCATGGACTTTTGTTGCCTGTACTAGCAAGCGTTCAGACTGAAGATTCAAAAGAAAGCTTTCCCTGAAGTGAGCACAAACTCCAAGGGCCGGAGACAGCCGCCAAAATGGACCTTGTCGGAAACAGGGCCTTTTGTACGTCGAGCTCTGGCAAGAGACAGGCTCTACGGGGGTCATGTTGGCGGCAAATGCAACCCCCAGATTTGAATTGATATAATTCTGAAGTTGTAAGTTCGGCTCGAAGTTCCGAAGTCAAAATTCGAAGTTGCAGCAAGCCGTCTCTGATTGGTCGAATCGGTCGTGCGGATCTTCGGCAAACCGCCGTGGGGCCACAGAATTGCGTGTCGCGCGAACGACGGTCTGGAAAATTACGAATGAATGTAGTGAAGCTCAACACATCTGAGCATGCTTATCATGAGCTCACATCAAACTTACAGCCTTTTGGCCAAGCAAGCATATTACCACATGCACCTCTCCATGAAGTCTAGGAGAATCCCTTCGTCAGATCTTGAATCTGGAAACATGTTCCTAAGCACTACGGGCTGCTGAGTCCTGGCAGTGACAACGGTTTAGAGCTGGCTGCAGCTTGCTAGCTAATCAAACAAAATCCCCTCAAGAACCCACAATAGAGAGGCCGGCGGCATCTATACATCAAAACTGGATGCATCAAGCAATGAGGGACTGAGGCCCTCCTGAGGCGCAGGCACTCATGAGGCTAACAATGGGGCCCGTACCAATGATGCCCATCATGCACAACGCCGGTTATAATGTAACTAGCCAGCATATCAAGTAAGCCTTTGGTGCTCTCTCAGAGCCTTCGCGTCGATAAGGAATGATTACATTTGGAGAAAGGGTCATGAAGATGTAGTCACAGATCCCTCACAGATAGTCTGGATGTAGTACCCGCAGCGTTCAGTGATCGATGCCAAACCACAGACTAAAACCTGAATCTTGCGATACAAGTGCAGCCAGCTCTTGTCCGTTCTTGTTTGCATTGCGCCACTTCTTGCTTGACGCCGCTTGTTCAATGGCTGCTGTCACACAGCTTGAGAAAGAGCGAGAAGTCCTTCTCTCCTTTCGGTGCATAGCTGTACTGAGTCCGTTACCGGAAAGCTAGTACCAAGTGCAGATCTGAGCTAATAGGGGTAACCTTTTCCTCATTCAATCCGGCTGCTTATGTAACCTATTTTCAGTCATGGACGGACTATGAAGAAGCTTCGACATTACGAAGTGAACGCAAACGTTTTCACCGTTACAATATAGCAGGCAAAGGCGATCGGATTCCATTGGTGAAAGTCATCAGATGCTATCCAAACAAGGTCACAATCAGCTGGACCCTAAAGCCATATCAGTCGAGGTAAACGTTTCGTGACCACCCAATTACAGTGAACTCTGCCAATTAACCAGTACCGTCAGCCCGCGTCCGGACACCTGTATTCCCTTGCTTGTTCCGGCTTGGACGTCCGGACGGAGTAAGAGCGGAACATCGAGTCGATCCATCGTTGTAGATGGGACGCCTGCGCATGATGCGAATTCTGCGGATCAGCGGAAGGCTTGATACCAATCAAAGTCCACGTACAGGATCTTGGCCCACGCCAAGTACCGCTCCCGACGTACGAGCCCCGAGACATGCTCTCCCAATTCATGTTGACGAAGAGCATGTCACTTAACAGAAAACAGTGCCCGGGGGAATTGAAGTGCACGGACAAGATTGAAAACCTAAACTTGTAAACCAGAAAATGACACGCTCTGCACTTACATAGCCACCTTAACCGGCCCCCAAACATGACCCTACCCGCTCTCCGGGCATGCACTCTTCTTAGTCAACACACAGTCAACATGCATGGAGACGTACACATTTCCAACGACGTACTCGCGAGCTTCTGGCATTGAACGGTGCATATTTGAATCGTTCCTATATATGAGACGGTCCTTTTCATGCATGCTAAGTTATGGGTTTAGCCGACGGTTCAGTGCATGATTATTACCCGTGCCACGCGTGACGTGGTGGTTGGCGATAGTTAAACCATCGACGGAGTGAGACATATGTCACATACTATAAGATTCCGCCCCCTTTTTTCATGGGGAGCTAGGCAGGCTGCCATGGCTTGGTGGGCTGCCACCCCGATCGGATTGTCGACCGCGGCCCCCGCTTCTTCCTCCTTTCATGATCCTTTGTGATTGAAGTTAACTTGCATCGGTCATATATATCGCACAGGCTGGTTATACGCATTTTCGGGTTCCGGCACACCGTCGCGACGGTCGGACAACCGTTGCCCAACTGTTGGGCAACAGTTGCCCGACATGACATTGCAACAGCGTTGCAACACTGTCGCAACACTGAAAGTACGTTTTCGACATTCGATATATATACGCGAACAATATAACCGACCAGGCCGAGTTAAATTTTCAGACCACAAGTTTTACATCGTGGGCTGCGAATCTAGTAGATAAGCCAATGTCAAACTCGCGCGCCGGCCTTGCGGGACCCGACTTTTTCAAGGCTGCTAAGCCTATTGTCGAAGCAGATTGACACCATTCCCATTTGAAAACGCCTCGTTGACACACTCTCCTGTAAGTTACAGTATGTTTCTAATGTCCTAGGCTCCTTAAGTCCCGAAGTAGAGACTGTGTCTTCAAGGGAATTTGAAACGCGGTGTAATTTTCTTTTTTGCCCCTATTTAGAGGCATTTTACTGAGGTAGTGTTGCAACACTGTCTTTTTTGCCCCTATTTAGAGGCATTTTACTGAGGTAGTGTTGCAACACTGTCGCGACACTTTCGACAATGTCGCGGAGTTGTTGCCCGACGGTCGGGCAACGGCTGCGCAACCGTTGCCCAACCGTCGACGGACCGTCGCAGACCCAGAGTCTGCATATAACCAGCCTGTGCGTGAATCGTGATATGGACACTTCAACACTTGTGCATATGAAAGGCATGGGCGGTACGTGTGCAAGTCACGGTACAATCGATGGCATTGTCAACGCAGACATGTTCCAATCTGACGACCGGGAATCTACCAGCTGCCAAACAATCCATGTTCGCTCAACGACATGTTGCGATCTGATTAATCCGGTCAGAAGAAGCACGCACATTTGACATATGCAGAGGGTGGTTTTGAAAATGAAGAGGTTGCCAGGTAATTCACCTTGGCAAATATACCGGACGGCTACCGGACACCTGCTACGGTGCCACGGGGCACGAGCAAACCCGCCAGCGCCCCCCGCAAGTCTTCCGGCCCCATTCTCCGGGCCCCGCTTAAGAGCGGCCCCAGTTCATCACGACTATTCTCCGACTTCCCACCATCCCAAGCATCGTCACTGGCCGCATTCACATCTGCTGACGTGGACTCGTCAGGCCGATGCAAAATTTGCAGAAGGTCGGCTAGATACGAAGCGCCCCTCGCACGCTCCAGTCTTGCGCCCGCACTATTAGCAAAAAGCTGGTGGCCCAAGCGCCACGTGGCAGCGCTCAGCTGTGCCGGCGGCAGGTGCGCGCCTTTTTCGTAGTACTGTCGGGGCGCATCTTCGGCAGCCTCCGACTCTTCTTCATCTGAACTGTGCAAGGCCTGCCAAAGGATCCAAGATTTGAAGATGGTGAGAGGCGGGCCAAATGATCACATCTGATAAGTACGTAACGCAATTGAGAGCTGTGATGGTGCGGATATAGATGCTATTACGACCTTGGAGGCCTCCAAAAACGATCTGCAGAACAATGTTAGGACCCGGCTCTGGAAGATGCACACGCTGTCAGCGAAGCCGGACATCGGAGTTAAAGTAGAAGCCTATCAACCCGATTAACGCACAAACCTTGGCTTTTAGCGGGTCATTGCGAAAAGACTTGATAACAATCTTGAACGGAGTGCTTAGGAGAGAACGGCGGAAACAGGACCCACGAAAGGAAGCAGACGCCCGCGCACGGAGGGCGGCTACACGTGTTGTTCTGCTCAATCTCCATCAAACAAGTCTTCTCATTGTGGACTGACCGCGTCCCTGGCTCCAATTGTATCTTGAAGCAATGGCTTGATTGGTCGTTTCTAAAACGTGAGACTGGCTCACTCTCAGACGATTCCAGCCTCGGATCAGGAAAACCCGAAATCTAGCTTCGGACCAGGAAACGAGCTGCGAGGGAGACATTTTACAGACGCTCGTGCGGCCACAGGTCTGAGATTGCCCGGGTTTGCCTGTCGGAACCGATTCGCACGAAACTGGGCGCACCGATTTTACTCCAGTTACCACTCCCTGCGCACAAGCAACAGACTCTTACTACAGCCCTTCGCGTAGAGCCTCTCCCTCTCTCGTTTTGTCTCGGGACTGATCTCCTTGCGCCTCACATATCATACCAAAGCCCTCACCTCGCTGCGGCGCGGTCTGGGCCCCCCGTCCGACTCCCCGTCCGAACCATCCCGGTCGAACCTCCCCCGGCCACTCTTCCGCCCCTGCTTACAGATTACGCACGGGCAGTTGGGCCGGTGCAGTGCCGTCCCGGTTTTGAGCGGCTGCCGCGCCCTGACCCTGCCCGGGGGTCTCCCCCGGCCCCTCCTCGGCTCTGTGCCCTGAGCCTGCTCCTCTGGTTCTGAGTGGTCGGTTGACGTTTCGGGGGGCCGGGTCCGGAGGGGCGGCGACTGTATGCCCGGGGCAAAGCGCACCCGCCGCTCGCGGTGTGGGCTGCTGCCTTCCGCCTCTGCAAAGGAAGCCGTTGAACCGGATTTGAAACGGTTCCTTGCTATGATCTTTTTTCCGTGACGGTCGCGCTTTGTTTCGATGTTAGACCTGATGCCTTTTTGGGTATGTGGGGACTGAGAGTTCGACGGTGGAGGCCAAACGATGCGCCGGAGCCAGGCTACAAGTGTTCTTAAGCCATTTATATACCGACCTGATTTTGAAAGACCCAACGCTGAGGGAAGGTAAAGCAGGAGAGAAGACGTTCCGTCATGAGTTAATCCTTTGAGCCCTGCCACAAATGAAGCAGGCTGCAAAGGGTGAAAACATTTTGCAGCCCAATGCGGAGCTAACAAGCGCGACCCGGGGCTATTTTGATACCATAACATGGAAAAGGTAGAAAGTAATTAAGAAGTACAAAGCAATCTCTAGACGTAGGGAGAATCGCAACACCGCAACACGGAGCTGCGTCTGATCTGCTGAACGATGAGAACCACGTCAATATTTCATCAGCAACTCCTTAGATCCAAATGTCGGTCAAATCTTCAACAACAGTACATCAGATCCGAATCCTTCCATGCATGTCCTCATCAAAGGACCGTGTGTTGAACTCTCATTCTCCAGCGGCAAGAGAAGACCGCTGTTCACAACGGATTTGCGATCGTTTACTTTCGCGTCTCATACCTGATTCGCTTCCTTCTTCCTCTTCGCCGCTGTCAGGCGGCGGGGGCGTCGCGGGTCTGCCTTCATCGTCCAGCGGTAACCCGGCCTTAACCCACTCGCTCTTGAAGCGGCGCTCCACCACTTCCAGCATCTCCACAATCGGGTCAGCTTCGTTGTTATACAGCCTGGAAAGCCGGATTAGGTGCTCGATGAGTAAGGTTTGCCCTCAACCCCAGAGAGTATCGGTTTGGTTGAGCCGAAGGTAGCAACTGTCAGAAGTTCACCCGGCGGCTGTACATCTACGCAGCATAACCGTCTCACTTCCGAGATAACCTCTGCTCAGAACTGGGACCCCAAACAGAAGGCAGGCGCGTGGCGGACAGGCGAGTTCACTCGCAAAGCTTAGCGGATCGGTCGGTTGTCTGGTCGTGCCGGAAGTGCCGACTGCACCGCACGAGATGCTATAACATCGCAGCGTGCTAGGAAGGATCAAAGTCTTTCCTCCAGCTTCTCTTCGCGGAGCTTCGGGCAAACGCACTGGGAACCCAAACCCGAACCCCGAAGTACCCTACAAAACGGGAGCACAAAATTCTGAAGGGACCTGAACCCACCTGAACCCTGTCCAAAGCTCACCTGCAGTTTTCGGACACTTGCCGGACGTCAGTGAGCATCTCCGCCACCCCTGGATACTCCCCCTTCTCTAGTTTCGTCCGTATCGTCCCAAAATCCATTGGACTCTTGACCACCTCCAAATAGTCCGGAATCCCGAGCCCCTCGGCATCGACAGGCACGTTGAACGGTTCCGCATCAGCGATCTGCATCGTCTTCTTGAGTGCGCCCAAGGCTTTTTTCAGCTGCGCCTCGGGGGAGTCCTCCGGTTTGGCCGCGGGCGCCGTGCGCCGCTTGTTGCTCTGCTTTTCGTCTTCCTGGGGGAGGAACGTAACGATGAGGAATGAGCCAGTGCTTGTGTTTTCGGACAGGAAGGGCGTAGAAGCAAGGGGTGGACATTCTGCTGGCCTTCTTTTGCAAGGGGGGCGTAGAACTAGAGGAAGAGTTCTGCTAAGTGCTTCTCTTCTTCCTGCGGGAGTACTGTAGAAGGGATGTTTGTAAAATCTGCTTGTCTGGTTCCTCAAAGGCTGTTCACGAGCAAGGAGTGAGACTTCCGCTTGGCTTCTCTCCGCGGCGCAGCATAGATGCTAGGGGGTAAGACTTTAGTTTGTATGGGTCAGAAGCTAGGGATGGAGTTCTTCGTGTGCACTTCCCGAAGAAAGACAGGGAAGCGCTGGAAGCGCGGGGTGAAGAGATTGACGAGCTGGACCAGAAACACCGGCCTCTTTCCAAAACAAGGTATGATCATAGAAACCCTGGTGCATGCCAGTGATACAAACCGGCCACTCGACACGAATGTAATTTGCCCCGCGCCGATTCCGCTTACGCTGTAATAGTCGCTCGCCTTGTGCGAGCCCTTATGCCCCCCAAGCGCCTGCCCCGTGGCAAACACCAGCCCGCACACGTCGCAGGCCCACCCCCCGTCTGTGGCGTTGTTTTCGGCGGGGCGGCGACGCACCGGCGGTGAGGCGACTCCCGACGAGCTCCGCCGTGCGTTTTGCCGCTTGTCTTCCTCCTGAAAGAGGAGATTGCGGCTCTGGACATCGGCCATTTTGGCTGATACAGCGTTAACAGACCTTTGAAATTAGGAATGAGAGGGCCAAGTCTCCGCCTTTAAGCACTGTAAGGGGCCAGTGACAAGCTGCTTGCGACCCTCGGTGTGCGAACATGTCTTGCCAAGCTCCCAAACCTTGATTTGTTCTTGCAGCCTTTTCGATCGCCTATCGAGCCCCACAATTGGGACCTCGAATCACCAAAATCCCGACTCCCTTTATTTCTGAATTGGAACAACCAATTCCCAATCTCAAAAAGCTTAAATGCAGAAGTCGTTGCTCTTCGCTCTGCCAACAGCCCAAAAATTTCGCATCCCCGAAGTGCTATATCCTCACTCACGAACGACTACGTCGTTTTTCCTATTTTCCTGAAGCAGATCAATGATATTCACAACACCGTCTCTAAATGCTCCCAGTACAAAAGCGATTGGGCTGCGCGATTTAACGGTGGAAGCAATCAGGCTTACGGTGTACACGTCGGTCGGCTTGTGCGATCCCTTGTGACCCCCCAGGGCCTGCCCGTTACTGAAAATTGCGCCGCAAATCTGGCACTGGAAGCCCATTTCGACAACCTTGGCCGGCGTCGGAGTAGGCTCCTGCGAGGACGGAATGTTTGTTTCCAACATTCTTTGGGTGCTTAACGCCTTCCATTCAAGACTCGCTTGCAGCTGAGGTTGGTTGCTTCTTCGGCTCGGGTTGCCAAGGACTCGATCTTGCACGCCGTTTGCAGTTTGCTTGTTTTTTGCGCCGTGACTTCGTCTCTGCTTGCGTCACTGCTCAGGAACAGAGTGCACGGCAGACAGAACATCCAATGATAAAAAGGGAAGAGAAACTGGAACGGCACCTGATTAGGTGGCCTACCTAACACCTTTCGGCTCTTAGCGCTTCTACCAGACATACAGAAGCTGCAAGAGCTCCACGAGGCCTTTCCATCTTACATCCTTCTAACATGGGCAAAGTGCACAAGAAGCAGAATAGCACCAGGAACGTCTTCGTTCACTCCTCTTTGCACGCAAGTCCGCATTTGGGGCAAAGTTCTGGCAACAACTAGAACGGGCCACATCAAGCTGGCCGCTCCGCTAGCTCACCTCCCTGCTACTACGGTGCGATCCCTTGTGCCCCCCCAGTGCCTGCGCAGAGGCGAAGCTCCGGCCGCACTCGGGGCAGGTGAACTCCCCGTCCTCCTGCTCGGAGGACTTCCCCGATCGCTTCAGCCGGATCAGAATCGGTCCTTCGCTACCCTGGGGGGAGCCCGGGGGAGTGCTTTCACCGTCATCTTCCTCTTCTTCGGCTGCTTCAGGGACAGCTTGCTTCTGCACGTACAGCGTAAAACACGTGTAGGTGTCCTGATTTTGAAGCAGGCAGAAGCGCTGCGTCTGTCTGCTACCTTCAAAACCGGGGTCGGATGCTCGTAGAAGAAGAAGAAAAAGCCGGGATGGAACACGCTCTACTTTAGGGCAAGTACTCGCAAATTTCTTGCTTGCGTAAGTTGAAGTGTCGGACGTTTCTAGGGTCAGCTGCTCTTTCGAAACAACTCAGGGGCTCGATCGGCAATCGGAATTGCCTGTCCTAACGGACAGACTTTCTCAGAGACAAGATGCGCGGATTAAGTGGACTGTAGGCAGCTGCGAGCTTTTGAATTTGAAGCCCCCTTTGCCCACCTTAGCATGCTCCGCACCTGACGCCCCCTGAACCCCAAACTTGACCTAGCCATGGCTCTGTTAACCTAATTGAACACTAACATCGGCCGAGACAAAATTGAGAGCTTGAGGCCCTCCTTTACCTTGCTTCCCCTTGGCGTCTCCGGGCCCGCACTCTTCTTCCCCGCATGCGCCAAGCGCTTGGCGCACTGTGACAGGTGGCCGTACAGCCGCACCTGCTCCGAAAAGACGCGCCCGCAGTGCTCGCATGGAAACTCTTCGCCCGTCGGCTTTTTGGGTCGGCCCGAGACGCGCGTCGGAGGAGGAGTGGGCGGCGCTTTCTGGAGAGAGTCAGATTTGCAACCGTAAGCGGACCGTTCTATTGCTGCTAATCTGCCCCTGGAATTCGATTTTCACAGGAGTATCAAAACAATAACAACAAGATGGTACCAAAAAGATACTTAGAAAGCCAACCACAGCAATATCCGTTGAGAAGCATCTTCTCGACTTTGACTTTGAAAGTCTTGTCGGCTTGTCCTGCGGATCTTCCGCAGGTCTGAAGGGCTTGCAGAAAGCTTGCAAAAAATTCAGACATGCTCTCTGTCTATATTCGACTCCCGTTTCTCATAGCATTACATTCTTCCCACAGCAATAGTAAACTTCAAAGCCCCAAGGATTGGCTACAATATGCAACTCACTTGTGCAGTAGCAAACTTTGGACGATCAAAGGGATGCGGCTCGAGGTTGAGGTTCTGCGTGCGGGTTGCGCAGCGAGGCGTGTGGCCCCACAGTGCCGCCAGCACTGCAAAGCGCTTCCCGCAATGCTCGCACGCATGAGGCTTGTCAATTGCATCTTGATCCAAGTCCGCAGCCTTGCGCTTCCGGACTCTTGGTTGGGGGTGGTCGTTTTGGGGGGCTGGTTCGGGAGGTGGAACGCGTCTCGGACGGGTGGAGTATGAGCGGGGGTCTGAGAGTTGGAGCAATGCGTCCTGCAGGGCCATGATGTTGTATAGGTTCGACAATTAGGTCCCTCTTGTATGCTTGTCTTCTCCCTTTTGTTTTAGTGACCATGCACAGCAATCCTAATGAAAGCCACTGGAGGGAGGCCGCTTGAAAATACCGACTTCCTTGACTAAATAAGCAGGTTTACTTTACCTGCTTCATTGCCAGAGCTTTCTATCAAACTGTCTTCCAGTGTGCCTTGATTCCAACACTTGATCTATTCCAACACTTGATCTATAGCAGTGCACTCACTCGCTCTACGAAACTTCGGCCCATGTTCACTTCAAATGAGCAAGTTTAGAGATTCTATCTGCGAGAACTAGAATTCCAAGTTGCGGGGAAAAGCTGTACATGTGAGAACATTGAATTTTGGCTCTGGGTGGAGTTTGGGGCTCACCTCTTTCTCTTGCTGGTCCCTGTCAATCTCCTCCCCATCCAATGCATCCTGAAACAGGTCGTCTTCATCTGCAAGGAAGCAGAAAGGGCGGGCTTTCCATGCTAACTCAGTTGACCACTCACTCCCCCAGCTGCTCAGAACGTCACTGGCTTCCAGCAAACGTTGCATACACTCCATGCACGGACTACTGCTCCCCTGGACTTTCTGCCACCACGAAATGGATATAAACAACCGAACGGAATGGAGCGCCTATCTGGTGGTTAAGAATCATTGGAGGGGGACAGGGGGGTAAAGTTGAGGAACAACAAGTTTTCTTGACAGCATCACCTGCAAAGCTGCCACTCATGATTGTCTAAGTTGAAGTATTGAAGCAGAAAAATTTCTAAAGAATTCGAAGGTACAGATCAGGGGGATGATTATATCATCATGCGCGGAGCTCCTGAAACACAGACAACAATCATGAGAATGGCTGGTGGCAGAATTTTCGACCATAATCAATGCAACACAACAGTGGTCGATCTTGAGCAAGGTAAAATGGGGGCATCACGTGTCGACAAGCATGTTGCATAAGAATATTGAAATTACCACCAACAATTGAGATCAATAACAATAAACAATGCAATGCCTTCAGTGAGCTTGACGCATTTACCTTCATTTGATTCCATGCCTGATGTGTCTCCGTCCTCTTCCTCCATTGCGTGGCCCTGTTCTGCCCTTTGCCTGGACCTCGAGCGATGGCTCGCCATGTGGTGGAGTCTCAACTCAGACGTCTCCAAGAGTCCAGAGCGAGCAAAAGCAAAAGACGGTGCGCATTCCTATTGGCCCTCGAGTCTATGGTCCTTCGGGAAGAAAACGTTCTGGAAAAGCGATGAGATGGGGGTGCCCCAGGCAGAGGTAGCTACCAGGATGGTTTAGACCAGAGCACCAAGTCCTATAAGAACGCCAGCGACCAGGGCTGCAAAAATTGTGATTTCCTGCTGAACCAGCAATCAAAAGCCTGAAAAGGTCCTGGTGAGTGAGCAGCACAGGAGCAGCACAGTCCTGCATGAGCTAATGGCAGCGCCACACACGTATTAATTGGTTGAATTGTAGTAATCATACGCCGGAAATACGTTGATATTTAAGGTCACCCGAGAGAACCTTTGAGCGCAATCTGAGAGTGCTCTGGACTTCTTTACACGACGAAAAATAAGGTATAAGTAGATGTCATAAGCAGATATTTTAAGGGGTCCCCTATCGGCGCTGCTCGCGCGGCCTAAATTGCCTCCAAGCTCACTCAACGAACCAGACGACGGTTGGATTCGTTCAAGACTGCAAGGCTTGGTTTTGCGGAGCAACAGTGCTCCAGCTCTGTGGACGAGCTCTTGTACCTAGACCAATCTGTAGGATTGCCAGCAGATATGTTGCGCTTTAGTTCTTGCCAATATTTGAGAGCAGAGGTCAGCAGCAGAAGCTGGATCAGCTGTCCTTGGCCAATGTCCACTGTATCTGAGCTCTCCCTTCTTCGAACAGTACACAGCTGAAAATGATTTGGTGAGCTTCTCTTCACTACATTGCTTCACTCCTAGAGATCCAAAGCAAATATGGCGGGAGCTCTCAGCGTAGGGTGCTGCGAGCTGGTGGTGGAAGTGGTGAAGGCCGCCAGCTTATGGGACGACAAGGGGGCGTCCAGCGGCGACCGGGCCTTTGCAGCGGTCAGGGTGGAAGCCCCCGCCTCGTGCTGGCTCCCAAATACAGCTGCCTCAGCTCGCGTAGACGCCTCTCAGCCGTCAGATGAAACCACGCCGAATCCTACTCTGCCACCTGGCGGAAGCAACCCGACGTTTCTAGAAAGTGATGCAGTGCCATCGTTGGAAGAGAGGAAAGGAGAGTGGTTGTTTCCCTTCAGCTACAAGGGAAGCTTGGTGGCGGAACGAGGGCCTGCCACCTGTCAATCCCTCCTTGATAAGCCGCTCCACGTGCATGTGATCTACGCACCCAGCGGCGGGGCAAAGCAAACGGTGGGAAAAGTGGCGATCGATCTCTCCACATTCGTCACGAGCTCTGACCTTGCACAATGTAGAGAGATCAGAGGCACGTTCCCAGTCATAGCAGATACGACAGATGCGGCAGATAGTGCCACGTCGGCAGGCGGAAAGGGAGATAAAAACGGCCGGCGGCCGAGCTCCAGCGGGAAGGGGGGGGCTGGCAAGGCCCCCGCAGGTGGGGAGAAAGCTAAGGGGGCGAAAACCGATGGGGCGAAAGGGGCCAAGGGGGCAGAAAAGGCAGGCAAAGATACCCCCTCGCCCTCGGAGGCGGCCCCGTTCCCGGGCTGTCTTCCGGGGGCGTCTCTAGAGCTGGTAATCAGCCTGAAATCGCCCCTGATGACCCCCCTGGAGGAGGAGAACTCGACAGTGGTGGAATTAGATGTGCGGGAAGTTGCCCCGGTGCGGGGAAAGCTGGTGGAGATCTTCCAAGCGGAGCCGGGGAAGGATCCGTTTACATACACCCTGGCGTTTGGTCCTCTACCCCAAAAGACAAGTGCGGGTGAGTGCATATTCTGAGTCTCCATTGCAAGACTAGTCGAGATCAATGTTTCGCATAAAACACTATTTTCTGGCAGCTGTACCGGTGGATAAGAGCCTTTCCATCATGTGTTGAAAGGCAGAATGGGCGCCCAATGTCATCCTTGTGAGGCCTCCAGTCTCCTTCTTTGTGGCTGACAATCGGAAGTCAATGTGCGTGGCTTGTGTCGTGAAAGCACCGCCGATTGGTGATGTGATTGTTGGTTTAGATGCCCACTGTAAACGATTCGTGTATACTTGTGTCAGCATTGAGGAATTTAGACACCTACTCAGATCATCAGTAGTGACCTGCTTCTAAAAGGCGAAGACCTCAATGCATTTGTGTGTACAGGTCCTTTCTTGCTTGCTGCATTGGGCCACTTTTGATGTCGTCTTAGCTCTTGCTTGCCTTGAGATTGCTTATTTAGGCTACTCATTGCATAAACTCAGCCGTACTGTTTTGCAGACATTCCCGCTTCCAGCGAGCCCGATCAGAGCGGAATGGAAGCAGGCACAACCAGTACAACTCTTCCGACCCCAGAACCTGCCACCACCAGTCAAGAGCCGTTCGCCGTTCTTTCTGGTGCCACTCTCGCAGTCGACCCGTCGAGCGGGCAGCCAATGCTCAGCTTTCCAAAACCGAGCAAGCGTTTCCTGTCGGCTAGTCAGGCAGAGGCGCTCAAAGCAGCGATTAAAAGCGGGGCCAAATGGACGGTCGAGATCGCGCGGTACCTGAAAGACGAACGGACGGATCTGGTCGACCCCCTGTTCGAACGATACCGCAGCTGCGCAGAGCTCGACTTGTCCGCGTTTCTGAAACCGGGGGAAAGTTTGCTAGAGGCGCGTGGGGCGTTCAAGACTCCCCCTCAGGAGAGGCCGACGTCAGCAGCAGGGGGAGGAAAGAAGGACGAGAAAGCGGCCAAGGGGGCAAAAGCCGGGAAGCCGCCGACCCCCTCCCCGAAAGAAGAGGCGTCTTCCCCCCACGAAATGGGAACCCCTGTCCGGGGGGTGTTGCTAAAGCCGCAAGAGAGGGGGGACAACAAAAAGGCGAAGCCAGTGGACGATGGAAAGGATTTACCCGAAAGCGGGGGGTCGGCTTGGGAGGCCGTGGGGACAGTTCTAGGGGTGCAGGTCAGACTGGCGAGGCCCCTGGAAGCGAAGTGGGAGCCCCCTCCGAAAGCGGAGATTGATCTGCGCACACTGATCCCGGATCGGCCCCGGGTGGAGCCGAAAAAGGACGCCGCGCAAGTGGCGCTGGAGAACTTTCAGGTGGGGGCTCTGGCGAAAGGCTGGGATTACACGTGTTGTCGAACGCAACATGAGACATGCTCTTTCTGTTACCTTGGGCCAAACGAAAGCTTTGACCCAGATCCTTCCATGTCTCAATTAATTGAGAGTACCCTCCTCTTAACGCCGCACTCAAACATACTGGATCCTGGGACTCCGAAAGCCAGAAAGTAACCAGCAAATTACTGACCTTGTTTGGGTCTCTTTCCGCCCCTTCAGACGTTCATTCAACAAGCTATTGCCGGCCTGGCCTCAGAACTTGGCTCCATCCCCGGCTCAGAAGACGGACACGTGGCGCAAGATGGACACGTGGCACGCAGAGACCAACTCGTGGCGCGCCTGGCGGAGTCGGGCAAATGGTTTGCGCTTAAGGAGCAGATGAAAGCAGCCGTCGCACGGGTAAATGTCGAAACTTTTGCCCTTGATTTCTGCTTTGTGAACCTCAGACCTCCCACTCTAGAGGTTCAAAACGGACGAACGAAGAGGACCGCCGTCAAGGTCGAAGAACGGAGTACGGCCTGTTGTGCTCTCCGATGGTCATTCCATTCCTTTCCTTGGCCGAGCCAACGATCAGTTGAGAACCATTATCATCATCACACCAATAAAGTGTCGGCGGGGAGCGGAAAAGGAACCCGAAATATCAGTTCAACTTACAATGGACAAAAGCTGAGGGCTGATTGGATTTTACTATCCTGGCTTATCTCGAGAACGTACCTGTCGTCTCTACACCCAGATTGCAGAGGAACAGCTAGACATCCGAAGCGAGGCAGGATGCGTTTCAAAACCTCGGCCGATCACCAAACGTTTCTCTCTCTATTGTACACACAGATTGCAGATGAGCAGTCCAAGCAGCCGCGCTTCGATTCCGCTGGAACCGGCGAAGCCGCGCTCTATGCCGACCTGTACGTGACTCTTTTGGACGAGATCCATTCCCAATTGAACAACGCGGCGAAGCAGGTACGCGAGCCGCCTTAAGATCATGTTTTACATTGATTATGTGTCGCGGGTCGATGAATCAGTTGTCCGGCTGACGGCTCCGAAGAGGCACCGCCGTTCGTTCAACATCGTCCGTTCGACACCGACCGTCCGTCAACACCGTCCGCTCAATATGAGCGGCCAGATTGGCGCGCTACGCTGTGTATCTCCGTGAGAGCCAAGTCGTGTGATCCCTGGAAACTCTACCAAGGGCGTGCAGCGCTGTTGCTGAATCTGTTTGCCTCTTCAACCCAAGATTGACACTTTAAGGACATTTTCCGCCGTTTCTGGTTAGGTATGCTTGCCCTCAGACTTTGTCTCGTCCCCCCTTCGACGAGGTCAAATGGCAGCAGTACGACATTAAAACGACTTCCTGACATGTCCATTTACAACTCAATCCGCTCCTTTCAAAGTCGTTCCCGAGCATAGGCGGACTTCAGCACGTGGGTTGCTGCAAGTATCTTTGAAACTCTGCTGAAGTACCAATCAAGACCTGAAGGACAAGAATCGCCTATGTCGCAGACGGACGGCTCAGGGCATGAGGCCTCTGCGTCCGCGCCCTCGTCCGAAACGCGTGAAAGGTTTCGGACGTGGGCAGCGGAGTACGAGGGATCTCTGATTGACTTGTTTTGATCACCAACTCGCTTTCAAGTACACGAATCGCCTGTTTGCAGACTACCGGTTCAAGGCCTGAGACCTCTGCGTCCGTAGATCCGTCCAAAACGCGCGGACGGCTTCGGACATGGGCAGCAGAGTACGAGGCGAGCGGCGACGCCGAAGCAGCGGAGAAGCTGCATCAAGTGAGAGAGACACGTGTCCAGCGGCGGACGGCTCCCACGTGTTGTTACTGATCAAGAAGGCCTGCTTTAGTCAATAGGAAAAGAGGGACCATTTATGTTGTGTGCAAATCAACCTCTTTCTGTCCCGGTACTACTCGCATTCGATCAAATGACAGTTGTTGATTGATTGATATCAATCGGGTGAAAATTTGTATCAGTAGACGTGTCGTGCAATTTGCTGTTAGGTACGCCTTCCTATACGTTATGCCAAAGCTTCTGCTTTGGTTGAGAGACACATCACTGGCGAAACAAAGTGATTTTGCATCCGTCGATTGTTTAACAGCACCCATCGCGTGGGAGACTCTCAGGAAACGCAGCTAAAGAGGCCCTGTTTTCCATGACCAGGATCTTGTTTTCGAGAGTATAAGCGGGACGGCCGGCGACTGGTACGAGTACGGGGCCTTCTGCTTGAGGACGGGTCAGCCGGCAAAGGCGGAAGAGTGCTTGCGGGAGGCAATCTCGCTGGACAGGTGCCACGTGTCCGCCCACGTGGCGCTCGCGTGCGTCTTGTGGGCGCGGGGGCAGCCGCTCAAGGCGGAGGCGCTGCTACAGGGCGTTACAGGTGGGGGTTTTGGGGGTTTGATGACCTTGAAGGTTTTAAGGTGAATCTTCTGGGCTTCATTTTTCGACTTACGCAGGCCTTTAAAAGATTGAATGTGAGTATGCACCATGTCGTATCATGGTGAGGAGGTGAAGATCGTGGTGCCAGCTTCGGCGAGCGGATGCGAGAATCTGGGCGTCCGACTCGTGAGATCCCCAATACTGCCAGAAGGGCATGCTTCGAGTTCTGCCACATAGAACAAGCGAAATTTGATATGAGATGTCTGGGTTTCCGATCGCACCCCTTTTTCCTTGCACGAACTCGGTGAATAGGTTGGCTATATTCCCTCGTTCAAGCCTGCGTTAACCGTAAGTGATCTGACCCCTCATGATCGTCAATCGGTAACAAAGATACCAACTCATCAATGTGTTCCAGACGCGCCTCCCGCTCGCGCAGGCAATGCCGAGGCGCCCCTTTCGGACGCTGTCGCGGCGTGGACGCTCCTCGCTTTGCTGTACGCTGAACTGCCCAACCGTCCGAAAGACGTCCGAAACTGTCTCCTGGAAGCCGCCCGGTTGAACGACTCCCGGGGTCAAGTTTCGGGCGAATCCGCCCCCTGTTTATACCTCCAAGCTGCCCGGTTGGTTTTGGATTACCACCTGCCGGAGTTAGCGGAAAAGGCACTGGAAGAGCAGCGGAAAACCGAAGGAGCGGAATGGGGGCTGGAAGAGAAGCTTTGCGCTGCCAGGGGGAAGAAACTGCGGGGGAATCTCGGGGGGGCGGCGGAGATTCTGGAGGGCTTGCTCGGGGAAGGAGTGAAGGTTCCTCGAGTGGCGGTCGAGCTGGGGCACGTGCGGTATGCGGCTGCACAGTGAGTCAAAAGTTGGACGTAAATGTGATGAAACTCAAGAAAGATGACTACAGTAGACGCTCCGACTAACACTTCAACCCTAAACCAGATAGATACTTGCTCCGCACCCCTACCCACCCTAACCGGGCCAACAAACGAAGTCTACCCGTCACAGTGCGGTTACTTCAATATCATCTCGGCTTACTATGATCCCTTGAGGTCGATCTAGACATGTCAACTTGTCGGAGTCGTAGAACCTAAAGGTTTGAGAACCGTGTTCTGTAGTACTTGAATCAGACCAGCGTCAGGAAATACACAATCGAGCCGGCAAAGGCAATGTCTGTGGCGCTCAGGCCCTTGTAAGCATTTTAGTCCTATACACGCATGTGGATTCCAGTCTCTCATGGTCAAATGCTACCCGTCCCTCTGCAGGTTCGAAACCGCAGCAGAGGCGTACCAGACGGCACGTGACCACGCGGGTCAACTGCCCCTCGACCTAACCGTGTACCTTAACCTGGGCTCGCTTCACCTGTCTCGGGGAAGCTTCACCGAGGCCAAGGACGTGTATCTCGAGGCTTGCCACCACCACCCGGGGGCTGCCACGTGGCTCGGAGCGGGCGCCGCTTTTCTCGGGTGAGGCAAAGTTGAACGTCGCGTGGAACGTCATGACGACATCTGGAATTCACAAAGCGCACCCTCACTTGTCATCATCTGTGACGTCGTGAACCGATAGCGTCACGACGAAGTTTCTGCTTGTGTCTAATAGATAGGCGTAGACTGCACATCAACTTCCCCGGAACCAACTTCCTGATGATCTCTTGTGCCGATCTTAAGTTCGTGAGCGATCCTCTCGCCCCGCCTTGTTTCATGTCAACTTACTCTCATTTTCCGCTCTAACGAATGTATGCCAGTTCTCAGACTCCTTCCGATTGCTGTGTATCCTCTCCATTTATTCTGCCTCATTGACTTTACCCACGCGCCGGGTTATACGCCTATGCCAAGCCTGCCGCAGAGACCTTTCAACAAACCTACTCATTTTTTCTTCTCGAGGGACATTTTATGGCTTTTCATTTAAGAACCGACCAAAAGCTCCATACTCAAAACGTGTCAACTTAACATTCCCACTCGCGCACAGGCTGGGCGACCTTGCGCGCGCGGAGCAGGCGCTCGCGGAGGCCAACTCGCTAAACCCTCGCCACCCCGCGGTCTGGGCGCACCTCGCGCTGGTGTGTTTGCGCGGCCGCGGCCGCGAGGAGGAGGCCGCGTTCGCGCTGCGCGAGGCGCTGCGCAATGACGTCAGAGACGCTGCCGTGCTGACGGAGGTGGGGGAGCGGTGCCTCGGCTCGGAGCTGTACCGGTGAGGAGAATTGACTGCTTTTGAACGTACAGATAGAAGAGGCTCCCTGCTTCCCGGGACCTGAACAAAATACAACACCTGACGAGCGTTTCGCTTTACTCTTTTTCTGCAATCAGTGACCAGATATTTAGTACATGCTGAGGAGACCTTGAGCCGAGCCTTTTGAGATAAAACCAAGCCGCGAAGGAATTCATAGCGTGCAGCATGTCCGTTAATGTTAGGTGTTCGTTTTCTCTGCAGATCGTTTGCACATTGTCATAAGCGAACAGCTTTGCGATTAACAAAGCCTGCGTCGGTCAAGCTTCATTTCGTCGGCCTTGCGTGAGCTTCCCGCGTTGATAGAATGCCCAGACCATAGATCCTTCATCCGCTCTTGGGGCAGGTACGCTGAAGCAGCCCTCCGGCGGGCCGTCCAAAACGGGGCGTCCGTACAGGCTCGGCGGCTCTTGGCTGAAGCCCTGCTACGTCAGGTAAGAGGACTGTCCGATCCTCCGATGCGTCCGGAAGAGCTGAAAGATTAGCTCAGGCCGTCACATCGTGATGTTAATGCTGTTTGCATCGTATTTAGGGCGTCCGTACAGACCTGGCGGCTCTTGGCTGAAGCCCTGCTACGTCAGGTAAGAGGGTTTAGAATCCCTTCCAACAGCGACCGAAAGTGCTGAGGTTGAGGTCGTCCGTTAAAACGGTCCGATTCTGTCAGCAGAACATATCAAGAACCTGTTCGGCGCCTTTTGGAGATGTTGAATCGTGACCGAACAAGCCCAATGCTCTAGGAGGTCGCATCAATGGCCACATGACTATGTCCCCGACGGTCTCGGTGCAGCCAAACGCTCACGCTGACTACTCTTTCGCTTACGGCAGCTCTCCGGCCACCCGGCTTGACCTTTGAGGAGGAAGGCGCGTACTCAGCAACCAAACGACGTGACTCACGGCTTTCTCGTTGCCTTTCTTCGTCTCTGCAGCAGCACGTAAAAGCGGCCCAGCAAGAACTGGAGGCCATTCTCCAGCTCCCGGACCTGTCACCGGAAGAGAAGGCGTCCGTCGACGAGCAGCTGCATGGCCTCTAAAGCGTGTAGATGTTGCAGTGGGCTTTCTAGAGGCTTGCAAAGAACACATTGGAACTGGCATACTTATCTGCATCTGTGCATTTCGAAAGCATAGGGATTGTGCCCGCGAGTTAGGACGTGGAAAAATCCGTATCCTCAAAATACCAAGTTGCCAAAAATGATTGAAGGTATGTGTACTCTTTATACAGAATACGAGCTTGATCAATGCACTGAAGCGGAAAGAAGCACAGAAAGTTGGAATAAGGGATGGCTGTACTGCATGTTCATGGTACCGCTTTCACCGCGCGACAAGCTGTTGGCCCGTCAACTAAATGAGTTCACGCCCTATCTTGGATGTTGTGACTTGCATACTCATATACAGAGATATGTATTGCGGGTGACGAATTTCTTAGTATCTGACAGCTGCTTCTGTTCGACCGAATTCCTTCATTCAACATTGCATTGGAATCAGGCGGAAGTGGTATAGATCTACACGGTGCCGCGGCTGGCGCGCTCGACCAGATGCTGACCTGAGCACGATTAATCTGATCATTTTTCAATTCTCCCCCAAGTACTTGCATCGAGCATCTAGGTAGTGGAATCAACATGACTAGAGATCTTCATTTCAATGTAAGGGCAGTTCTACCGGATTCAACCGGGGGTTTGACTGGTGTTAATCCTGACAGATTATTAAGTGTGCACAGCAAGCCTGGCGGCTCAAACATGGCATCACACCACGCGAATACGCATTGTCTCTTGCCACGCCCGCACGTTAGCAACCAGCTAGTAAGAATGCGAAGCACTAAAGAAACATGCACTCTGATCCGAATATAACCGCCGCCAGCTTGTGCCCGGTCGAGTCACCATCACCCCAACTCTCATCGACAGAGACAATTGAACCATAGTCACTGGTGCTACATACGCGATTGCCAGTCATCGATGATACCAGTAGTGGAAGTCGTGTAGATTAGTGCTTGACAGGTTGCAGCGAGACCGCCTGAGCGCTCACAGCAGGACTTTGAGTATTATGAAAGCGGTACAAGTCATGTGTCCTTTTTCTGAGTCGTTTCCCGAGCGCTTGTCCGGGCGTCTACAGGAGCGTCCTTCCTAGCTGCTTGCGCGTGAAGGGGGACCGTCTTCTTGGACGCTTCGACCGGGAACAACCAACCCAGAACGAGAATGGTCAACGGCACAAGCACTTGCAGATAGTATATGGATCCAAACGCCCGCCAGATGTCTCGAAACGTGAGAACCTGGAGCCAGCAGCAAACAATCAAGTCAGCCCAGCGTGACTGCATTTTTTACAATCGAATGGAGCATTGAGCCGGTGACGAACAAAGGCCGCCTTGAAAGGCCGATGGCAGAACCCTCGCAAATAAAATGTCCTGGGTCACTGCACGGTATGATAGCAGGTTGCTACATCTCCATTCGACAACACGACATAAAGCACACGCACCAAGACGCCGGCACACAGTGGCGAGGCTGTACTCTAGGTCTGACGTAAGCATTATCTCGACGTCCGACTGTTTCATTGGGACCTCGCACAAAACAAGCGTGCGCTCAGGCCACGACTTACCGTGAGAAAGAGAGCCATCTCTTTCGTGCCAGCTGTCAGCTGCGTATACGCCCACATCAGCGCGCGCGCGGGCAGCTTGAGAGCGGGTGGGCGCTCCACCAGCCGGGTCTTATACCTGTACAGAACTGCAGAAACGGACGAACTGTAACTATCTCTTCTTAGATCTTCCTTTCTTGCGTCAGACTGGCATGAATCGGGATGATCCAAGCAGGATACAAGGCGGTTCAGCCGACGGCGAGTCTGGACGACGCATGCGGAGAACGTCTCTCAAAAGATGACGAACGCTTTGCATAAACTTCGATGACGACGGGCGAACAGACGATCGACGCTTCGCCTCTGCAGATCTCGCGAGTCAAGATAGATTCTATAGGTGGTGATATCAGCGCCAGCGGTCGAGCATCTTATACTTGTCGACTTGTTTTTGCACCAAATTCAGAGACCGAACATTCCGACTATGAAATTACCAGAAGATAAGAATGAACTGACGCTGGCGCACCTGTCTCCCTTCCTGAGGTTACTTGGGACATGAGCACGCAAGTCCTGACTGGTAATTGAGATCATGATTGACAGTCAGAAGTCGAGACTGCGAGACCTAAGAGGAAGTCCAGTAAGACCCCCACCTCTGGCGCTCAAAATGATAAGCGTCGCGTTGGTCCGGAAAAGGGCCTGACCCAGATACGGGCCCTGCAGCCCGCAAACAGACAGGCGTTCAATATTAGCAACGACAAATCGACGAGCCATTTGGCGGCTCAGGAAAGATCCACGCAAGTGTGAAAACACCACGTGGAATAACTTTGCGGTCGTCCTTCATTTGTTGTCCCCCTGCTTTCGGGAGGCGTTCAAAATTGGATCGAAGGAGGGTGAAAAGGGTAGGGGCCCGCTAATCTTGTCCACAAGGGAGATTTGAAGTCGGATTCCGTTGCTCTTCTGTCGGCGGGATGGGGGTGACCGGAGTTTGGGGAGATCAACAGACCGACTGACTGCCGGAGTGACTTTGGTGGGGTTAGTGGGGCGGTTAGGGTGGGTAGGGGTAAGCTCATGGCGGGACGACTTAGGGTTAGGGTTTCGTCACCTTCCCTTAGGTTTTTAGTTTATTGTTAATCTCCCAGTGATTTTGGTGGGGTTAGCCGGGGGTTTAGGGTGGGTTAGGGTAAGGCCTTGGCGGAACGAGTTAGGGTTAGGGAGCGGTCTGGCTCTCGGTCGGTCCGGCTCACGTCCGGCTGCCCGAGTCCCCTTGTGGGCGACCCTGTCATGGGTTTGCCGACAGACCTGGATGGTGGGGACATGCAAGCCAAAACTACCCGGACCGACCGACCGCCGGAGTGGAAACTGCGGTCCGGCGGTCGGTCGGTCCGCCTGGTCCGACTGGGGCCCGGGATCTCACGAGTCAACCTTAGCCTGCAGTCCGGCGGTCGGTCGGTCCGCCTAGTCCGGCCAGAATCACCAGTCACTTCATGCAATACATTCAGTCCATCGGTCGGTTGGTCTGCCTGGTCCGACAGGCCACGGTCGCCAACCAAGGATGATACGGTCCGGCGGTCGGTCGGTCCGCCTGGTGTGGCCGGGATTGTGCAACTTGGTATGGTCGGGCAGTCGGTCGGTCCCGGAGCAGATGCTATCATGCAGATCTATGTGTACAGCAGGACAGCGGAACCGTGTGGAAGAGCGGAAAACTTAAAATCTCCCTTGTGGACAAGATTAGCGTGCCAGTAGAAAAGGGACTTGGGCCTGCAAATAAGCTTTTGCTTGCGGATCCAAAGCTGGCCTTCTGTTTGGGATCCAAGAAACCCAAAAGATTAGGTGATATAGAAAGGAGCGTACCAATCCCCGAAGATGCTGAAGCGAATCATGACAGTTCCATGGCGAGGAGAGACTGTGGCTTCAGGAATGTGTTTAACTTGGGACAAGGACGGAGTCACAAGCTTAATGATTAGACTGTCAAACAACGAGAATCAACGCTAGGTACGGAGACCGCAGGAAGATGCTCCTCGGCCAGACGTGCTTTATTTGACGAACGAATTGCCGGCAGTTGGTCGAACCAAAGTACTGACTGTCAGGTCACAACCGGTCTGCATTCAGCAGATCGAGCTGACTGCTTCAAATAACTTCAACCTGTGGCCTCAAGGCTCGAGCGAGCAAGAGCTAAGATCGCCGCACACGTGATCTGATAATCTTGATAAAGGCTTGGTTCGGATCTCACATGCCAGACGAAGGACGCCGCCTGAGTAGCCGCCAATTGCAGGATTCCTGGTTTCTGCCCTCGGGGAGTCAAACGGTCGTACACATCTGTGAAAAGCATGTTGACGAAGGATTCAGACACTTCAAAACCTGTCTCGAGTGATCCAAATCAGCAAAAGGATAACAGATTTATGGCTTCCATCGCTGAGGGAGTGGCAAGAGCTGCACCTGAAGGATTGTTAGCGATGGGCGCTGGAACGGAAAGAACTCGCAGATTATCTGCAAAGATCTTGCGTGATCCGCGATTTCGCGATTTGGGGCCGTTTGAGTGGTTGAGCTGCCGTTGAATGCTGGTGGTAAAATTCTGATTGCACGCGCGATAGGTTGCTGATTAAAGTCGACCACATAGGATCGATCGCTGGAATCGGTCAAGGACTTCAATGGAGCTAGGCCTCTCCCCGGCCTCTCGGTGATCAAGGCAAGCCTGAAAACTCAGCGCTGGTCCGACGATTCAAGAAATCTTTGGGCGCGGATTCAGCTCCAAGATTTGGAAAAGTCTACACTACAAGGGGCGGTGGGTCGTTGTCGGACGGGAGCTTTAAACAAAAGACAACCGCGACAGACAGCTTAAGCTAGCCGTGGAATGACCTAGGACTTGGTTGGTGTGAGGTTGCTTTGGGTTTGCAGGCGCACTTAGAACATGATCATTTTCCTTCCTCTGATCAATGTGCTGAAATCTCAACTTGTGCTTAACGTAAGTGATGAAGATTTGCAGGCTCTTGATGTACCTTAAGAATCCCCCGGTGATTGACACCGAAGTTGTGAGTCAGCGCGCTCACAGTATCGCAGCCACAGCCCGGTGTGAATGTCCCAGTTGGCCCAGATCGCCGCGGGATGCTCCGCCAGCTCGACGCCCCAGAAGTGGAAGTTCGTCGCTCCCGCCCTGCATTGAGAACAGACCGGATGGTGCAAAACTTATGAAAAATAATATCCAGTCATCGTAAAACCTAAGCGGAGCTATTCAGAAGCAGAATTGTGGCCAGGTGTCAGATGAAAGCACCTTTGAACCTTGGCAGACTCGGCTTGAGTCAAAGCGCGCAATTAGTAATTGGAAGAAAGAGACGAAGACAGAGTAGCATGATCCGTGTATCACTAGACCGGCGTATGATCGTCGGCATACGCACACAAGCTCAGAGCGCGTCCTTGAACGATCCCAGAGCCATAGATTCTCTACTGATTCTCAGTAATCAGCTTTTCTAAAAGTTTGACAGTCTTGCTGGATTCAGAGCCTGACTGTACGCAGCACTTGTTCCAAGGCACGCTTCCCAAGCCTTGCGCGATGTGAAGAGATCCGTTGAGAGCCTTCCGAGCGCACTGAAAAGTAGAAGTAGTACCCTGTTTTGGGGGTCAGAACAGGTAGCACGGGTGCGGAAGACGCCTGATATAGCGTACTTCCATCCGTATCAAGTGATACGGAGCGTCTGAATCGAACCCATTTCTCAAGGTCTTCGCGATCGAACATCAACAACTTTTGCTTATCGCGTGCCTCCTGACCCCTCAAGCCCAAGACGGACACTTGTCCGGCGACTTTGACCTGGGGCACCCGGGCAGAAAGTCGCCGGCAAACGACACCAACAGCGCGGTCATCACGTTCATGACTCCTTTTCGACACAGGCTTCGACGAACGCACTTGCGGCGGATCTTTATCTTCGCAAGGGTGGGTTTGTCCCCTAAAATCCTGAAACCCTAAGACTCTAAGACCCTGAAACCTTAAAAAACTTAAAACCCTCAAACCTGACCAGGAGCAAGAGGAAATCAGTTCTCACCGCCTGATCTTTCCATCCGGAGACTGTGACAGCGCTTGTTGAGAGGCCGGTTTTCCGTTGTGCCGCAAACCGAGGAGTTGCGCCCCACACATCCAATCAAGAAGCCAAATTGGGCGACATTACAGTAGGGAAACCAAGCAAAACGACAGCAAGGAGGGCGTCTTGTTGTGCGACCCGAGAAGCCCTGTTCCAGTAGTCAGATGCTCTTTGAGGCGCAAAATACGGCGAGATTCAGCAGAAAATCCCGCCAATAAGTGGCCGAGAAGGCCCAACAGGGGGGCTTTCCGTCCGGCCACCCTAAGAAGCCCCGCCACAAAACCAGGTACTGAAGGCCAAATCGGGCGATGTTCGAGCAGGGGAAGCGAGGCAAAAGGTCGCCGAGCAGGCCTCACCAGGAGGGCTTCCCGTCGTGCCACCCCGAGAAGCCGCGCCCCGAGATAATCCAGGCCGCCTCGAAGAACGACCACATAGCATATACCCGGAGGCGACGGTGCTCAAACACGAGCAGTTGGTAACCCAGCCTGCGGGGCAGATTATGAATAAATGTGTCAACTTTCTGATTTGAATATGATTTTGCGATATCGGGAACTGTGCAGACCAAGACGGAGGAGACAGTGATGAAACAAGTCTTCCCCTACGATCGACATGAGCTGCAAGAATGGTAGAGTTATTTTGCCGTGCAAAGACGAACCCACTCCCAAAAACCAGACAATTGGTACCCGGACCGTCCCTAACCCCCAAGCTATCAAGCTAACCCAACCCTGGCTTGCCGTTGCTATCCAAACGGCTTATCATGCAAAGGAAAAAAAAGTCCCAGCACCAAGGTTCGGATGAATGCAGGCGCGGAACATGCATAGCGCAAGCAGAGAATCAGCAATATGCGAACCGGTTGTAAAAACCTTTTCTCACCGTCGCCAGAAGGAGTACTTGTGATGGTACGTCGATGACTTGATGAAGGCGACCGGAGCTACGTGGATGGTTTTCTGGGTCACGTAGCCCAGCACGGCGGTGCGCGCGAGTGCGGTCAGGGTTGCTGGAAGCGGGTTAGGGGCCTTCTCGTTTGGACTCCACCGCTGGATGAAAGACGGAGGGCCCCGGAGCTAACTTAGGTTCGCAGTCGTAAATGCGTATCAGATACAGTATAATGGAGTCTAGTGTTCTTGGCAAAGTGACTCAGTGCGTAGCCGGGAAGCTGCGCCAGAGGGTTTGTGTGTGGCAGTTGATCCACTGTAAAGCAAATCCGAAACCATTCTGGCCAACCTTTTCAGTAGGTTCAAGCCAAAAGATGCGTAGAAGGAGAGTAGAACATATTATGACGACCGATTCCTATAAAGGAAGCCCTAAAGAAAATTACTAGAACAAGGGGTGTGGTTTATAGTGGTCGGTGCAGACCTCGAAGACATTACAGTCGGCTACGCTCAACTTCGTAACATAAACAGAGACCTTCGCTCAGGCAGATAGAACCAGAGCCTCTCAGAAGCCAACAACGGCGCAACGCTCACCCCTTCTCTCTTGGTGAATTGGCTGTAGTCGACGAGGTGTATGTGAGGCCCTGTTGACATGTACCCCTGACTCACGAAGCCCAGGTACTCCAGTACGCTGGGCAGCGACGTGACCCGAAACAGGGCCTGCGTCTTGGTCAGCTGATCCTTGGGAAGCAGACCGTCCTGGTAATTGAAGGCGAGCCTTGAGCCGAGCCTTAGAACCAGTACCGAGAAGGAGCCTGTGCACAAAAGGTGAAGCGGGGTTGATCACTCGACAGGGTTCTTCAGTGTCAATTGTTTCATTTCTGTAGGATCCTGCACATATGTAGCGGGGCTAAAGCCAGGGGTCTACAGGGTTGATACCGTGTCTTCTGCGCTGACTTCGAAGAGGACTTGGAATTGCAAAACTAGAAGGGCCAGTACTTTTGAGAGCGGACAATGCCCACAGAGGAGAGGTTATATCACCCCCTTTCAACCATGGTAGGGTGACTCGCACGCCTCGACAGTATGGGATTGGACACAGCATTCTCGGTTGACAAAATCGTGTCTGGATTTACAACTTGTGCGGATACTTCCATCTTATATGGAATTAGACTGTTCCTAGACTTTCTATGACTAGAATCTGACTGGCAATGGCGAGACAAGACCCTGCAGAATGTTTTGACCTCACTGTCATTTGGAAGAAGCTGTTTGCTTACCAACAAAAGGGAAGCTGCCTCTATAGTAGCCCCGATACAGCCAGTGACTGGATTCAAGAGCAATCGGAAGGGTCAGCCAAGCTCGGGAACCCAGTGTTGAACCAGAGGTGGACTCGGTCTGTCCAAGGTAGCTAGCCCCTCTTATCAGTTCTGAAAGCTGGGGGCATTAGAACTTTGACCAGAATGTTGTTTAAAATCCAGAACGAGCGAACGCCAAAGTGGCGTTGTTGACATATAGGTTCCTGCCAACGAAATCAAAAATCCTAAAGATTGACCACCTTGCTAGCGTTCTAAAGGTTCCAGACCCTAGCTTTTGATTGGTCAGTCCCTCTGTAACAGAAAAAAGCTCTTTAAGCTGTGCACGAGGGTGGGAGATCAACCCAACCGCGAGTTTACACAGGTTCTAGGAGACTCACTTAAGCTGGCTATTTCTCAAGTCTGCTCGTGGCGGAGTCAAGTGAGTCAAATTGACCGGGTTTGAAATTTGCCAAGAAGATCTGATAGAGAACTTGCAGTATACTTGGAGCTTGATGGTTGTGTTTGATCTTGCAGTAGGTGCGTCTCCGCAAGAGAACTTGACTTACGAACAGCAAGTGCAAATTGAAACCAAGCTGAGAAGCCCTTCTAAAAGGTTACTCAGGTATGTATGAGCTTGGAAGATTGCACCTTGTACGATCGAAAGAGGGATCCCCCCATTTTTGATTGAATGTGACCCCCCATTGATTTTCATCTCTTTGGAGCAAGTGTAGGGGGCGCTTACCACCAGGTTATGTGTGCAAACCCCACCCACGTCACGATCACCCCACACCGCCGCCGGTGGAGCAGCATAACTGTGTACGATACGGCTATGATGAATGCAAAATGTGGCGCCGCCTCAGGATGGAGAATTCTGAGCATGACTGCTGCCGTTAAGATTGAGTACAGGTGGCGCGCAGTGGCAGTAGGGACGAATCGGTGGATGAGCCCCAGGGGGGCGCAGGAAAAGAAGCAGGCGTACTGGATTGCGGTCGGGTTAAGGTGGACGAGGCCATGATGTGGGACAGCATCCTGTGGCGCCATTGCAGGCTGCCGGCACTTTTGAGCTTCAGCGCTGCATGTCTTGTCTCTAAAAACGGCAGTGCAAGTGGCAATTCTCAGGCATTGTTTAGCAGAGACCTTGGCTGGTCGCTTTTGTGTGTCAAGGTCTCTCGAAGCTCCATAATTATAATGCAGCTATCTACCAATCCATCCGCACATCAGATGGCCCGTACTAGCCATATTAAGGGACATGTCAATCGAGAAAGCTGCCAATGCTCCAATGCTGGTGGCCTGCTCTGAGTCTGACGAGAAGCTGCATTTGCACGGCGCAAGAATGCAGGCGTGTGAGACTAGGGATACGTCTCCGGAGGTGAGAGAGGTGACAGCTCAGTTGGACAGGCAGCTGTTTTCAATGGGTCTCCGCTTCAAATTCTGCTCGTTGGCTGCTGGTTGTGCAAGCTGATCTGGATAGCGTTCTGAGCACCGGTTCGAGAAGAGAGAACCACTGGAACTTGGAAGATGGGTCGTCGTGCAAAAAGGTCAAAGCACTGCATGCACTGCACTAGGATAGTGTTAATAGGCCGGTAGTGCTCTGTGTTTGCATGCACTCTCACGACTGCCATACCCGGCACAAGCTGCGCTACGCATCGACCGCAGGGTGGCATTTGAGAAGGATATGCGGCTCATCTCTTCCAATGAGATAGTCGCGGCAGTGGTTCAGGTAGCATAGGGAAAAGTTAAGGCCCGGGGAACGGGTACGGTTAAGTTGGCGGTTTTTAAACTACCGTAGGTACGTGTTTCTGTAGGGGTGCGGAGCGCATAAACTTGCCGGTTTGGATTTTGGTTTTGTCCTACCCCGGGGACTGTCTGTTGTCCTTTCTGAGAGTTAGGTATCAAGACGGTAAGTTATTATACCTGCCGCTTATTATTCCTAAATTAGTCCGAGTTTGAAGTTTCGACACCACCAAGTTTGCGAGCTCGAGGCACCGGTTGTGGAACAGTAGCATTTAAATTTTATAGCTGTCTGACCGCCCGGACTGCTCGTGTCACTTGTCAGAGAAACTGAGGTACAGAATGATTACACTGGCATTAACACTTTTCAAGTGCAGTGCTATCATCTATGTACGGTACTACTTGCGTCGGTGACGGTCGGTCGTATGATACTGGTAACTCCGGAGTGACTCCGGTCGTATGACGTCATAGACACATCCGATAATTTACATTTGAAAGAAATGAGGTTTGCATCATGTTGACATGATGACATCATCATGTCTGTACTAGCGAGCTCGATCGATCGCTAAAGGCGCTCTTGGTTGCACAACTACCTAACTACCTAATCACTGAACTTGCCTCTTAACCCACGCGGTCCAAGCCTCAAGGTGGCCGGGAGCGTGGAACGAAGGACCGGCTCTAACTACCGGGAATGAGAAGCTGAAGTTGAACAGGTTGAAGTGGTCGGTCAGCTCCGCAACATACCGGGAGTGATAACCCAGTCTATGTAGATCTGGTTGAGGGTTTTAACCTTTTTTCCAAGTGCGTAAACTCTACGGTCAATCTAAAATTCTGATTCTACTTCCGCCATGCGCCTCGGTTAGGCATTTCCGGCGACTTTTTGAATACTCTTTCACCAAAACATTCGCCCTAGGCAGACGTCCCGAGTATTCATCTTCGACGGGCTCTTTACATGGCTGTAGATTCTGTTCGATAGCATTGACGTGAGGTACGACCCGTCACAAGATTCTGTCGCTAAATGTGGAATTGCCTGAGCGCGCTGTATCAAACCCGGCGGTTTCGACGATAAACGCGAATTTATGTAGAAACAGGGCAGTATTCTGAGAAGTTCATGCAGTAACAACGCTACTACGGTAGTCCAGTAGCAACGTCATACCTATTACCGGTATCACCCAAGTGAGCTAGGTACCTAGGTAATAGGTATAACTTTTACTGTCATTAGTGGTCAACTTTCATTATGGTGGTGGTCAACTTTCATTAGTGGTCAACTTCATAAATACTGTCGATACCGTCGTGGTCAACTAGAAATCTGTGAAGGGGAACTTGTTCTTATACTAATAGCTGCTAATAATTGGCCGCTCTGACCCAGCAGCTTAAATACCTACCTACCTTGCGGAACGACATTCAGCTGTTCAGGCGCTGAGCAGTGAGCAGCTCACCATTTGCAGTAATACTCCTCAGATTCTAGCTTGACGGAAGCGGGAGGAAGTCATGGTGTCGACTGATCGTGCGCGCCGCTCGCCAATGGAGCTGTTGCTCGTAGTCCTTGGAGTCGTGCTGCTGACCTGTGGGGCTCCCGTGCTGGGGATTCTTCCCGGAGGAGGCGGAGGTACCAGAGTGAAAAAACTCCAACTTTTACTTCTTCTTTCAAGTTGAGCTGTTGATTGGTTGTTTGCCTTCGAGTCCATGTGCTTCTGCATGCAACTTCTGGAACGTTATTGACCGGCTGACCCCTGAATGGTTTTGATATCTATGACTGGCAAAGTTTACCATGGCGAGTACAATCACATTTTTCTGGGTTTGTGCTTCATTCTGGAGCCCTCCTAACGCCTTGGCTAAGTTTAGCCTTTTCTGGACGGAACCGTCTAGTCAGGGGCTGGTCACTTCTTGAACATATCCAGCCAATGCTTTGAAGGATTCTCCCCCTTTCCCCCCAAGATTCTCAACATATTAATCCACAGTAGAAGTCCGATCATATGGAATGGGCCTGAGTCAAGCAGGTCAATATGGTGGCAGTGGGTCCAGAAGATTTCACTGACTGCAATATTGAAAAATGGCAGGGACTGCTTGTAGGTATACCCAATAAGAGGAGACAGAAAGTGGAGGAAAGGCAGGGCAAAGTGTGGAGGATCTTAGACAGAGGGACCTCTGTTATTAAGAAGAGGGCTCTTTTGACGACCCAAGATCTGACTCAACTTTCCCTCAACAGGATTCTTGTCCAGGTTTCTCGGCCCTTTGTTGAGTCTCTTCTCAAAGGGTTTTCACAAAGTTATCAAAACATACCAACTGGCACAATAGTGTGTTCTTGTTGATAACTTGACACTTGCCCATGCATGGTCAAGGGTTTGACCAAGGAGCCGATGTATGCTTGACATCAAGAAGTGCAGGACCGTAACAAAGGGCTGCTCATCCCTCAAGACTAAAGCCTTTTCTATCAAGAAATGTACAAAGAAATTTGCTTCTCTGTTTGGAGGTCCAGCCTGCTTGAAAAATGAAGAGGTTTGGCATGTCATCAACACATAGAACTGAGGAATTCCTTGTCGATTCTGCAGACCCCCACATGTTTGGCCTCCAGGGGGAGAAGTTTGACTGGCATGGTTATCCTGGCGAATCTTTCTGCATGATCAGCGACTCCAACATCCAGATCAACACGCACCTGATTGGTCAAAACGGCGTGACTTACTTTGATGGTAAGCCCCACAACGATGTTGACGGTTTGCAGTATCAGAAGGGCCACAGTCCTGGAGCACTCTTAGGAGCATAGGGATTGTTCGAAGGAACTACTGAACTCGGTGCAAGAGAAAGACCAGATGCTACAATGTGGCGCTCTTATCCATCAGAACAGTGTAGTCTAAGCTCCAACATAAGATACTGGAGTAGCACGCCATGCCTTTCAGCGGTTCCCAGCTTCTCTGATGTGAAGAGACTGCACTCTCCAACATTGGGGTTGAGAGGTAGCAACCAAATGGCTTTGTAGGAAGCGTCTTAAAACCTGTAAGGTGGGTCTTGTGAGCTGCTGATGTGTTGCTTTGGAAGAGGAATAGGTCCCCGGAATCTGAGAATGGAGCGTTGCAAATGCTGACTAGCCAATCATTTCTTGCCGAAGTCCAAAGTGCCCAGCCAGTCAAGGAAGTTCAAACATGATGCAGCATTGCGGGCAGGGGACAAATGAGCGCTTTGACAGTCCTCAGTGGGTCCATTGGTAGGATTTGCGACTCCTCTTTTTCTCCTGTCACGCAGTTGTATCACGTCAGAGCCTTAGCTCTCCTAGACTTGACTTAAGTAGCCCTTTCTTTCTGTTGCCTTTCCAAGCATAGGAAAGTTAGTCTCCTTAACAATAACCCTAACTTTGAGAAGAGAGAAGTGGAGAAGAGAACAAGAGTTGTTAAGTGACGATTGTTCTTTGCAGCAATTGCGGTGCTGTACAAGATTGGGGATACTCAGCACGAAGTCAGCCTCCAGCTGAATCAGGTAAACAGTCTAGAATCCTCAATGACCCAATTCGCTCTCGTTCCACTAAAGTCAAAGGTGTCGTCGAATTTTTTCGCTCACTTGAAGCACGGTTGTGGGAACCTAAACATATCTTCTGCGTGTGCTCTTAGTGAACATGTAAAGCAAGAGCGGACGTGATGTCCACAAGGTCTCACTACGAGGGCGAGGATTCACATGTCATCTGTAAGGCAATCTCTTTTCAAACCGCCAAGTCCGCTGTAGCCTTCATTCTCTTGTTGGATCCATGCGAACTTGAAAGTCATAGTCATCCGTCCAGAGTCTCTTCAAAAACAGCATGCCACTCGCACAGCCACTATAAATGATAGCCCGGTTTAAGATCGTTGTGAGGCCACATCGATCTTAAACCTATTCGGGTTTTCAGGCTTTTTTGGTCTTAAACGTTGTGTCAGACCATTTTGATCTTAAAAGCTGAATTTCTGAGATCAAAACGGCCTCAGCAAACGATCTTGAACCGGGTACTGATTTATAGTGAGCCCTAAACCCGTCCAAACAGTCAGAATACGTGAGGACCCGGTTCTTAAGAAAGGCTCCAACTGAAAAGTCCCCTTAATAAGTTGACATGCGCCCTTAAAACTGACTCCGGATTGTTTCAATTTTGGCTGAAATGTCCCCTTCCTCAGAACTCATCTCCTTCCTTTGCGTACTGAAAAGTGGTAATAACATGGGGTCTTGAATAACTGTAATATGTTCAATTTCTCAGGATGTCTCCTCCGACGACGATGCCAACTTCGCCATCACTTTGGATGGGCGACCCATCGCGCCTGACGCTTTCACCGGGCACTCCGTCTGCGATAAATTCGGCCCCCTCCGGGTGTTCTCGTCTCCCGGCGCGGGGATCGAGCTCTCCATGGCGGAAGAGAACGGTTTCGCCGTCGTTCTCGTTGTCGAAGGCCTGGCCAACATCACGATCACCACCGAACGCCACGACATGCCCGCCGGTACGTGGCATCATCTCAGGCTGACACGTGGCTTTAAGAGATGATCCGGTCGGGTTCGTGAAGGGCGGAGATCTCATGCTGACACGTGGCTTTCTCAGGGTTTTTCTCGACCTTGTTTCAGTGCAGTCCGAGCTCTTACTATAAGGGCTTCTTCTGAGGGTCGAGGGATTCTTGCGAGTTCCTGATTGCTCTCAGGCCCCGCCCCTTTGATTTGCTTATCCGAAAGCTTGCAAGGTAAGAGAACTCACAGCAAACGAAGTTTTGAAGACGGTTTCTCTGGCGCGCAGGCAAGCATCTCGACTGGTTCATCGACTGGATTCACGCGACTTCCGAAGTGCACGGCGTTTTGGGGCAGACCTTCCAGGTAAGGGCGGGGAGTCGTTGATGGAAGACTTTGAACGACGGGATGCTCTGTGCGGGAGGGATCTGAACGTAGGGTTGAAGACCAGATTTGGGACCCTTTTGAGATCCTCATGTATAGAAGAATACTGTGGCGGGCGATAGCGAATGCCATTATTGGCCAAGAGAGACAGCCTTGCGTTCCCGTTACCAAGCGTCCCAATTATCAAACCAAGATTCTGCCCTCTTCAAATCAAATCGACAAAGGAAGCAGAATTCTGCATCAATCCCTTACCAAGACGTATCCTTTTCTCATGACACCTACTCCTTCTGGCCGTTAACACTTCGTTTGGCGGCCTCCTCATATCCGCATGGAAGCGCAATAGCCGCACTCGATCTAACAGACGCACAGTGCAAGTTGTTTCTGAAGGCGTTTTACAGCAGGGTCTCTCATTCCGGACAGGCACGATCCCTTCATTCGAAAGACGGATTACTCAATCTCGGAGTCTATGCAGCCCTCCCGTGCGGACGCCATCGCAGCAGCTATGAAGGTGAACGGCCCCCAGATGCAGGCCGCTGACGTCGTGAGTCCCCTTCCTTTCTTGTCCGTTCCGTTTTGTGGCCGTTTGAGATGGGCTGGGCCGAAGCACAGTCCGAGTTTGATCCGGTCAGCATTCTGCAATATGATGATAATGCGAGGAACGCTCCTTGGATGTTGCGACATCGCCTGAGCGCAATTCTGTTTGGCTTTCATCAGCTTGAAGCGCTTGCTCCAAAGAAAGCTTCCTATAAATTCTAGCTGGTCAAGAGATAAGTGTCGACCTTTCTCTTGCTAACCAGTCCTGATGTACCCTCGAGCATGCTGCTCGGATATCCCGTGCCATCATCCGAAAGCCATGATCGACGCTTGGTTCAGAGCGGTCAGCCACTCATATACAACCTCTTCGAGAAATATCGACTCTTTTGAAGCAACTTGCTTACTCTAGCCTTGACAAAGATTTAAAGCGGCTGCAAAATGGGCTATCCATCTGCTTCCCAGGTCGAAGGATCCGACGACGAGTACCGCACGTCGACCCTGCTGGCGCCCGACTGTGCGCGCGGCCGCTTTGGCGCAAATTCTGACAGCCACGCACAAAAGTTCGGACTGTTAGAAGTATTTGCGC